CTACTTATTTTAAAAAAGGTAAGCTAGCTTCTTAGCTATTATATTCTTTAGATATGGAATTAATTTAACGTAACTTATAAATTAATATATAATTACTAAAATGCTATTATATAAGGTTTTTATGGCTAGTTTAATTAAGTCTAGTATTTCTATAACAAAGTCTATAGTAATGTCTTTAAAAGGTGCTATTAGTATCCTAATTAGTTATATTTTTCTATACTTAAAGTGTGTGCTATATTTGTTTTTCTAGTATTCTATATATTTTTAGATATAACTAGGTATAGCTTCCTTTATTCCCTTAAATGTATAATTTTGTTATATAAGTTCTATTATTTTTGTGATGCCTAGATGTCTGTATATAGGGTTATTATAGTATTATTTAATAATCTTAGTTTATAGTTATTTTAGTACTTCTTAGTTTATAACTAAAAGTTAATTAAGTTCTACTATTAGTTTAAGAGATCTATTTTTATTTTTGTAAAGGATTACTAAGTAGGTCTTAACGTTTTCTTCTACTAGATTACTTTATCTACTAAGTGCGTCTGCTCGTCTATTTTCTTTTCCTACTATATAGATAATTTTAAACTTATACTGTCTAGTAGTCTATAATTATTTTTATTATTATAGTGTTAGTTCTTTTATTATTATAAACCTTAGTAGGTTCTTATAATCTATGTAGATTTCTAGCGTTAAATAGCTAAGAGTGTATATTCTCTAGTGTTTTAAGGCTTTAATAATAGCGTAGAGTTCTTTATTATATATATTATACTATGTTTCTACATTATTAAACTTACATAAGTAGTAGGCTACTAGATGCTATTTACTATTCTATTCTTATTTTATATATACTCCTAGTGTGAGATTACTTATGTTAGTTTTAAATTATAGTAGTTTATTACTCCTAAAATAAATAAGAACTAGTTCTATAATATATACTATTTTAAGGAGTTAGAATAACATTCTACACTTATTTATTTATTTAAAAGGCGTGTCCTTTCTAGTAAGGTTTATTAATAGTATTATAACCTTTGCGTAATCTTTAATAAATTATTAATTAAATCTATAGAATTCTAAGAATTCTTAGATATTTTTTATAGTTTTTAGTATAGGCTAATTTCTAATACTCTCTATCTTACTTAGTGCTATCTTAATTCCTTTAGTAGTAATAATGTATCTAAGAAATTTAAGTTATTTAATATTAAATTAGTATTTCTTAAGTTTAATTCTTAAGTGTATCTTATCTAGTGCTTTTAGTACTATCTATATATACTTAGTGTAGTTAGATTTATTCTTAGAGAAGATAAGAATGTTGTCTATATATATAATAATAAATATATCTAAATATTTATAGAGTATATTATTAATAAGTGCTTAAAAGGTTACTAGTGCGTTAGTAAGTCTAAAAGGTATTACTAGGTACTTAAAGAGTCTATAGTATAATTAAAATACTATTTTCTATTCTTTACCTTTCTTTATTCTAATTAGGTGGTATCTATCTTATAAGTCTATTATTATAAAGACTTTTGCTTATAAGAGTTTATCTCTAAGCTCTAAGATATTAGGTAATAGGTATCTATTCTTAATTATTATATTATTAATTACTTAGTAGTTAACATATAGTCTATCTAATCTATTCTTCTTTTTAATAAATATAAAGGGACTTACTACTAGTAACTTTAATAGTCTAATATATCCTTTTACTAGGTTTATCTTAATAAATTTATATTCTTTCTAGAGTTCTTCTCCTATTTTACTATATAGTAGTCTAAAGGGTGGCGTTTTCTCTTCTTTTAGGTTAATTATATAGTCCTAGGGTTAATATTCTAGTAGATTTACTTTTCCTTCCTTTTCTATAAATATATATATCTATACTTTATACTCCTTTAGTACTTCTAAGGGTATACCTTCTTCCTTCTTCTTATACTTTATAACCTAGTGGTTCCTACTAGCGTCTACTAAGAGTAATTTCTATTTTTTAACTTTCTATTATAAGTCTATATTATTAATAATACTCTTATCTACTATTAATCTCTATTATTACGTAGGCTTAGCTTATAATACATATTTATAGTGTTCTAAGGATAGCGTTCTTAAACCCTAATTAATATATAGGTTGTGCTTCCTTAACTAGGGTAATCCTAATATAATATTATACCTAGATCTATCTAGTACATTAAGTATAATTATCTCCCTATATTTATAGATCTAAAGTATAGTAGTAACTTTATAAGTAATATATAATGTGTTTAGTATTTAACTTCTATTTATAATATAGATAGAATAAGCTTTATCCTTAAGTATTAGCTAGAGTTCTACTTATAGTGCTACTTCTTAGGATATAAAGTTTTCTAATATACCTAAATCTAGTAGTACCTTAATCTATATTTTATTAAGCTAAACTAGTAGCTTAATTAATACCTTACTATTAATAGTATTTAACTCTCTAATAGTATCTCTTTACCTATCTATTAGTCTTTAAGGGTTTCTTAGGCCTTAGGGGCTAGGATCTAGTCTAAAAAAGAACTATTTTTAGGAGCTAGGTAGTCTATATTCCCTTTTTATTATTTCTTTTACTCCTACCCTTCTTTTCTTCTACTATAGTTATTCTTCTACTATAGTTTCTCTTTAGAAGCTTTACCTTTCTATACTATACTTATTTCTATATAAATGTTAATAATTATCCTTAGTTAGTTAGGGTTCTTACTAAATCTATAAATACGCTTATTATCCTAGTGTCTACTATAATTAATATTTAAGTAAGTTTACTATCTATCTTAGGTATATATTCTATTATAGAGCGTACTAGTTACTACATTTTATGTGTTATTTATACTTAGAAAGTACAATTTTTCTTACTTATCCTATAAATATTTGTCGTATTTGTTAATTAGGTAATTATATTATTCCTAGCGGCATTATCGCTTATATAGTAGTTATTTACCTTTATATAGCTCTTTAGCTCTATAGTAGATTAGGTACTAGTTATATTTACATTTAATCTATTAGATATTTAAGTGCTATAGGTTTTAGTAGTCTAGGTAGTACTTTTATAAGTAGTCTAGGTTCTTATTATAGAAGTTTTTACTAGGGTCTTATTATATATATCTATAATCTACCTATTGTCTATCTTCTTTTATAATAATTTCTAGTCGGCGTTTATTATAAGCTTCTGGTAGTATAGAGAATAATAGTAAGATTATTATAAGTAATAATAATATGTCCCTATCTTATAGTTAGATTAGTAGTTTATCTAAGTATTCTTATACATTTACTCTATTAATAAAGATTACTTCTTTACCTTTAAACTATAGGTAAGGTATTAGTGTCTACTTAACTTCCTTATTTACTATTTTAGATTATTCTTCTTCTATGTCCTTATAAAGTTGTAAATTAGTTAATAACTCTAATCTAGATTTATTATTAAGTATAAGGTTATTAATAGCGTTTATAATAGTCTATTCTTTGTCCTTAATTTCCTTTATTAGGACAGTAAGTATATTTAACTACCTAATAACCTTATTCTTAGATCTATAGTTCCTAGTAATATAGCCTAGCTTACTATATATAAAATATATATAAGTCTTAGTCCCTTATTATTAGATTTTATCTAAGATACGCATATTAGGCTTATAAAAGCCTAGTCCTTTTCCTTTTCCTTTACCTAAGTAGTTAAACTAGATATCTTCTATTAGCTAGTATCTATAGGAGTCTCTTAATTAGTATTAAGGTCCTTTTAGCAGCACCCTATAGACTATAGGTGCTAGTTATCTAAAACTAATATTCCTTAGGTTATATTAGAATTCCTATTATAGTATAAACTATTCTCTATTAATTCTAATTAATTTATTATATAATTTATTAAGGGTTCTAATAATTCCTCTACTATATAGAAGTTCTTCTTATAGAGGTTTCTTAAGACCTTATTTATATATTATTATTAGTAACTTATTATCCTAGTTAAGTTATATAGCGTTCTTATAGAACTCTACTATATACTTAGCTACTAATTATTACTATATTATAGTTTAAATATTTTGTGCTGTAATAGGTACCTTATTAGTAATTCTAAATATCTATTTAAGGTATTTCTTAAAGTTAGTATAGTCTTTAATAATATTAACTACGTCTATATAGTTATCTACATATTCCTTATCTTTATTATTATAGTCTATTTCTAGATACTTAGTTACATAGGGTTAAATCCATTCTCTAGTATTACCTTATATATAAGTGGCTATAAAGATAACCTTTTATTTATCTTTAGGTTATTTATTAAGTTTAAAGAAATAGAGGTCTAACTAAAGAAGCTAGATATTAGTATACTTTCTATTACTATAATATAAATTAGGTTTATATACTTTACTCTTAGAGTTACCTATTAGAGTAATAGTATTATCTAAAGCTATAGAAGAAGTAGGAGTCCTTATAGTTATATTAAGGGTATTTAAGATATTAAATCTAGAAAGGGTAGCTAGTCCTAAATAGGTTAAGGTTAGTTCTTAGGTAAGACTTACTAAGGGGAGGAAGAAGGGGTTCTTATTAATATAGAAGTATCTTATAAAGTATAATAAGTTAATAAGGAGACCTAAGTAAATCTAAATAATAGATTAAAACTTAGGTTAAATATAAGTATAAAGGTTTATTCTTATATTTCTATATAGGGATCTTACTTAGTTACTTAGGGGCCCTAAATAACTAAGTAAGTTACGTAATAGCTCTTAGCTGCTTAGGTATTTAGGAACCCTAAGTAGCTAAGCAAGTTACGTAACTACTATCTAAGCGACTTAGCGTATCTTTATCTTATTATAACCCTAGTTATTGCATCTTCTGCCTTTATAAGCGCCCGAACTTCCCCACCGTTATCTGGTTCGTAACACTCTAATAGAGACTACTTATAGCCTTATTACTATTAGTATTATCTCTCCTTACGCCAGTTCCTGCCGATACCCTATCGGTCTTCTTTGTGATCGTAACACTTTATACGAGTTAATTAGATATACCTACTGCCAAACATCTAGCTCACCGCTTAGTCCGCTAACAGCTCGAACTCTTCCTCCAATTTTTAGCGGACTTCCCTCCCAAACAACCCACTCTTCACCACCCGGTGCTTTTGGCTCATCTATTCCCAGCGCTTTGTACACGTTCCTACCAACAAGATCAAGACCTTGGTCAAGCTTTAACCTCCCCTCACTGTTTGCGTATGCAATGCCCGCCAGCAACCCCAAATCCCTCGTTTCCCAAGTTTCTTCCACGCTGATACCCACCAAAACACCCGCATCGAGAAGCAGATTGAGGGTTGTGCCGTTGGTCAGTGGTGCGCCCATCAGACACCGCTTCTGATCCCACGAGCCCTGGTGTGGTTGCAGTGGAGCAACAATGACGGGGATCTTGGCTGTTGCGAGTTCCGTGGCCACCAGGTGTGCTTCTGCGGCACCGATGATAACAACGTTGAGGATTGGCTTAATGGATGATGTTTTGGCCTTCGAGATCGCAGATTCGATCGTGGATTTCAGGCGGATGATGGAAGCGATAGTGTCGGCGCTATGAGCGGCAAGGATCAAAGGTAGTGTACCATTGACAACGCGTTTGAGATATGTCTTTTCTGCATAGATATCCTTGTTCGGCACGTCAGGAACGGTATCGTTGTCGTTCACTGCATCTAGAAGCTTCCCGCGCACAGCTGCGATAGCGGCAGATATACTAGCCGTCCCTTCTTTCTTCGCAGCAAGGGTCAGCACATAATGTAAGCCTACCTCATCAGCCCACACGGCATTTTCCTCTAAGCTATGTTTTGCGCCGGTACGGAACCCTGCACTGATACCCTTGGCTTCGAAGCCGTATTCGTTGGGAGCGGAAATGGCGCGTGTGACGCCATGCGCGTAGGCATGTGCGAGCTGCTTGCCGCCGAAGAGAAGACCATCGGTCGCGCGTGTTACGCCATCGCTCGGAGGTGGACCGTCATGCGTATCAGATTCTGAGTCAATTTCTGCAAGGCCAAGTGTGGTACTAAAAGCTGTGAGAGGAGGTGTCAGATGGCCATTTTCAAGATGTATAACAGGTGCTTTTGCGGATCTCGCAGCTTCCATCTCGGCAACGCAAGCGCCCAAGCATATCAACTTCCCATTCTCGAAAACTGCAGACGTGCTGTCGGCGTGCCGATCCATTGAAGGAGTATCCTTGTAGGTCTTGGGGTAAGCGTACGAGATGCCTGTGAATACAACAGATCCTCTGACCGAGGACATCTTGAGCTCGTTCGCAAGCGCCGTATCTGGCGTGATCGGCTCCCGTTCCGGCTTTCTTAGTTCATAGGGGTTTTCGAATTGTGGAGCGCCATCAATCCAGACTTGCACAGGCGCTGCGCCAGCGGCCAGCGGGTCGGAATCCCACAATACGATATCTGCATCGAAGCCCAATTTGATCTTGCCAATGCGACCGCCCAAGCCCAATAGCTCAGCAGGAGCTGAAGTTACACCGGCAAGAGCAGCATGGTAAGGTAGTCCGTTTCCGTATGCTTTCGCAGCCTCAAAGACCACATGTTGTGAGTTCAAAACTGGGTTATCGGATACATATGTCGGAGTGATGTTGTGAGCATAAAGATGAGCTCCAGCTCGCTCAGAGGCAGTATAGGCTTCCACTTTGTAGTACACTATATTCAGTCAGCATTGTGCTCATCGTCTACATAGCCATGCGAAATGGCTCACTGTTGTCTGCAAATAGTGCAGCAGCGGGTGTTCCGCCCCAAGCGCGCTTGAGCACTTCCGGTACCAGAAACGTTTGATGCGCGTGATGGAACGCATACACGCGAAACTTGAACTCATTCGTGTGCCTTACGAAAGCCTCCAGATCGGGAATCGTATAGCAGTGGGTATTGACCCTAACTTGACCTCTGAGCACTGCACCCAGTGACTCCCACTGCAAGTCTTGCTTCAAGTACGTAGCCATGTTCTCAACACCCACAGCATCGGCAGCGATACACCAATCATCTTGCTCACTGACATACTTCTGTGCCTGCTCAAGGGCATGGCGAAACTCCCACGCTTCGCCCAAACGACTGACCGGCCCATGCTCGCCTACCTTTCCATATGTACGCTTTGGGTTCTCACCGCAAGCCATCTTCATATAGCGCCAATTCCTATCAGGGTCCGCATAGAGATCTTGCTGGCTAATCTCCTCTCTGCCGTTCTTGTTGCCTACAGCGAACTTGAGGACGTAGGCTTCTCCGCCGACATTGTTCCCGCTTCCGGGAAGAAACAGACTTGTCGTGACACCACCGCTCTTGATGTACTCCATCTCCGGCTGCAGAGGGTCCACGCCGTCGATTGACCGGACATACGGAGTGATGTCAGTGGACATTTCGTTGGTGTCATCTTGTAAACCGCCTTCGCTTGACAGTCCAGCATGGCTGTGCATGTCGACAATACCCGCCGTCAACAGGCGGCCATGAGCCTCGAAAACGTTGGTATCGGAAGGCACGGACGCCAGTGGAATGCTAGGGCGTATTTGCGCAATCAGACCCTTGTCAACAAGAACATCGGACGATACCCATGACCAGCCTTTGCCAGCTCTTGCATCTTCGGCGGACGTACCTGCTGCAGGCTCGCCAGTCCAAATGGTAGCATTGCGAATTAGCCAGGGCTTCGTGCCCGTGACCCAACGTTTGTTATGATCACGTGCTGTGCTGGGCTCGGTCGGTCTCTTGCGTAGAGCGACACATATAGCGTGATCTTGTTGCAGCCGGTCAATTGAGAGAATGCTTGTAGGCTTCAGCGTGTTGGTGGCAATTTGGTACGCAGAAAAGGCGAGAAATGCTAGACAAGCTGTGGTGAGGATGCGGAAGCCTCGTCTCCTTCGTTTGCGGTTTATCCAGGTCGGCTGTGGCGCGGTCGAAGGTGCGGTTGCATCGCGGTATGTGGGAAGGCCATTGGAAAGTCGCTTATCCATGTTGGGTGGCGATGCGAGGTTATGCGATGCGCTTTGGGCCTTGGTACGGTTGCAGAGAATAGATCTCTGGAGAGACCAAGCCTAGATATACGAGAGTTGCTCCGTTCCACTCTAATTCGAAGAGGAAGGTCATTGGCGCCGTCGTCGTTGAGATAAGACGTTTGTGGATGTCCCCACTACCGGTAGGCTGGCGCCCCCGCACCCGCGAGAATCCAAGCTTCACTTGACCTTGACCTTGTCTCGGCCCTCATGACCGAGTACACAACGATATATATAAGTGCTTCTTCAGCATTTTACTGCGCGGGAAGGATAGACTGTTCGATGTGAAGGAAAGGTTTGCGAAAAATGGTCATGTGCGGCAGGTCGCCGGTTCCGTTGTTATTTCCGCTAAACTGTGTTGGGATTCCCTCCACAACCACAAACCCATTACGACACGTGAGATCGGGACATCAGCACTTCGCACGATCGCGTGACAAAATGGTTCACGCGTAACGTTCGAGCTTTTGCAGAACATTAAAGATCTCGAGGAACAGTTGCGTGCCGGACTGCATAGATAATCTCAGAGCCCACAAGGACTCCAAAGCGCTGTTCAGCTTTCAAGTCTAGTTTCGATGGCTTCGTGTAGAACGTTGATCAAATATTGCCTAGGTTCATGAAGCGGTAGGCACGTTGTCAGTCCAAGAAGCCCATCGACACCTCGAGAGAGAACCCTCCTCGTCGGCATTTCTAATATCTGCATCGCGCATCATCAGCTTACGTGTTCATGGGCTTTTTGCGATCATCCCACTCGCTCACCGAATTGTCTCGAACCAATTTACCGCCTGCGGGATGGGGTTCCTGGGGCAGCGCTGCAGACAGACATCTTGCATCCGGGTGGAGTGCAACTGGGCCGACGAAACCTGGACGCACGTGTGCGCATCTATCCATAGCTCCTCAATTTTGTTAATCGGGACTGTGGGGTAGCGCAATTTTACTGAGATTGCCGACATGGATGTGCGAGAGGCGACGAGATCAGTCTTATGTACATGTTGTGGGCGTAACCATCACTCGCCATTCGCAAACATTCCTGTTGTGCTCTATCGAGTTGAGAAGCATCGAAGCACCTCAACTCAAGTTCACTACCCAGCGCAGGGCTTGTGGCTTCTGGCCATGTCGAGTAGGGCGTTTCTCCTGTTGGCACATCCTGAACGAGTGCTCTCGCTCCAGTGCCATAATCTCTTTCTCATCTATACTCACTAATACATGAGTAATCTATTCACTCACACCTTGATGCCCTCAATTTCTGGGCTTCTCCAACATCCCCTCGCCGCATCCCCAACTACCGACACTGCGAGATCTTCGTTCTCCACAGGCCCGGCTAATCTTCCGATCGTGCTTCGCCATCGTATAACATTTACCCAGCCAAGCTTTTTCTAGTACTACCATGCACCCCAGATGCCAAGGTTTTACAGATCCTACTTATTGATGAATACAATCAAGCAGGAGCACGTGCGACTCGGCACTCATCTACACGACCTATCATGATGTTGGCGATTACGACCAGCAATCTGCGAAGAAACGTAACGCCGCACAACTTTGCGAGGCCTTGGTGTAATGTGAGGAGGAGTTGAGCTGGCTGGCACAGTATCCCTGTGGTCATGTTTCTTGCGGCATTCAGCTTCCGAAACTCAATATCAGCATGCAAACGCTGAACGTATAATAGCCCAAGAGGCACCCCGTGCCGAGACTTCAACCCATTCTCCCTCTCACAAACGATTGTCCATTTTAATAGAGTCGAAATGGTTCAACTCTCTCAAGCTGTGACTGCCGCCATTCTGGCAACTGGTGTCTTTGCTCACCCAGGCGGCAACGTCAACAAGGAGATTTTGAGGCGTCAAGCTCATCTCGATCATTCTGAACGCCGCAATGTTCAATCATGCAAAAGAGATCTCATCGGGAGTGGCTGGGTTAGGGAACAACACCAGAGGCGTGAGGCCAGGCTGCACGAACTTCGAGTTGCTGCTGGCTTTGCCCAGCCGGGAGACCTAGTTCGTCGAGATGTTGGCGAGGTCGAAGAGGAGTACGGTGTCCAGGCTTCATGCACCCTTGATCCTGAGGCGACTGAGGGCCCATACTGTAAGCGAGTTAGCCAGCTGCATAATCTTTCAATCACTAACTTGGACAGGGGTCGTGGGTGAATTGGTCCGCCAGGACCTACTTACTGGAGAGAAGGGTGCTATCACACACTTAGACATCAACGTTGTCGATACTTCGACCTGCAAGCCTGTCACTGACGCATATGTTGAGATGTGGGGTTCCAACTCTACTGTAAGTATAAGTTTGACTTTTCGTCAACCTCAAGCTGACGGTTCAGGGTGTTTACACTGGCGTTCAATCCCGTGGCAACGGCGATGGTGGCTCATCATCCCTAGTGAGCAATGCGCTTCGTGGATTGCAGCCGACCGGTGCGAATGGAACGGCCACATTCATCACTGTCATTCCAGGTCATTACGTTGGTCGCACAAACCACTTGCACAGTAAGACTCATTCCAATATTTCGACAAAGCTCCGAGCTAAACTTTCTCAGCTATCGTTCACCACGGTGCCACCCTCCTCCCTAACAACACTATTGCAGGCGGCACCATCTCTCACGTTGGTCAGTTCTACATCGAGCAGAACTTTCTCAATCAGGTCGAGAAGACCGCACCATACAACACGAACACTCAAAAGGTGACTACTAACGCCCAGGATATGCTCTTCAACATGGGCAAGCAGGGTGGCGACGATCCAGTAATGAAGATCTCGCTCATCGGCAGCAAAATTGAAGACGGCCTTTATGCAACCATCGATGTTGGTGTGAACCCGAAAGCTAGGCGCAACCCGGCACCCGTGAATATGTGGACATCCTCTGGAGGCAAGCCGTACCCGAATAGCCCATGGACTGGATACCCCGACACGTAAGTACTCGTTGCTTGTACGGGATCACGAACTGATAATCGATAGCTGCAAAAATTGTGGTTTCGGTGGAAGGCCTCCGACTATGTGAGGGCATACTGCGGAAGAAGTCGCTAGGCAAAAAAAGAATCCGCTCGCCTCATACTATATGTTTCACGTTGTCACTGCCCTATGGATGTGACCTATCTATAACTATATGTCGGTTTTGCCGGCCTCAAAATCATCCTTCCTTGCCTCCCGTGCCTATTACATTTAACATCGACCTCCTTCAACACAACACTTAATCGAAAGCGATTTGCATCCGCAATAGCCTACTTGCCGATCAAATCTTCGCATGTCCCCAACCTCTTCTTCGCCAATAGTCACCTTTGAGCTTCTCTACAGCGTGCAACCACAGCCTCACCTTTCCATTATCTTGGTCACCGTTTCCCTTCCTCCGTGATGAAAGGCTGCAATATCATCCCAATGAATCGCCCAATGAATCGCATCTTCCCCACAGACACTTCATGATCACAGCCTTGATCTCCCAGCCTTCTTCATCGGGTCCTGCACGATCAATGTTACCATGTCAGCGTGAGACGTTCGCTGCAGCGACTGGCTCAGCTTGGTTACCGTTATCTTGAATCTGGCCGACTGCTGCAAACTTCCCATCAAATCCAAGCATGGCTGGATTCAATGGGTATGTCGAAGAGACGGTTTGCCACTTCTAGTGTTTATTGGGGTAGAATGTCGAACGTCGTGTGGCCTTCATTCATCAAACCGTCAGAGTTTCAGCTAACGTACCTGTGTTGTGTCGTTTGGGGGCGCGACGCAGCCGTGTCTGGAGACTGGTCAATAGAGGAATATGGCTCGGACTAGGGATCAGAAGAGAGGGTTCAATTGCGATTGGTGCTGGTGATGGTGGGACGTTGAACGATATTGTACAAGTGTTTTTGATACTGCGTACTGGATACGCCGGACTTTCAGTATTTAGGTCTCAAAGCGGATTATGGTGGCACTCATTATTGAGCGCTAGAAGGTTTGAGCTGCTATATTAACATACTGGCCGTTGACACTAGTAGTCTCTTATGGAATAAAGAAAAGGGTCCAATTCCGACGTAATTTCTAACTAATTTCTAACATGATCAGTCAGGAGCTGTCCACTATACTTACGAAGCGGTCTTGATAGGTTGAGCCGGATGTGTGTATATCTACAGGTACAGTGTACCTGATACCATTCTCGTACCATATAGGTAGCTTTCGAAAGCTGCATATTCTCAAGCTCAGGTCAGAAGTGACAAAATCACACGAACGAGGCGTTCAAGATTCAAGATGCACTTCTTCCCGCATTGTTTTGAAAGTAGTGGATAGATTTTTCAGGGCCACGACAACATTGTACTATGAAGGAGCAGGAACGTTGTTCGAGTATAGGGCATTGTATAACTGTATAATGAACCAACATCGTGTGTGTCTTCCCTCATATAAGTAGCAGTAACTGCAAGGCCAATACCTCTAGACAGAAGGAATGACACACAATCGACAAACAGTTCACGACATTGTAACCAACATGTCCGTTCTGAACATCATTCTTGGAGTTTGGGGAAACGGCGCCCGTATGTTCTATGCGTCACTAAAGCAGCGGCTTTTTGCCCCAACAGCGCTCAACCGTATGAATGGCGCGAGTACAGTTTTGTTAGCTGGCAGTAAGATTCATGCCGACCCTTTCGCGGTGAATTCGCCAGTACACCCTAGCGATAGGTCGACGCCTAATTGGATGACCAACGGTATATCTCATTTCCATACGTATGAGGACCACATAGAGCCTTTCCCTGTTCTCACAATGTTCGATGTGGCAGAGTGTGAAGAAGCGGCTATGCAAGCTGCGCACGCTCAGGCTGATCTTTTGCCAAAACCACATCCGACATTTCTACCCGTCCTAGCCCCTATGGACGGCATGACTGCAGTAAGAACAGCAGTCATGCGAGATGATGACATCTTCATTCACGAGGCCGAAGCTCGTGATGCCCTGCGCACTGCTTTGCACTTCGCTGCCAGCAAGGCAAGATCACGGTACCAGCATTCTCATCCAGCCTTTACCACTCCGAAAACTCCATGGGTTCCGTACTCTTCTCCCCTCGCTGGCGAGATGATGAAGTACATCGGCAAAACTTATCAAAGTTGTCGCAACTCGATTCGGGCAGCGCCACCGTCCCAGATCCGCCTCGAGCTTGAGACGTGTCTTGTCCTTGCTTTCGCGCCGTACGTACTTTCTGGTGCTTTCAAATCTGCTAGTGGGAAGAACTCGATTGTGCCCGGATTTATTGCTTCCGCAATCGAGAGAGGTGCTTGTGGGGTTCCTTCTGCTACTCGTGAAGTTATTCAACTCTGCGAGGAGGGTCTTGTCGATGATGGAGAAGACTTATTGGGGATTTGGGCGGCGTGGATGTGGGTAGTGAAGGCTTATATAGGGGTCCTTGTGCTGCGGGATAGGCGCCGTCCAAAGGAAGATATCATCTGGGATTGAGTCGGCCTAACGAAACCCCCCTATTGCGCGGGCCGGCATTATCAGTTCGTCTAACCGGATGTGGAGATGATAGACTTATCACCACCAAATGCACATATGAGAGAGAGTCTGGAGGTCGCTTGCTTGGATTGATTAGTCTGGCGTTGATTGTATTTCTCTCATTGGTTGAAACATTTACGTCGTGCCGTTTAATATATACATGATATAGTTTGTGATTTTGTTTCAAAAGAACACATTATTGCTTTTGCTCATAGAGTAGTCACGTCTTCTCTCATGAAGCAACGCACCGACTCTACAGATGATTTTTATGCAATGTTACTGGTTGAGGTTAGCTGATTGTATCAATATGTGATATCATCGCCATCGTCAGAGCTACTTCAAATTATATCACTATGATGACACCTACTTAGGTTAGGACAATGAGTCGTTGATGTCTAATCGGGTGGGTGTGTTGTACCCTTCTGGATTGGATAAACCACTACAAAATACAAGTTGTATCGGTACTTTACGAAAAGGATAAGTCACCTTCCATGGTAGTAGGGTAGCTTCGAGATCAGATCTATATAACCTATCAGCCATCTGGTTAGCTGGGCTCCTTGGATAACGCTAATCTAGAGTGAAGTTTTACCAAGAAGGCCACCTTCTCGCCATACAGCCAATCAGCTTGTTAAGGATCACGTATATCTTACCTGAAAGCTAACCTAGTACTATAGAAGGTGGCACCTTTTCGCAAACGATAAGAACATATAACACTATCTCCCTAATTGAAGTTATCACACAATAGCGTTATCGCTGTATCGTGCATAACATCAAGATAAGCGATTCGGCGTCCGCAGTGACTTCAGCGGCCTCAAGCCTCGGCGCTGCCGCAGCAGGTCCCTACAACTACGCAGACGCAAACACTCCGGCTCAACATTCCTTGAACCAAACTGGTGAGTGTTACTCCACCACCTTCGCCTCATACGCCAGCAGATATAGTGTTGGCAATGCAACATACAATGCTCATCGCCCTGGTTGTTCCGGATTTGATATAAGTCGATGAAAGCAGGGAATGGCTCTGTGCTGCCAGTGGGAAGACCAATGGAGTAGCCGGCATCGCTCACTGTTGTGACGACGACGGCTCTTGCTCGCTCAGCCTTCCGCTTTTGGTGCTCATCAACTATATCGAAGTATTTAGCGGGGTTCGTGTTCGTCTTGTTGGTTGCTCTAGCGCTATTCCGCTTTACGATCTTGGAAGAACCAATGGATGCAGATTTTCCGGCCTTGGAGTCCTTCTTGAGCAACTTCGGAGCCATTATGCGCGAGCTAAGTAGTTGTGCGTTGGAGAGGGTCGATCTTGAGAGTAGAAAGCTCCTTATAAGCATGAATTGCATTGTGTCACCAATATAGTAAAGCTGTAGAAGCTCTTGTTACTGCACAACGCTGAAAGTCACAATGATAGTTGTGAATATGACGCACAGACTATGTCTAGTATTCGCGAACAAAGAAGCAGAACAACGACAGCAGCTTGGGAGAGTCTACTCGGGAGCTTTACGCAATTGAGAAAGTTTTGCATCGACTTGTTCGACGGGTCGCGAGTGCTCCGACTACAAATGAACGACAGCTGGGAATGGCTTAGTGAAGTTGCTTATGGTTGAAGACGCAGCCTACACGCCCTTCCCACTAGGCGCCTTCTCAGAGCTGATGATGAAAGTGAAGGTTTCGATCATCGTAAAGTGCGATAACTACCGTGAATTAATTGCGTAAGCGTATTCAAGAGCTCACCAGCATACCGCTCCGATATATCAGTACCTTTTTGCAGATACTATACCATAGGTATCATGTACAACCTCGCCCGAACGTCGACAAGTTTTTGACAACTACATCGATGAATTCGCCCACATTATATATACAGGCGCAAACCACGATGTGTCCCCTTCTCGAAAGTTTTCAAAGAGAGCAGGGTTTCTGGGCTGTATGGCACTGCAAGTTCTGGGTGAACCCTTACATTGATTGCATACATCGGTGCACAAGCTTCCTGTTTCTTCCCGAGAGCGGCAAACGTTCGTAGCGATCTGGCCATGGCACAAGGAATGGTAACACAGTAATCTATGGATTTGTGGTGTTAAGGCGATTGGTCTTGGTAGGGCTGGACCCTGCTTGATGTTGCGTCAGGAAGCGTTGTGTGGTGAGGGAGAAGTTGCACAGTCACATGATGTGGTGTCGGCCAATCGAAGGTCGTCCATATCGCTTACGCGGTACTTCGCCCAATCACAAATCAAATGACCGTGCTGACCGGAAACAAGGGCTATGACATCACGCTCGTTCCTGAGACGGTCCCCAGCCCAAGCTCCACAAATGGCCTCGAGAGAAGCCAACAACTGGTACGCTAAAGAACCCCCCTCACGCTGTGAACAGCCCACCCGCATTTTCATGCTTCTTCACCGCTCCACAGAGAAACCTAACGCAAAAAACACGACGTAAGAGCTCTGCAGCCTCTAAAGTACTTTTACCACATACGACAGCCTCCTCTATCAGCAATATGGCCGCCGCTACCGCTTGCCCAGGTGTGTTAAGCTGCTGGAGCTCTGCCTATGAATGCATCACTGGAGCTTCCGCCTGCGCGTATTCGAATAGCTGCTAATACCTGCCCAGTCATCGGCTCAACCAACGATGTTCTTCCACCTAACCATCCCGACGTCGACCTCACCAAAGATGGACAAGTAGGACACTCGCGCAAGCTACCCATAGCTGCTCTATGCTGACATTGTTTAGACCTGCCCCGTGGTAGGCGCCACCACCGACCACCACCACAACCTCCACAAGCACCCCTCAGTCCCCATCCCCGAGCCCAAGTCGCCCCTCGCGACCGAGTGCCCAGCACTGAAGAACGCGGTCCAGGAGCCCAAGAGCCAGGCCATGGACGACGCTATTTGTCCCGTGGTCGGGACCGCTACTACAATTCTACCCCCCGATCACCCCGATACGACCAAGGCGAAAGAGGGCGATGTATGCCCAGTGACGAAGGCGACGGTGGAACACCACAAGGAGAAGGTGCATACGCATCCCAGCTTGCAGGCGGCCAGTGATGTGGCTGTCTGCCCTGTCACGGGACAACATGGTCCCGCACATGCGTAGGCGGACATGATGGTGTATAGCGATAAGGTTGTTTGGGGCGTTAGACCGGCGCTTTGGCTTGTGATGTATGTTATGATTATGACACGGGATAAAGGCCTTGCTAGGCATCTCCATTGAACACCAATTGTACAAATGACAAAGCTGCGTGCGACGAATCTTGCTACTCTCAAGACGATTGACAGTGCGATACATCAAGGCCTTCAAGGAGATGATGCGCACTTTGCACACGCGAGATGGCCAAGCGAAACTTGATTGTCGTTATGAAGATCATGATTGGGATCGTGCGAGTATCTACGGCCGTAAATGGACCCACCTAGTAGTTATAGATAGGCATAGAGGGAGGGAACCCCGTAAGCCTCTCGCCCGGGGCAGGTCTGAACCTCTTCTCCTTATACCACTCTTGCGCCGTCTTGGATAGCTCCTCCACCTCGCTGAAGTCAAAGGCAGGCTTGGTAAGGCCATGGTAGATATCCTTGGACAGATCCGTACCAATGTTGTATACTTGGGCAAGGTACTTCTTCTGCGAGTTTGTCAAGTACCCTGAAATTCAGCTAAGTGTGTACATCAATGCCCGCCATCGCATTCCACTTCGTCCACCTCGGGTGGCGGGCATTGATGTACACACTTAGCTGAATTTCAGGGTACTTGACAAACTTGAGCATGTTGGCGGTATGCTTGATCGTGTACCTTGTCTCCTGCTCGCTCATGACGAGACGCGCGAGGAGCACGGCCCCCTCCTGAGGTAGCTCCTTGGATGGCCGTACGCCATGGCAGCGTAGATGGAGCCGATAGCGAGCGGCGTATGCGTCCGGGTGATAGTTTTCTGACGTCTGTCCACATTGATCGTGCAGGCGGGATGCGCACGATGTCAACAGGACGTCAGATGATTTCGCGTTCGCGCTAGAGAGCCGACGCTTTGGTGTGTTTGTGTGATGCTCAGGTTGCGTCAGGCCAATCAAAGCAGGGCTGATTCCAGCTGTGCTGCGGCCCAGTGGTCCGCGGAACACCAGCACACTCCCTACCAGTAATCAGCTTCGGGAGAACATAGCTGCCAATCGACATGGAGCATTATTCACGCGGCTGCTGCTTCTGTCCAGCTGATGTTGCTGTCGTCTGTGCATCGTACATAGTACGTAGTTGTTGCGTTCGTTGACCGTCTGCACCACCCACCCAGCTAACGCATCGCGGTGCAATTGGCTCGAATAAAATGCCGTCCCTGTTCTCACCTTCTCTGTCTACTTAGAACCTTCAATCCACAGTCTTGTCCGTGAGCAATCTCGACATGTTCGCTACACGCAACTTCGTAGCTCCAGTCGCTCGCGCTTCGTTTTGGCCTCAGCTACCTCGCATGCCAGTGCACGTCCAACTATTATCCTTGCGTGCTCGTGTTGCAGCAATGTCGACCGTCAGCGACGTTATCATCCATGATCACAAGGAGCTGAAGGACTATTTCAACGAAATCGTAAACTCGACCGACCACGATCATCAGGCTCGATACGGAAACCAGTTCGTCTGGGAGTTGGCCCGCCATTCGATCGCTGAGGAACTGATTGTCTACCCGGCTTTCGAGAAGTACCTCCCGGAGGGTAAGACCATGGCTGAGAGCGATCGCAAGCAACACCACCAGGTGAGAGGTGTTCGTTGTGTCGGGTGTTGACCTCGCTGATGACCCTAGCTCAAGGAACATCTCAAGGAATTTCAAAACATGAAGGCCTCCCATCCGGAATACGTTCCGAAACTCAAGTCTCTCTACACCTTGCTAGAACAACACATTGCTGAAGAGGAGAGGGACGATCTTCCCAAGTTCGAAAAGGCACTCAGCAACGAAGATGGCGTTTCCGCAAAGCTTGCCGCCAACTTCCAGCGCACCAAAAAATTCCTACCCACGAGGAGTCATCCCTCGGCTGGAGAGGCACGTAGCATCGTTTTGAATAGTCAAGCCCAAGCTTATGTACAATCAGAATCCCGCTTTCGAGTCAGCCATGGGACTGTTGGCAGCTCCTATCGATAAGCTGGCGGACATGTTCCGCAAATTCCCCGTTAAATAGAGCACGAGGTGTTTCTTCAAGCTTTGGGCGAGGACGGGCTGTGAACAAGGCCGACGTTCAAGGGGGGTCGGGGGTTGGAGAGCAAAAACGGTACGGGGATCAAGCTACTGTACGCTCCTCTGTGTATATAGATTAGCGTAAGAGGGTCTGGTAGATGCTAAAGTAGTGCACTAAGCTGCCAAAATAAGCTTACTACTATCGTATCAGGAGCTCTGCGGCCACTGTCCATGGGAAACATATAGAAAAGCGGGGCTTGATCACTATCTAACAGGCTCAGTTAGATGCGTAACGTTAGTTAATAGATTTCTACTCCTACGTTACCTCTACTAAAGCTATATAGCGAGTTATGTACACGCTAATAGTAAGAATAGTGATCACCCTGGTTTCCGCGCAATTTTTTCTATAGGTGGTGGCCGCAAAATTGTGAATAGCCCTAATATAGTTAATAGGCCGATAATCAGCCTTCCATAGTACACGGATTAGCTGAAGTTGACGAAAAGGTACCCAGAGCCATTGGAAGGCGGGCGTATAACTTTTTCAAAGCCACGAAACGACATATTCCAGTTGGTTGATGATGCGAGTAGTCAAAAGGGACCTACTTGTAGTACGAAACATAATGGAATCATGGTGACGACTTAATTTGCAGCAGGATGATGGGTTTGCCAGGGACGAGACGCGTTCGGCCCACTGAAGAGAAACTGCTCGATTAATTGGAAGAATAGAACAATGTTATGCTTTCGAATACCAGCCGAGTGCACGAATTCAGCCTCCGAAATCAACACAACAATCCGGGTACAATCCGGGTATACTTTGTGGTCCCGGGACATACAATGTAGAGGTTGCCTATCTAAATGCACTAGTCCTTGTGCCAATTTCTCCCTATTCGCATACGCTCCTCCAACTGGATACTGCGCCGCCCTCCGTCTTGTGGTCGCATGGACTGTACTCTCTTTCCTTCCTTCGCTATCATTGTCCCTTCACATATACGCGTCCTGTAGATCGGGCAGCGTTTCCCGGCGGCTAAATTACCTACTCGTGCACTGTTTCCTTCCTACGATGAGCTCACCACCCGCGTCGAGCGTTTGGCCACTTATCCGAACTGGAACGCCAAGGTTTATTGTTGGATATATGGAATATCGTGCCGTGCAAGGTTGATTTCTATCGACCCAGATTACGCTGCACGTGGGCGCGCAATGACCCAACTTCATCAATCGCAAACTCAAAATCAGAACCACGGACCAACTTACTAGACTCCTCGAATGGTCTGGGCGGACTTATCAGAGCGACATGCGACGTTGTATATTCCCTTGTCGAAGGAAATTAACTCGGGCTGTGACGACCAATCGCCGTCCCTTGTTGATCAGCTAGCTTGGGCGGAAATATACAGCAAGACGTGGACCGGGTCGAAAAACATCTGGTGGGATGGATAGGTGTGATAGAAAGAAGAGAGTTGAAATCCCTCTAAATATCCTAGGTGCGATTTGTACCATGAAGCGGTTTTCCAGCATCTACCATACTTGGCAATGCCCGAAACTTGATCTGCTCTATTCTTCACGCAACCTTGGAACGCGAGCAGCAAGCTGTCTCACTGTCGCCTTTCAGCATGCTTCACAGGATACTCTATTACCTGATGCTATTCTCCAGCATTACGTACGCTGCTACATCTACCCAGTGGCGAAGTCGATCCATCTACCAGATCCTTACAGATAGATTTGCGAGAACCGACGGCTCAACGACAGCACCATGCGACCCGGGTTACGAAGGCTTCTGTGGTGGCACTTGGGCTGGTATCACACAGAAGCTTGATTATATCCAGGGCATGGGTTTCGACGCGATCTGGATCTCCCCTGTGGTGGAACAAGTCTCCAACCCTACACGGGCATACCATGGATATTGCGCCAAGAACATTTACTCCTTGAATGACAAGTTCGGCAACAAGGATGATTTGAAGACGCTTGCGAAGGCGCTGCATGATCGCGACATGTATTTGATGGTGGATGTGGTACCGAACCATATGGCTTTTGACGGGAATGCGACAACTACGGATTATAGCACTTTCTACCCTTTCAATGATCGCTCGTTCTTCCACAACGTTTGCTTCATTACTGACTGGACAAACGTCACGCAGATACAGCGATGCTGGCTCGGCGGAGAAATCAACCCGTTGCCCGACCTCGATACCACTCTGCCTGAAGTGCGGACAGAGTGGAATACCTGGATCAAGTCGCTAGTCGCAAATTACTCCATCGACGGCATTCGTGTAGATACAGCTCAAAACATCGAGGAATCTTTCTTTCCCGCTTTCGGCAAGGCTGCGGGGAGTCTTCGCTCTAGGGGAGGTTGCCAGCTACTACACGCAGTATGCTTGCAATTATCAAAGATACATGGACGGAATCTTGGGATATCCGGCTTACTACACATCGGTGTGGTTCTTCAATGACACTCGTGCCCAATCATATAACATGCTATATGACTTTTCAAACACAAGCGCACTTTGTAGGGATACAAGTCTTGTTGGGGAGTTTATGGAGAACCACGACAAGCCGCGGTTTGCCAGCTATACGGACGATATGAGCTTGGTCACGAACAATATCGCATACATCATGCTAAAAGACGGTATTCCCATCATTTACCAGGGTCAGGAGCAACACTTGAAAGGTGGCGAAGACCCCCTTCAATCGCGAAGCAATATGGCTGTCCGGCTATAACACAGATGGAGAGCTCTACAAGTTCATCAAAAAATTGAATGCAATTCGAAAGATGGCTATAATCAAAGCAACATCCATCGTCACATCGTTTCTCACAAGCAAGGCGACCGTCGTTTACTACGACGCGCACAACGTAGCTTTTGCGAAAGGACCAGAGAGCGCGATGGTCTTGACGGTGATCAACAACAACGGAGCCAAAGCCGTGAACTACACTCTGCAAATCGCGACATCTGGGTTTGCACCACTGACTGAGGTCGTGGAACTATTGACCTGCACGCGGACAACGGTTGGTCTATTGGGAAATTTGACGGCGACGGTGACTGCGGGAAGGCCAATGGTTTTTTATCCTTACAGTCTTCTCGGAGGCACGAGCTGGTGCGGACTGTAGATTAATCGCCACTTTACATAGCATGATTGCCTCAAGTTATTGCATGCGAGCCCAGTGCGCCATACCACTGCCGATGTTCGTACTATTTCTGAAGTTGTGCAGGCTCTACTTCTCCGTATGGGCACTTGTCATCCTTGTATGCTAGGCACGATATGATCTTCTGTAGGAATGTGGCAAAGTCCTGCATGTTGGTAACCACGATCGGGAGTGGCTAATATTCTAGTTCTTCCGAGGCTGTACCTCTCGATGACCGTGTCTCTATGCGAGTCTGTCTGTTTAAGTGGACAAAGCGAATACCTGGTATGTACTGATCGATGATGAATGCATCGGGTCTGGTCGCAGAGCCCACCCCATCTTTCCATATCGGGATACGTCTTCTACAGATTTCGAAGGCGTGTCTGTATACTTCAGGTCTAATCTCCGCAGGAAGATCCAAGAGTGATTCTACCGGTTCGGGCGGGCTGATAGTCCTGTCGGATTACTTCAAACGCAAGTATTATAACAATCAAAGATGCAGGGACTCAACCTACTATAGAAGCCGTGAATTGGCTAAAGTGCTATATGAAAGGTATTCATTACATAAAAAGGTGGCCGAAGAACCTTTGTATAGCATAATTATTATTAGTGCTTGTCTAATTTAGTGTCTTGCGGCTTGCGGCTTGCACATAGCGCATATCCATGCGCACAAGAACTGGTATCAAAAGAATTTTGACACAGAGTCACCAATACGGCACAAAACCTGACTGTCTGCGCCATTCAAGCCAGCGACAACCTTTCCGCTGGCATAAGCGTCGCCGGACTATCAGATGGCGTTCCAAATCTATTGTAGAAACGTGGGCACACATAACTCTGGGTATCAATATGGCCATGAAGATCCCCAGAAGGAAAAAATACGGAAAAAGAGGATCGCTTCATCATTGATTTCGGATTTCTAGCGTCGAAGACAGGTTCTAGTCCAGTTCCAATACAATTAATCATCAATGCGAAACTATCACGATGGCCGAATGATCACAAAAGGATACTGTTGCGGTCTAACCAGGCCAGCAATGCTTGCATGCCATGACGCAGCGCTTCCCAACAACATCAAAAACGGCGTTCACGAGCGACATGTTGCAGAGTTGAACCGCATCTATGTCGACGACAATGCACGACTGCGCTCAGACAATCTGTCTGACATTACAGACGCGGTCTTGGAGATCGGGTTCCAACCGGACACATCTCTCGTTCTATACTAGGCTTCTCTACGATAGTTGGGCAAAGACTCTTTAACTTTGACAATGAGATGATGACAAAGACCAGTCATCATGTCTAACCAAATTCAACTCGTAGTCCCTATGTCTAACCAAAATTCAACTCGTTGTCCCTGCTAAGTCTAATACTACGCGTTACCTATGTTCCCGCCGGGCTCCAGGGCCTTGAAAGTACATATCGCATCATAAGACCCAAGGGAGCATTGCAGGATTCTCACATGGCGGACACAAGACGTACTCGCCACGACAGTAATCGCAGATGAGCACTTTAAGTAGTTGGGAACATAGACTAGTATGCATTGAGCCTGTAACCTCGAATATCTACCCTATTAGTCAACAACAACTACCTTTAAAGATCCATTGCCATCTCCAGATGTCAGGCAGAACTTTCCAGCCGCAGAGTCTTTGCGTTTGCGTTATCTTGCTCGACAGGCGCGCACACATGCCGCCCTGCCGAGATACCGCCTCTCATATCCTTGATAGAGACACATCAACTTTCTGTCTTTCGCGTAACTCCATTGGTGACCGCACAGTGAAATTGAGAAGAATGACAGGCATGATGTACGCCTGTTCCAGAATCAACAGAAGGTCTTTGCCAAGCGCGCTAGTGAATAATCTGACCTCGGTTACACTTGCCATCTTCCCCTTGGGCGCCTCTGGTCCCAAGAATTACCTCTCATTCCATCATGACTCTACCACATGTACGCACGTCGGAGCTCCAGATCTTTGACTTCATGCCTTGTGTTATCTTGGATTTGGTCCCACTCGGAACCCGAACCCGCTGAGATGCAGATGTCCTTATATTGCCATTCAAGCCCCAGTCTGCGACCTCCCGAGTCTGAAGCCAGCCGTTGTCCCAGATGTCCACAGACCGCTCGCTGACTAGCAAGTATAGCCCCTCGCGATTTACTCTGTCAAGATGTCACTCGCTAGGATACTACCTCGCGCACTGCGTGCTAGGTGTCGGACGGAAGTTTTTCTTCAAGTGGGAGCCGATGGAAGGCTCGATCAACAACGAAAACTCTGGTCTACGACTCTAGACGTTGGCGAATTTTGCAATGGCAAGAGCTACTTGGTGGTCGATCTGTTGTAGGTAGCCGTGTTAACGTAGGCCTTACAATTGTTCTAGAACAGCAAAGGTACGTCATTACGGTTCATTGCATACCCTTACGTTTTTGTGATGACTGGAGGCGACTCCATACACTTGAACTGCAGAAACTGTAGTCTACTGTCATTCATACGTTGAGGTTGGCTTATGCTAGCCCGCGTTAAGAGTGATGGGGAGCTGCGGGTTCGATGGACGAGACTAAGAAAGCTCTGATAAGCGCGAAAAGGCTATGAGATACGCAGTCATGAATCAAGTTGTCGATAGTTGACTTTTTTCAGGTTTGCAAGATGCGCCGGCCATTCGCGCGGTCATGAAGCCACTTTCATCGCTCTACCATGCTTGAGTACTGCGCCGCTGCAATGCCCGGCTGCAATCTCTCGACCACAGCGAAGAGCGAGGTACTGTGCACGCCACCAGGTGACATGTGTGCGAGGCGGCCACGGAGCGGTCACTACGACGGTCCACCAGCGACTGGGCAAGTCCGCAGCGCCGGACTTCAGCTCATCGATCTGTACCGATTTCCTATTTGGAGTTCCCGTTTGCACAGCTTACTTATTTCCGATTGAACGCCTAGGAAACGCCAGCTTGCCGTCAAAGCTTCTATGATAAGTTGTAATGTCGTGTTGGTCGGCTGCAAATTGCGAATGCCTAGAAGCTCCCTTGGGTGAGTTTGCCGACCCCACGCTCGGTCTCCGTCTAGGACGCGCCGTGGGAAGCGTTCCCAGAGTCTGGTTCTAAGCTTCATCTGAAGCTGGGCCTCGTGTGGAGCCCTTCACCATGTGGCCAAACGGTGCCACGAAGTCCAAGAGACGAAGGCACGGTCGTGGTCGTGGTCTTGGTCGAGCGTTCGTCGTTCAGCGTAGGTTATCGCCTTCTAGGAAGGTTGAATGGCACCTACACTTGGAACGTGTTCGTCTCTTCTTTGGTACGATGCCGTACCGTACTACATGGGACAACGCGGGGTATGTGGGCGCGACAAGCTTTCGTCGCTTCTCGCAGGGCATTGCCTCGTGAGGGCGCGCTTCGAAAGCCACGGCGGTGTCCCGAAAGCGTTGGGCAACACGCAGCCTCAGCGCGTTCGGCGACAGGGGCACGCTCATTCCAGTCGTTCGAATACCGTATGCGATTTCGATCGACAGGGCTCGGCGATCATTGCATCATATCCTTCAGGTGCTCCAGCGCGGGTGGGGCATACGCAAAAGAGCGTCTCTCCTGTCGCATCGAAATGCCGGCAAAGAACAAGCACAGCGAGACACAGCGAGTCGCCTCCACGCGCCAGAGCCGGACGGTTCGTGTCCCCGACGAGCGAGCAGGGCGCACGTGATGTCAGCTGGCGTCTCCATGCACAGCCTGCGCAGGGCCGAGGGCAGGGCTCGTGTGGCTTTCCAGCGGGCGTCGCCAAACCGCCGCGGCTGCCGGCTGCCAGGTCCCTGGCGCCCCTGATAGGGCCAGCGCGGGGCTGGGCAGGCTTCTGATGCCGCTAGTCCCCACAGCCGTTTCATGAAACACCACATGGAGTGCGCGAAGACCGCGCGCAGCCATTCAAGTCCGACAAGCCTTCGAAACAGGAGCTGCCATGCGCCGCCCTCAGTGGCCGCCGACGATCGACCGCCTGTCCTCATTTACGATAGCTCTGGGCGGAAATTGCGTGCAGGCGGACTGGCACTTTTAATAGAGACGCCCTGTTCGCAGGATTCCGGACTACAGTCCTCACATCACCTTCCTTTCGTGCTTTTGTGTGCCCTTTCTTATACCACACGCTCCCTTTGCTACATTCACTCCGCAGGACGATCTTCGTACTGGTACCTTCTTTATTCTTGCAACAAGAGCTCTTCTTTAGAGCGTTCATTCATTCACCTATTCACTCTTTGATTCACCGTCGACCAGTATTACCTAAGACTCGACGTCACCGAACAAACGATATTCTCTGCGAGGACTATCTTCTACACCCGAGAAGGCACAAGCCAAGGCTTCCCTAACTCGGTCACACCTTCCATATACCCACATCCCAATTCGGATTTTCCGCACACATCATGCGCTACATTCTCACCGCGAGCGCCTTCGCGGCCATCGCGAATGCGCAGACATGGTCGCAGTGCAACCCCATGGAGAAGGAATGCGATAACAACCCGGCCATCGCGAAGACCTTCGAGAGCAATTTCAAGAGCGGAGAGGGTGCACTCAAGGGATGGCAGCAAACCGCAAAGGGCGCCGAGTTCACCGACGAGGGCATCCTGTTCAGTGTCAAGAAGACGGGCGACGCTCCTACGATCCAGAGCGACGGCTACCTCCACTTCGGTTACGTTGAGGTCACAATGAAGGCTGCCCGAGGCGCGGGTATCGTTTCATCCATTGTCCTCGAGTCTGACGATCTGGACGAGGTTGACTGGGAATTCATCGGCAGCGACGCCACCCACGCCCAGATGAACTACTTCGGCAAGGGCAACACCACCGTCTACGATCGCATGATCATGGCCGATGTTGCCAGCATCGAGGAAGTGCACAGGTATGCGCTGAATTGGACCTCCGATGCCCTGACCTGGCTTATCGACGATGCCCCTGTGCGCACCCTTAACTACGGTGATGCCAACGGCGGCAAGAACTTCCCCCAGACACCTTGCAACGTCCGCATTGGTATCTGGGCTGGCGGTGACTCCAAGGACCAGGGAACCCGGGACTGGGCTGGCGGCAAGGTCGACTACTCTCAAGCTCCCTTCAACCAGGTCGTCGAGAAGGTCAAGATCACCAACTACTCTCCCGGAAAAGAGTACGAGTGGACAGACAAGTCTGGCTCGTTCGAGTCGATCAAGGTCATCGACGGTGAGGGCGTTTCCAGCGGCGGTTCCGCCAACAAGACTGAGCCCTCCACCACCGAGAAGGCCGGCGAGAACGGCGCTGCTGCGACCAGCACTCCCTGCACCGAGGAGGCTACCACCAGCACCCCACCCCCGGAGGAGACTCCCTGCGACTGCGAAGTTGAGACTGTTACCGTGACTGGCCCTCCCCGAGCACCGAGACTTCTGATGTCCCGCAGCCGCCTCAGAGCACCCCTCCCCACCGCAAACTTCGGACAGCCCGCCCCCACCAGAGTCGACCAGCTGCACTGAGTCCACCACGGAGTCGGTCCCGCCCCCACCTGCCACCTCCGACTCCCCACCACCTGAGTCGACCAGCGAAGTGCCCCCACCGCCTTCCAGCTCTGATGTGTAAGTCATATCAAAGGAAAATAAGGAACTTGAATCTTGCTGACCGTTTCCATAGCCCGCCGCCATCCACCTCTGATGTTCCCCAGAGTCTACTCCCCGCCAAGCCCACCAACTGAGAGCACCAGCGAGGTCCCACCACCGCCGCCGGAGTCGACTTCTTGCACTGAGTCTACCACCGAATCTGTTCCCACCCCCTGCCACCTCCGACTCGCCGCCGCCTCCTGAGACGACCGAGGAATCGAGTACCGTTCCGCCCTCGCCTCCTCAGACCACGCCCCCGACCGAGGAGAGTAGCTCCGTCCCGCCGCCTGAGGAGACGCCTTGCACTGAATCGACCGAGTCTGTCCCAACTCCGCCAGCCACTTCCGACTCTCCCCCCCCAGCAACCGAGACTACCCCAGCTCCCGAGACCTCTGCTTCGGCCCCGCCGCCAGAGGAGACTCCTTGCACTACCACCACGGGAGGTCCCTCCCCACCGCCAATTGAGACCCTCCGACAACTGCACTACGCTCGTGAGCGTCACTGCGCCTCCTTACCCGATCACCCCCACGGGCGGCATCATCGTCGACACCAGCGCGCCTCCCAGCGTTCCCTACCCCACCAACCCCACGGGCGCCATCCCCAACCCGCCCAACGGCACCAGCCCACCTGTCCAGGAATTCCCTGGCGCGGCGTCCACCAGCACTGTGAGCTACCTGCTCGCCGTCGCTGCTGGCCTCATGGTGCTCGCTTTGTAAGCACTCTAGAAGACGGATATGGAGCTTCACTTCTCGGCGAATGAATGTTTAATGGGCGCTGGCTTGGTGGCAGAAACGTGGGTATAGACATGGACGGGGTGTGCACTAGACAGACACTCGTGTGTAATGTTTGGGTGTGGGAATCATTGCGATTGGGATTTCTTGGCTGTGTATATACCTTATACCTTTCTCTCTGTTCAACTTCAATGTCCGGCTAGGCCGGTTTACATAACCTCGATTCTGGGTTTATTCTCGCTTGCATTCTGGGCGCACCACGGGCATATAGACAGCATGAAAGATAAATTCATTGCATACAATCGATACAGGTGTCTTCATCGTGAAGAAGACGTGGAGACGCAACGACGCCATCACAGGTATAGCAGGTCATGAGCTTCTATGTAGCAAAATGGGATACAAAACGGTCATGTAGAGTTACCAGTTAAGCATCTGATGCGTACCTCTGTTGCGGACCGTTCTACTTCCTGAATTGTAATTGTAAAGCGGAAAGAGCTTCTTCTCCTAGTATTCGTTAATACAGAGTAGCAAAGGCATGAGGTACTTACCTCCAAACGGATCTACAAGGATCTCATCCTCTTCTGCGATCAAGCAGCCGCCCCCGAACTTGAGCTTGTGCTCCCCGCCTTCTTCAAACGCAGTCACTGCATGCAGTCTCGTGGCGGGTTCTGTGCCTTCCTTGAACCAAGAGATCTTCTTTGGCAACATACTCCGGTCCTCGGTGAGATTTCGGCCAAGAATCCAGTCCCCGGACATCAGGCGGCCATCCTTCAGTGTGAATGTCGCCGGTTCAGAGCCGAGTTGCGCCTGGACAACGCTGTCGGTGTTGGGGGCAACGGGAGCGACTGGCTTCCCGTTGATATGTATGGTGAAAGACTCAGTAAGGCTCCCCATCTCCAACTGTCGGCGGACAAAAATCGGCGATGGTAATGGCCAGGATAATGCGATAATGCCCACGAAGAGTAAGCACACAAAGAGGACAGGACCGCTTCTAGGCAGAGCGAGCATGGGTCAAGCGCGTTAGGTGATGGAGACGGAGGAATCTGGAAAAATCTGCGGCTGGATTCTGCAAATGTTGTAGTGATCAGGACGCAAGCAAATGAGAGTGCTACTCATTTCATGCGAGGAGTGTGGAGTTGGAAAGTTGGGCTTCGCCACTAGTCCTACAAACGTACCTATAGTATGTTAGCGCCATGGCTCTCTATAGTAGAAACACGGCACCTGCCCAATCGCGCCACCGCCCCGGCACCTTCCAAACGCGTACTCCATCGCTTCCCTTTCGCCCACTCAAGAGCCACCTCGGAGGCCCAAATGTACCGCCACCTGGGCCATGTTTCCTCCGGCTCCAATACTATGAGCGCGTAGCAATATTATTGAGCCAAGAGATGCCACTGGAAGCTTGCACGGCGTCAACCGAGTCCGTACCATTGGGCAAGTGCACCACAAGGCGGCGACTCTTTCATCCATGATGTCTCGCTCTGGCCGAAGTCATGTTCAGGTAGCCAAGACTCCACATTTCAGAGCATGTCCAATGTTAATAGTACTGTGCTAACAAACAAAAGGGACGTCTGATAAACTGGGCCAAGAATAAGCTCACTTGGCCATCAGCCGAGCTACTTATGCTGGACTAGTCCACGTCGCAGTGATCGTCCAAGCAATGCGGTGTATGCACCACCCCCATGTTCGTATCTGCGCATCCCTCCTGTTATCTGCGATCGGCAGCAGCATCTTGGGCTATCTCCCGCTTGTTTGTCTAATTGAACGACCCTAGACTCTCGGTTTATACGCCTATTCATGCATGACTTCGGGGACCTAACTGGCGAGAGGAAGATGAGACAAGATTCACCTTCCGCATCTGCTTCACTACCGATAACGTGTGATCACTCAGACATTCAGGTACATGCCATAGCCAATGGCGGCCCTAACCTCGCTTGCGTGCCCCTGGAAAGACCCCATAGTCGATGAACTGGGTAGAACATGTTTGGAAGGACCTTCACCACCACTGCTTGGTACGGGCTCGGCCGGTTTGTGGGTATCCTGGGCAAGAGCTGCGATTGTGTCGGCGTATACGACCAGACTGAGAGCCACCACTGATATAAATTGCACCATGTTCTTCTCAAGTCCTTCATCCAGTCGCTCCATTCGCTTCAGGACCAGCTCCCATCATTCTTCAGACCTTCCGGACAGACCTCCAACATGCAGCTCAAGAATCTCTTCCTCGCGCTGCCCGCACTCGCGGCTTCTCTGCCTACAGCTGAGCCTCAGGATGATTTCTCCGTCCAGATTGTTGGTGGATCTGCTGCCACCGCCGGACAGTTCCCCTACATCGTCAGTGTCCAGGTCTCTGGCTCGCACTACTGCGGCGGTTCCCTACTGAACGCCGACACTGTCATCACGGCTGCCCACTGCGCCACTCGATCGGCTTCATCTTACACCATCCGTGCCGGAACTCTCGTAGGTTATTCCATGCAATATCGAACATGCAGGTCCCCATGCTGACATACACAGACCTGGGCCTCCGGAGGCGTCACGTCCAAGGTTTCGCAAGTGATTGTCAACCCCTCTTACTCGGGTAACAACAACGACATTGCCATCCTCAAGCTGTCCACATCGATCCCCACGAGCTCGACCATCAGCTACGTCAGCCTTCCCGCCTCCGGCTCCGACCCCGCTGCCGGCTCTTCCTCCACTGTTGCTGGATGGTATGGACCCGATCCCCCAAGATCTCTCGATAATGACTAATCCATAACACAGGGGAACCACTACCTCCGGCGGCTCCTCGATCCCCGCCTCCCTCCGCTACGTCACCGTCCCTATCGTCGCCCGCGCAACCTGCCAGTCTGAGTATGGCACATCCTCTATCACCACCAACATGGTTTGCGCTGCCGAGGCCGCTGGTGGAAAGGACTCTTGCCAGGGTGATTCTGGAGGTCCTCTCGTTGCTACTGGCACAAAGACTCTCATTGGTGTTGTTTCCTTCGGTAATGGTTGTGCTCTCCGCGGATACGCTGGTGTGTACACTCGCGTTGCGACCCAGCTGTCTTTCATCAACTCGAACGCATAAATAGGGTATTGGGTTAAAAGTCTGAAGATTGGGGACGGATGATGTTCAGCTCTGGAGTAATACCTGGAGCTTGGATATTGGACCTGGCGATAGAACATCTTTGATGAGGAATGACTGGGGCGATGGCATCAGGGTCTTTCTGTGGGGGCTGATTCTGTTCGATGGAGCACTACTTCAAAACTGAATTTACTGAATTGACTATGGAACCGCTGACAGAACTATGCATTCCCATCACACTTTGACCAAACATTATTCAATCTCTTCCACTTTACTTCCCACATTCTTCCCTTCCATATTCATAGTTGCAATGTGACGTGCTTGATCCACAAGGTTCTAATATTATACCCGGAAGACAATCCTCATGTGCCCCAAGCAGTACTATAATCATCGAGTGCAAGTCGCCGTAGGCTGAGTGTGCTGGGAAGATCTCGATTTTGGCTGGACTCAGTCTGGAGGCTCGAATCAATCGAAGACCATTACAGGTGCGCTGCTTAGACGTTGAATTAGACGTTCAGGGGGGAAATGTACGTTGGATTTAAACATGGGGCGCTTGTTGCAAGCCAGGGTTATAGGCTGGGGAAGTAAGATGACCGGGTGTTGTGCAGATATGATACGCGTCGCCTAACTCGATCTGAATGCCCGCCCGGTCCCTCTACCCAACCAAGTGATTGCGACTCTTGCTGTACAATTACGCTAATCGGGTAGTATGGTGATCATGGGCCATATGCTACAGAAGACGCCAGGCTTTGAACCGCGATACCCTCTGGCATAAACAGTGAGCAGAGTCTGCTCATATGCTCGGCTTGCCGAGGTCGACTGCTCATCATGTGATATCTGATCTAAATCAAGCGTGAAATGGTCTCTGTCCATAGCATTAGGCTTCTCCTATCTCGAGTTCCTCGATGCAAGTGTAAACCTTTATAGCAACATACCCTCCCCAATAGCTTTCCTATGCCCTTACCGCCCCGGATGCAGCCCCAACCCCTCGACTCCCCGCTCTCTCTCCACCCACTTCTTCACAAATTTCCCCCTCTCCTTCTCCTCTTTATCCCAATCTGCCCAACTCCTCTTCACCTCCCTCTCCAACCTCCTAGCCTGAGATCCCGCGATGGCCTCATTCTTCCCCCCGATTCTTTGGATGGAACGCACTACGTGGCCGCGCCAGGTGGTATCCACGACGGGGGCGCCTTTGATGGTGTGGGAGGGACTTCTAGCTACAGGAGAATGGGTGTCGGGAGTGAAAGACACGGCTTTCTTGGGACCCTTGCTTTTGGACTTGGATGAGGAGTGTGACAAGAGGCTGGATCTGCGACCGGAGGTTGCGGCGAGCAGAGGCTCGCGTTGTGGTAATTTGGGCGTGTTATTATATACCTTGGTTATATGATAGATTATGAAGCTTAGGAGGCGCTGGCAAGGGCGGATGTGCTGGTGTCGAGTGGTGGAATCATGGGTATCTAGGGACGTGTCCATAGTCACCGTGCTGCAGATTCTGGAGCGCAAAGTGCAGGCTGATAAGACTTGGCTCGCGTTGGGATGCTGTATCTGGGCGTGTGTAGTGTATGCTGGTATGACTTGAGTCGCACTACGTTGTTGGAGTTGGGATTACGTATATGTGGTATATAGACGGTAAGGTTGAGATGGCGAGGGAACAAAGACGATGTGTCGGGCATTTGTAGGAGCAGTGAAATTGTCTTTTGGGTAATCTACGGTACAGTGCTGAAGCGACCCAGGCTTTACCGTTTCTCTTCCCGTGCGCACTCAACAGTTTCCTACAACAACTTTAACAATTACGTCAGATTATATATCCACAGATCGCCAGATGACCGTGAAAAAGGATTCCGCAACACTCCAACTGACGTGTACGCCTACATGTGATAAAAGACCTCTGCGGCGCGAACCCGTCCCAGTTCCAGCGTGAATGAGCTCGGCTGCAATCTCGGTTGCAAAGGTCGCGGGACAGTCTTATTGAGTTTGGCGCACTTCGTCTGTTGTTCCATTTGCATTGGTCGTACCTGATCCTCCTTCTCGTCGTCGTGGTTCCCAGATGTGCTTGGATATTGCTCTGCTGTCTGGCATTAGCGAAGTCCTTGACAGACCATGCAGTCGCGGGTCATGCTTTTCCGTCTACTCCGGTATTGCAGATGCACATAGTATGACCTCGACTGAGTTAAAGGGAACGTACATGAAGGCCCACCTTCGCGAACCTCTGCCCATCGTCGCTCGCGAACTTTGCGATCGCGTGCTTCTTTGTGTTTGGCGGCTCTGTGGGTGCGCCTGGCGGTTAAGTAGGTATTGAGGCGAGAGAAGAGGGTGCGGACTGCACTACAGACCATGGCGGCGGAAGTGACGTGTTGGGGGACCGGTCAACTCGCGCTTGGAAGATGGGGGAAGTCGTGTCGTGTCTGCGATCAGATTGCGTGTTCAATGACCTGGAAGCTGTGTGAGGCGGGCTGACTGCGCGGACTGCTCGTAAGGACTCATTGCGTGAGGAATCCGCGCGTTGTAGACTGTTGGGATGGAAAAGAGGGGAGAGGGGGGCTAAATTAAAAAGCTGGAACCAGGGCTCATGACCTTGCCTGTATGTGTAACACGTCGACTGGGAATGGTCAGTCCTTGACAGCGAAAGCTGGCTATGTCCCCAGATCGCGCATATCCAGTGCTCGGTACACAGAGCGTGCTGCTCGGCGCCCAAGTGAGCAAGACTAAGCAAGGAGAATGACTTGACGGAAAGAGGAACGAAGAAGGTCTGACATTGAGAGACAGCTTGGAGGAAGGCGCTAAAAGTGAGTACGTGAACCTGGTGAGTATACTTGGGTAGGCCATAACGAGGGCCGAAGCTCAAGCTCGTCTACAGGAGCAAAGAAATGCGAGTTAGTCAGCTGTGCTGCGCACTCGAATAACGAAGGCGCTTTGACCTGAAAGTCCAGTTGATTTTCACTATACAGGTATCGGTAGGTAGAGGGCCCGATAGATATTGTCGAGGAGTGACGGGCACAGCACGGTGGGCAGTTTCTCCGGGCTTGGCAAATCGCGGGTCAAGCGACAGTCGCGTCGCGTCTGCTGCTAGTCGTGCGGGCATGCACGACGACGCCTGGACGACCATGTCCTGACCGCTCACACCCACCTGTAGCAACACGCATCAACGCATCACGCGTGCAGGGACGAATTGACGCATCGCGCACGCCCGCGCAGCCGCCACAATGGGCCACATCAAGCACATCACGATTCAGGGCTTCAAGACGTACAAGAACCAGGTCAAGACCGAGTCATTCTCGCCCAAGAGCAATGTCATTGTCGGTCGCAATGGCGCCGGCAAGACCAACTTCTTCTCGGCAGTACGCTTCGTGCTGGGCGACGATTATGAGAACATGAGCAAGGAGGAGCGCCAGGCGCTGCTGCACGTACGTTGACTTAGGCATGCGACAAACAGGACATGTGCTCACAGGCGCAGGAAGGATCTGGCGCCCCCGTGCAGTCGGCCTACGTTGAGGTCGTCTTTGATAACAGCGACGGCCGCTTCCATAACAGCAAGGACGAGTTCACCCTCCGGCGTACCATCGGCTTGAAGAAGGACGAGTTCTCCATGGACCGCAAGAACGCGACTCGCCGCGAGGTTAACGAGATGCTCGAAGCTGCCGGCTTGTCGCGATCGAACCCCTTCTACATTGTGCCCCAAGGCCGCGTGGCTACACTCACAAACATGAAGGACGAGGAGCGGCTGAACATGCTCAAGGAGATCTCGGGTTCCAGCGTGTACGAGAAGCGCCGCGCCGACAGTCTGAAACTGATGAACGACACGGACAGGTCGTGCGAACGCATTGACGGCCTCGTCGACGACATTAACACCCGCCTGCAGGAGCTCGAGGGCGAGAAGTCGGAACTCGAGGCCTACAACAAGAACGACCGCGAGCGCCGTGCCATTTTGCATACCCTGAACACACGCATCGAGGAGCGTCTAGAGGCCGATCTCAATCGAATAGAGGCCCGGAGACACAATGGCGCTGCGGATGTTGACAGCCAAAAGGCTGTGTTTGTGCAAAATGAGCTGGAGATGGACCAGATTACTGATAAGACCACGGAGCTACAAAGTGAAATCGACTTGTTGACAGCCGAGCGAACCCGCCTAGAGGACGACCGACGGAAAGCTTCGCGGCAAAAAGCTGCCATCGAGCTTGAGCTTAACGATCTCACCGACGGCCAATCGGCTGCAAAGCAGACTCAGAAACAACGCGATAGGGAGCTGGAGCAGGTGCGGCAAGACATCACCGCCCGCGAGAATGAGCTCTCGGAGCTGCTGCCCGAGTATACTACGAAGAAGGAAGAGGAGGATAACGTCAATTCCCAACTCGCCGAAGCCAGGGGACAGCAGAAGCGCCTCTTTGATAAACAGGGTCGAGGTGCTTCATACACCAGCAAGAGGCAACGCGACGATGCACTTCGGACAGAAATCGACGGCATTACGATGCAATTAGCGACTAGAAAGTCTGTGCAGATGCAGACTGACGACGACATAAAGGAGCTTCGAGTAGACATTGAAACTCTGGAGACGGAAATCTCCGATCTAGAGGCCAACCTATCCAACGAAGGCGACAACACTATCGGCCATGGAGAAGCCGTTCAGAAAACCAAGGATGCTCAACAAGTGCTTCTCGACAAACAGTCAAATCTCAACCGTGAGCAATACAGATTGCAGTCGCAGGTTCAAAACGCAAGCACGCAGTTGCGACATGCCCAAAGCAGCCTCAATCACTTGTTGGACCACGCAACTAGCCGCGGTTTAGAGACCTTGCAACGTCTGAAGGAAAGGCACAACTTGACCGGCATCTATGGTACGGTGGCAGATCTGATCCAGGTTCCCGCACCTTATAAGATCGCCACAGAGATAGCTGCGCAGGCGTCACTGTTCCACGTTGTTTGCGACACCGACGAGACTGCAGCGAAGTGCATCTCGTTACTCAACAAGGAGAAGGGGGGTCGTCTCACTTTCATGGCGCTGAACCGCGTCAGCCCACGGAACACACAGATTCCTCAAACCGCTGATGCGCAGCCATTGCTACCAAAACTTCGATACGATCCCAGGTTCGAGAAAGCTATTAAGCACGTATTTGGCAGAGTTGTCGTTTGTCCAGAGCTCAGCATCTGTCAGAGCCTTGTAAGAACGCATGAAGGAGTCCTGGCCCTCACCCCAGACGGCGATCGAGCACATAGGAAAGGTGGATACCATGGTGGATACTTCGATCCCAGCAAGTCCAAGATCGACGCATACAATAAGGCTGCCGATCTGAGATCGCAAGTCGAGGAACTGGAAACTCGTGAAAGCGAGATCAGGGATGAGCTAGACAGCCTTCGACAACAGGTCACCGCTGCGGCAAGCGAGGTTCGCAAGGCTGAGTACCAAAAGAACCATGCTGAAGACAGCTACATCCCAATGAGGCAGCGATTACGCGCAAAACAAGCAGAGTTGCAGCAAAAGAAAGACCGACTCGAGCGTTTCCAGCGAAACGCAACGCAGATTGCGCAAGACATCAACAATCTTGCCAGTCAGCAAAGTGACCTTGAGGCGGAGCTTGCATCCGATTTCAAGAAGGCGCTGACAAGGGACGAGGAAGAGCAGCTGCAGAGTCTAGGTGGGACCATCAGAGAATTGAACAAACAAGTCGCTGAGATCACATCGCAACGATCCGACCTGGAGAGTCGAAAGGCGGAGATTGAGGTCGAACTTCGCGAGAGCCTGCGACCAAGGCTTGACCAACTGCTGGCTCAACAAAGCGGCTCAGGCAATGGCGGAAACCAGTCGACACGGTTGAAGGAAGTTCAGCGCCAACTCAAGGCTGTCGATAGGACGATTACAGACCTAGACCGGCAAATACATGAGCTGGAGAGCTCACGCGACGAAGCCAGCTCGCAGCTCACAGAGCTGGAAGCCTCGAGGGCCGAGAAAGAGCAAGTGAATCGCAAGATCGCAAAAGCCATAGAAAACCACCAAGGCAACTTGGATAAGAACATGCAGAAGCGCGCCGAGCTAAAGAAGCAACTGGATGAGGTTCAGCGAGATCTTCGTGATCTCGGTACGCTGCCTGAAGACATCTACCGCCGGTACGCCAAGTGGTCTGAAGACAAGGTAGATTCCAGTCCCTCAATATGCAGTGCTAAACTAACGTGGTGCAGCTCGCCAGCGAACTCGAGAAGGTCAATAAGGCCCTCCGGAAGTTCAAGAACGTCAACAAGAAAGCCTTCCAACAATACGAAGACTTCACCAAGCGCCGCGAACAACTAATTCAACGCCGCGGCGAACTCAACACCTCACGCGAATCCATCGAGAATCTCATCGAAGTGCTGGACCAGCGCAAAGACGAGGCCATCGCGCGCACGTTCAAGCAAGTCTCCAAATACTTCTCTGAAGTCTTTGTGCAACTCGTGCCCGCGGGCAAAGGACGGCTTATCATCCAGCGGCGCTCCGACCGCGAAGCGCGCCGTGGCGAAGACGACGCTGAAGAAGACGCTCGACGAGCCAAAGGCGCCTCGGTGGAAAATTACACGGGCGTCGGCATCGCCGTGTCCTTCAACTCAAAGCACGACGAGCAGCAGCGCATCCAGCAGCTTTCCGGCGGCCAGAAGGCGCTATGCGCACTCGCCCTTGTTTTCGCGATCCAGCAGTGCGACCCGGCGCCTTTCTATCTCTTTGATGAGATCGATGCGAATCTCGACGCGCAGTACCGCACTGCTGTCGCAGAGATGCTGCGGAAATTGTCCGGTAAGGGCGGGGAGAGCGGCGAGGGCGGAGGCCAGTTCATCTGCACTACATTCAGGCCCGAGATGGTGCAGGTGGCGGATAAGTGCTATGCTGTCAGTTTTGTGAATGCGAGTAGTAGGATTGATGTGTTTGATAGGGAGGGGGCGTTGGATTTTGTGGAAACGAGTCAGAGGCCGGGAGCTTAGGCGGTTAATGGGGCCCAGAGTAAGTATGTTGCGATTCAGATGTAGGGGGGAAACGAGAGACGGGTGGCGATGAAGCAAGAGGATTTCTATCCTGAAGGTTTCTTTTCATGTGACTATGTTCATGGCAAGGGTGCTACGTGTATGACACAGGGATCGGGCGTGGTATACCAAGGGTTCAATGGAGTCGAGGTCAAAGTCATTTCGTAGTTCTTGTGCTCTGCTTCTCTTGGTGCGTTACTATCATCGAGCAGTGTTTGCCGTGCAGACTGGTAGCGACGCAGAGGGCAACGGTGCGAAGGTTGGCATCGCGATGAACGAAGGCATGGACGCAGCTTTGGGAATTGCTTCATGTGTTGTTTGAGCGGGTCGCGCGACTATATCCGGACAGGAAGCATGCTTACCCTTTCGACAAGAGTACCGAATGCTTGGCCACTTCGCATGACTTTCCATACTGCCCCTACATGGCCATTCGTGTACGTTTGCAAGGAGACGGCTTCACTTCTCAGGACACTAGCCGCGGTTACGAGCAACGCCAAAAAGCAACGTCAAGTCCGGAAACACGCACAACAGCCTACACCCAGTTTCCGTCGTCATCAGCGATTCGTTGCGGAACTGCACATCAGGACGAATCGTTTCTTGACTGTAAGTCTTGAACAGTAAAATCTTTTTTTGCACACGTCTCGATGGTAGACGATGATTTCTGGATGCACAAGTGTTATCTTGATCCGGTTCCACATTTGGGTGACGGGATACTGTGTGGACACCGCCCAGCATCGGATACATGCAGCCAGGCATTGCGTACCTTTCGCAGCTGTATTGCTATATTTGTTTCGTCTAGCGAGTGGAAACCTTGCAACAAGGCAGACTAGGTCCTGGCGGCATGAATGCTGTCGTCTATGTAGGTGAACAGGGCCTGCAGGGTACACGATCCGAGTCGGTCGTCGGCAGCACGCAGGTTGCTTTTGCCGTGTAGCACCTCTCAATTCCCCTTGCGGGTGTCGATCGGAGCGGGAGCATCTGTTTCCGCGAGGCGGGGATGAGTGAGGCTTCATGGGAATCTACGTCAAAACGGAGGGTGCGGAGATTCTTTGCTCCACGTAGTACCGTCCACTTTGCTTGACCTCTGCCGTCGCGTCGCGATTGGATGAAGAAAGTGGTGATGGTCCGCAGAAAGTGTTTGTAATGCAGGACCGGGGGAAGCGAGTGTGGACGAGCGAGGGTGCTTGCCCTTTCCCGGATGCCCACGCGCCGCCGCCGAGCTGCCGATTCCGCCAACCTGCGGCCCCCATCCCTCCTTCTTCCCAGCTCGTACACTCCGACGGCCACCTCCTTTGATCCAACATGTGTGCGCTCGGCTTCTTCGCACGAGCACACCAGGCGGGGATGCGCGTCGAGCTCGTGCCGACGACGTTCCACCGCAACCGTTGCGCCAGCGAGTCATTACACGGTTGAGCGATCCCTGCTCCCGCATCCTTCTGCTCCCTGATTGCATGTCGCTCGGCGCGTGGTTTTAAGTACGACCGTTGAGCCGGGGGACTGGGTCGGGCTTCGTACCATGTCTACACCTCGACATCTGTACTGAACCACACGTGCACGCGCTTCTTCGTCGTCTGTCGTTCCCGCTCCAGCTTACACGTCCTGATCCCCTACCATCTGGAAAGGCCCTGCTGTCAACCATCTCATTCCGTGATCGCGGGCTTAGCGGCATCTCAGAAGCGAGGAGGGGTCGTCGAAGCAAACTGTCGAGGTTGGGGACTGCTGGCGAAGAGAAGTGGGCACCGCGAGAGCAGAGGGTGGCTGGAAGAAGAGTGTTCATCGCATGCATAATCATTCGGCGTTCCGTAACGTCACAAAAGTCCGAGTCTCAGCCTTACCGCGGCTCTCCTACGCTGAATCCTTCCACGGTTGCCACTGAGCCTCACTGCACGAAACTGGTTGCGCAATCAAGACCGGAAGCTTAGCCCGGACTACTCAGAACAAAGTAACGGATCAGGCATCCTCGAGACTGATGAAACCTTACACTCAAGGGTTCGAATTCCTACAAACAGAACGTTCAAGGCATACTCGGGCCAAAGTTGAGCCAGCATCCAGGTACCCAGAGCAATCTCAACATACACATATCCCAAGGCTGCACACATTTAGCACATCTAGCCCATCAGACAGACTACTCCTACTTCCAGCATGCCACGCAGAACTCGAGCATGCGCGACATGCCGCCAGAAGCGTATAAAATGCGACGCCACGATGCCCCATTGCCTCATGTGCATACGCTTCAACAGACAATGTCCGGGTCCCACCGATGCGCCCCTTCTCTTTGTGGATACATCTTCCTATCCTTCTGGAAAGAAGCCCCGAGCCAAGAAACCCTCGCCTCAAGCCACTTCTCTGGAAGTCGCTCGACGATTTGAAGACGGCAGAGGTATAGCGGTCGGAGTCGGGCAATTGCCGGACGAGATGGCCTATGTATTACAGGTGGACGTGAGCCCAAGATACGTTCTGGGCGAGGCATTCTTCCAAAACCTGACCGCATTTATGTGCGCTGAAGGCAGACATGTCCCAGGTGCAGTTCGGCGCACCCCGAGCTGGTTGCACGCCCTGCCCAGGATGGCCGCTACGCTTCCTCCATCTGCAGCACGAAGCCCATCATCTGCCAACGGGAACGAAGCCCTGGCCTTAGCCCTTCGAGCCACGACTGCGGCGTTCAGCAGCTTAGAGATGAGGAACGATGCGCTACTACACCATGCCTACGGGCTGTACGGTGGTAGCTTGCGTACTCAAGGGAGGGTACTGCAAGAGAGAGGCGACAAAGCTGGAGACTTGTACATGGTCATGACAAGTCTGATGCTGACTTTGTTCGAATCAGTGGTAGCAAGTTCTGGGGATGGTTTCGCACTGCACAACATAGCTTGTGCAAAGATGATCGACAATGCGCTGGAGCAGGTATCAAAAGCGCGGGAGCGCAAGACCGGGAGTGGGGCTGGAGGAAGCGGACCTGGACCCATGCTCGTCAACGTCTTCTTTCATGTCAGGATACAGCTTTGTTTCGTGTACCTTACCACGTCCGATCCTCGAATACGCAACGATCCGGCCATGAAACGCGTTCTTCTCGGAGCTTGCGGTTGGACCAAAGAGAAATTACCACTCAACATGCAGATAGTAACGCCCTTCGCAAGACTCATGGAGCTCCAGTCGCACGCAGGGGAGGTATTGTCTCCCACGGAATTCGAGCAAAAGAGACAACAATACGAAACAGCGAGGGATGAGGTCAATCAGATGTGGAAAGATTATGTTCAACAAAGCAAAGGACAACGACTGTGCTGGACCAGTCCCGGGACCGGCCATACCGACTTCAGAGACCCGTTCACTAGCTTGACATATGCGTACTTCAGCGCTTGCTATATACTTCACGATTTACTGGCACCAACATACGCTGCGCACGCTGTGCATTCAACGTCGGTACTACCTTACATGCTCCCAATGTCATCCCAAAGATCTAAACCGACCTCACCCATATCCTCGTCATCTAGCAATGTCAGCCCAATATGGCCTTCAGCTGATTCCACCACACCGAGCTCATCACCACCTTTCGATATATTTTCCGACCCCTCGTTTCCACCACCTTCTACCACCGACCACTACGCGCTGATACTTTCCGTATCTTGGTACCTACGGCTCCGTGACACAGGCTTCGCCTACCTCCGGCTGCATTCACCACTGTTTCTGGTCGCCATGTACGCACCAAGTTTGGAACAGAGAAGTGTCGCGAGGATGGTTTTTGAGGATTGGAAGGTCGGTGCATTGAGAGGCATTGGGTGCTTAGCTATTGCAAAATTGAATAAGGAGCGTAGAGTGGTTGAGAGCCTTGGACCGTAACGGTCGCCTATAGTGGCGTGACCTAGACATTGTGTACAGTGTTCTATTGTGTTAAAATCGGATGCAGAAGGCCGGTATAGAATAGACTTAGCGAAAATGATAGCGTAAATTGCATGCATATTGAATTTCTTGGAATGACTCACACGATGACGAGACTAGGCGCTTACGATCAGATCATGTCCTCGTAGGCGAGCCTCACGGCCTTTAAACAAGGTTACTAGTCAAAGCAGGAAATGATTTGGCTCACATTCTAGATGATAACTGCATACGGAAAGAATGTACCTCAAACCCACTTGAAAGATAATACAACACTTCCACAGTCTACCATTAACCTTACCATTTCCGGAAGCGCACTGAGTAAAAGGCGTGAAAGGCTTACACCGAACTCAGCAGATGCCACTTGCAGCTAGCAGCGCATCTCAACTTTCAGCGCGGAACGGCGACAACGCTACCATCCGACCCGACCTGTTCACCCGATATAACCGCAGAGTCCAACATTATTCTACGAGAGCAGCAATATTCCCTATCCCAGATATCAAAGCATACAACAATCAATATGACACCCGCACTCAACGTCGGTGTCCTGATTTATGCGAGCGCCGACATCATGGACTTCAGTGGCCCAGTAGAAGTCTACTCCACACGCCCACCACCCGGCACCCCCCAAGTTTTCAACGTCACAACTTTCGCACACACCAACCCCGTCGGCGCCGAAGATGGCGTGCTAGTATACGTCCCCGGTGCCTCCTTCTCGGAAGTCGAACAACGTCTCGATAGCTACGACATCATTGTAGTTCCAGGCGCCCATCCAGATGTTCTCGCTGAGTTCATTGCAAGCGAGGACGGCCAAAAGACGCTAGCTCTTGTACAGAAATTCGCCAAGTTACCGCCGAGAAAGGAGACAGGGCATCGTATCCTGCAGTCTGTGTGCTCGGGCTCGATTATCCTGGGTGCAGCGGGTGTTTTGGCAGGACGAACGGCGACTACGCATCATATTTGCTACGATATGCTGAAGGAGTATGCTGATAAAGCTGCGGGAGGGGACTCTGGAATCAACATTGTGAAGAAGAGGTGGGTCGATGGTGGGGAGACAGAGGCTGGTGTGCGGATAGTGAATGCTGGAGGGGTCAGTTCAGGGATTGATGCGAGTCTTTGGGTCACCGAGTTGATTTGTGGTGAGAAACATTACAAGTACGTGGAAGAGATTCTGGAGTTTGAGAGGAGAGGAGAGGGTCAGGCGTGGTGAGACGTATATGGGAAAACCATACAACAGCTCGTCGATTTCTTGTGTTACCCCCAGAATAGGTAACGCAGGGCCCATACTTTCGAAGTGGCGATGCATGTGAGTATCGAGGATGTAACGTGTTTTCCCCATAATGGCAATATACGTAACGTCTTCGGTCTACACGCCACATGAACGTTCCCGCTTACCATGTGCGAACAAGAACCAAACGATTGATCAGATGAATCTGTTGTGTTTGTTGGATCACAAGACATTGGAGAGTATTACGCTGGTGTATCAGAATGGTACCTAGGGGAAGGGCGGTGGGGATTCGGAGGGAGGTAGTTTTCATGCGGTTGGTTGTCTGAATGAGGAAACATAAGTGGTGGGATTGGGAAAGAGGCGGAAAGGCCGATCTTTTTGGTTGAGTATGTGGGTTGAAAGGGAGCTGAAGGTATTGAGAGATTGCAGTAATTCAGACACCTGCTGGTATAGATCAAGTGGGAGTGCAGTATTTGTATTTGCATTCGGTGCGTTTGGCGTAGAAGTAAGGGACATAACATTGGATAAGGTATTGGTCTCCTTGATGTAAACCGTCAATTGTAAAAAAGATGTGGTGTTATAATTTACATCTTTTCGCTCTCGTAAAGCTACGTATTTTGTAACGCTACGTGACTTGTGGGCAAACACGACGATTTTTGCTTCCAAACGCCGCTACGTCTTTTGTTCGATCCTATATCAGCTTATGCGCACGCTTCACAGCATCGGAAACTAACTGTGATTGACGTATGACTTTCTTCGTGGGAGAACAGCTTGAAGCGCCTCAGCGCGGTCACCGAGAGCTACCCTGCGGATTGTGATCCATCGTATATGAGTAGTTTGGGTAATTTACACCCTGTTGCTCGGCGAAGGCTCCGTGTCCTGAAGGTTCAGTTCTCGACCACAAGTCGTCCAAGGTCAGCACGAATGGTGCGTCCTGATCGTAGCTGGTTATGAATGGGTTTGAAAACATGAACTGATTGCTGTAAGGGTCTTCAAGATACTGATACTGCTCTGGCTGGGAATGAAGCTGGTTCATCTGCGGCAAAAGCTGCTGATGTGCTTGTGATCGTTCTAAACCTGCCAGCAGCTGTGGACCTGCGGTCGCTTGACTAAAGCTGCCACTTCCGGGCCGATTATTGGACGCGACGTAGCCACCATACCACTGATTCGGTTGGAGTTGGGGGACGTGTCCACTGTCAGGGTAGGTGGGTGGTTCTTGTCGAGGATGGCCAAAACTCGGGGCGACATGCTCGTTCTTAATGTGCGCTGGCTCGTTATCAATCAAGAGCTCGCTGAAAATCGTCTGGAACCTCTGTTGCTGTATAATCTTGACGATGACTTTGTGCGCTCGTTCCACAACAGCGTCAGTGTGTCGCATCGCATTTAGCCAGTGGAACAATCTCTTCACGCTGTTCTTGACATCGACTTGGCTACCTTGCATGTGGTTCTGCTCATACGACAATTCTAAGAGCAAGACTGCCATCGCTTGCATAACTGGGCATTGGATCAGTAACCGAAAATTACTTCTTGCGTGAGTAATGCTTACTGTTGTGTACGATCGACCACCAGGGACCATTTTCATACAAGATCTCAGGACTTGAATCAATGGACAGCAGGCCGGCCAGAGCAAGCGCAGCTCTCACACAAGTTCGTGCCATCCGCTGGTCGAATGTTGCGGAGACATCGCTCTGATCGCGTATCTTGCGTCCAGAGCGACAAAGGCATGGTCGCGTGATCAGTATCTTGGTACTCAAGTAGTAGAATCGAAGCAAGAGGCTTTCACGCGATCCCTCTGGTGGTGGGAACATTTGTGTGTGGAGACTACCATTATCCGGCAATGCGCCGTGTTTCCAGTCGTCCAGCTCTTGGAGTAGATTGGGGATCGTGTTCTGAACGTACGCCCACGAGTACTGAGCAGTACGGGGAGAATATAGCGCAGCTAAGAGCTTTTGCGTAATAAGGCCGATGTTCAGATGCGCGTCTAGATACGATCGCGGAGCTTGTCGACGGCTCTTTCCTGCATTACTATTACTGGCCGGCGTGGCCGACTTGTCTTGTTCTCGGATCGATGGAGTAGAGCCTGCGGGACTATTCGAGGTAGATACCTCTTCAGCAAAAGTCATCGGCAGCGACACAGTACAATCTTCGTGGCCGAGCACACAAGGTCGCCCGGTAATGGCGCTAAGTTGGCACTCTATCGCGTGGAGGCTCCACCACGTGCGCAAAGTAATCTCCTTCTTGCCGACTGGTGTCTTCGGATCCTCGTTACGCAAATGGAGACCCAGGGCCAGAGCTAAGCGGATAGCTATCCCGATCATCACCCAGCCTCTGCTTACACGCCCAATGACCTGATAGTAGAAAGCCAACAAGCCAGACTCGTAATGGTTAGCAATGACCGTTCAAGGCGATACCAGTGAGTGGCATAGTTAGTTCGGAGGGTCTCCCCAAAACCTCTTAACTCACCACTTGTATCAAAGCCAAGTCTGGTGCAGCAGCGAATGGCCATGGACCCAGCAAGCGAACGGTTCTCGTCATATATACCAGGTGATCGCAATCCTCCCCCTGCCACTCCGCGTTGATCAAGTGAGAATATCGCGCGCCTATTGCGAACACTATGTTTAGTATCGCCAGCCATTTGTCCGGAACGGAGAACGGACGTTGTGAATTGACGGCCTGGAAGTAGCGCCGAAATTGGTCTTCGAATTGGGGCGGCAGGATAGGGAATGACTTGTGAACAGTTCGCATGTAGCACTCCAAAAGCTTCTCTGTGACCTCCTGTGGAGGTAGGTCGTAAGGGTTGACATCCATTTCCAAATCGCTGCTGTCGGAATCAAGATAGAACGAGGCTTCTGTGACAGGAATAGCTGGTTTGGTTTTCCGTGGAGAAGCATACTCGAGTGTTGTGATCGCATTGCTTGTATCCGAGATAGTTTGTTGATCAGGCCCCTCCGTTTTTTCTTGATCTTGCAGGGAGCGTAACCAGTGAACCCCCGCGCCCTGGCCCACGTAGCCGGTTGACCGTGATTTGCGGCTGCGCAGAAGGTCCTCGTCTAAACGAGCCAGTCCTTCCTCGGCGCGGGCATGATGTGCAATAGACGAGTATTGGTTGTCCTCCTTCTCCAGTTCTTCGGGTACTGATAGCTTCCTTCTCTTCAAAGTCCTGACCGAGACAGTTGACGAGGAGTCATCTTCGTATCCTTGTAGCGCGTCCTGGATGCGGGCTTTATCGGACTGGTCTAAGTTTTGTCGTAGGCTGAGTTCCCGCAGCAGCAGAACAAGATCCTTATTCTTGTTCGTAGCTGATTTCAGACGGTCCCGGCGCGCTTGATCGTACAAACAATCGAGATTGTTTGCAATGCAACCAGCGCAGCGTGGCGTGTCACCAGAGCATTTGACTTCTGTGGTGGGCTTGTCAGTGTGATTCGAAACTTTTACCTAACACTTACTCCGCTTCCTGCAGCTGAGACACTGTGGATGTTAGCACGGGCATATCGCGATGCAAAGTGGAAGAGTAAAGCACGTACTGCTCGTCCCGCGCGTGGCGTTGGTTGGCTCACATCCTGCTCGTCGGGCGGTTCTGGGGGGCCAGGGCGTGGCTGCCGGGGTATTGCCACTTTGGCCGCATCCGCAGCGGTATGGATCTCCATGAATGCCGTACTCAGCTGTTCGATACACGATGGAATAGGCGAATAGGCTCCGCGGGACCGCTAAGACCTGGGGTTGCGGGACTGTTCGGCTAATCCAGGCTTGAGGGTCGCGTCGGATGCGCGTGGTGAAGTATCCGGACGCTGGTTGATGTGGCGCGAGCAGTGAGCTTCGCCGCCGCCGCGGTGTTCACTTTCACTCGCGCTTCTGGGCTTGCAAGGAGCGTGATCGGGGCGCACAGAGAGGACAGTAAGCTGGATCAAGAGGATGGGGCGTCTCTGCGTTGATGCACACCTCAGGCATGACTGGCGCCCACAAGCAGCCACTTGCTCCTGTACTCACTTTTGGGTTGCAGATTCACCATCCACGGCCACGTCTTGACGGCTCACTGATCCGCGTCATTCGCGGCACGTTCATCCGACCTATAAGAAGGGGCGGACGACTCGCGCCCTCTAGCCTCGTGAAGCATGTCACAGCCCCCCTGTCATGATCGTGTGTACTCGTTCATGGAATGCAAAGCAACTGAATTCTCGGCGTTCAGGTGCTGTCGGTCTCAAGCATCGGGTCATGGGCTGCTCGACCGCACAATACAGCTCGTCGCCAACGAGCATAATGAAGGGGACGGCCACAGAAGGTGCCCCAAGCAACACATGAGCCGAAGATGGATTCAACGCACAAGGCCACGATGTCAACTGGAGACAGACGAGTGGTGTGGACAACGCCAGCAAAGTGCGGGTCTACGAGAGGCCATAGATATCGCGCTCAAGGCGGATCGAGTCTGCTGATAGCGCGTGAGGTTGGTGCGACCACACGGGAACACCAGAGGTAACAACACTGCGTCGCCCGCCAGCTTCCGATCACGTGCGGTGTCGTCATCGCTCACTAGCGCAAGTGCATCGTTCCTTCCCCAACGTCCTCCGCGCCCAGGTTCGCCACCGCAGATCCCGCGTGCTACCTACCGACCCGCACAAAGCATAAAACTGCCGAGAGGCTGAACGTCTGTGATTATCAATCAAGCAACCGTACTTGGGAGGCGAATGAGCGCTTATTTTCAAACTATTTCTAACTATATCGGCTAGTTATTTCCAAGCGACGTGCGCGATGCCAATAATGTGGGAATACACAGTACGCGGTCGACGGACGTAATTGGAAGGGTTTTCTCCCTAGCGAATTGAGCAGCATTCGGTCGCGGGATTTTGGTCCATGCAGCGCTTCATTCGACCGTCTGTCGGTTGCAGATCTCAGCATACCCAACAATGCGGACGTGACAAGGAGGCATTGCGGCGTGGCTTTCCTAACGTCTCGAAAACACATCGCTCTCACTGGATAGGATGGCGGGATTTTGGCCCGCGCAGCATGGATGTTTGGCCGTTTGCGGATCTCTTCGTCACCGGATCTCTGATCCGTTAGCATGTACAATTGCCCTATCACAACAACTATAGTCGAGGCGGGGGAAGCGTTACGTTGTGCTGCTGTACCACAAGGATAGTCTTCCTAGTGATAGAAATTACACAATATACGGGCGACATCACTACAATACGACGCAAGTCAAACGAACAAGAGCACGCAAAGATGGCGAAGCTACTCTTTCGATTATCCCTTCTCGACTAAGCTACCTCTGCAAGCGGTCAGGCTCAATGCACAGACCTCTTTGTTTCTTCTGATTCTGGTGTTATCTCTTCCTTCTCTCGCAACCTCACTGCACATCCTCGCTTGCAGCGTTCAACGTGCGTCTCATGCCATATTGTGACTCGTACAATCTTGCACGAAAGCAAGACGATCCTCAAAACTAACACCAGGAGTGAAGAAATACGTGTGGGGACTCGTACGCCGTAGAAGAAACTTTTGAACAACTGTTCGGGGTATCATAATTCGTGAAGACAAAGAATGTCCTGGACAAGGACGATGGCAAGCAGAAGAATAGAAGAGCCTCATGTCGATGGGACCTCTTCTTCCTCGTCGATATCCTGGAGGAAATCGAGGCCACTGTAGTCATCGTTGTCTGGCGAAGAAGCTGCGCTCAGTACTGAGCTCGTGCTTGATGACCGACGGATATTGTCCAGATCGAGCGACGAAGTGCTAGTCATGGGACTGGGTTTCGGTCTCGTTGATTGCGCATTTCCCAAAGAGGTGGGTGCGTCGACACCCAAAAGGTCGCCAGCGCATCGTGCAAGGTACTCGTCGACGGCCCAGAAACCACAGCCGGCGTGTCGCAAAACTTCATTCTTCAGCTCTAATATCTCTTCGCGGAGCATGGCTACATTCTCCTTGAGAGCCTTATTCTTGGAAGAGAAATCCCGTGCGCGCGCTTCGAGGCCATTGATGTACTCTTTCTTGCGTTGCCTGCACTTGTGGGCGGCAACTCGATTCTTCTCGAGATGCGACTGCCGGGCCGAGGATACCTGGAACGGGAAGCCATCGGCAGTGTAGTGCTCGGCCATGTGTGGCGTCGACTTTGGCCTTCCTCGCTTGCGCTTAGGTGGTTGGCCGTCTTGTTGGGGTTGCTGGGTCTGCACGGGAGCGGGATCCTTGGTTGAGGAGTGCCGCGAGGTGCGGCGTCGCTTCGAAGCAGGCTCGTCTTGTGCTAGTTGGTGAGGCTGGTAATTCTGCAATGCCTGCACCTGGTGATCCGGGAAGAGCGTCTCGTTGTGGAGCTCCTCGAGTGGGATCGAAGCCTCACGATGCGGGTCGCGTAGCGGTTCAGCAGGAGACAGTTCCTCGGGCGGGGTGACCTGGCCATAGCGCTCGACAGATGCAGCCGTGAGCAGAGAGGGCGGGATGGTAAAGGCCGACTGCGGGAAGGAGGGGGCGTTGCTGAAGGCAGCCCACTTATCGGAAGGAGAGTTGGCGCCGTTGTCGCCGTTGTCGAGCGCAAGGTATGCGTCGTTTGCCCACGATGGTTCCCCGAAGGCGTGATGGATGTTTGCTTCGACCTCCATTGTGGTGATGGCAGGCGGTGTTATGGCGGTTGGTATTGGCAGTGTGGATGCTGGAACGGTTACGGGTCTTGGTGTTTGTACGGATGTGGAATGTGGTTGCTGCAAGGCCGTGAGCGGGGTGGGATTATGTTATAGCAGTTGGCGGCTCAAATCGCCGAAGCATGCGCCCAAGGAATGGGTAGCAGTGTGGCAAGCAGACGAAAACGGTAGCGAGGTCCTGGAGGGGAAGTGCGGCGGAGGGGATCAGGGCGGAGGGGCTATAAGAGTCTCGTCCCGGCGGGAGATGGAAATCGGCCGACAATGGGGGAACCCGTCATGGCCAATGTGAAATCCCATCTGCTGGCAAGATCAGCTTGAATGCGAGCGATCGGTCGATGGCAGGAGGCGCGAGGCCGGGCGACGGCGAAGCGAGCCACACAGGCGCTGCAGAGGCGCCCACCCGCGCCAGGCAAAACTTGCTTGAACATGGCCTTTGCGCATGCCATTTCCGATCGCGATCGCGCGCAGCCCGAAAGCTCTCTACTGCTACCTGGCAGACAGAGAGTGCAGCAACCGCGCCCTCGCTGCTTGCATCGCGCCCGCCCGCCTGCTTCGGCCGTGCGAAGCTGCTGCCCCTGCCGTCGTCGGGCGGAGCAAAGGACACTTGCCCGCCGCGCAGACGAACGCGCCAACCCATGCTGCAGCACCTGTGAGGGTGCCAGCCTCGGCACCAGGCGTCTATGCATCGTGAAAACAGTGCGTCTGGCGCGCGAGGTCACGTTGCCCGACTGTCCCCGGGCCCTCTCCAGCGTCCCTGCCCGGCACCTTCGCAGTTTCACAGCACGTCTGCGCCCTGGTGACCCTTGCATCCAAGCTTGTCGCAATGTGTCGCTGGGTGCAAGCGGAGCGTCTTCAGAACAACGCTCCGAGTCGCGCTGCCATCCATCTTGCAGCACGTTTCGCACGTTCTGGAACCTCGTCGCCGTCCCCACGCCCCACCAACCTGCCTTTGACAACGTTGACACCATCCAAGCATGCGCCTATAGTCTGCGCAGGAACCTAGCGGAGCATCGACTTGCACCATGACGTCGCCAGTGGAGAGGCTTGCAGCTCCGCGGACCCGACCCCTGAAAATCTGGGGTGAGCTCTATCCCTCTCTACTCGCACCTTGGGATGTGCGGAAAAAACTCCCGCACCCAATCAGGGTGCAGGGGCTGGCCTTCCGTTCACCAACAGATTGGTAGCCCTGAGAGCCCACCGCTTTGACAACCCTGCATCCCCGTATCGTCGGCCGTCGTCCCAGGGCAGTGCGCGATCCTCGAGTCAATTGACGTCATCCGGATGATGGCATTGTCAATTTGCCCATGACGATCACTCCATTTCCCGATCGCTGAAAGGAGTTTGCCATGTGCAACCGTGCGCTGCTTCCCGCCATGCGATAGTGCACGCCTTCCAAACACACAGCGCTGATTAGCGGGATAGCTGCCGAGCTCCAACCTTCTGACGCCTGCCGTTGCGTTGTGGACTCTGGTACGCTCGCAGACGTGGGCTTTCTGCTGGCTGGAATCTGCTCTGGATAGTCATCGTTGGGAAGCACGCGTGGCTGGAACAGCGTGGTGCGGCAATCGCGCTCGGCTGCAACTGCAAAGCTTCCAGTTCATCGACAGTGAATGCTCCGAGTCAAAGTAAACCGCCATTGGCTACGCTGTCTTTTCAAAGCTCCGCGGAGAAACGCTGTCGCCTTGGCAGATACTGCGGGCAGCAGCAGTAACCATGGGTCCACGGTGGGGGGGCATCCCGCCTGACGGAAATCCGAATCGTTGCCTTCTGTTGTCGCGAACACCTTCACACGTGGTTCCATGTCACAGCTGAAAGCCCACCCCACCGTCTAATCGACCAAGTGGGACTGCATCATATTGCAACGAGTTAGCTTGGACGACTTCTCACGATGCTCGCACTGTCGATACTGTCCCCGCGCTACTATGCCCGGTATCCTTTACCGTGGCCAATGACCTGTAGCTTGCCGAGGGGTCGTCCCAAGGGCAACGCTGGGGGTCGGCGTGAACATACCCCGCATCATGAACCGCGGCGCTCTCATTCATGTCATGGGTAGGCTGGGATCCGTGAAAGCTGATGGGCCCGCCCAGTCTTCGAGCTACTCGCACCGTTACGTCGTGCGTAGGACCAGCGACCTGGAAACATGTGCTGGGACCCTGGATCCCCTCTTTGCCCAGATTGGCCACGGCATTCGGAGCCGATGACCTTCGCTGGGCTACTGCTACCATTGCGATAGACATGCCCCGGAAAGGGGGAAGGTGTCAGTAGTCTCCAGAGCATTTCTTTCCACTATACACCGTGCTCCCGGGTTGTATCGTCTCACACCTCGAGAGATGTCTTGTATAACTTATTGCCATCGTTGGCACGGCTCGAGAACTAAGTATTGCCAGCAACATCGCACGCGAACCTTTCTTCCGAACAATCACTTGTGGCTCGTCAGCCTGTGGACTCTATAAGCTTACCAGGTCGAAAAATGTCCTATTATCAATGCCGAGAGTACACGTAGCTCGCCACCCACACAAGGTCGTGGGCAACTCCTGTCTGGACTGAGAAGTCTACGACAACCCGACTGCTCATGCCTCCTCACCATCATCGTATTCCGATCGGGACTTCAAACGAGGAACGGTCACGATTCGACACGAGATTCGGTCTGAGCATCCTTCGCCCAGTAGTCAAGTATCGTAACGTGATCGGGAGCTAGCAGAAGTAGGCACAAGAGCATGGATGATACTATGGCTTGTCGGACGCCTATTGCAGGCTTGTTACTCGCCAATTCGTGAGAAGCGTAATGGTGGGTTTGTTGAGCACTTTACCATATACCCGTCTTACGATGAAAGGAGTCTTGCAGGATAAGGTTGTTCACTCGACTTGAGTGCTGGAAACTTGTTCTCTACGAGAAGCTGCGAGTGAGCGAGGATGGGCATCGTGGGAAAGGTTCAGATAGGGAGTGGCCTCCTTATGTTCCCTCTTAGGATCCGGGCACCCATATACGATCATTTGATTGATGGACCTGGATCTCGCATCTCGGAGAATGGGAAGTGCGCTGGAGGAGTTTAGGTGCCAACTCGATTATGAACAATGGGCGGTCCCGAGGTCGATGCCTCATCACGTGCGATCACCGCGGTGAAGCTCACAGGAAGCGAATCAGTGCACTGGACTTGATGCTGGTCTGTAGGCAACTATAAGTCGCATGTTTCTTCGCGTATGCCACTTGTTACTGAATGTATCGCAGGCACACCGAAATCACTGATATGCTCTACATGACACCGCGCCACAAAATCCACAACGCCATCGCTCTTCCACGATCTTCAACTATACTCTCACCCAGAGTATTGCAAAAGATCAAATCCATCACTCTCGAAGTCGGGTCACATGACAGCTTCTTCTTCGAGCGCCCGTTACGCTACTAGCCGGACGTAGAAGAGAGCCACGTAGATGCACATCGTCGGTCTTCACTCGCTGCGGTATATTTAGAGGAACCGTACTATCCCTCCCTTCTATCGTGTTGCTTATTGTAAACCGCACCATCACTGGGATGTCCAAGATCCTGAGGTACCCAGTACATGGGGCGCTGGATGCCAGGATCTTGAGAAGATGACGAGGCTCAGGACATTGAACAATGTGGTGGCACGCGACTTAATACTTGTGTGCAGTAAGAATAGCAGGTTTGACAAGGGGCAGTTCTTGGCTATCAATGACGGACAAGCGGAGCCGTTCATCCTCGAGCCGCTGATTAATGTGAAACGAGCGTTGGGTGGAGATTTGGACTTGTCGTTGATAATTGGCCGGGCTGTTATGGACGATGAATCGGTGTTCGAGGAAAGGGCGGTCGAACTTGGTATTGCTGTGGCGCGGACGAGGATCCTTTGCTGGGAGAGGGGGGTTTCCTTAAATTGTTATCAAAACACCGTCGTCGTTAGCTCAGATTTCACCAGGAGCTTTACACCATCTATTTATCCCTTAGTATATCCGAGATCTCAACTGCACTCGGTAGGACCTTAAAGGAAGACAGTGCAGTTCGATTTGATTTTGAGTGATCCCGTTGGCACGATACGCTGTCACGTTCAAAATCCACCTTAAGATTGATTCAATTCCTTTCCGTCTTGGTGACCATTCCCTTTGTCTACGGTGATTTATGTTATCAAGACAATATCTTCTCAAGGATCTCTACAAGCTCTTGAATTTCATCCTCCGTATTGTAGTGCACCATACTAACGCGCACAACACCCTCCGGTGCCAACCCCAACACCTCATCGCACAGCCTCTTGGAATAGAAATGACCCCATCTGAATCCAAGGTTGCTGATTTTGTCCGCCTGCTCCACGATCTCCCGCGAATCCTTGCCCTTCACCACGAATGAGATGGTCGGAACTCTGACAGTTGAATCTGATGAAGTAGAGCCTAGTACAGTGATGTCCTTGCGTGAGTTCAAAAACTCAAGCAGGATGGTCTGCAATTTTTCTTCATGCGCGACAATAGCATCGCTTTTGTCGGCCAGGTAATCGACTATGCAGGGAAGAGACTGCACATTTTCGTAGTTGGAAGCTGCGAAGCCGAGTTTGTCTTCGAGGGTTTTGGTGGAGTTGAAGTAGTGTGGGAGCGGTTTCACGTATTCTTGGGCGGCATTGCTGGCGTACAGGACAGCGATGTGTGGGCCGTAAACCTGGCTAAATCAGCACATGTATGTATAGGGGAAAGGCACGGAGATGGGCTGCGCTACCTTGTACCACGAGAACGCGTAGAAATCCACTCCAAAAGCTTTCACGTCAACCTTCCGATGGGGAGCGAAGCTCACACCATCCACACAAAACAACGCACCTGCCTCATGCACAGTATCTGCAATTGCCTTCACGTCATGAATCCCTCCCAATATATTGCTTACGTGGGTACACGCAACGAACTTTACCTTCGGCCCTAGCAGCGGTTTGAGGTTCTCAGGCGTAAGTTTCAGCTCTGGCTTAGGCGACTCCCACCACTTAACCGTAAGCTTCAGACGATCTGCCAAATGAAGCCAGGGCTTCACGTTCGTCTCATGTTCCATCTTCGAAAGAATGATCTCTGAGCCTTCGGGGATCTTTAGCGCCGACGAAAGGTTCATAAAGAGCTGGGTGGTAGAGCCTCCGAGGACGATCTCATCGCGGCCTGCATTCATGTAATTTGCGGCAGCCTGGTAGCCTTCTTCGTATCTGGTGTTGGAGATTTTGCCGGTGTGGTAGGAGGCGCCGAGTTGGACGTTGGTCTTTGACAAATATTGGGTTATGCTGTTTAGACTGTTTAGTAAATCTTTCTCTATAGCATACCAGAACAGAGCTTACGAGTCGATCACATCTCCCAGGGTCTGGCTTCCTCCAGCGTTGTCGAGAAATACCTGGTCTTGATTTAGTGCGGGGAAGCGATCGCGGGCTGCGGTAACGTCGAATGTTTCGGACATCTTGGTTGATGATAGTAAATAGAGGGTCTCTGGGCCAGATAGGTGATATGAAGACTTGAAGCTCTTATACGAAGATGTGATACTGTTGAAGGTGGACCGCATTTACAAATAGATGCACGACACATGCGGGTAGTGAGGGGTTAGCCAGATTAGGCAGGCGTATACTTGTGCATGCAATGACGCACGCCCTACTGCGAACGATCTGGTAACCTGCCATCGATTGTGTTCCCGGTATAGAAATCCTGTCTGCATCACGAAGTCCATGTCCAACGCAGAAAGTGTGCTCCAACATACTAGCAATGAAGGATCACCTACTATACGTCGACTCGAAAGATAATGTACTCATGGTAGGATATACATAAAATTTGTACGTACTCCAGTAGCGACGGTTAGCGACGGCGCTGCAACTTGCAGCGGTACGCTGGAATCCAGCCCCTCAAAGACAAACCTGGGCAACCGTTGGTGGAACGCGCTGCTACATATCAATGTTTCACGGAATGCACCCGCAGAGCTCATCCGAACGTTGAAGAGGAAAACAAAGGGTGGTTAAAGTCTCCCCCAGTTTCATCTTATGTGAATGCTGGCGAAGCAAATCGAACTTGAGCGCGATGTTAGTTGGGTGACACCAGTTGAGAGACTAATATTCGCATGGGGTTTGATGACGTGACTTTAGAGCCATTGATCGAGATATAAGGTTCACTGATCCAAAAAGCAGAAGACTGCGAGCATGTCGAGCTTACGTAAGGGTTGTTGGAAGGTTGTTTGTGAGGGTGAGCACCCCAGGGATCGCTTCCTAGGAATAATGTCTGCCTCAATCCTTCTTGTAGGCTTTCCACACCGCCGCCTCGAACTCTTTGATCAATGCCTCGCTCTTCTCATCGCCCCAAGGGATGACCTGCGTCGCAAAAAAATACGCCAGGCCCTTCTCGCGATTGGCATTCCAGCTTAGGTTCGCCATCCCATGCCATCCAAGCGTACCCTTGGGCTTGAAGTAGTCCTCTCGGTCGATGTCATGAGTGGTCAGGAACCCACCAAGCCCTTGATTGGGAGATACTCGGTCCATGCTGCGGCCCACGCATGGGGCGCACGCAATGTCCCACATCGACTTCTGCAACTTACTGCCCTCCTTGAATTGTGGTGTGAACATCGTGTCCATGGTCTCTTCCTTGAGCGTTACGGGTGACTCCTTGAGTGTATCGGCCAGAATGCGCATGTAATCGTCGATGGTAGAATAAATACCAGCACCGCCGCGCTCAGCCTCCGGTTCTTCCCATATAGGGGTCTTGCTTGGAGCGAGTGACCCATCTGGTCTCCGCTCGCTCATCTGCATGAGCTTCTCCGCTACCTCAGGTTTGCGCGGAAGGTGCCACGTCCAGGACTTGATCCCTAGCGGCTGAGCGATGTTTAGTGTGACATAGTCTTCGAATGCAGTCTTCGTCAGTCGTTCGACCAGCAAGCTTGCCCAGTCAAGATTAGTGCCTATACCGAAAGTCAACTGAAAAAAGTCCCTGTAAATGTTCGGTATCAGTCCTAACTTACCATAGTTCCACGTTCCTCCTGCCTCTGCAATTCGAGGAAACATGATCTCCTCGGTGCGGCCAGTGGACGGGAGTTGTGCGATTTCTCCACGTGAGCTACGCCACATTGTCAGTGTGGGGTTAAGCCAATCGTAGACTATGCCGCTCGAGTGGGTTAACAGTTGTCGCAGTGTGATGGGATTGGTGGCCTCGCGCAATTCGAAGAACTCTTTCCCTCCAGTCGCAGCAATGATAGGCTGCGATACGAGTTCTGGCAGGTGCACGTTGAGACTTTCGTCAAGCGTGATGAGGCCGCGTTCCACGCATTGGAGCGCTGCAATAGAAGCAACGAGCTTCGTGCACGATGCTATCCAATACACCTGGTCGGAGGTAAGCTCTGCCGCGTCCTCCCTTGCGCCATTGAACCCAGCAACATGCTTATATATGATGTTGCCTACGGCATGTGGTCAGCCTGATATTCGATGTTCGAAAACGGTGATCCGTTTCTTTCACAAAGCCTTGCTTGATCTGCAAACTTAAATGGCTGCGCTACTGTCGAACGTACCAGTCCTATCCACCACGGCTGCTGCAGCTCCGGGTACTCCATTAGCGCCTTTTTGCGTGGCCTGAGAAAATAACTCTTCAAAATGTTCCATATTGCGCGTCAGGTTGATGATTGGTAGTTTGGTGATTGGAGAGGATGCCTAGAAGTGTTGAGCTAACGCGGTAATCGAGGTCGCTCCTGGCTTTGTACTGGGCGCAAACAAGGGAAGCGCCAAGGAGGGGCACAGTTGCGAAGCGACTGCACAGCGAGCAGAAGTTACGCCCCGAGCGGATATAGGGATGACGTTGAACCTCCTCGGCGGAGACAAGCAGACCGCGAATTGAGTCTTGCGTGCGTCGCTCGGAAAGATGATAAACGCGAACGCTTTCTGAAGTCGCGCCGGTTACGCGCGTGCAATCGCTGTGGTCGCACATTCATCACATTTGTAAGCTTGCCATGCTACCAACAATAGCAGCAAGTGGTGCCCAAGGGTGTTACAGCTATACGTGGCTCTTAGTGGTTGCTTGCCAGCAGATCCCAGCAACGCAACAAGCGCAATGGTGTCATCGCTTCCGTAGGCCCCGACTTGCGGTGGCGGTCATGGAATCGTTCCAGCCATTACATTCCTACTGCCTGCGAACATACTCATAGTCGACGTGGCGTACAGGGCTGCATGATCAGGAACGCTGTTTGGGACATGAGGAACGGCCCGCTAGCTCGATTCAGCGCCGTTATGCGGGATTTCGAGTACGATGAAACTCTGCTTGCCGTTCTCTGCACACCTGATAAATGCTTCGAGGGCCCGAGTTAGGAAAACTCATTTGAGTTGCAGCGAATGGAGTAATGAGCGTTTGATCATTCACCGGTCCGAGGTCGAGGTCCATTGAATCTCTGTGATGCGATGGTCGCTGCGTATTAGGGTTGAGTTCAGTGTTTGAGTGATTAGTATTTTGATGTACAGCTTGGCGGCGCTCATTCTTAACTTGCAATAATCGCAACTCAGGACCTAGACATGCGCTGTTGATGGCGGTGTCGTAAGTCGACCACAGGCGGCGCATATGATCGGGCAGCTCGCCGTCTTCTTTCATCACTCCGGCATCAGCAGCGGCTTGGAGAAGTGCTTCTACGTCCATGGAAAGGTCGGAGAGGACTTGCAGTACATCGTCGCACCTCCTCCGCTCTGAGGCAGTAGCACTATCTTTTCGTTTTTGATAGGCACGTTGCGCCTCTCGTACCTGAGCCCGGCGTTTCTGCGCCGTTTAGCTTCTGCGCACGATACTGAGAGTATAGTAGCTACCTCTACAGCGCTCTCATCTCGCGGTGTATTCACGCGCGGCCTGCCTCTCCCTCTTCGAGCTGGTACTACGCCCGCATCCAGAGATAAGTTGTTGTCCGAAGCCGATGAAAGACTGTCAGCCACAGCGGATGCGTCCAGTTCCGTATTGTCCACAATAGGATGTAGCCACTTCATCATGTCAGTTTCGTGAGCTCGATCACCTTGAGACATATGTACTTGTCCTTCGGAGCATACATTGCCATAGCCGAGGCCGTATCCAGCATGCACGATAGCCTCGTCAGTGTGCGCCTTGTCCCCAAGAAACGCGTACATCATTACCCTACAAGCAACAAACTATAAAGACAACTGTGAAATTGCGAGTGATAACACTCGAGGCCGCCTAGAGGAAGAGGAAGGGTGAGACGCAACAGATCATTAATCAACAAAATCAGCTACCAACATCCGTTGGCCTGTGCGGAGGGTACCTAGCGTGGGCGCTACCCAGGCCCTGCAACGCCGCCATCATCTCATCATTGCACACTCCCGCTGAGCCATCTCCAAACGGCCCGCAATGCAGGCCGGCAAAATTCCGCCTGCTTGCTTTTGGGGGCCGATACGGACCCATCGCTGTCCTCCAGCAGAGCACGATAAGAGCTAGTCTTGGGAACTTCAAGCCACCAACCCCACAAGATGCAAGGCCCCATCTAGCCACCAATTGCCTCCAATCAATACTGAAGGGCAGATAGTCCGATCCAATTTTAGTGTACGCCACGCTCCGGCTTGATGTCGCGGCTGCTCCCATTGTTTTCGATACACTCCAGCGCTACCACATGCCGACATCACTGACCGCAGCACAACCTCCGTGATCCACCGCTCAAAGCTCATACCATCGACATATCCACCACTGGCATCTTGTACCATCCTCTATAGAAGTACATGCCAGACAGAGCGTTTCCCCAGTCCAGGCAACGCCTTCCCCCCGCCATGACTTTGACGAACTTGTACTGCACTCCGCTAGACTTCAGTAACTGATACGGGATATAGCCGAGTGCTCCGACTAAGCGACACGGAGGTCATCTCTAATGAGCACCGTCGGCAAGAATCTACGCTTTAACGCAAGGCCAAAAGCTTATGGACGAATTGAGGTTCGCATTACTCTAGGGTACGCAGTACAACTTCCAGGCATAGAACCTGCTCGTCAGGTTTTGAACCGTAGCGATGAGCTCGTCTGCTAAACTTCCAAGCGAAGATTATGAGAACAACAGCATTGTGGACTAGCTGCTCAAAGTTGCCTTCCTGCATTGGATATTGCGCAATGCGACGGCCGGAGGATGTTCCGAAGCTGTGTTGACTACTAACGAAGTCAGCTTCGCGAAAACTTGAGACATAGCCTGGCTCAGAGGTTCCAGGTCTACCAGCATCTTCCGAGGATCAACTGCGCGCATGATTGTCTTGACTGCGCTTATGCAATCGACTAAATTACCAGAGAGGGCTGCGATGTTGCGAACACTGGCGTGTTTGCTTGCAAGGTCGCTTGAGCGTTACTTCACGCTGTGCCAGCGTTGCAGGATGATATCAATTGTCTGGTCATTCGACCCTTTACGCCGCCACGAATATTGCGATACAGTTGAACTCAGCATCAGCCTCATGCAATTACGCGTCATGAGATAGAGTCAGGTGTAGCCCTTATCCTTTATCGCTCTTGGCTAGTGCTGATGAACGCGAAAATGGGGACAGTGGGCCTCGCTCGTACGCGCTACAGTGTCTGCGGACAGACGCCTCCCAACTTGCTCAGGCCCAAGGTTTGTTGTCATGACTATAGTCCTATGGAATGTAGACCTCCGAAGATCCAATAGCCGCTGACGTCGCGTGCATTTGCTAGCTCGCCTGTGTGGCGAGGTTCGACAGGATGTGCACAGCCCAGTCTTCTTACCTTGTGTTGCCTTGTGTGACAATAACCAGCAGGCGATTGTAAGCTCCCAAGAACTTTTGGACTGGGATCGATGTTGGGGGAAATGAACTACCTCGTGGTCTTCTCGCACGTAAAAAGGCTTGGTACCAAGAATCAAGAAGACGGCGTAATTTCATTAGTAAATTTCTGTACATGCTACGGCACCCTATTCCATCCAGTGGAAAATTCTGACCGTATACCGTACTACAGTCTACATCAGTCTATCCGAATGCTCCTGGACGCTGAACCTGAAGAAGCAAAGTTCGTTATGCCGGCGAGATAGTGCCGCACTTATGCAGTCACAGCGCAATATCTCACCTCCACAGGCACACTGGCCTGAGACGTCTATCGTATGCACGTTCGCGAGCCTTCTCTTCATGGCAGCTTCCACGGTACGTCTACTTCTAATATGTCCCGCCGCGAGAGCGATCGATGCTTAGTTCTTCCAACGCCACAAGGACTAGCAAACCGGAGAAGGATGCCAATGCAGATTGACATGAGCGCAGAAACTTGTTGGACTTCCTTTGCAACGCCAGGAGCAGACAGCCTCCTGAAGTTGCTGACGAGGCAGACACTGGGATCGGGAATAATCGAGCAAGTCACCTCTGAAACCCCGCATTTCTAGCACTTCTGGTATTGTCCGAGACTAGCTTGACAATGACGTTCGGATAAGCAGAGGAGGGCAGAGGGAAGGCGCTCGAGTTTCCAGACGATTTCGTAAAGAGTCCAGAAATAGTTGATCTGTGAACGCCCATGCTCATACTTGTATCCACAGCAGAGGCAGTCACCGGGGACACTGCGTTTGTAACTTCCACACAGATATCGACAGAAACTGGGATGACCTCTCGCGACGAACTGACTCAAGTCCAGCACATTCAACACCTGTCACTAATCAAGACACATATTTGACTACCGGAATCTAAGAGAGCGCGATGCATTGTACAGCCTCGCAGGCATCACTATCTGACCAAGAGACCAACCCAAGGGACGAACGATACAGGGAGTCGGTACATCATCAACGTTGAATGCGAGCTGGAAGTAGGTGGTACTGGATACTGCATTTTTCTCGTGACGCTTCCTAAGTGCGGTGCGTGCAAGAGTGACGCCACGGTCGTCTGTACTGGTTGTGTCGATATGGCCCTTTGCTCCGTTGCATGCCAAGAGAAGGACAAAACCGTCCACCATCTTCTCTGCACCACTTCCAAAGACTTCCAGGACCGCCGAGGTGAGAAATTCTTTCGCGGAATCTACTTCCCGGAGGATAGCAACAAGCCTTACTTTCTGTGCATCGGATTCGAAGGCGAGCGCACGTGAAAGCGAATGGTGGACGATGAACAAGTAAAGCAACTCGGCAGAGATTACACGAGATCGGTGGACTTTAGAAAGGACGTCCACTTCCGCCACGAGTACCATCTCCAGGTTGGATTGCATCACCGCCAGGACTTCAACTGCGACAGCTCCACCGTGAACACCAGCTCGGAGCCATAGACCGGCAATGAAAGCGCCACCCGGTGGTGCGGCCCACTGCTGGCACAGGGCGACAAGTACAGCTTCCACTAGTGTGGCTTTGACAAGGTGGACCCCAAGACCGTGAATACCGCGACTCAGACGTCGAGATGCAGGAGATGTCTCTCACACCAGCGGACCTCGATATCGTCATCTTGGACAAATAGCATGAACCAGAGCCATGATAAGTTGGGTAAGGAACTTCCAAACCGACTACAACGGAAAAAGTCTGAGGCAACCCAAAGTAGCTCTCAAACAGCAAAACTGGAAGCAAGCGATTCATAACCTGTGATCTATGCCGAAATGCGTAGTCGCCCAGCAAGTCCAGAATCAGATGACCATGCTGTGAAGTGCCGTCTTTCGAGAACATGCCATATTCAGTTCATCATGCTCAGTTCCACCTAGGTCGCCCCGTTGAGGCGCTAAACGTTGAGTTTGATTTCTTCGCCATGTATACAAGCAATTTTCTTCATCTTGACCGAAAATCTTCTATGTGCATTCCTTCTATAGAATACAGGAAGTGAGCGTGACGGCGCTCAGTGATAGTGCCACCAATCAGCATAGACGGCACGATGTCCTCCGTCATTGACGCCTGCAACGCCGTAATAAAACCAACCCATTCATACGCCGGGTATATTCGTGAAACAAAATACCAAACCCGGAGACGCCTCATTGCGCCAATGTAATTTCATGACGCAGCAGCTCCTCATGCGAAAGTACTCTAACAAAAACACCATCCCGTAATAACACACCAAGAAGGAATATAGTTCACCACCTCTAAACCTTCTCGCGGTGCTCAAGATTCTGCGACGTGATAGCATCGACCTTGTCAACAGCCCCATCCGCATACGACTCGCTAGGCTGCCACTTTGCCGACTTACGCGGGGTCGTCTCCTCCAGCATACGATCGACCTGCTCGAGCGAAAGGCCCTTCGTCTCCGGAACAAGGAAGTAGGCGAACAAGACGCACATGGTGCAAGTCGCGCCCCACACGAAGAAGACCTTGGACTTGAGGTTGCCCTTGTCCTCATCGACCATGTACGGCGTGACGTAGCCGATGACAAAGTTCCAGAGCCAGTTCGAGGCGGTAGAAAGAGCGACGCCCTTCGCGCGGATCGGGAGAGGAAAAATCTCACCGATGACGACCCAGGCGGCGGGGCCCCAAGTAGTGGCGAAGAAGAAGATGTAGAAGCATGTGAAGACGATGAGACAGATGCCAGCGGCCTTAGAGCCCTCGTCGACGGTACCGACAATGGCGATGATGAACTCGCAAACCAGCATGCCGACGGCACCGTAGATGAGAAGCATGCGACGGCCAAGCTTCTCAATGGTCCAGAAAGAGATCGGGGTTGAGACGACGTTAACAATGGTCGTGATCATGCTGATAAGGAATTCGTTCTTGATGCCAACCTGCTTGAAGAACGTGGTACCATAGTAGAAGACTGACACCGTTAGCGTTTGGTCAAATGTTGTGAATCGGGGTACTTACTGAAATTGACACCAGTCCACTGCTGCATCATCTGCAGAGCAATACCAAGAAACACACGGCGAAAGTTACCGGATGGTGCCCAACCACCGCGGAAACAGTCCAACCAGCTAGACTGCATGTGCTCAGACTCGAAGCGGTGGTTTGCTACTAACTCGGCGAGCTCATGCTTGATGTACGGCGAATCAACTGGGTGGCCGCGGAGCTTGCTCAGAGAGATAGCAGCATCATCAAAGCGATTCTTCTTGACAAAGTGGCGCGGAGACTCAGGAAGCAGGAACAGGCCGGTACCCAGGATCAAGGCCCAAAGCCATTGAAGGGACATGGCAATACGGTAGGAGCCGGAATTGTCAATGGCGTGCGTGCCCTGGTCGACGACCGATGCGAGCATGAGACCGATCGTGATGAAGAATTGGTAACCAGAGACAATGGCACCGCGAACGGCCTTGGGCGCAACTTCAGACATGTACAGGATGATGATGGCGGAGACGAAACCGACACCAAAGCCTGCAATGAGACGACCGGGAACGAGGAGGCCAACGGAGGACGACGCAACTTGAAAAACAACGCCGACGGAGAAGATGATACATCCAGTGATAATCGTGGGGCGGCGACCGATCCAGTCGGCCACGGAGCCTGCGATGAGCGCACCAAAGAATGTGCCAGCGGAAAGAATTGAGACAATTAGCGACTTTTGCCAGGTGGGGATTGCGTAGTCGGGAGCTGCATTTCTGTTAGCATTGCTGGCAGGTCCTGAAGGCGTGGCGCACTTACCTTGGCCATAGGTCTGCTTAAAGTAGTCCATAGCCAGTACGCCTGATATGTAGCCTGCACACATAGTCAGCGCAACCTCACAGATTGGAACGGTTTAGTGTACCGGAATCATAGCCAAATAGAATACCACCAAAGGCGGCAAACACGCAGAGGAGATAGCCACGCAGCGTGACCGGAGCCTCAACACGCGCATCGCCGCCACGGTGTGCAGCGGATGGTGCCCAGCGCATATTGACCGGACTCGTCGACAATCGGTTTTTGAAGCAAGGGATGTCGAGTTCTGCGTGTAATGCGCGTGGGCGTGGGGTTTACTCGAAGGTTGTGCAATGGAATGTGGGATTTTGGGTGAGGTCCCGCCGCGTTTATATCGAGGGGGGAGCGGGAGCAGACGCCCGGGTGGCCAAGTTTTGCGTGGCTGGTGCGATGGGAAATGACCGGAAGCGGTCGTGGGGGGCGCGTGATCTGTATCGTGAGGTGAACTCTGGGGTAGGGACAGAAGGTGAACGTTTGGTGAGTCCAGCGCATTGGGCGGTCCGGAATGGGAGGCGCACATGTCTGTCCCAATGCGGAAGGCATCGCACGGCAGGCACCAGACTTAACAGAAGAGCTGCAGAACATGTGCTCGGCCTCGAACAGCTATTCCCTATCCCGAACAGAGAATCTGTGGCACTCGAAGCCCAGACTGGCGAGTGCGCAACTCTCGAGACCTATATCACCACGTCACCAAGCGTCAAGCTGAGCAATGATGATACCACTACTTGACCTGCGTAATCCCGACAGGAACTCGATGCAATTGGACGTGCGAGTGATCTTCGCAGCCACGCCCGAAGCGGCCCGCCGCCCGTTTGTTCCAAACATTGAGCAGAAACACAAAGCATTACGATGATGCACAGGCCCAATGCGGCCAAAAGATCTACATACCACATTGAAACTGAGACAAGACAAAGAGGCCCGGATTGATCGGATGGCACGTTGGCATGGACCCCAGACCATATCGTGGAGTACCTGAACAGTTCTAGCGTGACCTAGAAGGCTCGAGGTGCAATGTGAATGTGAAGTCGGGTACACTGCATGTCGGCTGTGCCTTTTCCGACATAGTGAGAGTCGGCCTCGGCGGAGTCCGACATGTCCGATGGCGTGGTAGCGATGCCATGTCGCGAATTTCCCGGAGGGGTGGGCGCCAACCCAACGTTGGTCGTCTTTCATGTGTCGACGTTCTAGTTGTGTATGCCACGGCGTTGAAATACTTCGTCTAGCTCTTATCGTATGCTCATCCAGAAGCCAATAGGGACAAGTATACATTTGTTGGGTATCATCGCTGTCGATAACTATATCATGACTCCACGCTCACGTCGTCCCAAGCCTGTGCTCAATGCAATATCCGGGCCACACTCCGCGAGACCACAAGAATCCTAATCGGTCGTCGAGGTGACGAACACTCTCACGCCCTTCGAATTCAGACTAGTAACGGGGATGAAGAAATCGTGAGCCATCTCGACGTCCGTAACATCGGCTTCGAAGAGCTCAAACTTGAAGCGGCGGAACATCATGCCTAGAGTAAGGTAAAGCTCCGTCCACGCCAGCCTATCGCTTGTGAGCAAACACGGGAACAATCAAGGACAGCGTAAAAGGTATACTCACGTAATGCCCAAGCAAGACCGTGTTCCACGGCCGAATGAGACCATGAACCTATCCAGCGGAATGCCGTCATCCGTCTTCGGGTCGCCCAACCAACGTTCAGGAATGAACTCGCGCGATTGAGGGAAGATCTCCTCGTCGTGGCTCAGGTCTGGGATGCTCATGGAAACGCACGTGTTGGCAGGAATGACCCACTCCTTGTATCGAATCGGTTTGTCGTGCGTCCTCGGATTGCGCGCGCTCAGACCATAGCCCATGCGTACGGCCTCCATGATGCAAGCCTTCAGGTAGGGCATCTGCTCAAGCGGCTGAAGCTCCAGGGTGGCGCGATTTGGGATAGCTTTGACAAGATCGGCGTGAAGTCGCTCATAAACTTCAGGCTTGTTGATAATGTGGAAGGCAGCAATAGCGAGGGCGAAAGCGGTCGTCTCGACACCACCTCCAACAACGATCTGGGCTTCATCTTCGAGGCGTTGTTGCGTCTTATCCTCCGGTGGGAGCTTGGAGCCCAGGATTTCCTGGAAGATGGTCTTGTTCGCATCGTTGACCTTGACATCCTCACCCTTCAGATAACGTGCAATTACATCCCTTTGGTCCTGTACCGCTGTTTAGAACTGTCGCCGAAATTGTGACTGGCCGACAACTTACACGCTTGAACTTCAACAGCGGCTTTGCAGCAGGTTGCAGCCACTCGGTTATGAAGTCTGGCATCGAGTTCATGATCTCGAAGAAGTTAGTTCCAAGTGGTCAAGTGTCATGTCGGATAAAGTCAGAATATACCGGAAAGATTGCGGGGAATTGCGTCGCAACATGGCCAGTGCCTCCGATCTTGATGAAGGCCTCATGGAACGATGCAAATTCCGGGTCCTTGAGCTGGCCATAGTTGAAGCCGAAGAAATAATCCATGATTATGTCTCCGGTCAACGCTGGGAAGGCATGCGTGAGGTTCAAGGGCTCTTTGCGACCCTCAAACTCCCGCATGCGTGTCGAAAACGTCTCGACATGGCGATGGATGATATGAACAAATTCAATGATGGACCTCCGAGAGAACCTGTCAGGTGATGTGAGCACAACATGATGTGGTCAGGGATGGCCTGCATTCTTTCACGCAGGAAAGCACAGAACGAGCTTGCCTACATGGAACTCAGGGCTGCACGGCGCCGTTTATGGACTTGGGCGTCAGGTGTTGGGAGCAAGCCACCCTCGCTGCCGAAGCGCTTGTCCCATCCTTCTTTGAGGAGGTGAACGTTCTTGGGGTACACATGGTCGAAGAAGCGCGAGTCCCTAATGTGGATCTCATGCGGTGTGACACGAATAATGGGCCCTGAGACAGTTGTCAGCCATCTCCCACGCGAGATGTTGCAATTGAAGGCGCACACACCATACTGGTCGTGTAACTGCGATATCTTCTTCGAGTATTGTCCGTTCTTTACGATCTCGTAGTAGGCCTCATACCAGGACGTGACGGCGGCCAGGCGCGGCCCCGGGAACTTGGCCAGAGGGTGGAAAGACAACCGGTAAAGCACCAGGCCAAACCAATACGCCACGAAAGCGAAGACGACGACGCCCGTCAGCGAGGGTGAAGCCATGGGGACACGGTGGGGATCCATTGCCATGGTTCCGCGAGACCGGATGGTGCGGGCGAAGGTGGCATTTTGTCAAGCAAACGGAAACTCGCAAGCGCACAGGACGCTATTGCTGCAGACGCGGAACGCGTCTTCAACGTGGTTCGACGTCGCGCTTTCGCGCGGGTGAATTGCCCCTTCATGGCGCTGGCGTGCCGAGGGAATGCCGCCGCCATGCCGTTCAAGCCCCTGGCGTGTGGAGACTGTGGGATGCGGAGCGCTCGGGAGCCAAATCAGTGACAGCAGACGGCGCCTCGTCGAAAATGCAGCGGCGTCTATTGCTTGCCTGCAGCCCGTATTGAGCATCCGCCGCACGCCAGACGAATGGGTGGCCGATGAGTAACTGAATAGTCGAATGTGCCGGACTCTTGGTGCAACGCTGTACATAACCCCTCCTGCCTGCTCCCGCGCGACGCAGCTGGCAAGGGCTGTGAGCACTGAGGAGACTTGCGCATCCCTCTAAACGCCATGTCGGCCGCCACAAGCGTGCCCGCGACGGCGCCAGAACCAGCATCAGCACCAGCAGAGCCGTCTGCCACTGATTTGCCACCAGTGCCCGCGCCAGCCGACCAAGAAGCGAGCCACGAGGAAACTACCCTCGAGCTTGATACTGCGACCCCCTCGGACAGCGACGCAGACTCGGCCTTCGACGGCGGATCCACCGCGAGCACCTCGCTGGCCTCGTCCATCCTCAACTACGAATATTCAAACGGTCGTCGATACCATGGCTACCGTAGCGGCGCGTACGTTCTACCCAACGATGAAGACGAACAAGACCGTCTCGACCTACTGCATCACATCTTCCTGATGCTGCTCGACGGGAAGCTATACGCTTCGCCAACTGGTTCGGCTCCTGGGAGAGTGTTGGACATAGGGACTGGGACTGGCATATGGGCGTTGGATTTTGGCGACGAGAATCCCGGCTCAGAAGTAGTCGGCACCGATCTGTCGCCCATCCAGCCCAGCTGGGTGCCCCCGAACGTAAAGTTCTATATCGATGACGCGGAAAGCGAGTGGGTGTACAGTCCGCACGAGCGTTTCGATCTGATACATGCGCGGGGGTTGTCGGGCGCCATCAACGACTGGGAGAAGCTGTGCGCGCAGTGCTATGACAATCTCCAGCCGGGGGGATGGCTCGAGTTCCAGGAGCCGATGGCGTGGGTAGAGAGCGACGATGATACAATAGAGCGCGCCCATAATCTGCGACAGTGGCAGCAGTTGTGCAATGACGGGGCAGCGCAATTCGGGAAGGTCATCAAAGTAGGACATCTGCTTAAAGATCGACTGTTGAATGCAGGCTTTGTCGATGTCCACGAGAAAGTAGTAAAGGTCCGTACACAATGCAGGTCGTTCCTTGCGTCTTCAAATCGCCCCCAGATAAGCGAGATGCGGGGACTGGCGAGACATGCTCCAAGGTGTGAAGCGCTCGCGACAATTGTTGACCCTGTCACAGGTTCCTATCGGGCCATGGCCGAAGGATCCAAAGATGAAGGAGATTGGCCGGTACCAACGGGAGCACATGGCGATAGGTACGTCTCGCGCGAGTGTCGGATCTAGGCCTCATACTCATATACGCCGCCAGGTATTGAGCCATACACCCTGGGCTTTCTCGGGAAAGTGCTCGGCTGGAGCGAAGCAGAGTGCAAGATCATGATTGCGAAAGTGCGAGAAGAAGTGCGGGACAAAAGCTTGCACATGTACATCCGCTTCTACTTCGTCTATGGGCGAAAGCCAGAGAGCGCAGTGCACTGAACGCCGTCTTGTTCAGTACAGATACTCCACGTAGGATGAATTTTCCTACTTTTGCATGAAAGGGAGGACAAAGGAATTTCCGGTTTCTACCTTAGCAGCAAGAAATTGCGGCCGGAAGGCGACTACCTTGAGTTGTCCTTCGTTCATCGTGTTCATGTCCTCACATTGCGCTTCATCGTTGAAAGCATGCATCGTCTCAAGATCAAAGCATACAAATGGTTTTAAACCCCATCGACATGCCCTCCTACAGATGAAGCGCTGGTAGATCCTTTTACGATTGATGTTGGTACATCCCACCAATGCGGTCTTCGCAAACTCTTTCCCCGTAAGAGTGTCAACGCTTGAAAGTGCAACAACGCCAATCGAATCAACTGACACATCCCAGATCCTTCCCATAAGTCATTCCGTACATCATTATTACGTCATCCCAATCTAGTTCCATGACTCGTCAATTCCTCGCATCCGTATTTCCCCTCGTCACATACCTCTTCATGAGCCCGTTCTTGTCAATCACCCACATCAACCCAACCCCCAACCCCACCACCCTCCACCCTCTTAAAACCCATCAAAAAGTACAAACCTGCTTCCTTGGACGTACACCGAATCTCGTGTTGCTCAATGTGCACAATTTGTTTTGGAAGGATTGGCCAAGCGTTAAGGCCAATTCTAGGACGAGATGCCGGTGGTGAAGGAGGCGTCGAATACATAGTGGTAGGCATGTCTGCGGCTGGAGTATAATCGAACGATGGAGGTATAGATGGTTTGGAAGAAGTAATGTGGAGGTGTTGGGAGTGAAGTGTAGAAAGCAGCAATCCGTGGAATGCTCATTGACCCAGTTCAGTGAACGTCCAGAAGTACGAAATTTACTCTCCTTCGCAATGTACGCTTCTTGTATCGAACGTCGAGAGGTCGAGGTGTGGTTCTAACGAATAGAAAAGGATGTATATTGCGGCTGTTGCATGCGTCTGATCTGACCGTAGAGCAAGCCGACGCAGCAGCAGCCCGAAGGACTCACTGCGAAGACCGCTTGTCAAACAATATTCTGTGATTCTGTTCTCTATGCTCCAAGATGTACCCCTCGTGGTGCCAAGAATCCCGCATCCAACCACGGGTCAGGCCCGGGGTAGTCGCGCTCACGTGCACCGTCCAGGTGTGGTATCCGGTGTTGAAAATGCCTCAAGCACTGCCTCAAGCTAAACAGACAACAAGCTAGGAGATCTACGATACGTATACATACGCCGTACACATGTCTTGCGGCTCGCTCTCCGTCTGGTTTCCAAGGTTGTGTGGTCGCCGATGCGCTGTTTGACCAAACTGCACCGGCGATTCGTTCGACCTGAGCACACCGATGGTCTCATATGACACCATCGCGAATACATCTTTGTTGCATCGCACAGGACGTCCTCGGCACAAAAAGGTCAAGCGAAAATCCGGACAAGGCAATAGCAAGTGGTCTATACAAATCGATTCGATTAAACTGTGCATGCAAAATCGCCATGCCATGTCGCGCTATTGACAGGTTGCGGATATCGTGAGCGCCAAAAAGTGCTATAGCAAGTGAACAGGGATAAGTGCACCTTTACCATACGCCAAATTTTCCGTGGTGGGTGATGGGGCGCCGCCCACACCCGTACCCATGTCCCCAATGGGTTTATCAAAACTTCAGTTAAAGCGAAACCCCTAAAACACCATGCTGGCAGGTATTGAACGCTAGGATCAAGGTAATAAGTGTAAATGACTCGCGTTTGCTGCTCACCCTTCGCTAACAAAGCAATGCACCCTCACGGTGCCATCTTCACTGCCACTAATCAATCGGGAATCACTCAGACCTACGCAATTGACGGGACCCTCATGTCCAGACAATGTACGTTCGTGTTTACCGGTACGAGGATCCCAGATCTTGATTAGTTTGTCTTCGGCTCCGGAGACCAGACGTAGACTATCGGCAGCGAGGCTCCAGACGCCTTCAATGTGACCGAAAAAGCGGTGAATGGTACGGCCAGAAGGAACGTGCCAGAGGCGGATCGTTCCATCGAGCGATCCGGTGAGCATGTACGTCGGTGGCGCAGGTCTGTCTGGTTCATTCGGGAAGAGAGTTTCAGTGGTGAAGGTCTCTTGAGAGCTAGAGTATAGGTTCTCCGAAGCGAGCGATGCCGTGTCAGAGCCGTTATTGGCGTTGGGGACGAAATCCGCCTCGTCAATCTCGAACTCCCTGGGGAGGGGAAGAACTTGTTGGACCTGACCAACGTGGCCTTCGAATGTCTTAATGCAGGTCCTGGTCTCGAGGTCCCAAAGTTTGACAGTCTGGTCGTCGGAAGCGGAGAATAGTGTGCGAGAAGGAAGATCGATCTTGACAGAGTTGACCCAGTCCTCGTGTCCCCGCAATCTGAACTTTTGCTTCGTACCGAGGTCATGGACTGCGATGGTATGGTCCGCAGATCCCGAGGCAAGAAGCTTGTCTGCCATGTGCAGTCCAATGATTCCTGCCTCGTGAGCCGGGATGGTCGTCTTGCATTCGCCAGTCTTCCAGTCCCACACCTTCATGGTACCATCTAAGCTACCGGTGATCAGACGCGCATCATCGAATTGTAGACACCGTACGGGAAGTCGATGGCCACTGAGAGAGCGGATTTCGGTGCCTGTGTTGATGTCCCAGACTTTGATGGTGTTGTCGTAAGATCCGGTGATGAGTGTCTGCTCGTCGAATTGAAGACACATGACACCATTTGTGTGTCCTTTAAGGACACGCGTAGAATAACGACCATACTTCCAGTTGGTGCCTACCTTGAAACGATCCTTGTAAACATCCTTCCACGGCCTCTTCTTCGGCTGGTCGAAGTACGATGCCTGTTGATCTCGCAGTGACGATTGCATGGTGCAAGGTCGCTTAGATGACGCCTCCGGCGATGAAGGGTCATCCTCAGCAGAGCGTTTAGATCCAGCGGTAGTTTCGGAAAGGTCCGAGTTGTGGGGTACTAGAGGCGCTGGCGGTGCAGGGCCATCAACGGCAGGGGTGATATCGGGTGACCACTCGTTCAGTCCTCGGCCGGAAGCGCGCAGTTGGATGCGTCTCTTCTCTGTCCGGAGTCTCCGTTGGTCTAGCAATGGCAGGCCCCAACCGCACTTGGTACACTTCCTGTCAATGTGTTGTTCGCACATCTTGTGCCATACGACATCATCGTCTGCCAATTGTCTCCAACGCTGGCTCACTTGTGCGGCTTTACACAGGGAAGTAGTGTCGAGGTAGCAAAGGATTTTAAAGCCTAGCTCGGGTGGGAGTGCGGAGAGAAAGTCAATCTTGATGAGGTTGCGGACGTTGGATGAGATGAAGGATAGCTGGGGGAAGCAGCACGTCGAGAGAATGCCTTGAAGCATAAGGTTTCTTTGTCTGGCAGGGGCAGCGGAGAAGAGCGACCAAACGTTGGCGATGCTCTGCTGGTCGTTTTGCGATTCTCTCCCCAATTCCTTTGTATGTTAGCGATGTCCACGATACCAAGACACAAGTACCTACCTGTTGCAGCTGCTCCATGGTCGGCTCGTCTGCTTGCTTCCTACACAGCATGTCGGGTCGATGGCGGTAGCAGAACTTTGTGTTTGAGCGGCCATGGGCATGCTGCTCTCCGCCACCGCCCAGCGGATTGTATTGCTGGGGTATGTGCTCGGCGAGATACGGCGCAATCATCTTTTCGATCTTTGTAGAAGTATTCTTATTCACGAACGAATTGTTCTGTTCGGCGTCTGGCTCCCCGTCCTCCCCTCTGCGGTGTCGCACGCGCTCGGTAAGGCCTTCGTGGTCGTGGCCGAGCATTAGAGCGGTGTGGGGATCATGTACATGGGCAGGGTGATCGCGCAAGATGTCAGAATGTTGCGAAACGGACGTGCGCCATGACAGTCGTCGCCGTATGGGAGGGCTGTGCGATCGCGGAAGAGAGGTCGAATCGGTTGCGCGAGGTTCGGCGACATAAGTGGTATTTGACGCCATTCTGGGAGGTTTCGGTGCAATAGCGCAAAGGAGAGGGTCCCTATGAAGGTCCCGGCAGCGGATCACTCATGGAACCTCCGGATGGGCGGCGCTGAAGACGAGATATTCTCCAAGATGGCGTGCTGTTGCGCCCAGGGTCCTACGGTTCCACAAGCGGTGAGTGGGACGGGTGGTGACCACAGCGCCGGGGTCGCTGGGCGGAGGGTCGCTATATGTCCCCTGAGCGTGCGCGCAGAGATAACTGATGTTTCTGTTCACGTTGCGCGCAGATTGGGTGTCGGCTCTGTTGTTGCAAAGTGTGGGGGGACGTGGGTCACGATGACTAGAGAGAAGTCGCCGCCCGAGCACCTCAGAGCACGCAATCAAGAAAGATCAGGAAACGCCATCGCCACGCCCACCGGCCAGCACAAACCAACGCCCCCCGCGCCATGGCAGGTCTTGCCGAATCTCACAGAGCAGGCAGACTCGATCGAACGCTGACTCGGCCCTCATGCTGCTGTCGAGTTGTTGGAAGCTTCAACTCTTGCAGACACTGCACGTCAGCGTCCACGTCTGATTGGCGCGCGTTTCCCTTGCGATACCCTGACATGAATGAAGCGCCGGCTGCCGTTCCCCGCCCCACACTTCGCAGCTCTCCACCGCCGACAGCCGTGTAACTTCGCGCGCGCTCTGTTGCCTGTGCTCTTACCATCGACAATGTATCTCACTTGCGCGCTTCGTTTGAGTTTGTATGTTATGTGTCTGCCTTAGAAGATAACTTTGATCCCTGCGCTTTATCTACCTTGCTCACTGCTACTGACATACAGCCACACGAAATGCAATGGCCTCTTCACCGTCCCCGGCCTCCTCCACCACCAGCGCGAGCTCCCAAAGGTCGCTGCATCAGGACCGGCCCCAAACTCTTGAGGATCTTGTGACCCACTTCGTAGCCTCGAAACGCTCACTGCAGACGCAAACAATCCTATGGCGCGCCAACGGGATCGTGACCTCTGCGCGCGAGTTGCTGGAGGAGAACGCTATTCTTGCAGCTAAGAATATGTCCATTCGGAACATTGTGAATGAGCAGGTCGATGCGCTGGAGGCTGTTCGCCGTGGTATAGATGTTGTAGAGGCGGATGTGCAGGCCGAATTCAAGGTATGCTAGCCTCTCTACCCTTTACAGACGAGAAGGAAGTACTGACCATCCAGCAACTTCTTCATGACCTCGATACCTCGTTCGCTGGCCTGAAGTCCACCCTCGCCGTCTTGCGAGAAACGCCGATCGAGTCCGCTCTCCAGCCCTCCGGTACGCCGCAGAAGCACCTCTTTGATTTCATTGATAATACGACCGTTACCGCCTTGGAGAACTCACTTAGAGCCTGCATAGACAGGTACAATGAGGCCCGCTCAAGCCTTGAAGAGAGCACTGACGCTTTCGATACCTCGCTCGAGAACCTGAATTCCTCTATTGATAACGTCCCGAAGACGCCCGTCACAAGTCCCACCCCGAGCCCCATACCTAGCTTATATCGCGATCTCGAAGGACATGCGAGAGAGTCTGCACAAGCTTTCCAATCTCTAGTCAAGCATTATGACCTGTGCGTGACTGCCCTGCGGCACACGGAAGGAGGTGCGGCTGCTGTAACACAGGCCACCGGAGATGTGTCGTTACCCTCAGGCGACGATCATGGCCCACCTCCGGACCCGATTTCGGAAGAAGAGCGCCAGGAGATGCTGGGTGTGCTGGGAAGGGACGCCCAAGAAGTTGAAGATGTTGTGACGGAGATTCGCGAACACGGCTCTGAGATGTCGTACCTGCTATCGCAAATCGACGTTCACATCGCTCATCTACGGAACGAAGACTCGGCACTCGGCAGTATCCTCAAGATGATAGCGAACATTGCAACAGAGGTCAAAGGCCACATTGCCACCTCCAGAGCCTTCCATCGTTCTTGGTTGGAGGACACGCGACCTACACTGCTGAACGGAATAGAAGAGTGGGAGAGCCAGCGAGATTTCTACGAACGATTTGACCTGGCATATGCTGAGCTTTTGGTGGAGATTTCGTCACGAAGGCGAAGGTACGAGAAAGCGAAGCGGAAGGCCGAGGAAGCACAGAAAGAACTGGACAGGTTGCATGCTGAGGACGAGCGCGCACGTGAGCAGTTCACGCTCGCTCAAGGAGACTTCTTGCCACTAGATATCTGGCCTGGTTTGAGGGACCCACCCAGACGCTACGAAGTGCGCGCCGTTCCTATATCGCAAGAACAAGAGCTGGAGGAGGTTGAGGAGGATCAGGATACCGATCTCGTCGCCAAGAGTATCCCGCAGCTAGGACGCAATGTCGTAGAGCGTGCTTTGGTCAGGGTGAAAAGAAGGATGTGAGCTGCCAGATGCTGCACGGGACCGTGTTTGGGGAGCCGATATGGTCCGCATAACACCGCATGTCACCAAAAGCTGTCCAAAGGACAATTCCTTGCGCTACACACGCTATGATGGAGATTCTCGATCTGCTTTTAGTCATGATCCCACATACTGCGCCTGCCCGCGACTGAATATCCCAAATAAATTAGCTTCCCAGTCGATGAAGCGTGAGCCTACTTAGAAGATAGGTCAGCTATGCGTAGCTGGCAGTGATCGGAAGGGGGAAATTGGAACTCTAAGAAGAGATGCTCTGTCAAGTCTAGGACAGACGTTGATCGGTTGCAAATGACTCTTGGGTGGTTATAGCAGTAAAGAGAATTGTATAGTACCACACGCATCTATGGCTCCAAGGCACTCTAGCTATAGGAACAGGCCAAAACGCATCATTCAAGAAGGGCCTCATCATCCGTCTACCCAGCGCTTGATCTCGATGAGCAATGTAAATGTTCGAGAACCAGCGTTGCAGTAAATCAATTAATCAATGGGCAATCCTTGCGCGATTGCGGCGCCAGAGGCTCTTGCTAGTCTAGTGGGTACCTGACAGCGTGATAGCTTCACTTTAGTTGAGGTGCGTGGTGCATGAGTTGCGTTGGCATGCCTGGAGTCGTGGCGCAGGTAATCGTGAGTCATGGTACGGTTGACAGTGATGGCGTGTGAAGTTCCTGAAACCAAGACGAAAAGTCGTACAGTCTAAACAGTTGACAAGTCCTGAGAGTCGTCGACTATGCTTGTTGATTATGTTGGACAGCAGTATAGCGGGGTTGATCAGCCCTATAGAGGCGGTCTGCTTCCCCTCCCCTCCAAGCCTAGCCTAGCCTAGCACCTAACCCCTCGGTCGCCCTACACTACTAGTGTACTGACGTGTTATCGATACGAACTTTTTCTGCCCCTCGCGCGCCCGAGTCACTCGCTATTGCATGCCGCCATCGCCATATCTTATTGCTACGCCCACACCCTTAAGCAATACCATTTAGACTCCATAGGGACCCTTCGAACACTTCGATTGATTTTTACATCACCAACACGCATAGCCTCGTCACAGGTTACTTCGGAACCACCGTCCACAGCCATGGCGAGCACCGAACCGACCGTTTCCACCACCACCGAGCCCGTCGTCGATGACGAGAACGAGGACGACCTTGAAGACATCTTCGATCCGTCAGAGGACGATGAAGTGCCCGAACTCGTGTCTGGCCCTAACGCTCAGAAGAAGTCGAAACCTACAGCCAACACCAGCGCCTCCATAGACGACCAAGTGGCGTCGCTAGCCAAGCATGCAAGCCGAATCCGTCTCGACGACAGAATGGCCGGCACAGGCGGGGGTTCAGCAAGAGACAAGGACAAGGCCGATCGGGCGACGAGCGAGCAGGTGCTAGACCCACGAACGCGCATGATACTCCTGCAACTCCTCAACCGCAACATTGTGTCTGAGATCAATGGTGTCATCTCAACAGGCAAAGAGGCGAATGTTTATCATGCCGCTACCATATCTGAAGATGATGCGCAGCCGCTCCATCGAGCTATCAAGGTGTACAAGACGTCCATATTGGTTTTCAAGGACCGCGACAAGTACGTGACGGGCGAATTCCGTTTTCGCACGGGCTACAACAAAAGCAACAATCGGGCCATGGTGAAGGTGTGGGCAGAGAAAGAGATGCGAAACCTCAGGCGGATATACAACGCTGGTATCCCGGCTCCCGAGCCTCTATACTTGCGCCTACACGTTCTCGTCATGAGCTTCCTGGGCGACAAGAAGGGCTGGCCTGCTCCACGGCTCCGAGATGTTGTGTTCGAGGGTCTTACAATCGAAGAGGAAGAGCAAAAGTGGAATAGCTTATATATCCAGCTCCTGGGCTACATGCGAACTATGTACCAGACTTGCCGCCTTGTCCACGCTGATCTCAGCGAGTACAACCTACTTTACCACGAAAACAAGCTCTACATGATCGATGTCTCCCAATCCGTTGAGCACGACCACCCCCGCTCCCTGGAATTCCTGCGCATGGACGTAAAGAATGTGTCAGATTTCTTCCGGTCGCGTAACGTCGATGTGCTCTCCGAGCGGAAGGTGTTCCTCTTCGTGACTGGCGAACAGGGTGGGAAGGAGTTGACTGACATGGAGAAATATGTCCACAGTATGTTTGAGCAGAAGGATGGCCTGACCGCAGAGGAGAGGCAACAGGAAGACAACGTTGATGAAGTTTTCCGCAACCAGTATATCCCCCAGACGCTTGACCAGGTGTACGATATCGAACGTGACGCCGAGCTCGTCAATAGCGGGCAGGGTAATGACCTGATTTACCAGGGACTACTCGCTGGCAAAGCTGCTGATGGGACGCCGATGTCGCAAAACGAGTCTGATGCTTCGCAAGAGGGTAGCGACGCAGATGACACTACATCCGAGGATGAGGAGGGCACGTTCGAGGAACGCGAGAAGGGAACGCCGCGGGGGAAACGCAATATGGACAAAGATGCGAAGCGCGAGCATAAGAAAGCTGTGAAGGAGGAGAAGCGTGAGAAGCGCAAGGAGAAGATCCCGAAGCATTTGAAGAAGAAATTGGTGTCGCAGTCGTCGCGGAAGAAGTGAGGAGACTCAACGCATGCATACACATTTCAAATACAGCTAGGCACCACGGTTGGTTACGAACCATCCTCAGGGTAAGTCTACCACGCACCATCTTGTTGGACGGGAACTTTTGGGACTCGTGACGAAGAAAAGCCCGGCATTTCTGAGAACCTGCTATAGCGTGGTTTTCGCAAGATAACCCGCAAGGTGGGCGACTGGAACTAGGTGTCGCCGAATAGCCTCCCCTTTACTTCGATTGTGGTTGGCTTTGCGGATCAAAGAGAGCACTGAGAGTCATGCGGCTTGGATACTAGTTCAGTCATGACTAGAAGTACGATGTACTAACCGAAAAGCAGATACATACTCCAGAGCTTAATACAAAGCGCCGTGTCAGAAGTTCCGGTACGCTACGATCTCCGGACCAGGCAAACCAGACGCCTGTATGAAGATCTCTCACTGAATACCTAGCATCCAGAAAGGAAGATTCACGAGATCATGGGCGTACCCACGCGGGAGCCCAACGTAATGAGTATGACGCTACGTCCAAAGTACTATGTCTACATCACCAATTGTACAAGATCTTAAGGGTTTTACCTCTTGAGTATTTTACAGCATATTCTTCCTCCAGGCCCTCGTAGCCAGCTTCTCAATCTCCCCCACCTCCACCGGCCCCTTCACCTCGCCATCCTCCAATGCCTCCACAATTGCATCCGCAACCGTATCCGCCTTAAGCGGCTTGATCCCCCCTGCCCCCATCAACCAAGTCAGCCTCCCTCCCACGGCACTATTCACCATACTTGCGATCCCGCCCGCCGCAGCAATCGGCAGCGTAAATGTCCGACTCGAATCGTACATGAACGGCGCCCTTATGAACACGTTCCTCATACCAGAAAAGCTGGTGCCTATGATCTGCTCTGCCTCGCGCTTCGTCGTGATATACCTCTTAGGCAGCACAGGTGCCCCCGCCGCAGCACTAACATACAAATACGTCCGCACTTTCTTTGCCTCCGCCTCCTTCGCCAGGCTAACCGCACTGTCCCTGTTCATGACCTCATACGTGAGCTGTCCGTCTTTCTCCTGGGGCGTTAGCCGCTCTCCCTCTTTCCTTTCGAATGGATTCTGCGTCCCGGCTTTTGCGGCGCTGAAGGCGCGTTGAAGGCCGGATATGGGGGATTCGCGGCCAGAAACGACGCCTTTGTAGTCGGCTTCGAGGAGGATACCCATGGTGTGGACTACAGCAGTTGCGGAGGTGAGGTGCGAGGCGTAGGTGGACGGGTCGAGGACGTCGCCTTTTTCCCAGGATACGGAGGCGGACCAGGAAGGAGGGGTCGGGGAGGAGGAGACGGAGGGCCAGTTGGGGGTGCCAGAGCGTCTGTAGCAATATTTAGTTATGTTGAATAAGAAATAGGAAGTGGCAGTGCAGTGGACGAGTAACATACGATATCGAGGTTACAGCCCAGCCGCGTTGCGCCGCTGCTCTGCAGATGCGGCTTCCTGTGCGGTAGGTTAACACCAATGTACATTTGAGCTTCAATTGGGTGAAAGAAGGACTATGAAGGGAGTAACATACCAAGGAATCCATTTCCTCCGCAGACTACAAGCTTCTTCTTCGCTGCTGAAGCCATTGTTGTGTTGTATGCGGAGGAAAAACGCTTCGAAGCTTGAGGCTCAAAATGTCGAGTGGTGAGGTCACTCCACCGAAGCTATCCGCCGCAGTGGCAAGGGTCCCACGCGACCGCCAAGACTCCCGCGGCGAGCCCCAGATTTTAGAAGCGCATGTGAAGCTCCACGACTCCACAACGAACCTTAAAAACTTCCTTCCAATACGGCGCACCATCATACATTCGATCTTATTGTCAATAGCCCACCTTCTCTTACCGAAACATACCGCGACTTGCTGCGTCGAATACTGGTAGGCAGAGCGGCGGTGCGCTCTCGTCAAGATGCCCGCCCCCGCAGCAAACAAGCGCGTCAAGGCCAGTGAAGGCGCACGTCTGCCACCATAATCGCGAGCTAACGACGCGCAGAACAAGCGCGTGAGCCGGAATATCAGTGCGCATGCTTCAATGTGATTGCGCAACCTTCTTTCTAACACCCCCAGTCATTGGCTCCGAAGCCTGGGCCCTCCCTCCTGTAGGCCATCCCGACCGCCCCAAGGGTGTACCCGACGATCACACCAAGCGATGGACAGTCTACGTGCGACAACCAGACGGTGACCCTTCGCTCACAACGTGGCTCAACAAAGTCCAATTCAAGATCTTCAATACCTACGAGAACCCACTCCGCACTTGCGACAATCCGCCCTTCCAGGTAACCGAGACCGGCTGGGGCGGGTTCACCATCGATATACGGTTACATTTTCAGCCCATCAGCGGCGAGAAGGCTCAGTACAGGCAGCACTTCCTGCAATTGGAGAAATACGGCGATGAGAAGCTACAGGCAGAACAGGAGAAGACGGGCTGTGTGAGGAGCGAGTTTCTGGAGGTGGTGCAATTTAATGAACCGACCGAGGCACTATACGAGGCGCTCACTGCAGATGACCAATGGAGCTACCTTGCGCTTGGTGCGAAGGGTGGTAAGAAGACCTCGAGCATGAGCACAGGACCGAATGGGCGACCGAAGCGCGGTTTTCCAAATGGCGAGCGAAGTGCGCAGTTACCCGAGAAGGGTGGCGACGATATCCCATTCAGCCAGGAGCAGGAGGCTGAACTGATAAACCAGCTCAAAGCCAAGATGGCGGAGGTCGACAAGGCATTAGCAGGGGAGAACAAGAAGAGGGAAGAGACGGAGGCCAAACTTAAGTCGCTAAGGGAAGAGCTTGGACATGAGGCTGCCCAACAGGCGGCGCAACAAGCGAGCGGGGACAGAAGTCGGAGGAGGTGAGAGGTAGTCGAATAAAGTTCATGTTAGGATCAATCTGGTTGAGACGTTCTGCTGACGTTTAACGTGTCTAGTGGAAGGGAGCTGAGAAAGACGAGGAAGGCGAGAGGATCCGTTTGACGACCATTGTGGAAGGCGTTTTATTATGGTTCTGAGCACAGCGGAGGGATTCTGCCTCGATGCCCTCGACACGGGCTTACTTTACGCGGCGATCGCATCACCAAGGCGTTGGGAAATGGAACAGCTATGCTGGCGTACAAGCAGGAGGCGTTGGTGCCAGCTTACTGATATCTCTTCCTATTGCGGTCTCCAACTTAACATTACGAGGATGCTAATGCTTTCTCTGATGTCCCAACCAAGAACGCCGTACACATTCTTATACAGCGCCGCAGATCATGCCACCCACTCTGACCTCACCTGCCACCCGACTTATGCTTCATAGTATCAAAGTCAATCTCCGACTTCACCACAGTCTTACTCTTCCTTGTTACACCCTTCCCCGTACTCATCCCTTCCGTCCTTTCCACACCCTTCTCAACCCACTATCCATCTATCAGTTCATATCCAAACCCTCTGCCCTCTCGTCTATGGACAACTCACTGCTTCAGTATGCTTACTCAACTCGGGTGTCGCAGGACTGAAATCTAACGGGTTCACGACGTTTCCCTTCCCTGCCGTCTCTTTCGAAGTGACCGGTGAATCTGCGTTCTTGCTGAATGAAGCTTGTGATTGCTCTGCGACCATGTCGTCGCCGCCGGATTGGGAGTACTCGTTGCTGCGCAGATTTATGGCGGCGGGGTCGGAGGCTTCGCGCTCGCCGGTTTTGATGAAGTGGTTATCGGGGAGATTTGAGGGGCTGGGTGAACCGGAGGAGTAGTAGCGGGCAGGAAGGGGAAGGCGCCGGAGAAGGTGGGTGCGGAGCGGGATACGGATCATGGTGGAGGTTGTGGTGTCTGGTCCGATTGTTGGTTGTACAGTTCACGATCGTAGAAATGGTTGAATGTGCAGGATGAGCGGGACGGAAGGTGAACTACTGTGAAGCGAAGCGAAGGAAGATGCTTTACGCTTGTTCACAATTCCATGAGGCGCGAGTACAGTGATCATGATTGGCAGTGATGTAATGGGAGCGTATGGGTGCTAGCCCGATGCAGTAATCGAGGTGATCGAACCCCAGATTTCGTGATGCGCGAATGAGGAGTGATTGCATATGCAGGGTCTGAACAGTAGCGTAAACTCTTCGCAGAGCTTACAAGAGTCCCTGACGTGCGTGCTTAAGCTTGCACGATGTTGCAGAACAGCAACTCAACGTTGAGCGTTACATACTTGCTTTTTCTTCCCTTGGTCCAGAACGAGCAGGAATAAGATGATCCCCGAGTACCTTCAGCCTCTGCCTCACTGGCCGACGCTTGGCCGATCTGGAAGAACGTTCGATCGAACACCTCAAGGGCGGCCAGATGGTTCTCATGACAGGCTGCAAACGTTGTACATGCGGATGACAAACGCGACTTCTCCTTCCGCATTGCCAATCGTTGTTTGGGCCTGTGATGTCACGTACTTTCTTTGATGGGGAGGGCTGACTTCGTTCTGGCCAATCACAACCACGGGTGCTAATGCGATTCATAAGCAAAGCCCTCATGCAGCAGCTCTAGCGATGTCGAGTTGACTCATCTCTTCGCACCTTTCGGATCAGGTATCACGGGTAGACACATATTACCTGCGGAGGTCCGCTGAGGCTGCGACTTCAATCTTCTTCCACTGATCACTTTGTCGACTGCGACAACAGCAACGCAAGCTCACCTACCCGGCTGTAGGCGCTGACACTTTCAATTGATAACAGAACAGCTGGATACCCATCAAAATCCTTGCGGACATATGTGGTTAATAGTCCGCACACAATGACATCCAAACTCAGGAACGCATCTCTGCGCGAGACACTGTCTATCGCCCATACCGCCGAGTGCAAGCTCCGTCTCGAAGTAGACCGTCCAGATAGAGACCTCAGATTTATGCTTGGGCACGCGCTTACACTCGACTCGGTCTCGTTACGGTTGATTGAGATTGAACGCGAGGCGGCCACTGTCCAGCAGCCAAGCCATGCGAGCGGTATCAAATTCCAAGCGGCTTCGAACGGCTCGACGACAAGAAGAACGAGCCCGCCGCCAAGCAGATTGGCCGAAGTGCATGCAAGTGACGAGGACGAGGATGAGGAGGACAACTACGTTAGCAGCGATGACGAACAGGATGAGCTTTCGCTTACACGATTTCCTTCCGGACCTGCGAAACCACCGCAAGAGCCCCCGCAACTTGTCCCGTCTGAAGAGGATTCATCGGATGAGGAAGAACCGCCATCTCCGGAGCTGCCAAGTGAGGATGTGTTACGCAACATCACAAAAGGCGACGGCAATGAGGATCTCATGAACGCGTATGCAGGCGTCAGGAGGTGTCCTTGTCATGGCCATCACGAAAGTGCACCGAGAATATCGAGGATGTGGGAGATACCGGCAAAGGAGGGTGAGCAACGAGCAGATGGCGTCAGGATAGCTGTGGCCGAGGTTGCTGCGTAGAACGGGTTAATTTTCATCGCAAAGTCCTGTAGGACTGATAACGGCTCATGATTACCCGAAGCGAAAACTGATGCAAGGCGAAAATTGGTTGGGGACATATGGCGTATGGAACGCTTTCATGGCTGGGTTACAAGTTTTACTAATGCGATTGGGATGCAAACGTGCAAGTCCACTCTGACATCTTCTTCACACCCAAGGTGGTGATCTCTATGAGGTCTTCAACCCTGTAGCCTCGCGCTCAAGCATGAGAACATTTTGGTTCCATGGACACGGTCTCAGTCACATGAGTTATTAACATAGGATGAAAGACAATACTACCACCAACTTACGACTCGGAAGACTGAGATCAATAGCTTGAGTACACTACGTCTTGCGGCGGAGTCATGCTCTAGTTAGTCTGCATTTCTCTCTGGTGAACACACGCTGGGCACCACTAATTCACTATGGTAGTGCTTTATCCTCTTATCTACAAAGAGCTTCCATTGATAGCCAAGGCAACTATATCATCAACAAGGACTAACGTTGGGAGTACAATTTTGCTGGAGGTACAATAGACCAGTTATATCATGCCTGTATGCCTGTTCAAAATGGAGCCAGCGATGCCTCATTTCACAAGGACTTCAGGAGAATCACATGCAATCAATCGTTCCCTGAACGATACAAGAAAAACAAAGAATTCTTGGGACAAGTTGTTATATTGGCTCGCAGTCTACATTATATATGTACGCGCTACCGGTCCCTGTCCATTGCTTCCCCCACTCTCTCACCACCATCACCACCGAGACGATCTCATCGTCAAAGTATCCGAGCACATAGAGGAATGTATATGAAAGAACGTTAAAAAAGAAACGTGTAAGCAATCGCGTTATAGTTCTACGCAAGTGCAAAAGATGGCGTACGATCGGTTGACGAAATGGAAGAGCGAGTGCAAATGGTGTTCAGTGTTGCGGTGCCAGTGATGTTGTTGGCTCTGATGAAGCATCGATTGACGTTTCCAAATCGAAATATCTGGCTCGTGGGTGTGCTTTCCTAGACCTCAAACTCTGGGTTCGGGCTCGGGCTCGCGACGAGAGTCTGGCCTCCGATTTATGGGTTCAGGCTCGGCACTGCGCTTTTTGATGCCGCCCGATTCAGATCCATCACGTTGCCATCGAGCTCCGAGAGTCTCAGTGTCTTCGTCTTCGTCCTCAGCAGTGCGCTTATTCGATCCAGTCCTTGGACCACGAATACTTGGCTCCGGAGCAGCCGATCGCCCATGGTGGTTAGCATGGGCAGATCTAGCTTCGAGCGCTTCGAGAGCGTCGGAGTCCTCATCTTGGATCTCAGCTGAAGGAGCGTTGTTGACTGAGGGTTCAAGTTCGGCGGGGAAGGTTTCGGCACCCTGAGTTTGATAGCGGACGCGCTCGGGTTCAGCAGATCGTCGACGGCCGCTTCCTGCTCTGTCAAAAGGCTCAGGCTGACGCTTGCCGTTGCCATTGAGGTCTGATCGGCCGTCTTGCCAATAGTTTGGAAAGCGAAAGTTCTTCTTGCGGACATTCGGCTCGGAAAATCGAGTCTCGATGTCGGCCTGGCTGGGAGGTTCAGGCTGCCGTTTGCCGTTACCGGCTTTATCCGCATTGGAGCATACATATGCATACTGCTTGAGACATATTGGCCCAGTCCCAACCCCAGATGGCGATGGAGCCTCACTGGAGCAATCAAGATCGGGATGCGTAAGACATACTGATCCGTCGGCTTCCGGGACTGGTGCAGTGAGAATGGGGAGCACAAAAGTAGCTAGGATGAGTGTGGAGCGCATGTTATCGATGATGGGAATAGTACAGCTGTGTATATTTTGGATTTTCAACGGGTGCTCAGCACTTAAGTATATAAACAATAGTTGATGTGGGCACAGCCTCCAATTGAAGGGAATTGGTAAAGAGGGTTTCGGGATTTTCTGCCTTCTAACAAACGGCGAGTTTGGGGTTTTTATGTATTCTAGAATGGATTCGCTGTGTTACTCCCTATCTGAGTAACGATACTGTGCGAGCCTCGGGGAGTGTACTGAAGCGCCGGCCGTGCCGCACCGGTGAATGAGGCTGTGCCGACCATGTTCGTGATGAACAAGACCCCAACGCTCTACGCCAAAACGTTACGGGGCTGGTCTATACCGGGACAGGTAAGGTCTGCAGGCCATCCGAGAACGTGACTGGCCGAATATCGTGGCTAGTTACGATTTGGGTTACTGGACAATGCAATCAGATAAGCGCTTGGGTACGATGCGCCTAGCCGGCGAAATTCACGGATGCTCATAGAGTATCGATTGTGAGCTGATCGGCAGGCATTGACCAATACCTGCAAGCGCACCCCACCTAAACACGACAACCGTGGACTACGCCGCAGCGCTTTCAAATATGTTCTCAACTACCAAGAATTTGCTTGCCCAGACTGGAAGGCGTTCACATGGATTACCTGATTGACGCAATGTCTTGATGTGCTGAGATACAGAACCTACATGGAGCGCGTGCGGCTCATCCAGGAAACGCTCTTATTCCTTTTATCGGGGGGTAAAAGCAGCAGCGTTTATAGGTGCAAGGCAGACTTCGCAAGCATGTATCAAGCGCTGGGTAATCGATTGCAATTTTGGTCCAAGCAAGATTCGAGACTTGTTAAAATTCACATTGGAAGCATACCTACCTAGGTAGTTACATGCCGCCGGCAGAGGCGAACATAGGTACAGGCGATCACTACAGCGAGTCGATGGGTTAGCGTCATGCGTCGCGCGCTGAATGTGAAGGCATTCTACCGAACAAGAAGCTGAAACTGACAAACGAGGACAGAAGCCGTTTCCATGAAAGCTAGCGGTAATTCTTCTCTTCCGTTATTTGTCCACTTTACCTCCCATAATCGTGATTTAAGATGGAAGAGACGAATGATGATCGATCCAATGGGACCCTCTAAACAGCGTTTAGAGGGCCTGAACGGTACGTAGAGCAAGTTTGTCCGCATGCCCCATCGCTCGCTGTCGATGTACTATAACGTATACTTTCCACTGCCGATAGGCCTCGATGTGGCAGCATATCGGAAGAACGAACCTTGCGCGAGAGACAGCACGAAACGTTACCTGGCTGTCGATGCCTGACTGGGCTGTAATAAGCGTTCCCAATACTTTGTACTTCAATGTTCACAAGCCCTTAAACAAGTCCGGGTTCCCAATGTTAGAGTGTGGGCCATCGGAAACTTACAACCCCTTATGCCACCACTAGAATCATGTCTGGTTTTGCCTTGCGGCCCTCCGTGTCTTAGGAATTTCATGCAACAACCTTGTCATGACTTGAGTATCGCATGAAGGGCCCATGCAAGTCATATCATCCGATGTCGTAACACGGAGCCCATCAAAGGCCAGCAAAAGAGAACAATTCCAAGGATGGAGTTTCATTGGCATGTAGTCTACATATTGTATGTATACAGTCCATCCCTGTTCGGCGGCTTCATTCCCGCTCTCTTCTCCATGGGTTTACTTCTCAAGAAATCCAAACGTATACACAGAACATCGCACTAGGTAAGAGACGAGAAGGAAGTGCTATTTGTTTAACTCCGTGTGAGCAAGACCAAGGTCTGCGGCATTGTCTGGCCATAGCAGTCGGGAAGAAATTGTCCAGTGTTGCGGCTAAGATGTTCAGTTGGGCTGGGCCTCGTTGATGAGGGCGGCGCTGCTGAAGCCACGGGCCTTCAGAGCTTCGATGAGTCCGCTGGCCCAGGTAGAGCGTTTGCCGGCACCGCTGCGAGAGAAGGGTTCGGGCTGGGCCTCACGCTTGCCAGCACCGCTGCGATCAAAGGGCTGAGCCTCACGCTTGCCAGCACCGCTGCGATCAAAGGGCTGGGCCTCACGCTTGCCGGCACCGCTGCGAGAGAAGGGTTCGGGCTGGGCCTCACGCTTTCCGGCACCGCTGCGATCAAAGGGCTGGGCCTCACGTTTGCCAGCACCGCTGCGATCAAAGGGCTGGGCCTCACGCTTGCCGGCACCGCTGCGATCAAAGGGCTGAGCCTCACGCTTGCCGGCACCGCTGCGATCAAAGGGCTGAGCCTCACGCTTGCCGGCACCGCTGCGAGAGAAGGGTTCGGGCTGGGCCTCACGCTTGCCAGCACCGCTGCGATCAAAGGGCTGAGCCTCACGCTTGCCGGCACCGCTGCGAGAGAAAGGTTCGGGCTGGGCCTCGCGCTTGCCGGCACCGCTGCGAGAGAAAGGTTCAGGCTGGGCCTCGCGCTTGCCCGCTCCGCTGCGAGAGAAGGGTTCAGGCTGGGCCTCACGTTTGCCAGCACCGCTGCGAGAGAAAGGTTCAGGCTGGGCCTCGCGCTTGCCGGCACCGCTGCGAGAGAAGGGTTCGGGCTGGGCCTCACGTCTGCCAGCACCGCTGCGAGAGAATGGTTCAGGCTCAGCAGTACGCTTGCCAGCACCGCTGCGGCTGAAAGGTGTGGGCTCAGGAGAGCGACGCTCCAGCTCTTCCTCGTCCTCTACCTCCTCCTCATCGTCGTTAGAGCGACGGCCGGCACCACTACGCGAAAAGCGGCGCTCGAGTTCCTCCTCGTCCTCTACGTCGTCCTCCTCGTCGACAGAGCGACGGCCGGCACCACTGCGAGAAAAGGGTTCGGGCTCAGCAGTACGCTTGCCGGCACCGGCACGACTGAAACGGCGCTCCAGCTCTTCCTCGTCCTCTACATCATTATCAATGATAGAGCGACGGCCGGCACCACTGCGAGAGAAGGGCTCGGGCTCAGCAGTTCGCTTGCCAGCACCGGCACGACTGAAGCGCGCCTCGAGCACATCCTCAACAGCTTGGTCGCCTCCTTTCCTGATCCAAGGCTCAGCTGCCGGAAGGGGAGCGGCGAGAGCGCTAATAGCGATAGTTGCGATGATAAGTGCGGAACGCATGTTGTCGGGTATGTGGATTGTTTGTGATATTGATTTTTTGGGGGTATTGGTTTGCAGATGGTGCACAGCACGTGAAATTAGAGAAGCAGTAAAAGTAGGCACAGCCTATGATTAGAAGTTGAGATGCAAAGAATGCGTTGGGAAGATCCGGATCCTCTGGTCTTTGAATGATGGGCGTGGAGGTGTCCTTTATCCATTTCGAAACGGCCTCGGGCGGAGAATGGCATGGGATATCATGCGAACGCTCATTGGACCAGGGGTAAAGTGATTTTGGCTGCCGAAGCGCTGCGTTCTCGATGTTGTGGCATGCAGCCGTGATCTCGTGTTGATAAAAATAAGCGCTGCTCTAGGCTATGATAGGCTACGCTTAAGAGCATGTCAAGCATCCTCACGGTGCTCTAGCCGCCCGCAACCCGCCACGACGGCACCCAAACTCTCCAACCACTCATCGTTCGAGCCAAGATGTGCATCCAACCGAACCTCCCGCTTCCATTCACTCCAACTGCATGCACCCACAATGACACAATGGTGCACGGTCCGCTATTGGCAGGTGGGTCGGGCAGCTTAAGCGCCTGGCTTCTTCGTTGTAACTGCTTTGGCTATGTTGCATGAACCGTAAGCCACGCTGAAGCTCTTGACTGGTCCTTCGCATTATATTGATCCTGCGCAGATGGTACAGCATTATCCAATGACTTGGTGGGCCTGATCTCGGCTCCATCTTTCCCAACTGCGCCGCATAGGTGCGCCGGATTTCCTCCACGAAACTGGGCTGAGGTGTTCGATTCTGGAAGGTACTGGAACGAATTGACGTGTAGTGCGTGCGCCGAATATGTGATGATAACAAAATGGCGCATGGTGCTGCAGTCTGTTGACCCCCCTTCCCCCATTGGTGGAATGGACCGACGAACGTACCGATCTTGAGGTACTTCAGATATTGTCACCTATCACTGCCAGTGAATGGAATGAGCAGGCGGTACCATGGGCAAATTGACATACCGTGTGCAGGATTATGCGATGCCTCATTCTCAAAGCCGAAGAGAACCGACACGAGCATATGGGTAGAGTTGAGGATCTCTGATGTCACTGAGTGATTGATTAGGCACGTCTGCCCCGTAACTATGATTGATATTGAACAAACGCGAATTTAGACCAAACACACTTCACTATCTGATGTGGTCACTCGTTCTGACCGAGCGCATATAGAAGTGGCAGCTTCTTCGCTTGTACAATGCATTGGAGCTACTCGACCCGCTGTACACTGGATGCAAACCACCTATCCGAGTGGTGTCAACTAGATGTCAAGTTCCCTTGGCTTTTCACACCACCTAGCGTAACCGATGGCGTAGCGGGGAATGTGGAAAGGCTCAGCAAGCTTGGAACAGCAGGTCACAAGATGATTTAAGCCAACACGAATCTAGTATTCATCCATCACTATGTGACATTCATAAAAGAGTGTGAGCTGTATAGAGCCAAAAGACTCGGGAAGTTCAACCATCATCCACGGCGCTAATCATATCCATTCATTTGGCGGTGATTGGCGGAGCTTGTGTGATGCAATTGAACTCGTTGAGGAATGGCGATGTTTGTGGTCAGCAACTGAAGTTGGCGAGACACTGCTGGCACCAGAAAACCTCCAGCCCCGCTTCGGTATCCATTTCACTTTCACCATTTTCGCTTGTGCTCGAGGAGTTCCGTGTTCCTTTTCTGACCTCATCTTTTCTGTCATGTGGTCAGGCAGGCCATACAGAATGGTAGCAATGGCGGAAGTCTTCCAAACCCCAACGACACCATTTTCCTTGGAACTCCTTAGTATGGTTGCCAACAGGAACAAGCCTGTAAACGCGAGCAAACTCAAGGGAAGCGACAGCCACCACCAGCGAACTTCAACAATGGCCTCCTGGTCGTAAGAAGGACCAAGTACCATTTCAACGTCATTTGTCGCAGAACGTAGCAAATTCGTCATAGCCTCAGCCATATTGTCGAAATGCTTTGAGATGTTGTTGTATAAGAGAGGGTTGTAGGTTACGTTGCGCGTGTAAGGCACAATGGTTTTCCATCTTTTGTAGCTTAGCATGGCGTCATCCTCGTTCGTACTGTTGAGCAGAGTGTAGTACGATGGGAACGCATCGTCAAAAATGGAAAGTGTAAGGAGGTGAGTGTCGTTGTCGATGGTGTAGGTGTTTCCGTTCTTGCTCACCATGGTGATATTCTCTAGGTAGATGTACTCCCATAGATCCATGGCATTGTTCGGCATTGGGATATGTCTTGTAAGCCAAGGGCTTTCAGTCAAGGTGTTGTTGACAAAAACGTCAGTAACCTTCTCCACATAACCACCCTCCGAATAGGAGGATTCCAGGGTTTTGACAGCCCATGAAACGATACACTCATGAGCTATTGGAGTGGCGTTGTTATAGATGTTCTCCAAAGTCAGGCCCGACGCGACGACCGTATGCGATATTGGATTGCGGCTATTGTTGAGCTTGGGAACGTAGCCGGGCATGAAGTTTCGCGAGAAGATGTCGTAGAGGGGCTCCGCACGTACGATCAGAGTTTCACCAGAGTGATTCGAGTTGCGATCGACATTGTAGCCACTCATGAGGACGGGCTTGTCTGCCTTGAGCCACCAACCACACGAAGAACCATTCGGATAGATAAAGTCCATGACGCCCTCCGGGTCCGTGTTGGGGAACTGGACCCAATCCAATTTTGCCCTCTGGCATTTGAATTCCAGCTTGTCGGATGCATCTACGCACTCGCTGTGGACACCAAGAGTTTCATAAGTTTCCCAAGTACAATTGCTGTGAGGGCATGCCAGGGGAACTTCTGAGCGAATACCTCTTCCAAACGTGACCGACATGGTCCCGTTGTCGTAGAAGAATCGGGCTGCAATTCCAGTCATAGTTGCGTCAGTGTCCACGTTTTGAGTCCCGTTCCGGAATTCTTGACCCTGGGCGAAAGGTTCGTAGCCAAACGCTCTCTGTATACCGCCTTGACCCTCTTGAAGTCGCCAGACTTCCGGGTATTCAACGACTTGTTGGAAGAAAGGATCCAAAGCAAGAGCCATAAGGGTAACAGCTGCACCAAGAGCCGCGAGGGTCTTCCCTTTCGTGCGAACAAGGAGAAGAAAAGATCCCCAGGGACCTCGAGAAGCACTATCGAAGAGCTCAAAGTCCCACAACTTCTTCGAGCTGTCGCCTTGAAACCAACTCCACTTCAATTGTCCCAGCGCTTCTGACACAGGCAGCATGAGAGCAGCGGATGCAACCTTAGCCAGGACAGAAATGTACGCGTTCAAAGTTAGACCCAAGGGCCATCTCGGTATGGTTTTGTTCTTGTAGACGAAGAGCATCACGCATATACCAGCCATACATGCGGCACTCAAAGTCCAGCTGATGATCTCTATTATCCACCTCTTGACGACGTTGTGAGAGGAGGTATAATTCCAGAGCTTCTGCTCGACGCGTTGGGCGAAATTAGAAGCGTTTTGCGTGCTCTCGCTGCGTTCTTCCCCTCTCCTCTCTGCTGTACCAGGCGTGATCGGACTGATGTCATGTTTGAAAGGTGTATCCGAGATGCCCAAGCCAACCTGGCTCTTGCGGCCCCAGTCGAGTTCATCGAACTCGGTCGTTGTAGGAGAAAGTGGGGAGAAGGCATTCCGACGGAACCGAACTTGCGGTCTGCCTTCATCATCGATCTGAAGTGTGCGGCTAGGAGCTTGTGGTCTGGACCAACTTTCGCGGGGTGTCTCAATCGTAAGGGTAGGTACAGCTAGGTGTTGTCGATATGGTGGCACTTGCGGGGTGATGGAGTTGTATGAAGGCGGTGCGGCGGCTGGTGATACGGACACGCAGTGGATTGGCGTATCCCTCGAGCTTGTTTCACAGGTAGGACAAACATGCTCCGGTACATGTCTTGGCTGTACAGAATTTGACGTGTTCTTATCCTCCTTGCGCTCCTTGTGCTCCTCGCGATCTTCGCCCTGGTCGAGAAATATTGGAATGTTCGGGTTTGAGGACCAGTACGGGGACACTGGGAACCTCGGCATGATCAAATGATGAAGTAATAAGCGGACGCTCAGTCCAGACTGGTCTCGCTTGTTGAAAAATTATTATGTATCAAAAAGGTGTCTGCCCGCGGACTGAAAAGAACAAGAGGCTCAACAGTGGGACCGGAGTCTACCATAGCTTTAACTGAGGTACGGCGTCTGTGGCACGGTCGTCGCATAGAAGAGGCGTAATAACTATATTTGGCTGCCAACACGTCTGCCCAGGAATAGCGCTGGCCGATCTTGCATATCTCCAGTGACCGGGCAGCGGCACAAGCCCCCCAGAGGTGCGTCGCAAGCAAGCATGAGCTCTAAGGTGCCATGGTGGAGCCAGATTTGGAGAAGGATCGAGAGCCTAGCAAGTCGAACTAGGCAAGCCTTACAGCAGGTCCGATTACGCGCCGGAAGTTTCGCTTGGTGTTAGCTTCGCCTGGGGTTCATCTCATTTGGTGAAAGATCCCGGATTCGCGCCAGGGCAGTTTTTCGAGCCGCTTTTGCCTCGTCTATTCACCAATGGACGCTCAGGTGTGTTTCCTTGACGCGCTAAACCTGACCCCCACGCCCATGTTCATCAGCATTCAGGCGATCAGCACGCTAGCACGGACCAAAACCACAGCGCTTGCGGAAGAACAAGAGGTCCTCCCGCCTCCACAACGTTTGGCTTCGTATCGACTCCGTGTGCGTCCAATCACTGAAGCCTTCCTCCCTGTTGCTGTGTTATCGCGCGATAAGACAACGCTCCGATCGAGGCTCTTTGACCCCGCACCACGTCCACAAAAGGTCGAAGCTTCGCATGTATATTGCGGCACAGTTCCTCGCTACTCTTCGTTCACAACGGGCCGAATGGCAAAAGCCTCGCGTGAGTATAGCCGCTGACTAGCAATCGAACAGAATCCTGTTCACCGTGCCGGAACCTACGGTACGGCGAGGCCGGCAGTAAAGCAGCCGGTCTTTAGGCGGGCCTTTTTGTCCGTCTTGCTCGTTCGAGAGGGAATTGAAATCTAGATAGGCGTTATTGATCCATCCAGACATTGCTAATTCGAGACTTCAGATGAGCCGAGCATGATCTTCTTTTGGGTAAAGTGCAACTCTGGGGATCTACTGTCCATGCCCCCGATAACGGACGAGCACAAGAGAGCACGAGCATAGTGCCCAACGCAGTCATGCGGCGCAGCTCCAAGTCGTTGTCTCGGCACCACTTTTCCACCACTAGGGACACGTGATATTGGCCAGGATACAGACAAATCATTCTGATCCGCTATCACTCGCACCATGGGATATCTACTTGGGACTCAAGAACATGAGTGAATCTACGATGTACGTGCATCAAGGTTAGCGGGCCAAGGAGCTACATTCAGACAGACCATGAACGGACGCGTGTACTCATCCACCTAAATTCGATGGCGCCATGCGTGAGATCCGCCTTCATATCGCATAGTCTTGTTTTTATCAAAAATAGCCGATCGTATACAGTTTCTTGAGGATACTTCACAGTCAAGCGTTCGATATCTCGACTCTAACTCCCATTCGCACAACCGAACATATCATAAAGTGCTGACCACCCCGGCCCTAGAGCCTGACCGCACGGACCGTACCCGAATGCGTGGATTCAGCGGTCAAGATTCGAGTTCCAATTCCTACACAATCATAGGCTGGTAGGCTCTTATTTAACACTGTCTAAGCTCAGTGAAGTTTTCCTATAGACAAGTGACACATTGCGTGAGACGATTGACTATGTGAAGAATTCACAAGAGGCCAGGATGGTGTGAGCAACGTGACTCTATGTCCATAATGCTTCTCATGCATCTGTGGCGGCAGTTGATCAGTGATTTATCTCGATAGTTCGTCTATCACTACAAGTACTGGTGTGATAGCATATTGTACAAGGAGTTGTCCGGCTTCTCCCGTGTGCTATCAATCTCAAAGGAAGAAGATCGGCCGTATCATGCCTCTGTGCCGATATTGCCAACTACAAATCTTGAACTCACAATCTTCCGAGCGTTGCCGCACTCGCGCGTTTGGCGCCTAAATTAGCGTTTCCAATGGTCACAAACTAGCATGGGAACCTTGCCTGGAAACACTGCACGTCGTTGATCGTTTTGGGAATTGCACGCGTTATGTACACCACTTAGTAGCGTCGGCCCATTGTACCCTTTACTGGCACTGCCGCTGTGACTTAGTCTCCATTTGCCATTGCCCATTCCAGGATATTCATGAACACCTCTATTCAGTGACTCAAACATTCGACAGCTGTAACGGCACCGGATATACCCCATATTCAAATATTGTACGTGCTGATAGCGATACTGTGTTCAGCACGTACCTCCTCTGATCTGTCATAATCTTCCCAACCCACTCATGATCTCCCTAGCCTGTTTCCTTACCTTCTCCACGATTTCCTCCGCACCCTCCACCTCCTTCACAATGCCCACCCCGTGCCCACCCAAATCGCCGCTCTCCCCTTCCTCCCAATCGCGTAACCCTCATGATCCTCAAGAATAGCCTCATTATGCAATTTCTGTATCTCCTTCAAGCTTACGCCACTAACGTGATCCTCATAGCTCTGGACCAACAAACTCCTCCCATCATACCTAGACGCGCAGGTACGAAGTCAGCTAAGTCATAAAAGTGGAGATGGTACGAAGTGTTATGTCTAAGACAGATCGACTTCGTACCCGGGCATTGCGTACGCCTCAGGCCAGATGTTCGGCCCCTTCAGTTGATCAAACAGCTTACTCCTCTTCGTAACCTGCCCTCCATCTTCCGCTTCAATAACAGCAGCCTGGGCTACGGGGTGAATTGATACCTCCTTGCTGGCTAGAAACCTCGTCCCCATCGCCACACCCGCCGCCCCAAGCGCAAGCGCAGCAGCAACGCCCCTCCCATCTACAATACCCCCGCTCGCGAGCAGCGGAATGTCAACACACCCCTCTCTTTTTAGCGCATCCGCTGCCTCCGGCACCAGACTGATGACGCCCGCGCCTTTCTCGAAGCCATGGCCACCTGCATCCGCACCTTGGAGACAAATCGCATCCGGCCGCGCATCTTTTGCAACATGCAGCGCACCCTCCACGTTCCCCACTTGAACCCACACCTTCGTCTCCGGACTCGCGCTCCTCAGGGCCTCGATCCAACCCTTATAGTCACCTAGCCGCTTCGCAGCGAAGAGCCACACGACCGCGGGCTTGAATTCCTTGATCATGGGGACAACATCCTCGGCCTTACAAATGAACGCCAGGAAGCCTATGCCGAGGGGTAGCGTTTTCGACGCCTGAATAGAAGGGTTGGAGGAAGAGGCGAATGTAGAGCGTGCTTGAGTGAGTTGGGTAGAGAGCTGCGACATGTCGTTTAAGCAGCCGATGAGGCCGAGGCCACCGGCAAGGGACACAGAGGTCGCGAGGGTAGACCAGGCGAAGCCGCCCATGGGGGCGGAGATGAGAAGTGGGGATTTTGTCCATGGCAGATAGCTCCTTAGTTCGGTCGCCCAGTTGTTTCGTGATGCCATTCTGGTTGGTGGAAATTTGGTATCGGTCGGTCGGTGGTGAAGCGATTGTAGGATGGTCGAACAAGCTTCAAGCGGGCGAAGGTAGGTAGGTATACGTGAAGCTGGTTTCTGGGGGGCTAGAGAACTGATGTATATATCTCGAAAATGCTGACCAGTAGCTGTTCCTGGAATGGAGATATCTTGCTTCCTCTTTAGGCCGAATGTGGGGAAGGTGAAGGCTGAAGGCGCTAGTTTAGAGGATGTACAGTATGACGGGTCTTAGTAATCATGGACGCGTAGACTGGATGGCAAAAGAGAAGCGCAACTCCGCGGGAGGCCGCAGCTAAGTGGTATAAGCTCAATCGTCCGTTGTCAGGATACGTTCCCCCCATTTTGATGTTGTCTCTACTTACAATCTGGAGGCGGACAAACCATCCTGAAATCGGGCAAGCGAAGGCTCACGACCTCAATGCGATACGGATAATGGTGGATCGTGATGATGCATGTAGTTGATGCAAACGCGGCAAGAGCCCTACGAAGAATGTCAAGGACATAGGAGATCGATAGCGCAGACTATGCTATGGGTATAAAGCTATGCTAACCCCAAACCAACAACCGAACATGGACATAGTGAAGCTGAATTCGCAAAACAGTGAAAGCACCGACCCAGATACCCGGCTCAGCCTAACGTATGGAGAGCGCATCCTATCTACAAAAGGGAAGCTTTTTGACGGCGTCAAACTGAAAGTGGGAAGTGTCTATTTGGCGGAGGGCTTCTTGATGAGGCCAGAAAAGAAGGACATGAGCTTCTCGTTGTCCATGTTGGCGGATTCGGAACCATTGACGGGCGGCGTTGTAGTGGACTCGGATTCGCTGGCTCTGCTGGTCTCGCGTTCCTGTTGACAATGTGAGTAGGTCTTGTGACTGAAGCAAATTAGAGACGTACCTGTAATCGCTTGACCATTTCATCAGCGTTGACCTGGATACCGCCCATATTGAATTGCACGGGACCGATGTGCTCTTCCACCACGCCGGACGCATCGTCCGTGTATGTCCGGTAGTTGTCGACGTCTTTCTTCGCTGCTTTGACCTTTGCCTCATTCTCATCTTCGAGACGCAGTTGATCCAAAACCTTGACTTGCTCCTTGAGGAAGTCCTGCGTGTCTTGGCTCGATACTTCGATGCCGTTTATTTGCTTGGAGTGCAGAGCAGAGAGTGGGAAGTCCGATTCGGGATTCCTGATGGTCTCTTCGTAGATCGTGGTGGCAGAGGGTCCTTCTTCCTCTTCTTCTGCTTGCTGTGGCGGAACATCGGGTGCTTGCTCTTCGCCATCCACTGCAGCTTCACCGTTCGTGACCGCCCTCGTTTGTTGCGGAATCTGATCGATGTCGACCGACCATTTCTCACTAACTCCCTCAACGTCAAACCCATCTCTTAAGATCCTAATCTTAGCCCAAGAATCCCAATTCGGTGGGACCAAAACTCGGTCGCGGTCTGTCACATTGTGCTTCAACTGCTTCTGCTTAAGGAGGGACTTGATCCCCAGGGCAGAATGAATGAGCGTCTGAAGAGAACCTGGGGCCGACGGCATCGTATAAACAAGACTGGCGCCGTGCTTGAGAAGAATTGTCCGTAGATACTGTAGGATGAAGTCAAACTCCTCCTCCTTCCACCCCCGTTCTCGTTCCATGGCCTCGATCTTGTCGGCGTTCTGGCAAACAACACACAACGGTATACCCAGCGGTTCGTCCCACTCTCCAGGCCCCATAGGCACTTTGACATTGTCCAGCGCACTGCTCCCCTCCGCCCCGCCGACAGTGCGACCCTTATCCTGGAGTGTGGTAATATTCTCCTCAAGTACTTCCTTAGAAGCGTCGTCGAGCGATAGAATCAGGGATCGTAGAACGCGAATCCAGTCGCGAAGCTGTCGTATCCATAGCCAAGGGTGGTTCCAGTCAAGCAGAATTACTACTAGCATATGCGGGAGCGTACGCGGATTCAGGTACGGCTTAATAAGCGGTGTGAACGATGGCGACGGGTTCGCGAGGAGGTAGAGCGACAGACGAGCGAGGGTATCTGCACGAGTCAGTCTATTCCCTGAACTTTGGTTCATGGTGTATACCTTCATGATCAGTATCAAGCACGTCCTGATAGGTATAACCCAGCGCAAACTGATTTGCGATTGGTGGCTTCCGTCCTCTATCCGGGGGCCTTCGATTGTTTGTAGGATCTGTTGCTACTGATTCAAGGAATTCTCTCTGGGTTTCGGGGGTGCCGCCTGGTCACATTAGCATGTGCCCCTATGCCATGTATCCATGTGTCCCTACCGAGTACTAGCAAGCTCTTTTCAGGTAGTCGCTTTCCGCTCGAGATGTTGTCCAGCATAGGCTTCCATATTTCTTCCTTCTCCTGATCACTGCTGTTCGGCCGCCGCACGCCAAAGTTGGAGCTGCGCGCGTTGGCCATTGCGGAGAGGTTCGGAGGTTCCAGACGGCAGCGATGCGATCATGTGCTTTTTTGAAGGAGGCAGCGCAGCGCAAAACTGGAGTATAAGTGCGCGGGAGAAGAGCGATAAGGAGAGATGCGTAGTGAGGGCGCTGCGGGGATGCTGTGGAGGTATGGGATCCGTTTATTTGACGGAAGCTTTCCATGCAGGGATACGCGACTGCCAAGACGAATGTTCGGCTTGCCGTCACTTTCACGCGCTCATTTTACAACCAACTGCACCCCAGAAAATCCTACTGTCTTTCGCTCTCACGGAGGCGCCAACGTTCAGGAACCCCGCCCATTGGCGCATCCTCTCCACTGGAGCTTATCGTCACGCTCTGCTGCAGTTAGGCGCACATATGCCATGAACTCCATACGCGCGATTCAACAGCTCAACAAGCGCGAGCTCGAGGCAGGCATCAATCCGGAAGGCTCATGGCATACCGACTACCGCGACACTGCCTTCATCTACATTGGTGGTCTACCTTTCGAACTTTCTGAAGGCGATGTTATCACCATATTCTCACAATTTGGAGAGCCCGTGTGGATACGACTGGCGAGGGACAAAGAGACGGGCAAGTCAAAGGGTTTCGGATGGCTCAAGTACGAGGATCAGAGGAGCTGCGATCTGGCCGTGGATAATCTTGGAGGGGCGACGGTTATGGACAGGGTGTTGAAAGTGGACCACACAAGATACAAGCCGAAAGATGATGAGGACATGAAGGACAACACGATGGGAGAGGTTGACGACAACACGGCTGAGGGAGGGGGCCGACGCAAGAGACAGCGCATAGAAAGTGAGAGCGGTTCGGATGATGACCGTCCGCTGCTGCCAGAGGAGATCGAACTCGAAAAAGCAATACGAGATCTTGACGAGGAAGACCCAATGAAGGAATCGATGGTGGAGAGACTGCAGGAGAAAGCTGCATCTGCGGTCAAGAAGTACAAGAAGAGCAAACGAAAAGAGAAGGAGCGGGAGCAGAAGCACCATCGTTCATCAAAGCGAGACCGTAGCCGCGACCGCGATAGGGACCGCAGAAGGATCAAGCATGACGACTCGGAAGACGAGGACCGCCACACATTGAAGGAACGTTGGAGTCGGCGTGCGGATTCGGAAGATGAGGAGCGTCACAAGAAGAAGGAGCATCGAAGCAGGCAGAACTCAGACGATGAGCGCCGCCGCAGAAGCTCGCGGAGATCCCGCGATGACTCAAGGGCACGGGGGCAGGCTCGGGACAAAGTATCAGAACGAAGCGACCGTGATCGACGCCGCTACAGCTCGGATCAGGAGGACAGGAGACGTTCGCACTCGAAGCGGGCACCTTGAGGTCGGACACATCGAATAGGAGAAGAAAACAAAGACTCATTTACACAACGTATGGAGTTGCACCTGTGTCATAATCGACTACGCTCGTACACCAGATCGCTGGCGTCTATCGCATAACTATGCCCAAGGAAATACAAGCATTCAAGTCTGTATGAGTTGGACATACCTTAGGCTGTTCTTCTTTTTGCTTTGAGCGACAACTCTTTTTTCTTTATTTCTTCCCAAACCTCCAACCCTCAGCCCTCTAATGCAGAAAGCGCCTTGTATTAACACTTATGCCACACCTTTGTGAGTTGTTACTCACATGAAAGCACCAGGACGTTTTTGACGAATGTCCAGCTAAAGTTTGATCCAGATTCTGGCTACAATTCCGAGTTGGTCCCGACAAGAGCGTAAGCTAGCAGAGCCGACTCATTTCTAGGCAACACGGTTCGATTTCGTATGGCCGCAGGCTGGAGAATTACGAGTACACAGGCCACAAGGTCGCGCCCGATGCGATGGTAGAGGCGAATGAAACGGAGAAAACTCGGAAGCCGGCACTACCTTCTCTTCGACCATGTCGCAAAACGAGCGAGCCTAGCACCTGGAACATTTGCTTGAATTTCCTGTTTGATAAGTGCGACGTGGATTAGGAGGTGACTTCAACTGTCTTTCGGTCTGAGTAGTTGAGACTAACATGCTGTCCTAATTGTTGACTTGTTTCGCTCTACTTGGGTGAGCATGCAGTGTTCGTTGCTGTGTGCAAACCAGCGGTCTGTAGACGGAGGCGCGCCAACACACTGAAGGATCGAGACCAAAGCAACAATCCTGATATGCTATTGAACATCCATCAACCCAGGAGATAACGATACTCAACAAATTTTATTGTGGGACGGTGTCGCATCCAGCTCACGGTTACGCGTAGGTGGTGAGCTCGACGCTGGCGGTGGTGTGACGTGTGGCGCAACTTGTCGCTCACCGTGTTGTTATCGCAGCGCACAGACCCTCTAACGATCGGATACCGTCTCACTCGGGAATATCCGCTGTCCGACAACGTGATCTTGACGGTGTAGGCGAAGCCAATTTTTTGAGCCTCTGTGAGCCTCATTTCCAAGCCCTTATAAACCTCTGAGCCTCTCATCCTATGAATCTCGTTAAGCAGACATTCACCATTGTTACTCGCAACAACGACTAGCTCAACACCAACTTCCGGAGAACCTTCCGGATAAAGCCAACAATCAACACCAACGACAGGCTAGCTCTCCCATGACCGCAACCTCGATATCGCCAGTCATCATTCGACCAGCGTTTCCAACACTATCAGAAGAATCGACACCGAACAGTTCGAGTTCTTCAACACCAGCAACTTCACCACCTCAAACGCCCTGCGAGACGTGTTTTACAGCGGCTGCTGCTTCGCGACAACACGAAACACAACCCACATACCTCCAGGCCAATTCGTATCCCCATAACATTTTTATTCCAAAATCGAAGACCAATCGGTTGAGGACACAAGAGCAAGAATGGCAACATACGCCCTCTACTACCATCCATATCCCGCCGTGGTATACAACCGAGCGAGCACATATCCAACCGCTGCGCCTTCGCATCCTACACTCCAGCTACTCGGTTCAGAACCAGGCGTACCACGACCAACAAGGCAAGAGCAAAGCCCCGGGTGCGCTCTGTCTGATGTCCAATGCCAGTCCGTACCCTCGAGCCTGAAACCCCAGCCCGGCACGACCTCCACCCAAGAAGACTCATTTTTCTTCAAGCTCCCCGCAGAGCTCAGGAATCAAATCTACAACGAGCTTCTTTGCCCCGACGCCGTAAACCTGAACAGCATCACGAAGAGAGCAAACGACCTCAACGTGCGGCACTACAACCAGACCTCGACATCGACATCCCTCCACCCAGCTATCCTGTCAACCTGCCGCAAGATCCACGACGAAGCGACTGCGCTGCTCTACGCGCCTCACATATTTCACGCGCACCCTTCTCTCCTGACTTCGCTTCCGCATCTTACGTCCTCTGCGAAACCCGTGCTGTACCCCAGCGTTACAAACCTCATCTCGCGCTGGCAAATCTGTCTGCGATTGGACACGGACCCGCAATTTACCGCTACACAAGCTGCGGCTGCGTTCTCTGGCGCGGAGTACCTCGAAATCCGGGTCTGGCAAGCGCAGTTTGAAGCGTGCGACTACGCTGTTTTGAAGCTGTTCACTGCTGTCCGTGGCGTGCAATTTGCACGTGTGGGAGGTGACGTGGATGCGAAGCTAGCAAGGTGGCTGGAGGAGCAGATGATGAGACCCAAAGAAGAAGCGTGTGAGGGAGCATGCCAGGGTGACGAAGTGTGTTTGTGGAAGGGAATGGGAGAGATGCTTTGTGGCAGGTGTTATGATAAGGTGTCCAGCTTAGGGACAGGTGTACTGCGGTTGCAGGAAATAAGATGAGGGGAAAGCGATGTCAAGGGATGGATTGGGTTTGGGCCAGGGATGCTCAGGGTTTGGAGCGATATTATCTCTTCCGTGTTCTAGATGTTTAGAATCACCTACACGTTGTAACCCATGCGTACCTGACAAATTGGAAATGTGTCGCGAGTTCGTTACCATCGCTTCTGCACATCGTTGTTGCTTGAGCTGGGTGATAGAGGGTTCAATCAAAAGTTTTGCCGTCTTAGTTGTGGGCTTACAGTTCATCAGCGCACTAGCCCAGCAAGGAAATGTCAGGAGACAGATTTCTATCGTAGAAGATGTGAAGAGCAGATGTGAACAACTTATCAGATTACCTCTCTGGCCAATGTCCCGACGAGCACCGAATTCAACATACACGATGGTATATTCTACCCAAACGGCTCGCGGCACCACTTCACAATTACTCATTCAACGTTTCGCGTTGGGACAGCAACGCAACTCAGGTCCCACGCAGCCCGCAGACGATCAACGATCGTCAAATAGTCGTAAGAGACCCACAACTTGACCCACATTTTCTCTACCCAGATCTCCACCTACCACAGTATAACCACGCGTCTAACCTCACATCATGTCACACCACTGGTGTACATCACATCACTTCGATGGGGAAAGTCAACTCGGTGCATTACCTCACGATGTCCATCACATCGAAGTCTCGGTTGGGCGCTTGAAACGAGACACACACACAATCCTCGCGCCCCCAAAACAGCCTTTCCACCCACGGTACCCACGACCCACGCATCCTCAGACTCAAGCAGGTGCAGGGACGACTGGACCAGTTCAAAGGCCAGACTTGCTATCCCTGCGACCGCATCGCAGTAAGTACCCACCCACCTTGCGCGTACCTGAGGGCCTGTGAGGTGTAGATTAAATGTGTCACTGGTGTGATGCAGGGTCTGGATTCTGCATCGTGAGTCGTGACATGTGCAGAGCACGGTGAGATGAAGTACCGTCATTTGATGTTGGCAAGAGCAAAAGCGCGGTACTGCATCTGATTAATGCGAAGATTGCCTGGCGTTAGTGCTGTGGGCAAGCCAGTTCTGGAAGGCAAGAGCGAGCGATGGTGGGCGATGGTGGGCGATGATACCAGCGACAGCAGCAGGATCGTGAGGCAAAAATCTGATAAGATGGCTCCGAGATCCTGGTGGTTGCCTATCCGATGATGCTCCGAGCGTGCGATCGGAGTTCGAAGTGAAGGCATCCGTCGGAATGCCAAGCGTCGGACTGGTTAAGGTTCTCAGCCTGTCATGTGAATCCGCGATTGTGGTGGTGTGACGCGTCGACTAGGAACTTCGAGAACACCCCGTGCATAAGCGTAAAAGCCGGAACGATCTGGGGACTGAGTCACATTCACACCGCAAGGACAACTAGGTTCGACGAGGTTTGTTGTTTGGTAGATTCAAGGATCAATCAACTCGGTCCTCTACCAGGCATTATTGTATGTGCTATGTAAGACTTTTGTTCATCGTGAAGGTGAAATTCGAAACTCAAGATTGCCCAAAGATTCGTTGGCGAGGCTTTGAGCCATCCAGCCATATCCAAAACTCCGCGCTAGTGTACAAATCCCAAATTGTTGAAGCACTGAGGTATTGTGAAAGCGAAGATGCTTCTGGTGAAATAAAAAAAACTCGATGTTGAATTATACAACATGGGGTATATCCGTCTCCAATCCTACCGTTGTTAATCCAGAAGTCTGCGACCTTTTGTGGGAATAAGGAAATTCGTAATGTGATGCTTCTCAACCAAGGTGAAGGTCATCGTGATCATCGTGCAGTGGTGGGCCATCGTAGTCGGTAATGTAGGTGGGTGGGCTAGCGGGAACGTCCTCGTACAGTGGTGGTTGCTCCTCATCCCAGGAAATGCCCATGCCAGAGCGCTCGGTAAGCACGAGGTGAAACTGCGTTCGGAGGACACGAGCAGCGCCGGTGGGGGTTGCCTGGCTCAGCTTCTTGAGCGGAGCCCATTCTTCGGCAACGACCATCTCGATGACCAAATTGTGCCTAACGCTCATTCCGCTCTGGCTATCCATGTCGCAGAGAGGGTTGTGGGCGATGTTGCACCGGGCGCGGAATTCGCAGTCGATGTTGCCCTCGGTGAAGTCTGTCTTCCATCCAGTTTTGACCTCCTCGTTGGCAATGGTGCGGGTGTCATCGTGGAGAATGCCCTTTCCTTCTCCGCCGACCTTGTTGGCGTGCTTTGGGCAAGCGGGGGAGATGGACTTCTGGGTCTCCTCGATGCGCCAATTGAGCTTGCGGAGGCGCCAGCGCGACTGCGAGTCATCTTTAGTCTGTGTTACACCAGAGAGGCGCATTTCGACGCCAAAGTCGCCAATAGGATGGACGACCGGGGGCAATTTGACCGATGCGGTAAGGTTGGTGGGAGGGAAAATGCGGATCGAGTGCTTATCAGGACCGGGGACGATTGATCGCTTGATGTCCAGAGCGCGCTTGTACTCGAGCTTCTTGCCATTGGACAAGGTAGCAACAGCGTCCAGGTAGTAATCGAGGGTGGTAATTTGGCCGTGCGTAGTTGCAGGCAGGTGGCCAGGGACCAGATGGCTGAAAGGGAAGGAGTGGTCGCCAAAGTTCAACTTGACGGCTCCCCGCAAAAACTCCCACTTGTGGATCTCGGTGGTCTGGGAAGCGCAGTCTGGGCAATGCTGGTGCACAGGCTTCCTTGTAGTAACAATGGCAAGAAGCCGCATCACCATCTTATCGACGGTAACATTTGGCTCGTGCACCTCAATCTTGAGCAAGCCAGAAATGATGGCACCAGTGGATGCTTGCGGCGAGTTGAAGAAGACTAGAGGAGGCGACTCGACCACCATGTTCAGAATGGCTGCAGGCTGGGGTTCCACTTTGGGACTGGCCTTTGGGCTTTTCTTGAACGAGTTCTGACGAGAGCCCAGGCCATGACGTTTGAAAGCCTCCATGACGAGCGACTCTTGTGATTTGTTTTTCGAGGGGCGCTCGACAGAGTAGACAGGGGGGAACAGAGGCGGTATGTCGGAATGGTTCTTCTGGCCCTTTAACTGGTCAAAGGGCGGCGATGACGCAGGCGCGGGGCGAACAAGAGAAAGAAGACGGCCCGGCATATTCCAAGCTAGCGGACAGAGGTCGCTGCAAAGAAATCCGGGGTGCGTGAGGGCGGGCGTCGAGGTGTGCTGGGCTGCGATAAGGAAATGCAGTGGTGTGTGGGGTATCTCCGGGGGGCGTTGATGCGGTTCGCTGTGAGAGAGCCCTACGAGTTGATCTTGTGGGAATTCAATTGATGGAGCAAGACAAGCGGACAGAACATTGCGGTGAGGTCAAAATAGCAGGACCTGGGGGAGCAAGCCTTTTAAAGAAGCCTTTCGAATGACGGTCGGGGTTTTTACATGATGAAAATTCCATGACTGGTAGCCCCCCGTGCAGCATCTGATGGCATGGCGCAACCGCCTCCAAGCTTTTCACAAGCAGCGCTAGCCTGCTTCCAGGCGCCGCATCCCTGCCCGGCTGAGTGCGTCTTTGGGTCAGGAGGCTGCCTGCACCTGCCGCGCACGGCCTGCCGCTGCTTTGTGATCGCCAGCACGCCTCTGCGCGCTCGGCCAACCTCACCTCCAGCGGCCTGCATACCCGTCGCCAGCTTCGCTCTCCCTTTGGCACGTTGCTTAGCGGCTGACTCACCGCATGGCGCCTTTGAGACCCCTACGTGTACTGAGCATGCAATGACGACCGCATTGTCTCCGGAGCTACGGCGTACTCCATCGGAACTCAGCCTTTGCGCGCCGACGGCCAAGTCGCCCACATTGCGATTCTCCTACACGCTGCGCCATGGATCCTGGGGATGTTAGGTACCCGCGGTGCTCTCCGCCGTCATTGGGCCATCATACATGGCACGAGGATCGCGAGACGTCTCCCCCGCAATCTTCAGAGAGCATGGCGTCGTGGAGTTGGCATGCGGGCGTCGAGCAGTCGAGCATCTCCTCGGAGCTCCCCAGACGTGCTGCATGGCTGCGGCCGTTTCAAGGCGCATCTCGTCCCCTCTGACCGCTCTTCAACGTGCCTCACTCGAAGTCGTGTCCTTGTTCGCGAATTGTGCAACTCCCAACCCACGCCACATTTCGTGATGCATCCAAATCCACTGTGGGTTTTATGCCAAGGCGCCGCACGTTAGGTAATGTCGAAAATTCTGCTAGGGACCCGTCGACCAAGCGGAGCAGCGACATGGTGCCCGTGTACAGCCTCGCCTGACTCACCTCAGGGATGCTCGCACCGAAGGCCGCACCTGAGCCCATCGCGAATGTTTCTGTAACGCATCTCCACCCACCAGCAATCCAGACTCTTCTGCACATCGATCCAAACCGTCGCTACGCGATCAAGCAACACCGCATGCAGCAAGAGTTGGCAGGCATCCCCACCGTTCCGGGCGCGACACGTCGGCAGCGCTTGAGACGAGATGCAGCCATACCGCTCGCATCCAACGTGACCTCCATGGTGACTTCGTCGTGGCATCTCACGATGCTTCGCTTATTTTTGGCAAACGGAGCCTCATCCGGAAGGGCTAAGCTAGCTGGATCGCCTGCCGTCGTTAAGCGCGTGCATCGCTCCAGTTTCGGGCATAGTTATGCAGCCTCTGCATCCCAACATCGCAATCCTATACCGCAGACCCACCGCAACCGTTTCGCGGTGGAGCCGACGAGCAGTTTCTTCGCAAATCGTTGACGCCAGTCCAGCATAGTACTCCTTCACGCCTTTGCTTTCGACACGTGCTCCAAAACTTGCCTTCGCGACGGTCTGGCCACCGTCCACGCATTACCGGCTTGCGCCATTCCAATGTTTCATGACTTGAACACATCACGATATTGCACCCTGCTCACCGCTCATCAGGATTACTCCTCGACTTTGCTGTACAGCGCAACGGCCTATGAGACGCGATATGCCGGAATATATGCGCTGGACGAGGAGGTTCCCATCTCCATCGGCATGTGGCTTGTAAGGACGGAGTTGAGCGGTGTCCAGCCCTACGCGTCGATCCGAGCATCTTCTCGCCGCGGTATCCCGGCCATCGCGACGTGATCACCTCTCGAACTGTCGTCTTGGTTCTGCAACAAAAAACCAAGGCTTGGTGACAGCCAACTTCTCCGCTCGTATCAAATGTTGCATCTTGTCACTGTGTCGATCTTGTGCTGCACCGCAAGTAGTGGCCGCGTTCGGATGCGGACCGAAAGATGCAGGGCGTCCCTAGCATCATGTGCGCCATCCATCGAAGTGCCGTCCGCAACGCACATGCAGCTCGCGATGTCGCAGCCACGTAGCCACGCTTCTAGTCCCTGCAATAGAACTTTCTCTCCCCGGCTTGCAGACCTCTCCTGAATAGCATCGCAAAGTCGCAACGTTCCAGCACTGTCGTATAGACTTGCCTGAACCGTCCTAGCCGGATCGTAGCTCCGAATTGGGTGCCAGAACGCGGACAGTGGCTGATGAGGCTGACAGGCGTGTCAGTGTACTTCGGTGTCCTCTTCTCTTTCACTACTCCTTTCCCAGTCAATTGATCCTTGTATCACAACCTCCTATGATGTCTACGAAGCAAGGGAATCCCACATATTGGATCGAAGTAATAGGTTACTCCCAATGGCACAAGGCAGAGCCACGTTTGCTTTGAGTGCAGTCTCTTTACCGATGATGGTACTAATATCTTTGACATCCCCTTATACCACCAAATTCGAACGCTTGCTTCAGCTCAAACGTGTGCTCAAGGTCGAGCGATCCCTCATCATGGGCGGGCGGAAGGCCCTCATGGAACATACCCTCAGCTAGACAGTCTGGTCTGGTTGAAATTCACTTCGCGGTGTCTCCTTATGCACATCCCTAGAGTACGCATGTGGCTTTGACAGACTTCCCGCGCATGAAGCCTTCCAATGGAAAGAGACCGAATAGCCGATGCTAGAATATGTGGGAATTTTAGCGCGCACTCATGTTTTCACAAGTAGCCGTCGTCGTACACAATGTTTTGGCTCATTTTCGACGGAAAACTGGACTCTATTGATTGCTAGTCATGCTGCATTCTCGACCAGCAGTCCGTGTCAACTTAATTTATACGGATAGCCAGGATCTCGACTAGCTGTATCGTCCTTCCTCACGGCTTTCGATAACCGTTCAGTACAGAACCTATGCGCGGTACAACTCATCAGTTCCGGCACTTGAAGAAGCAGCTCAAGACCATGTCCTAGTTCAATTAGCAAACACATCTCATATCATCGTTTACGCAACTCACCCTCTCGACCTCAGGGCCGGTCTTGTCGCAGCGTATCTCGTTCTTCGACCACCGCTGATCATACCTGCACCCGTACCTCGTTGTCTCCCCATCGTCGTCCTCATTCCAAGTTACAGTCTCTGGAAGATGCGTGATCGGATTCTTCCAGGCCCAGCCGAAGTGCACCTTGCCGTTGCCACCGCCGTTGGGTCCATCAACAGCGAGACGGTCGACGAAGAGATCGCCGTCAATCAACTCGTTGCGGCTGGTGATATGGATGGCGAGTGGGTCGGCTGAGATGATGCGCTCGTCGTTGGGAACGGGTACAGCGGACATCGATGGGGTGAGCAGGTTAGAGACCTTGGCAACGGTGATCTTGGTGGTGGTGGGGCGGAAGGTGCATTTTTCCGTGATGTGAGTGGTGAAAGTGCAGTTCCCTGGGGGTGGAGGTTAGTACAACAGTATAAATGATGTCGCACCAGACAAGGCCCAGTTGCGCCGAGTTGACTCACGAGCATCTCGGGTGACGAGGGCGCCAGGTACTGCGGCAGCCGTTGCGGCGAACACGAGGAGAATGAGGAGGTTGTAAAGCATTGTGTACGCAATCGAGATCCTCTCCGATTGATTACCTGTTTCGTGGTAGGGGCAAGGTGGGACAAGCTCGCAATGCTTTACAGAGGTTGACTTGATGGGATACAGACAGTCAAGCTAGCAAAGGCGAGTTTAAGATCAATTGGTAAGTAAATGAACTGATCCGAGCTTAGGTATTACAGCCGAGCCACGTGCATGACTTCCGAAGTAAAAGACAGTACAAGCAAACGCTCCTTCAATGCCGCTTTTGAGCTATCCCTCGCTACTTAGACCCGATTAGGTGCCCCGTGTGACTTCACCCTGCCCTTCCGAATCCGGCTCATGCTTCCTCAAAAGTCCGAATCAGCTACCGCATTGCACTTGAACCAGCAGTTCAAGAACTTGTCCTGTGCACCGTTAGGATTGATCTCTGTACCTTCAGGTCATACACTATACACACCCGCTCGTCCGTAGGATGAGCACCATCACATCTCGCCGCGGGTAAGTTCCAATCCTGCTGCACGATGCAGCCGTATCGGCCATCCGTCCCTTCCTTGTTCTCGCTCCATCTCTCTGTGACGGGACGCCCTCCAGAAGGCCCGTATGTCCACTGGAACTCGACTTGCGTGTTGTTGGGACGTTCAATCTCGAGTCTACCGGTAATACTCTCTCTGGAATTGCTCGCGTAGATGGTGAGCGGCCTTTCGTCGATGTCAAGCCCCTCCGTGTAGTTAGTGATACCGTTCCCCCATGGCGAGAGAATCGTGTTGAGGCGAGCTGAGGTACGGAGGTCGGGGGTAGTGTCGAGTTGGCAGACCTCGGTGATGTGCACGGTGAAGGTACAATTTACTAGGATGTGTGTCAGCGGCTCCATCAGATGTTGAAGTACAATGTGTATGATGGTACGTGTGTCGACTTGACATACGGTGATGACCATTAGGAGCCTGCGGGCCAGGCGTGGCCATGCCCATTACGAGAAATGAGATGAAGGTGAGAAAAATGACGAGCATCCTTGCTGCGACCGTATTGGAGGCTACTCTTCTGATGTGCACTTTTCTCTCGTCGCAAGAGTATCGTAAACCTGGAATTATTCGGCTGCAGGTTATAAGTGTCAACTGATCTCCAAATCACGGAGGTAGGATGGAATGTATACAAGGCGCAAGCAGCTGTGAACGCTTGCAAGTAAGAAACCTGTAACAAGTGCTCGAGTTCAACGCATGTGCACGGACTCGAAGTGAAGGTAGCACAACCGTAAAGCGGAAATGAACACTCAATTTCCGCATGCATATGCGTATGTTGTAGTCTGGGTAACTCGGCCCATAGAGTGCGCCGAATTGTGTTGACCTAGTATCATTGATTGCAATTTGAACCGGTCGTATATCCGATCCCTACATTTTTCTACATTGGATTCCAGCCCGCGCGTGCTGGGAAACTAGTGGTGGAGGTCTACGAATCCATGATGTCGATCTATCGATACGTAATAATAGACACAGGGATGTTGCCCAATCAACTGGTGGTTAGGTATGAAGGGGTATTGTTATTCGATGTGCCGTGTCAACTCTAGATCTGTATGGAGTTGTAAGAAAAGCGCTCCATACATCGCAGAATGCAACACCTCCTTGCTAGAATCATGAATTGATACCGGCCATCGTTGTGCAAACGATCAAAACCGATGAGGAGACCATCCATATGCGGACCGTAAATGAACCGTACTACGTAAGTTCAGGAAGACCATCTATGACCTCGGGCCGAAATGAACCTTGTCACCTACTTGTTAGGCTTGTACGAACGTTCGAACGGATAAGTCATTATGTAATACTTACGATCGTCTATCACTCATGCACTCAATGTCCAAGAAGCCATGCTAACATACCCGCTGGGCCCCTCGCTTCTTGTAGTTGATACAAGCACTCACCAAGAGCCTTGATAGCCTCTGAGCTGAAGCTCCATACCTTCGTATCAAGCCAAGCCGTGTCATCCTCGCTACGGAAGCGGTCACCCTAGTTACACGAGGATGTCATCTTGTCGTAGGTCTTGTCCTGAAACCGCGGCCGGGCAAATGCGAATTTTGGCCCTTACTAGACTGCTTTTTGGCGTCTTTGATGCTGAAGAAGGCAAACGTGGTTGCGTAGTTGAGGTTGAGATATTGACGGAGCAGGTGGCTGCGGCCCAGTCGGGGTCGGAAGAGGCGGTGTTGGTATCATTGGTGGTGCCGGCGATGTTGCTGTTGCCTGTTGGTATTGCGTGGACAAGGCTGACCGCGAAAGTGCTGAAGAGTAGCCGAAAGTGCATATTTCCTGAGATCGTTAGCTATATCCTATTTCAGCGTAAACGTATGGAATATAAAGGTGACGAATGGGTCCGGAGTATCGCTAATCTGAACTTGTCGTTCATGACTTTGAGATTTATTCTCAGACCGTTTTCAGGGCTTGGGTTGATTGAGAATACAAAACCAGGATACTGGTTGGAATCAAAACTAACGGAACGTCTATAAGAGTGTAGTGCCGATATGCTGAAGCGCTCGGATGTCTTACACAAGTAAGATTAGAGTGGTGAGTGTGAATATTAATACCAGACACCTGAGTTACGTCCCGCGGTACAGAGGTGAGGTCAACCTTGCTCAAGGCAGCTTTGGCCCAGCGTTCGATAGGGTCTCTCCAGTCGAATAGTCCCAGGGTCGATTCGCATAATGGGTATAGCTTTAGTTCCAGCTTTTACCTTCGCTACCTCCCTCTACTTGTACAGGCACAAATACGTACTATAGCACGAGCTTCATGATAGAGCACACGTCAACACTTGCGATCATGGTGCTAGGGAAAATAACGCAGGAGATACGGGCTTCGCCCCAGCACATATAGCCACGACCGACTGGAGAGATGTCCGTAGAAAAGTTTCGCGTTTTGTTATAGAATTGCTACACCTACGAGCGAACGTACCTCAAGCCTAACATCCTAAACCCCGATCCTTCCCTCTAAGCAGTCGCCAACTTCTTCAACCCCGCTTCACCCCCATTAAATACATCACTATCGCCCCCAAACTCATTACTATCCTTATACTGCCAGATAGTCTGATACGGCCAACCCCCCGGGATCGTCCCCGGCGCACTCGCCCACCTCGCCAACATCAACGGACTATCATCCTTGAAGGCGTCGCTATTTCCGGTGCAGGTCGTCCACCAGCTCAGATTTGTGTAGATGACGGGATACCGGCCTGTCAGGCTGTGGTACTGATCAGAAAAGGACTTGATCCAAGCGACCGTTTGGGTGGTGGAGAGGCCTCCGCAGTCGGAGACTTCGAGGTCGAGCATGCCTGGGAGGGTGATGCCATCGGAGGTCCAGCCGCCACCGTGCGCGACGAAGTAATTTGCCTGTGCGGCGCCTGAGCTGGACCCCGGCTGCGCGAAGTGGTAAGCACCGCGGATGAAGCCTGCGGACGTGGCGCCGCTGTAGTGAGAGGAGAACTGTGGTGCTTGGGTCAGGGGAGGCGCTCAGACAGGGTAAAAGCAGGATGTGTACCTTGGGGTCTTGGTAGGTCGTGCCTTCTGTGGCTTTGATATAGACAAAGCGGAGACCGCCTGCATACGCAGCTTCAAAGTCGACGGTGGTTTGATAATGGGAGATATCAAAGCCTTGGACGTCCGCGCAGGCTGTTGAGGCCAGCAAGGCCAGCGTTGAGAGGTACGATGCGAATCTCATGGTGGTACGATCGTGTTGAGCGCTTGGAGATCAGGCCGAGTTTGTCTTCGTTGTGCGTATGCGTATATCCCAGGATATCCAGACATCTTTTATATTCTTACTCTGTCTCTGATACGAACTCCTGGCAAACCAGTCCTCGGACGGTGCACGACACTAATCCCAAACCTTCACTCTTTAGCGGGCATTGCGACGATCCCGGTGTACGCCCCCAATCGAAACCCAGTTCCTCAACCATGTGTGCGTTTCGCTTCGTATTCCGGACTTGTCTTCGCCTCCGATCATCATACATTTGTTTCATACGGGCAGGTGCGTTTCGCGACACGCATACTAAAGTCCTCGCATTCGGACACTCATGGCGTAGAAGCTCAGATTCGGAGGGGCATCTCCTGGTGCTGGGAATATGGCAGAGCTATGGTGCAGACTATGGCAGGCGCACTCGGCTACACTGTTACCGCAAGGGCGATTAAGACAGAAGAGTCAAGCCTTGCACCCGACGTATGAGGCTGAACGGCCAAGAAGGAGGCGCGCAATGTGGAGGGCAAACTGACATCATGTCCGACGTGGCGGCAGAAATAGAATCGTGGCTCGGGAGCGCATTCAATCGAGGAATGAATACGAAATTGCCCTATGGAGTGAGGCCAGTAATGGCGCGCGGAATAGCCCTACAAATCTCGGTGCGGATCGGCGTAGCTGTCCAACTCAAGCATGCCATGGACATGGGTACTCTCTCTTAGCGGCCAAATGGCGAAACGAATTTGATTTCCGCAACCAGGAGAAAGGCCAAGAAAAGGGTTCCGTCCAAAGAAGTGACATGTCTAGAATGCAGGTGCCCGGAATGTGGATGTTCGATCGAACAAGTTGAGATGCGATCGATTCTGGCCGTGATCATATGTAAGAATACCATTACACGATAGTCGTGATCCTATGTTCATGGTCGCGTAGCTGCGCTCGCAACTCGTTGCGAATCCGCACGTGCCTATGTACAATCCATCGTGCGCCCCATAGCATGCAATTCCCAATGCAGACAAGCCAAAGCCTGATCGATGTCAGAATGCCACCAGGCCGTGACAAGCCGTCAAAACGCCGTGAAGAACGATGCAAAACGCCGCAGGCCCAATGCCTGTTCTTAAATAACCAACCAATATGCGCCGCCGACCGTTGCAACAGTCATGAAGATTGTAAGAATCGCCGCGCCCGCTTTATCTCCTGCTGTAGCGACGCCATAATCTATCTGCGGTATTCCCTCGTCTTCACCGGTACCAAGCCCGGGGTCTCCCTTACTGGTCCCGCCACTGTTAGAGGTCAATGGAGCCTTGGAGTATGGAACCATGTTTGCACTGATGATACTGAGGGCAGCCAGCTGTTGACCGACGCCTGACTTGCCATCATAGCCATTCCAGTACCATCGATTTCCGCATTCATATTGACCACCGCCCGTGGTGGAGGGGCCAACGCAAGATTGCGCTGCCGCAACGCCTGACTTCTGCAGATGTGGCATGACCAGAGGTGCGGTGAACGGCGCGAGTTGAGCGGAAACAGCGTACCACCTAGCAAGGTAGCCTTTGAAGGAGACCATGTCGCCGTTGCAGTTCTGCGGTCCTTCGCAAGGTTCTGTCATGATGCCGTTGTTCTGGGTGGGGAAGAAAATGGATGTTTTGTTAATGAACCCAGTCAGGCGCTGGGCCCACAGATCGGAACCGTTGGTGTAATTGTACATCTGCTGTTGTTAGTCGATGGCGCAGCGCATGCAGTGGATGCGTGGATGACTTACGTATGCGGCGCCTCCGATCATGATGCCGTAGTTATAAGTCCACTGGTTCTGGTCCGGCTTGGTACAATTGCCCTCCGTGCTGGCACCATCGTAAACGACGTAATCTTTTGTGACCAGCGGGCTTGTGTTCTCCAGCCAGTCAAAGATCTCCACAGCCCTGTTCGCGTACGTTTCGTTGCCCGTAAACAGCGCCAGCCGAGCTGACAGCTGGAAGTATCCACCGTTGGAAGCCAAATTCTTGTAATTCCAGCCCGGCAACCACTGGTATATCTGCCATCGTACTCCGCCACCGCACGTCGCAGATTCCCAGCGCGTCGCAAGCTGGTTCCAGATGGACTGACTGAGAGCGAGCCAGCCGGGTGTTCCGTCGGGAGGGTTGGGAAAGTTGTACTCGGCGGCACTCATAAGCGTGAAGGCCCAGAACAACTGGTCGTCGTTACCTTCGTCCTTGGACTGGTTCGCGGGCATCTACAAGGCGTTAGTGGTTGTAGCGATGCCCCGCAAATTCCGTGGGGCTTGTACAATGCGGGCCCGCAGGACGGCACTGGAATGCAACTCACAAAATCCCACTTGTCTCCTGCTTGGTGTATCAGACCGTCCCGGATCATGTCATTGTAGTCCTCGTCACCGGTATAGTACCAATAGTCGATCAATTGGCCAAACATGGCACCGGCTTGCCACCAATAGTACGGAGGATAGGTCAACAAGCCGGTTATGCCGGAGATGACCTGGTTGTCTGTTGTGGCGTACATGGACCACAGTACCTGAGCGACATGTTTGGCAGCGGCGCGCACCGAATCCTGGTTTGTCGGGTCGAGGTCGATAGCTGATGCGGGGAGCGAACACAGGTTCACTGCCAAGAGTGACACGGCAGTGCAAGCCTGCGTGGCGCGGAAAAGCTTCATGTCTGCAACATGTGTATCTGTGGCGAGGGGAAGAAGAGCGGGCGGGCGGAGACGAAGCGACAGCAAGACGAGGCCACGGCGACAGCTATCGTGGAAGCAGGTGTAGGAAAAGGCAAGAGCCAAGTGCCCGTGGAAGCCGGTTTAAGGCGCTGAGGAATGCACGAACGAGCGCAGAACAATGGATCCGGCGCAAGCACACACGCCTGAGCGCCATGGTTGCAGGCTTGCAGCACGTCACGCACCCAGACGTCGGCATCGGGGCCAGTGACGGCGCGCTCTGCCAGGAGCCGCTGCTTTGCCGTCATCGAAAGGCGCCAAAAGTGGTCTTCCGTCATGGTTCGCTGCCTGCTTCGGGCAAGTGCCGCTTATTGTGGCCCGCCCGGCTCGTGTTCCTGAGCATGTCAGCGTCTTAGTCTCGCTGCGAGGGAGCATGCTGTGGCCCCGAGTTGGGGATGCTGCAACCTCCAAGCTTCCCAAGGACGGTGAAGCATGGCCAAAGGTGGAGACGGAAGCCCGCGCGTGGAGCTTAATCTGCGCCTTCGACGCGCTAGTCCCGACCCGTCACCCTGCCTTGCACCTGGGTGCCAAAACACCGACGAGCAAGCCCACTCTTCGACATGACGATCGTCACGTCAAGGAAGTAGCTGTTTCAGCAGTCTGGAGGCCACTATATCAACTGCACAGCCGCCTCCGTCGTCGGGAGATGCATTTCACCGACCTTTCCGCGCAACCCCGCTGAGGCTGAGTGCGGTACTGTCGTTCAGATGTCACGTTTCACGATTATTGTGGCATCTCTAAAAGGGGCATCCGAGGACAGATACACCCACAAGGCTCGCAAGAGAAGGTTAATGGCGAAGGACGCTGCGATCAAGTACACCCGGGGTCTCCTGAACTACCAACGCCCTCAACAAAGACTGCCGTAGTTGCAGCTATCCCCCGTACCACCAGTGACCTTGACTCCGCTGAAGGTGATGTTCGAGCAGCTGCCACTGCCGCAGAGAATATAGTAGTCCTTCGCTTTCGAAGCAACGGTGCCAGTAACAGTCTCAAAGGCCACGTCACTGATCTTGACTCCGTTAGTAGGTGTGCCCGATGGGCCGCCATTGAGGTAATCCTGCTCGACAATCTCACCAAACGTTAGCTGGAACGGTCCATGCAAACGCGGCTCCGGTACACTTACGATGCCGTACCCGCTGATGTTGGACAGCGTGATATTCTGGTAAACAATGTTCTGGACTACGCTGTTTGTGGCGCCCGACACAGTCTTGATGCGCACGCCGTTCTGGCTATTCTTAACGGCGCTGTCGTAGAAAGAGATGTCCTTGATGGTAGTGTCGCCTGAGACGGTCAGTTACTTCCCAAAGCATGGCTTGCTTGCAGGGTTACATACTGCCAACACTACCGATTGACAGACCGTGAGAACCATCGCACGAGGCGTTCCTGACGGTGACATTACTAGCGCCGCTACTGACCGCAACGCAATCGTCTTGATTGATGACGGTGATGTCTTGGAGGAGGACGTTTGTAGCCTTCACATTGAAGCCATCCGTGCTAGTACTTGGTCAGAGTGGATCCCTATCGCAGCAGGCTCGAGACTACCATACTTATGTGCGGCAGGCTTTCCCCCTGATAAACTGTTCGGAGCATCGCCAGCCGAATTGTCCAACTTGACATTCTTGACCACCAGGTTTGACCCTCCAAGCGTGAAGCCATGAGCAGGATAGTTTTGGATGGAAAGATTCTCAATGAGTGACTTGGTGCCAGCGGCTTTGACCTGGATGAAATGGCCTGGCCTGCAATAACTCGATTAGGTATAATCGTTGACGGTCAGAACGGACAGGACATTACTTCTCAACGCCATTGTCACCTTGTCCATCCCACCATGCCGCTCCGTTACCGTCAATGATGGCCCCCGATGCAGCAGTGATGTGGAAGTCAGTGCCGCCAATCAGAATGAGAGGGCTCTCCCAAGCTTTGAAGCCGAAGGTCTGCGATGCTACGTATCAATTCAATTCCTCACCAATGTGAGTGATTTTCCAGTGCAAACGTACAGTAGTTCCAGCAAAGGTTACGGTAGTGCTGGGCTTCACTTTTGTGAGGTCGAGCTGGCTGCCAGCAGGAACAGCAATGTTGCTAAGCGTGATAGCTGTACACGAAGCAATAGCGGCAGAGACTTGGCTGTACGCCGTTGCCGTACATGAGGTTGCTGCTGGAGCGGCGAGCGATGTGGTGGCTAGCAGAGCACCGCCCAACGCAGCGAGGATGGATTTGGACATTGTGAGGTCGCCAACGAATAGGGAACTGCTGTTGAGACACTACCAGAAAGGAAGTACAGAGGCACCAATATCGCTGAGAAGTCCTGATATTTGAGTTCTCATAGTCACTCGCACCCACGCCACGACACAGAGGTCAACGATCCTAGGAGCCCTAAAACATGATGCCCGTGTCGTCCAATTCGAGGTCAGATTTCTCCGCGCGATCCGTCAATGGGAACCTTGTGGTGCATTGAAACATTAATATATCTAGGAACGTGTCCGCCGAAGCGTTGTTTCGCGCACCAATCAAGTTCCGCAACCTGCCCGTTCTCGCGTTTCGCAATACCAGTCGCGGCGAAACTTAAGCTTTTAGTTAAGCTCGGATGCACAAGGCTTGGGATTGCTTGGTGCACGGTGTAGAACATTCCGTCCGGCGCAATGCGCGCTATTCGTAAGGGTCGATTGTTGCACTGGACGGACTGTGTGCGGGAGATTGAAAGGGCCGTTGCTTTCGCTTGTAAACAAGCGGTCTCTCCCGAAGAGTAGCCCCGTGGTAGTCGGTCACTTGCTTCTCTTTCTATTCCAACGCATAGAGAATTTTCCTTTGAGATATTGATGCGGGAATACTATTTCCCTTGATTTGTTCAAGGATACGTATTACGTTAAGCCGCTGTCATTAGTGGTGAGTCACACTATTAAACTTGCGACGGATTAGACGAGCGCGGAATGAGCGCGGGCAACCGACTGCAGGACGCATAGCTACTATCCCAGAAGCTACCGCAGCATAGTTTACATTCAATCTCAGGATCAGGGGGGTAATACCAGTCTCGTTCGCTCGTGGTGGTTGCCAATAGGTGGATCACGGGAGGTCGAGAGAGCCCATTCCCGATGTAGGAACTGTCCGATACCTTTCTTTCTAACAGTATAGATACAGCAACTAAGCTGCACGTTTAGCATGTCATAATCTGTTATCCCACCTCTCTACCCTCAGAATCTTTGCTCCTCGCCGTTGGGATATGATGTATGATGTAACGCCTTCCTCCATTATCTCCATCCAGAGTGTGACCCTTATGGGTGTCCCATAGCAAGGTTGTGCTTATCGCTTCTTTAACTCTTTTCGAGCTCACTCATTCATGTTGTCTTTACTCTTCCTGCTCTTCAGACTATGCCAGCAATGCCTACGCCCACAGCCGCCATGGCTCCCACCTTCCACTCCGGCCCTACGGTCTTGGCAGAGCCCTGTATCACTGTTCTCGTAATTCCCAACCGACCCGTAATCGTTCCCATGCCTATTTCTCCCTCTCCCGGTAATGGAGCGGTTTCCGACAGTGGCTGGTTGTGGAGCGTGATCGTGTGAGGAAGCCATGTCCGAGAGGTCCCGATCCACGTCTCGAGCCATTGTACGGTGATAAATACTCCAGGCTCACGTGGCGAAGCCAGCGCAGGTCCATTCGTTGGTGGTGTCAGAGGTACGGCGGCGGGTGGAGCAGGCGGTACTGCAAGCGGTGCGGCCGGCGCAACGCCAGGAGGGATAGGGGGTAAATTTGCAGGAGGGATGGCTGGCACAGCTACTGCGGGTGCTGGTGCAATGGGTGGAACGGCAGCATTGGCTTCAACTGGCGCTGCCGGTGGAATATGTGGTACTTGTCGCAGACTACGTGATACTGTCAACGATAACTGTGCTATTATCTTTTCAACCGACTCACTCGAGGGTCTCCACATTTGAACCGTCCAAAACTTCAGTTATTGAGGGAGCATCAGAGGCTGGCGCCGAAGCTGGACTCGCTAAAACTGTTGTAGCGGAAGTAGAGGTGAAGCGTAGAAGTTCGGCGAATTCCATCGCTTCACTGATGGCAAAGCATGATAGCAAGATTGCGATGATCATTGTTCGCATTTTCAAGGGCGCAGGGCCTTCCGGAGGCTTGTTGTGCGTATCAGCTTCGTTTCAAATGCAGGTATCCCAACTTACCAATAAATGCAGCTGCCAAAAATTCAAGAGGCGAAGCTTCAATCCAAGACCGGTGTGTATACGTGTTCGCTATTCAGTAAAGCGCTTGGCATGAGTCGCGATGCTGTACCGCTGCCGTCGAATGTCGATACAAGCACTGTTCTTTAAAACGTTCCGCTACCGCAAGCACAATTCGATCACCATGTATGCTGCTCAGGTCAGCCCGGATGCAATGTACTGCGTACGGAAGATGCTATGAAAGCGCGCTTGTAAAGAGCGACGACGTAAGGAGCGAGGTAACGGTGCTGAATGAGAGTGTGGTGAATGTAAGACATTCAATGAAAGCTATGCATTGTGTGAGTGAGATAGAGACCTGCGCGTACATTATCTATGGCGTGACGATATTTCTTGAGGCAGGAGCTGTTATCATCATCCGGGCAGGCGGTAACGTGGAATGCAGGAAGTTTGCTCAAGTAGGAAGCAAGGGATGTCCCTCCATAGCGGCTTTTTCTCCTTATCTTCTCGAGAACGCTATAGTGCCATTATTTTCGAAGATTACTATACCCGATGCCTGTACTATCTCTTCATGTGCAGACTTACAGGCGACGGGGGCTCAGGGATGTTCGACTATAAGCTCATCTCTGGTTTTTGTATGGTTGCAGAGGGCCCTCTTACTATGGAGATGTTTCAATTGCAGAGAACTGCTGCCTCTAAAACAGCAAGTTGCAGTCCCAAGTGGATCTCTTCCTCGTTGTAGGCCACGTTGCGTTTCCAGTTCCGTCTCCCAACTGCAATTCTTTCTTTACTTCACCCCTTACGTCGGATCTTTGGGATTTAGCCACAGGTACAGCCGTTCAGACCTGTTGAACACCCCCACACGACTCTGTTCCCGTCCGCGGAGTCAGTCGCGGGTCAACTCAATACGCCTGACTTCGAGCCCACCGCCCACCAGCAAAAAGCTTACGCACGCTATACCGATTTTTCACCTCGTACTTGATCATAATGTCTGCAATGGCACATTTGCTTCCGTCGCGGCTTAGCTTGTTCTTCTGTTGAGCGGTGATGAATGAGAGCGAAAAAACGACACTACCTAGGTATGCCACACCTTTAGGGCCCAGGCCCACCCACTGCCTCTCCCGCTAAGAAATGGCCTTATTCTACCACTTCTTCAACCTCACAACCTCTCAAGCACCACCGCTGAAACCGAGCCTCATGACTATAATAGTTCATCACAATCACAGTCGATGGAACATAGCCAAGGCTGTGATCAGGAGATAAAAGAATTAGGTGCTCCATTCCTACTGCATGAGCGCTAATATAACAGCACTATCAGCGCGCCACATACCATCAAAGCTCAATAGCTGGCAGTTTGTTTGTGTTGTTCGTGCCATCAGAGGTCAACTCCTAAACCTCTTCTTGTTTCATCTGCGTTCAATGTCGTCGAGTTGTCTCGAAAAAAAGCGAAATCTTTGCATCAATGATGTGTGGAAGTCATGAAGATCAGCCTCAGGGAGATCAAGATCTTTCTCCGTGGCCGGAACTTCGTGAAGATGAGCGGTTTGGTGGTTTACTAAGCGAAAGAGCTGACCGGTCAAGGTTGCGTAGAGTAGTTTCAAGACACACGATGTAGCATGAATACAGCACATGCGATAGGGTCAGGCAACCTTACTGACGATTGTCATATCGGCTTGTAAGATTTAGTGATGTTGTTGTGCTGACCACATAACGAGAGCGGTCGATGGGTGGCAAGGCTTGGAGGCCGGTGAGTGAGTGAAGAGATTTTCTTATTCTATCGTGGCTGCACGAAGGTTTCACAATATCACCTTAACGTGACTACCATTGCTGCCTTGCAAACATACCCAGCCGGTCTATTCTGAACTATCCATTGCGCATATTGAAAGGCTAAAGTCTATGGGATCTCATTTGAGTCTACTTGCGGACAAATCCTCTAGTTCTACTTTATTTAGTCATTTCCCGCACACTCCAATGCTCATGATCGTCCACGAGGCATACGATCACGCCTCTACAATCTTATTCGCGGCCCAGATATCCGGAAGAGCTGTGTAGACCAAAGAACTCCACTGCTCATCGGATGTGAAATCTCTCGAGTTGAGTATCACAGCCCAGTCATAGTTCTCCTGGCCCTCGCTGCGCGCGTATGAGCGAGCGCCAGATACGCTGCCGTCACGGGAGTTCATCCAATCGCGACCGCCAATCGTCCAGACAGCTAGAGTCACTTTAGTCAACTCAGGCAAAGTTTTTGTGAATGCGAGATTACTCACCATTCTTGCCGATGAACCTCGCAATCGTGCTCGCAGACGCCCTCAACCCAAAAGAACCAACAGCTTCTTCCTTGATATCGCCATCTCCTCCCGCGGTATTCGGCACCAGCACCTCCTCTTGCGGAAACAGAGGGCTGAAGTTGGTGTATCTCGTCTCCTGAACGACGGGATCGTTAACATGCTTCTCAGCCGCAGTGGCGAAGAGCTCGGCCTCGAGGCCCCCGGTCAAGACTCGCTCCTTGAGAAACTCAACGTAGGGTGTGCCCGTCAAGTTGGTGACAACGTAGCTGAGGAGCATCGTTCCAAAATTGGAGTAGGCGTAGCCGCCGTCGCCAGGGGTGAAGTCCAGAGGCCGGTCAACCATGTATTCAATCATGTCACGGAGCGTTTGGGGACTGGAGCTGTTCTTGGAGCGTGCCACTTCGCGGAACATGAATCCGATATCTCCGGAGACGGCGCGGTCGTACCCGGCGGTGTGATGGACAAGGTGCTCAACGGTGATGTTGTTCGCGCGCTCGTCGGATGGCTTGTAACCCAGGAGTGGGTAAACGGTCGTTGTGAGGTTAAGGAGTCCATCGTCGATGAGGCGCTGGGTAGCCGCATGGGTGAACATCTTGCTCACGCTGCCGAGAAGCATCTTGTCCGTGGGCTGCACGACAGCACGGTCGCTTTCAGCTAGGGTGAAGGCACGTTCGCCGAGAAGATTTCCTTCGCGGGCAATAGCCACCTGTGCTTGCCGGATGCCGTTCCATTCCATCCAATTGCGCATAGTAGCATCGAGCGCGGAGGTCACAGCGTCATTGTCTTCGAACCCAACGACCTTGCCGTTGGCGTTCCAATTCTGAGACAGAGGCGTGGTGTGCTCGGCGAAAATAGCGGTATAAACCACATCGTCGCCATTACCGCCGCCCTGAAGTTGGAGCAGAGAAAGTCCCTTCTTCGCCTGCGCCTCAACTTCCGCCTTGAGTTGAGATTCCGTTAGTCCGACCTTTGACTCCCACTTCCCGACACTGGTGTCCTCGAACAAGGATGAAACGAGGTGATCGTTGGTAACATCAAGGTAGGTCGGCCTCCAGAAGCGCTTCTGTATCTCTGCACTGTAGGTCTTCTCGTAATCGAATACAACAGTATCCGTTTGGTAGTATGTCGATTGTTTTCTGTTCCCGATGTTTTCATGCCCGACTATACAGTACCGGCGATTGGTGGGCGAACCATAGACGCTGACGCCCTTGACGAGCATATTCAGACCCATAGTAGCATTAGCATATGCGTATGGGGTATCCATGCCACATTTCAGTCTTTCAGAGATATCAGCCTGCTCCATCACACCGGCGAAGACGGCGCTTCCGACAGGTCCAGTGGCGGAGACATGTGTCGAGACGTAGCCCTTGTTCTTCCAAGATTCGTACCAGGAGTTGAAAGTGACCTCGTCAGCGCTCGCGATCGTTTCAAACTCTGCACCTTCGGCCTTGGACCAGACGGCCGCGTACTTGACATTTGGCGGCGCTCCAAAGACGCTCAGAGACCTGACGCGATATCCTCCTGCTTTCAAGCTCTTGCTGCGTTCTTCGTGTTCTGCACTTGTGACGCCGTAGTAAGTGTCGGAGTCTGTGCCATTACGCCTGGATATTTTTTTGTTCTCTTCGGATGGCAAGGACAAGGCAAAAGAAATTAATGGTAACAGATGGAAGATCGAGCGTGAAAACAGCATTATGTCCAAATTACGAATATATACAGCAAGAAACGAACGTGGTGGCACTACAACATGTCCGCGCAGAGCATCAATATATAGGGCACGCTGAGCTGTGCTGGAAAAGATCTCCAGATACCTGGGGACGAGATCTTTGGCGAGATGATGCTCAATGCAGGTGGAGTGGGTCTCGGCAGCTCGGTCGAATTGTCATTTACCAAGGACAAGCTCCTATTTTAAGTCTTGACTCCAAGGACATGGAGTGTTAGGACATCGCAGCAGCGATCACTACGCAAAACTTCTGAGCCAGTGGCATCCTGTTGCCATGCAGAAGAGTAGACATCATGTCGTATACCAACGAACTTTCGATGGTCTTGGGACGGTTGGGAAGCACTAAACGGTCGGGCCGCTCGGAGATGGGCTGTACTTGAAACAAAAGTCGTCTATTCAGGGACAAAAAGTTATGTAAGCCCAACGCAGGTCCTCACGTGGTCCATCGAGAATCGAAAGCATAATCTGCCCCTTAGCGATGTTTGACCCCGAGTATCCCAAGCTCATGCACAAACCAGTAACCGCCTCCTAGATTTTTTGACCAGGTGAGGTCAATGTTTGACGATACATCTGATTCCAGGTCATGATCTGGAGCCATGAGCCCAAAATGTGAACCACAATAGGGATGGTGAGAGCGGGGAGGTAGTAGAAGAAAATGCACCTCGACAGGACAGCCATCTTCAATAATAGTAATCCCATCACTAGTTTCGCAGCTATGACTCCGACTGGGGTCTGCGCACGTCCTTCGGTCGTTGAACGCCTCACATGTTATTGCTGTCCATGCGCTCAATTGCAACAGCCTAGCGGAAGTCGCTCCAAGCCAGCTACCGCGTCTTCCGAGCTACGTTACTCGCCTTCCTACTCGGTGCCCTGCACTTTTCAACCTCGCCTAGCTACGAATGTTGGTTGATGGTGTTCATACAGATGTATTGTAATCGCTATTCTACTTTTCGCCAACCCATGCAGCCCCGACATCCAAAGCAAAAAGCCTCCCAGCTCCCCAGAAAGTGGTATCGATATTCAAGGAAAGCTTGATAACATATGCGTGACTAAACCTGCCGGACAGGAAGAAAAGAAGTGAAAAAGTGTGGGACTCTCGCGGTGGAGGACCCTAAGTGAAACAGGCGTAGATACAAGAAGCGAAGCGTAGCAAACACTACTCAAGAAGGTAGTAAAGGGAACGGTCCGGCATAAGAGCAGCTGTGGGAGATTCCACACTCAGAAGAAAGGTGAAATGCGAAATCATGAACTTGTACAAACGCCGCGTCTCCTCGCGCTAAATCGTGGAAAGAAATGGGGACGAGTGGAAGGCGGTACGTGCGGATTTTACGCCTGGCCGCGAAGCCATTAGCGCTCAGAAGAACGACTACAGTAATTCCCAGATCAAGAAACCGACGAGGATCGAGATATACGTGATGTGTACGCTGAACAGCCTTCCGGCACCGTTGCCGTTCGTTGTGTGATATATGGTCTGTCCAGGTGTTTTGCCGTCCTCCTGAGAGAAGAAGTACGTCTGAGCATCGTTGCCGTCAGGCGCCACAGTCTGCGCTGGTATTGAGCAAACCTTTGAGGGATCAAAGGTCGGGCACTGCTTCTTATGCTTGTCATTTCGTGACAGGTCAGTCGAATTGAAGTACGTCTTGACGTACGATACAGTCATCGACGTGTCCTGTCCTGGAGGTCCTGCCGACCACAGGGGATCGCCGTTGCTCCAGTGGTTCATGAACATATGTCCGGGGTCGCTTGGAATGTTCTGGGTCATCTCGTGCATGATCTGGCCGTCGACGTAGAAGATGACACTGCCGGGCGTCCAGTCAAAGCGGTACTCGTGGAACTTCTCATCTGGTCTGAATGGAAGATGCTGGACCTGATATCCGGCTGTGCCGGACGCGTCGTAACCGTTTCGCACAGACTGAGGAGATTGCAGCACTAGTTGGACTGTTCCTTGGGATTCGTTAAACTGCCTGGAGAGAAATTCCATATCGATCTCTTGCGAGTTGTTGTAGAACTGTGGCAGTCAGCGAAACCATGCATATTTCCGCGGCAAAGCTGATGCACACCCAGAAAAAGGCGCCGCATGTCCCGCTCGTTGCTGAGAGCTTCATGCCGATGCGATAGCTACCGTAATGCGTGTCATTGCGCACTGTAGCCAATTCTGCACCGCTTATGAACCCATGCGAATGGTCACCGCGAACCCACAGCTTCAATCCTGCGTCACCGCCATTCACCGAGTCGCCTGACCATGCCTGACCGTTTTTCAACGGGTTCAGCTCTGCATTTGCGACATCGAACTCTTTGCCATATGGTCCTCGCGCATCCTTGGCCGAGACATTGTACTCCTGTGGCTGCCAACCGAATGTTGTGATATTGTCGCCGCTGGTGTGTAAGAAATCGTTTTCCATAAGATCAGTGAAGACCTCAGACGTTGTGCTGTTGGTTCCATCGAGGGAGTAGCCGCACTCGCAGTCGGCATTGGCTGGAGAGGCGCGTTAGCGCTGAAGGATTGCGGTCGCTTGCGAAAATGCTGGGATAGATACATACCGAAGCGAGACATTGTGAGGGCTAGCCACGGTAATGCGCCGAAGGCGTCACGAAGCTTGAACATTGCGGAAAGACGTGGTGGTAGTGAGCGTATAGAAGGTGAAGAGACTATGAACAAGGGGTCAAAAGAGCGGCAAAGAGGGCGAAGGCGATCAAGGAGGTATCAGAGCGAGCGAGGAGGTCAGGAGGGGCGGGTATCTGGGGAAGAGGGCAAGCAGGCCAACCCTCCTTCCAACCTGCCCAAACAGAGAGCTACTTCTCTAGGCCAGAGGAGAGCACGGCCCCGTGTGCATCTCAGAGCCAACGGCGATTTTGCAAACGGGCAGGACAACTAGTAACTGATAGTGCCAGACGATGGCCGAGTGAAAACGGTGCGGGCAAATAGCGGAGACGTGACGCTCGACGCCGAGTTGTCCAGTGCACACCCGCCTGTCAAAACCAAGAGGCGGGAAGAACGGCAGCCTCCACCGGTTTGGTTATGCTGCAATGCGGAGCCTCCACTTGGCCGACCGGGCCAGCCAACGTCCAGCGGATGGCTGCAGACAGACGCTGTGCAACCAGGCCTCCCTTTTGCATACTCCTGTATCCCTCGCCAGCGACCGGGAAAGTGGTCGTGTGGTGGCGACAATGCATTCGGACAGCTCGCAATGCTCGCCGCAAGGGACTCCTGGCCTGTCTCGAACCCCACTTGCTGGAAACGAGAAAGGCCATCTTGGTGATGCCGTTTGGGACGTGCTTTGGCCGTGCAACGTTGGCAGGGTGGATGCTCTATCTGTGGCGGACCTGAACGCGGTGCCGCACGAGAAAGGCTGGAAAACATCGAACATGCCCACCAAAGACGGCGTGCATGACAGACCTGCAACCATGGCTTTCGCGCCTGTAATGACTCCGCCTCCGCTCTTTGGCTTGATGTGTTGACTGGCAGACGTCGTGTCCCTGCTCTCGGACCAAATCAACGCCACCTGGGGGACGAGCGAACCACCAATCACCGCATCGCCCAGCCCGCGCCGGTGCGCCCTTTTTAGACTCTGTGCCCACGACGACGAGTACACCGAGTTCATGATCCAATAGCCAAAGCATCGACACCTCGCTTCATTGATTACAGAGATAGCAGCTAAATAAGCAGTCCATTGAAAGCCCCTCTGCCAGACCTTTCCAAGACCTAGCGCTGAACATGAAGATTAATACTCGCAGTGCTTCACCACATGCCCGTCGTAGCTTGTACCAAGCTTGCGTATAAAACGCCCCGTAATGCGCGCCTCGGGAAGTCGTGTCCGTGAAAATCAAAAATAGCGTCGTTCATTTCCTGCTAACGCCAAGTCGACTTCGTGTCATCAAGAATGTCAAATGCGTTTGTGGGGTATCATCACAAGAATCCAGACTCAGAGAGAAGCCTATTAAGCTGTCAATCCACTGAAAACTGCAGTTTAGACCATGTCATCACTGACCTTGCAATCTTCTCATCTTCACGCTCTCGGGGTTCAACCTGTAGACTCGTCTCGTACATCTCGTGCACGTCACCCGCCGAGTTCATGTTGGTCAATATGTAATCCTGCAATTCTGGAACAGGTTGCAGCGGGTATGGCACGTTCTGGTACTGCTGGATGTCGCGGATCACTTCGGCAGTCTTCGCACGTTTGGCGAAATTGATGAGATTGGTCTTCTTGATCAAGGAAGGGATACCATCTTCAATGAACGTCAAATCGGTAAGATACACACCTAGCCTGTTAGCAAGGGTTCAGGAATACCGGGATAGAACAAGCATACCGAAGAAGGGAATGCATGGCGGATTCGCCTTGTGCAGTGTCTCTCGATAGTCTGTGAAGTTCTTGGTACTACCCATGAGCTTCCGCATGTTCTCCAAAGTGGTCATCGATCGCGCGTTCACAGCTTGCCACGTCCTGTTAAGTCGAGCAATGGGAGCCGTGCCGAGGGCGGAGATGATCGAGGTTAGAGTCGAAAAATTGTTCAATAGACGGCATTTCTCTGCCACGTTCACGAAGTGCTTGATGACGATCACTCTTCGCTTGACGTCTTGTTGAGTCAAGATCATCTGCGCAACCCAGTTCGTCAACTGATTCGAGTGAAGAATCAGCGCTTTCACATTCGAGGCCGGATCAGGTTCGCCGGGCGCCAGCTTCTTCTGCCAGGTCTTGTTGAGACACTCGGTAGGACGGATTTTGCCGTAGAGTCGCGATTCGATAATGGTCAATTGCCGAGCGAACTCTGTAGGATCAATGTCAAGGAATTTCAGCTTCTTCATGTGCTTGGGCAATATTGGTTGTGGTGTCTGAGCATTCAGAGTGAGAACCATTCGTTTTGTCGGCATATCAGGACCTCGAGATCGTTGTTCGACCGATGTCATCAGTGGAGCAGCACCAGGAGTACTGGTCGTCGCAACGTGATCCTTAGCAAAGTTATACACCCTCTGGATTAGAATCCTTGCCTCTTCGTCATTGCCTTCCATCCAGTAGTTGTCAAACCAGCTCTTGAGAATGTTTACCACGCGGAAACGGATCGGCTTCTGCTTCTTATCGACCCAAGTCTGGTAGTCTTCCTTTGCAAGACCGTACGGCGGTTGAATGCTCCATCTCTTGACGAGCATCTCGAAGAGCTCTGAAGCAGTTGTGAAAGAACGGTAAGTCAGAAGAAAGGTATTGTTGAACGCAGGGTCCAGTCGATCGTGTCGCGTCAGCTGTTCTACAAGTCCCTGAAGCGTACCTCCACGAAGCTGCGCTGGGTTTGACTTGTGATCGTAGGATATTTCGCCCTCGTGGTCGAGCTTGAGGAATTCGGGCACCTCTTCAACCGTTGTTTGAGGGATATTGGGCACCTCTCCGAAGAAGTCTTTGATCTTCTTGCTGCTATTGGCTGTGCGAATTGGTTCCACCACTTTATCTTCAAGTGACGTACCCTCGCTATACGTGTGGGATTGCGGCACGTCTTTCAAAAGTGGCCTCGAGCTGCCTGGGCCTCCGAGGGCGTGTGAGCTCCCTACTTCCGTGTCCGTATTTCGTCGTGGGTCATTGCGCACTGCAATGTCACCTAAAGGTACAGCTTCTGACAAGTGCTGTAGTAGACCGTATTGTTGCACGATACTGGTTTCGAGATCGCGCGAAACGGCTCGACAGCCGTTGATCCTTTCTTCCAGGGAGTCGCAACGATTCTCGGCCCACTCATCAGCTAGTGGGGCAGCGACACCTTGGCAGGTAATGACCAGCTCTGAAACCAAATCATAGACCTTTTGCTTTTGTATGCTGAACTCGCCTAATTGTTGCCCTTGCAGAGTCGAGCTGAGGGCAGAGAGATTGATTGACTCAATCGTGGAGATCCAGGGACGGCAAACGTCCAAAACTTTCCCGGCGGCGTTGCAGACGCTGTCGCCGATGATTTGATGTCTATAGGGCGTCACAATTTTGTCGCGAACGACAAGCTGCTCATCCAGCCTCCGAATGCTAGAGACGATCAAACGCTTCAGATCTTCCAGGCGCTCTAGCACACGAGAGTCAAGCTTCACGGTAGGCTCGACCATCGGTTCGTAGTCTTCCTGGTCGATGAACGAGGTCTGACCCGAATTATTCCGGACGTCAACGCCATTATTGTGCCAATTGCCACCTGCAGAATTACCGACCACGAAGCCAGGAACGAGGCGAGGAATGTCTTCCCCGCGTTGTTGTCGAGCGACCTCAACAAAGCCATATACACCGTTGAGAACGCCATCGGCCTCTTTCAGACACTTCGAATATGAATCTGGTGGAGGGAAGTCTGCAGCAGCAATGTGGGAGGACAGGACTAGCTTTGAAAATCTGGACATAGTCTCACGGAAGTGGGGATAGAGAGCCTTGTTGGTGGAAATAATGGAGGGATTACCGGAGTGATTGTCGGTTGTTCCAGATCCAGCGGCAAGAATCAACCGCAAATGGTCAGAGATGTCTTCTGCACGCTTTACGAATTCGGAGCGATCGCTGTTGTTGATCGCCTGTCGATACCGCTCAATGGCTCGGCGCATGTCCTCAACCATGCGATTCCATGTGAGAGGTATGGGGTTAACATCATCGTAAAATTTTCGAGAAGAGGCAGACGGCATGGGCGAACCCCCCGTAGGGTTGTTAGCAAACGAGGTGGCAGTGGTTCCAAGAGGGGGGATGCTGGCGATCGAAAAGCTCGTACCATTTGCATCCACCGACCGGTCGAAGGAAGGATGTTGGTTCATGGAATCCATTGACGTCGCAGGCGAGACGCCGTCTGAGAGCCTCTTGCGCCCTGGCTAAGGGGAAATGTCAGTAGATACGTTGAATGGGTCTGACTGCGCCGAGCTTACCAAAGAGCTGTGCGAGCCCATCATGCCCGGACCCTCGAAGTCCGAAGCTGAATTTTCATCGTCTGTATCCTCCACATTATAGCCCGAAGCCAGCAGTTCTGCCGGTGGCCTCGAGGAGTCTGGTATGAAGACGTTCACGCGATCGTGTGGACCATTTTCGTTGGCTGAGGGTGTTTCGAGGGGCAGCTCCATGGTGCTCACACCAGTAAGAGTATTGAAGTAGAACAAGCGGCCGTCGGAGGTGGCCTGCGGTATCCAAAACGCTGCTTCCTCCTCTTTGCTGTTATCGTTGCCATTGCGCTCGATGGGCAGGATCGTGTCATTGCCGTTGATCGACTCGGTGTCAGAGTTGGTGTAGTCGGTGCCACCCAGATCGGACTGCGTGTCGTCGTCGACGACATCTGCACCGTTCCGGTCGTCTTGCACGTCGTCGTCGGAGCGGGTGACGACCGCACAGTAGTTGCTCGGAAACCAACCGCGAACGCCGTTGATCACGCCGTCCCACCAGCCGCTCTCCAGCTGCGTGATGACCTGGATAATGTCACCCTGCCGGAAACTCAAGCTCGTGCGATCGTCGGCGTCGTAGTCGTAGAGGGCGCGCACGAACATACTCCCGGGCGGAGGCACTGTGCCATTGAACGCCATGCTGATGCCTCGTCGCGTCGCTGCGCGGGGGAGACGTGCGTTTTCTTTGAGAGGGAGCGGAGCGTTGGCGTTAGCCCCACCGGCAGCTGCAGGAGCCCTTGAACGGAAGCCCTAGACGGAGGGCTGCTGAGGTGAACACCCGCTTCGAGATGTCTATGAGCTCCGCGTGCTGTGGGCGGGCGGCGCTGCGATCTGCGTGTGGAAAGGGGATCGGTGTGACCGCCGCTGGGCGCTTGTTCCCATTCGTAGCTGCGGGAGCTTCGCAGCGAATGAGCAGTGCAAACAGACGTGCGGACAGAGACACAAAAGCGAAAACCGGTTCTGAGTGTGCAAGACGCGCCAGGAGGGGGCTTTGAATGCGGCTGCAGAACCCGAGGCAGCTGGACAGGACTCCGTGAGGGATTGCACACCGGAACTGCCTCAAGATCCATGGATGGGGCCTACGCACGTGATCCGTCGATACCCTTGACCTTGACCACATGTGCATGCATCCAGAGCTCCTTCATTGGCGCATCGCCGCAACGCGCATCGTGTATGCCGGTCGAGTATACATTTACGCGTGGTTCATATGTTATTGGAGGATCACGACGGTATACAACACATCTATGCCCGTTGTCTGCAACGACTTGTATACATTCTGAGGCGCATTGTCACCACCTGTGAAAGCACACGGTTCCCTACCTGTCAAACCGCGACGATGCCAGCCACGAGACAGCTCCTCGAGGTTGCCCCACCTCGACTTCACATCTAGACCGCCTCTCGGAGGGGAGGCCTTGACGGAAAACACACCTGTTGCCGGCTGACTCAAGTCCAGCGACGCGCAGCTCCGAGTCCCGATCAGACCCACGGCTTGAGCTCGGAAGGGAGTCTTGACCGACAATGCCCTGTGCAACGGGATGGGCCGTGTTCATAGCAAGGCGACCCGTGGAACGCCCACCTCTCATCCGTCTGCAGGACGGTTGCCCTACCACGACATCGCCTGCATACCTAGCTAAACGGACCCTCGAATTGCTCCACGACATCGCAAAGATGCTGTCTGGCTTGAATGCCATCGTTGCAGGCCGCGTTTGGAGATGAAAATACAATACTCGTTATGCGCCGGGGAACGTGCAGGCTTCACCTTGCCGGAAGGTGCTTAGAACCGTTAGCCGTTCGCGTGGAAACGGACGACGTGCGCCCCTCAGCGCGGGTGGGTTTGAGGCTTCAGCTCTAACTCCTCCGAGAAAGCATGTTTTCCACGTGAAGAGATGGTGTCAGGGCTTCTGTGCCATGCGCACATAGCTAAAAACTTTGTCGCGTAGCTAGTTATTGAGCGAAACTCTCTCGGTCCTAGTATTGTAATGTTATCCGAAGCCTGTCATACATCACTGCGACCCTCGTCGTGGCAATGACTTCCGTCGAGCATCCTCAACAAATCATCCCAAAGCCCACGGCGTGTTCCTGCGCAACGGGAAGGTGCCGCGATCCGCATATGAAACCAGGAGCAGACCCATTTCTTCTGGAGCATTACGGAATCGGTATTAGCGCGGGGGTTTGGATGCAAAAGCAATGCCCCTCCATCTTCTCTTACAGCTTTTTGAGGAGGGGAGGGCACATGGCGGGAGGCTCGCCCGAACGTGTCTCATTTCACTCCGGTCTCAGCGTGGCAAAAGGTAAGTAACCGTTGGACAAGTTCTTGGCGAGCGAGGCGCGTCTCCAACTCTTTTACCGCCGGTTACCCATGCGTAAGGATCCAGGTCGTCGCCCGCGACCCTTGGAGGCGAGCGGGCTCGGCCGGGCAACGACCAGACAAGTCATCTTCCTGCTGGCCAGGATCAGTTGAGCCTTGATTCTCCCATTCCGAACTTGTTCATATTTTTGCGCTTTCTGCGGTAGGTATGCCGTGGGCAACTGTGTCGCACTGTCAGAAGTGCCTGCACGATTTTACACTTGCAACCAAGACTGAGACAACTCTCGCCCTCTCATGCGACATTCGATGGTGCTAAAGCTAGGCTGGTGGGTCCGGGGAAGAATATCCAGCTCCCGTTGCTACGGGCCTTCGCTAGGAACGAGTAAGTTGGTGCCGATCGGTCCCGGCGCATCCAAGATTACTCGTGGGCGTAGCCTCGCTGTTGGTGAAATTTAGAGGCTCGTCCTGGCGTCATTGCGTGAGACAAAGGCGCCCCCTTTTCCATCGTCGTCATAAGATGAGCATAGCGAAGGTGGGCTGAGGGGGCCATCGCTCACCCCTCTGCTGTAATGTTTACCGCTGTGTCAGTAACGTTAGGCACGAAGAAGGATCGGAAGGCGGTGTGAATATGCGGTCGTTGGCAGAAGTGGACCGCTTGAAGATACATAGGGCATAGCGAGTCCATACCGCTCTTTGTGCACGCTGTGCTGCTCGATCAAGATTATTGACGGCTCCGTCGTACAGCACTATGGCGCGACTAGGTCTTGCGTTCGCGAGGCACGTACTTGGGCACAGGTTGGTGGAAAGGCGGTTGGACGGCGAACTACCATGTTGCGCTCCAGTCAGCTCGCAGTGGGCGCGGCTGCAGCGCGGGATGTAGGCTGTGAGGTTGTGGTGTAAATGTCGCTTGGAGGAACTCGGTGGTGGTTGCGCGGCGGGAGCTGTCTGCAAGCTCCAATTTGGAGGGGCACGGCAAGAGCAGCCCCGCTGCGAACCAAAGTGTCAACAAGAGGAGGGGCAGCGCGCATCAACACCACATGCACGCAAGTCAGCGTCAGGGAATAAACAACGGGGCGGGAGCCTTGGAAAACAAACGAGAGCCGCATCCCGCGACGGACGTGGCACCAGCACCACGCCCCCAGCTAGCCTCGCTCACGCTGGGCCTCGAATGACTAACCCTACCCCTCGCTCTTTCCCTCTCCCCCTTTAGTTCGCTAAGGTCGTCGCTCTTGCCCGCGCTCGCCTTTCACCCATCACCTCCATTATTTTCATCCCACCCAACGTCGCAAACAACCCTCGAGTTGTCTGTCTATCACCGGCTTCAACCCGGCACGCCTATTTCTATGCGAACGCCGACTTCGACGCGAAGGAATGCTACTAGACTCGCCCTGCACGCTTTAATACCCTCGCGCACCCGGCAGCACCGCCCTCACATCCGAGCAACCTCGCCGTAGAGACAAAGCCCCCTCTACCGGTCCATGCCCGCTGCTGCCATGACCATGGCCTCCGCCGCCTCATCCCCCGCCGTCCGCAAGTCGGGCTCCGCACCCGAAAAGAAGTACAAATGCCAGTTCTGCAACCGCGCCTTCAGCCGGAGCGAGCACCGCAGTCGCCATGAAAGATCGCGTAAGTTGTTTTTGATACTCTGCTAGAATCCCGTCTTGATGGCGGTGTGCATTGAGACGACGCGCCGCCCGGCAGTGATGTCTGAGTGCTCGTGGTGATCCTGGTGCGACACCACACTCTTCACGACGGTCGCGCTACACGTTCGTGTCATGTCATCTTCTGTGCTTTCGCTTGTGTGAGATGGTTGTTGCGACCCATTTTTGATGCTTTGTTGATGCGGGAAGTCGCGAAGCTTGCGCGTTGCGGGGTTTCTGTTGCTAACTACCCCTCACAGACACGAAGGAACGCCCTTTCAAATGCCACAAATGCCGAAGCACCTTCGTTCGTCGCGACCTCCTATTGCGCCACGATCGCACCGTCCACGCAAAAGATGGTGGCGTTCCACTGACCAGCGAGGTCAAACGCCGCACCAACAACAAGACGCAAGAAGAGAATGTCGCACCAGGCCCGTCCAAAGGAGTCATGGCTCACGACTCGGCAACTACTCTGGAGCAGATCGAGGCCAGCAGTGAAGAGATGGTAGACATAGAAGCGGCGGCCATGCTAATGACCGACTTCCGCCATAAGGCCATGGCTAGCCAGGAGCCTGAGATGTCTACTGAAGCCCCAAACGCCGTCATCTCGCCCACTGGACCTCCAATGATGGAGCCTGTTGTTACTTATCCTGCCCCGGGCTCCATGTCGTTGCCGCAAATGCCTTGGGGAGACTCCATGGTGCCCGAGTCTAGGACACACGGCGCTCAAGACACGCATCCCGCTTTCAATAGCGCCAGCGCTCTTAGCTCGCATCCTCACCAACTGCCGCCGCTGATGGAACGCCAGATGTCAAACTCCAGTATTCCGCCTACCTTCCAGCCTATGAGCAGCTCTGCCGCTGCCGCCGGTCTAGGGACGCCAGGTGCTCTCTCGCCCTATCCGGGTATGCTCGGCCCGGTGTCACCTGTCGATTACCGCAGGTCTCCAGGTCCTAGCCAGGCACTTATGGTCGCGCGAGCGCCTCAAGTGGAAAACGACGAACAATGCGCCAAGATCATTGAGAACATTAGGCAATACGACAGCGAGAACGCCCTGTTGGAGACTTTCCATCTACCAAGTCTGAACACCGTTAACAGGTTGCTCAAAACGTACTTCGACCTCTTCCATCATCATCTACCATTTCTGCACCCAGCCACGTTCCGACCAACGGAAGTTTCAGCTCCGCTACTCCTTGCTGTGCTTTCAATTGGTGCACTCTATATCTTCGACCAAGATCAGGCGTACATGCTTCACATCGGCTCTAAAGTTCTCGTAAACCAGTTCTTACAGAACAAAGAGAACTTCAGCTCTCGCAAGTGCCCACTATGGACAATGCAAAGTACTTTACTCAACATGATATTCGCAAGCTGGAGCGGTGACCCGAAGGGTCTTGAGTGGGCTTGCTCTATCAAGAGCCTTTTGGCTAATATGGTAGCCGGAAATCGCTATGAACTCAAGCTTCGCTCAGAGGCTCGGGAGAATGCGCAACCGAGTCACGAAGAGTGGACTGTAGACGAGCAGTGTCGCCGTACTTACTACGCGGTGTACATCTTTTTCGGCCTGATGACCTTGACCTACAACCACACACCTGCCATGGGCTTCAACGAGTTTGACACACTTGAGCTCCCGTCATCTGAATCTCTTTGGACAATGGAGGTATCTGATGAGGAGTCGTGGCGCGAGAGCGTTTCCGCCTCCAAGATCATTACCTTCCGCCAGGCCCATGACAATCTCTTCCAAGGGGAACCAGCTCAGTACAGCGCTTTTGCTACCCGTGTCATGATCAACGCGTTGTTCTTGGAAGTATGGTACCACAAGCGTAGCCCTGAGGCTTTGCAGGACGTCGTGACTGAGTACAAGCTGAGGCTTGCATTGGAGACCTGGGAGAAGTCTCTCGAACTTTGCGAACCTGAGACTGTCGTGGTCCAGCTGAGTGCGCCCCACAAAGGTCATCCACTGATCTTCAACGCCATGGCCATGTATAGGAACACCCGAACAAGGCTTGTGGTAGACCTGAAGTCTGTTCAGGAAGCTTTACGCTACCATGACTCCTACGAGGTTGCTGCAGCTATGACGAATGCACGGGATAAGGTGCAGCGATCTGAGGAGATGATCAAGGTCATTCAAGAGTGCTTTGACTGCATCGAAGTTGCAGCTGTTCAAGGGATCCGGTGGGTGGCACGTACTTCAGCCACCAACTGGAGCATCGAACACCCTCTGACTGGTATGGATCTTATGGTCATCCTTACGCTTTGGTTGTACCGCCTGGAACACGATGAGGAGCCCGCCACCGAGGAAGAATTAGCCATGTACAACAAGCTTCGGAATCTGTTCGATGACGACTCTGTCGATGTGTATGGGGCCAAGCTTAGCTCTACTGTGGCTCGCCTTTGGGGCAGCATGATTGATGAGGTGGTCGTTTGGGGGTAAGTGATCGTGTCTATCTATGTTAAATCTATGCTGACTAGTGCCAGTATCACCAAGCTGATGGGTGAAGCCTTCAAACTCCACTCTCAGGCTCTTGTGGGCTACGAAGACGCCATGTCTGAACGCTCAGGCTCCGCGACGCCCTCAATGGCTGCGGGCGGTGTTCAAGTTCTCGAAATGCAAATGGCTTACTAGGCCTGCCAGCACCGCTCTTGATGACTTTCACGACCTTTTATTCTTGTCTCCATTTTACTCTTAGACTGTTTGAACATGTCCACCTCGCTCATCTCCCAATGGTTTGGAGCATGGCTCGGAGTTTGGTGTGCTGTTCTCAATTTCGCTGCATATGAGGTGCTGTGAGTTTTATTCTATCTCTGTCGATCTCGATTTCATTTTCAAGAATGGGTTCATCTGGCGCATGGGGCGGTCTTGGTCCATTGTAGACGCAGTTGGGCTTGGGCTTGCCCCTTCTGGACATGGGGTCACACTACTAATACCTCTCCTACTCTTACATACCCTTTGATTGCTTTGGAAACTACTGTTGGTGGCTGGCCCCATGCTGCGCTTCTTGTTCGTCACGGTTGTGCTCTGACACTCCGTTAATGTTTTGCTTTCTTGCTTTCTCGTTTCCGCTGTATCTCCTCATCTCCTTTCGTCTGTTTTCTTATCGCATATACCATTAGTGCTTGTTCCATTTGTCTTCGCGATGATGGAGTGAGCAGGACGGCGGGTCAATGGGCAGTGGGGATGTTTTCAAGGGCGCTGCGGGTTGCTATATAGTCATGTATAATAGGATGCATTGGATGAACCTTTGCTGGTGTTTGCCCAATTCTGTGTCAGCAAGACGTTGCGAACAATGCAGATTGAGTGGGAACCTGCGAGTTGAAACTGCTGCCAAGATATTGTGGGCGCCAAGGCGCTAAGTTCGTGCAGCTTCGAAATTTTGGACGGAAAAAGTGCGAAGCTCGACAGCCAACACCAAAGAACGCGTCGGCCCGCCAGCACCCCTAGAACCGGCTGCTCTCTCTGCAAGAAGCTGCTGCCAACCCTTCACTTGTGACTCCACACTCTATCCTTCCCACTTTCCCGGTCTACACCCACGCAACAGTCACCGCGCACGCACTCGCAATGGGCAAGGACAAGGAAGAGAAGAGAGTGAAGGACAAGAAGGAGAAGAAGGAAAAGAAAGAGAAGCGCTCCGAGGTAGACGGCGTCAAGAAGTCCAAGAAGGAGAAGAAGTCCAAGCTCAACGGCGATGTCGCAGACGCACTGGAGAAGGAGCTCGTGAAGGAGCCCGAGGAGAGTCTTGTAAGAATCGTGGACGAGGACGGCGAGGTTGCTCCCAGAGACATTCCCGCGAGCGCGTTGGTGCCCATCGCGGAACCGCTTCTCGAAGAGTCGAAGGAGGTGAAGAAGGTGCTCAAGACGGTCAAGAAGTGTAAGCTGCCTTTCCTGCACGGCCAGGGGATTGAAGATCCAGATGCTAATACGTGTACAGCCGCTAAGACCAAGACCCTCCGCCGCGGCGTCAAGGAAGTAGTTAAGTTCCTCCGCAAGTCATCCTCCAACGCACCACCCTCGTCCGACATCTCCAACCCCTCGGCCATCGTCGTTATTGCTGCCGACATCTCGCCCATGGACGTCATCTCCCACATCCCCGTCCTCTGCGAAGACCACAATGTGCCATACCTCTTCGTCAAGAGCCGTGCAGAGTTAGGTGAGGCGAGCGCAACGAAAAGGCCCACCAGTGTCGTGCTTGTAGGTAGAGAGAGAGCGAGCAAGAAGAAGGACATTGGCGACGACGACAAGGCTGAGTGGGATGAGGCGTATGGCACGCTGAGAGATATCGTTATCAAGGCTAGCAAGACGGTGCGGAAATAGGCGACCATGGTGGTTGTTCTTGTGTACCTTCAAGGGGTCCGTCCATAAAAAACGGCGGTGGGCGTTTGGCGTTGAATCGGCCCAAGGGCTTTTTACTCGGTTCTCCCGACGGCATTGTATGAAGGCTTCAGTTCTTACGCGACTGTTCCCAGTCGACGATAGTGTTGCGACAGTCAGGATTGTCTAGATAACATACAGCTGATAAACTTGATGCAATGCTGCAAGGCTTGTGCATGATGTCGCGTCCATCCATGAATCCCTTTCTCGTCAAAGCCCATCGTCCTGCAGACTAACTGCTACAATCAATACTAGATCAGCCAGGAACTTGTGCTCCTGAAAGCCTGCACTGGTAGTTCTCCAGGTCTGTACCTACACCGCACACCGCATGGCCTAGACGCACGTAACGCAGTGTAGAACCGAAGCCGCATAGAGAAACACGTCTTGCCGCACACTATATGTGAACGTGTATAAGTGGTCCTACAGCTCGCACCAAATATGTGGATCGCACCTGTAAGATTTTGCGACGGAATATTGCAGCTCTTGAGTGAGCGTGGAAGGCTAACTAGAAGGTTTTCTCCCTCCTCGAAAGTGCTCTATGTTCCCAGACCAGAGTATACGACGCGGTGCAAAATATCACGCAGAAAGATTATTTACGCTCGAGGGACATGGCAAGTTTTGCATTGCTCTATATACCCTCTAGAAAACCACCGCCCAGACCCTTTTGAGCAATAGACTCGATACACATGCAGATCATATCGCGTAACCAGATTGTGGTATCTAGTCCTCGTCCTCGTCGGCCTCGTCGTTGACGACGTTGAAGAAGCGGAGCTCATACACACCCTTGGAGGTGGAAACGACGCGGAGCCAGTCACGGAGCTGCTGCTTCTTGAGGAACTTCTTGGTACTACATGGGCATCAGCAATAGGCCTTCATGGTGCATGTGGTGAACGTACAGGTACTTCAAGTAACGGCCGGAGAACTCCTGGTGGGCAATGACCTCGATCTTGCCGTCGCCCTGCTGGGAGATTTGGATGGTCTCGCCGAGGTTACCGGTGCGGCCCTCGACCTTGATCCGGTCGTGGAGGAACTTCTCGAAGGCCTGGATGTCGAAGATCTTGTCGTTGACAGGCTGTGAGCAGTTGATGATGAACTTCTTGGTGATCTTCTGGCCCTTCTTCGCGGCGGCACCGCCGGTTGCGCGTTTCTACATTGAGTACTTAGCCTACTGTTCTGTGCGAGGGAGCGCTGTGCTCAACCAAGCGGACAGCAAAGCGGTGTACGTACAGTTGCTGGCATTGTGAATGAAAGAGTGGTTATACGCAAAGAAGTGGTTATCCTGCGCTGGGCGTGTGGTGTAGATATTTGCTTAAGAGGGTCGTCGAAAAGTTCGCGGTCGCTAAGCTTTTTCGCGCGTTGTGGGCGCTTACGTGATTCGGCTCGGAGTAGTTCGTGCGCTGCGATTGGCTGGCGCTAGAAGTGCAAGAATGCTCCCATTTGCGCAGGTCTCAAGAAGTATCGAATACTTCAAATATCGTCCAGTGCGAGCCATAACATAGCATATCGTAAGAAGGTCATTCATTGTGTCGAGGCTCTTATGCGCAGCTTGGAATTGGAGTTGTCCGGACGTAAGGTTACTTTGCAGCTCATCACATGCAGCCTGACGCTGGACACCACTACCCAAAGTCTGTTTTCTGTATCCTTCTTCTGCGTTCGACCAAGTCAAGCCGAGTTTCTATTTCGTTGTCCAGATTGCTTTGCTTATCCACTCCATCCTATCCTCGAATATAGACTTCTCCAGTATTCGGTCATGCCGCATGACCCAGATGAGCCGCATATTAAGCATCTGGGGTCACGCAGAAAAGCTTAACCGTCTGGTCCAAATCAGTTCGGCAAGTCGTTAATTGGTATACCACTGGCTTTTGACCAACCACACCACGCGCATGCTGTGGAGCCTAAGACCTCCTAGGACTCGCCGGCCCGGAATTGCGATAGTAATATACAAACTCTCAATATCTGACCACTATCGCATCTATTCACGGATGACCACTGAATCAAAACCCAGGCCGTCGCACATGATGAGGAGTCGGGTGGCGATATGACATTGGTAGAAGAAGGGTAGGTAGGCGATATTGGAAGAGAAGGCGGTATAAAGGGCAATCGGTCGTACATCACCTTGGTTGTGCCGTCTCGTATCATCAGTGTATCCTACATCCAAGTCAAAATGTTGTTCTCCAGCGCTGTTGCCGCCGTTGCTCTCCTCGCCGCCGAGGCTTCCGCCCATGGTGCCGTGACCAGCTACGTGATCGATGGCACAACGTATCCTGGATACGAAGGCTTCGCGCCCGCCACCGGCCCCAAGACCATCGAAAGACAATGGCCTGATTACAACCCAACTCTTAGGTACGTACTATCGGGGTACAAAGTGGGTGTTCATGGTGGGCGATTGTCCAAGACTTCGAGCGTTACACCTCTAAGTTTGAAAGTCTCAGACATCAGCAGCTAGCCAGAACACCTACTTCGCCCACTTGCCTGACTCCTAAACATTACACTGACTTTGTAACCCCACCTGTAGCGTGACCGATAAGAAGGTCATGTGCAATGGTGGCACGTCCGCAGACCTCAGCGCCCCGGTGAAGGCTGGAGGCAAGGTCAAGGCCATCTGGAAACAGTGGACTCACGCTCAAGGCCCTGTCATGGTTTGGATGTACAAGTGCGCTGGCGACTTCAAATCATGCGATGGATCAGGCAAGAAATGGTTCAAGGTCAGTCACATTGTCAATCGCCACGATGCACAAGGGTCGGAGGCTAACTTGACTAGATCGACGAGAAGGGAATGACCGCCCCTCCTCTTTCTGGCACTGCGTGGGGTACGAACGACGTGTTGAAAAACCTCTATTGGGTAAGCAATGTCGGGGTACAACGTGGGTGTTCATGCGGAGCGAATGTCTAAGACTCCAGGCCTTTCACCTCTAAGTCTGATATCTTCTGACATCGGTAGCCGGCTACAACACCTACTTCACCCACTTCTCTTATTTATGAACATTACACTGACTTTGTACCCCCACCTTTAGGAGTCTACCATCCCCAGCTCTCTTGCTGCAGGCAACTACCTTATCCGTCACGAACTCCTCGCTCTCCACCAGGCCAACACACCCCAGTTCTACGCTGAGTGCGCTCAATTGCAGGTCACTGGTAGCGGCTCTGGCCAACCTAGCGGTGACTTTCTTGCCACCATCCCCGGTTACGCGCCCCAGAGCGACCCAGGAATCACCGTCGATACATACGGAAGCAAGGCTACAACGTACACTCCGCCTGGACCCAAGGTTTGGAGTGGTTAGAGAAATAAAGGACGCTATTTTCAATATTCCTGCTTCATCCGTCGATCGAGGCTTCTTACCCTGTATTTACTTGCATACGATGCAATGAAAACCTTTGCATCTCTCAACATTTATTTGCATTTGGTACACTGACGGACGTACTAAATAGAGAATTCACTATGCTCGTTGCACGTCTAGAGGAAGCGGATGTCACGCGCAAATCTTCCGGTGAGATATCCAGGGAATAGAGTAGCTCGCAGCAACTGAACTGTCTCGAAAGTGTTATTTGAAAGACAGCTGGATCCTCAGGGCAGAGCTTACTCGCAGGTTTGCGATAGGTGCCATGATGTTATCTTATCTGTGAATCTGATCTTGATACAATCTAACAACCTTGGAACTGATCAGGTATCCAGAGTCGATCCGGGTCTGTTCCGATGCTCTCAAGCCTGCGCCTCACTTTGTTCTTACTATATTCTGTCTTTGCACCTGAAGCTCCTGCTTCTTTATTGTTTACATTTTAGTCGACCGAACTACCACTTCGCGATGACTATGAATGGCTAAGCATGAAGACCCCAGGACTCGTTCGCAGTACGGTGCCAGGAAGTTTAGACCCCACACAAACTTCCGGAGCCATAACGCTAACCCTTCCCCGCAGCGCGCTTTCTGTGGCTCAATTTCCGCGATCGTACGTCGATGGCACATTCACATGCGTTATCGTCCTTCTGCCTGCGCACTCTTTGCGTCGCGTCGCACAACAGATCGCGTCACCCAGTATAGCGGAGCGAGCGAGCAAGCAAGCAAGCAGATGTCCTTGCCTATGCACGGTATTTTCTCCCCGAAGACATCACTCGTGAGGATCATTAGGAGTAACGAGGGGCTGCAAAGGCCGTGAGCTACAGCGCACGCGAGCGAGGGGCTTGGAGCTGAGGTGTGCATCCTGAAACATGGAGCAGTGCGACAAGTCCGTCTCAACTAACAGCCGAACACGACATAAGCCGGGCGTTGGACGCAGCAGCATCGCATTAGACTTGCTTCTTGCCCACCAACATTCTTTAACCGGCCTCTTGCTTTGCTAATACTCTTTTTTCTCTCTTGCCTGGACGCAGTTTCTTGCCCCCATCTTCCTGCACCAGTTACGCGCTCACCGTGCCGCGCAAGCACGTTAGCCGCAACAGCTTCGCCTGATCGCCCCCAAGTTGAAACACTACGCGAGACCACGCCGAGGACACCGCGCACTCATCTTTGAAATAGCAGTTCATAACGCTCATCACTATCCCGAGCGCTTAGAAAATACGGCGCAGTCACGGCGCAGCAGCGCTCGCATTGATCCTTTCCTTTCACAAGTTGTCTTTTCGATATATTTATCGAGCTGGTCTCGCCTCCTTGCAAGATGCCGGGTTTCATTGTGCAGTTCTACGCTCTTCTTTTCTTAGCATACGTTGTCTTTTCCATTATCAAAATCACGAAAGATGAAGCAAAAGTCGTCGTTCCTCTCCGCGACCTGGCGCTTCCTCTCCCTGTGCGCAGCAGCCGGTCTCTGCACAGCCGGACCTCTTCTCCAGCCCGGAGTACTATCACTAGGCCTCGCTCAACATCAAGCTCTACCCGGGCACCAAGTTCAATCATCTCCAAGCCAGCCTCAACCTCGAGCTCCACCTCAAGACGAAGCTCCTTCTCCCTCTGGTCCCGCAAGTCGAAGCCGACTTCCGCAATCGGGTCTGCAGCATCCAAGCCTAAACCAAAGAAGCCAGTATCGCTTCGCAGCATCGCAACAGCGACGAGCAAATACAGGGGTATGCACCTTCACGGTCTCCCAAGTCCAAGCCTGCACTCCGGATTCCATTTCGGCGGAGCTGGTCAACTACCTGCAAATTAATACGCTGTATTCGCCCTATGGCACAGAAGCTGCGGATGTACACGACATTCGTCACCAAAGGCCAATTGCAGAGTACAATAGCTACCAACGCCTACTTGCTTACAAGCCCTGGGAGGTCACGAGCGTGGAAGGCAATAGCCGCACTCTTACCATTATTGAGGGTGAAGATGGTCATCTTCGGATGTCCTACGGTGGTGCTGAGTGGACGGAGGACACACGAGCTGAAGATGAAGGTCCAGGATGGTGCGAGGAAGCAGAGTGGTATGAAGCAGACGACTGGGGCTGTCCGCATGGGAACGAAAAGGTCCAAAGGGTGAGTCTGAGTTGCGCAAAACTACACATGAGAACATTGCTGACCTGGAACAGAAGAGGACGGTTCACTGTGGTTTCCCATGCGCGAGAATCGAAAGATTGGAATTAAGGTGACCTTGTACGATGGGGCGGACAATTGGGCTCCTTGTTTCAGTTCAGTCTAAGATTACGCGGTGTCGAGTCTACACGTTGAAACTCTTCGAAACAACCCAATATACATTCTTACCAGCTGAGCTGTTGGCCATTTGAGGCTTGAATATGGTGGTCCGACCCTGCCGTGGGACAAGGCAGACATGCACATAGATTGTCCACTTAGGACTCACCAACCCAACGGAAAGAAATATTTTGAAACGAAACATGGCCTACCAAGATTGCAATTGCTCCCTGTATCCGACAGTAACGGCATGTCAAGCGACACGTCAATCGCGCCGCGTGACATCGGACATGTGCCTGTCAAGCTGAAGCAGGGCCTTAGTGGCGCAGTACTCGTACAGATTGCATAGACACATGGCATCATGGTTCCACTCCTCAATGGCCGTTAATAAATATACGGCGGTGGCGTTCGTGGCGTTAATGCCGTTGTGCCTCTTAGTTATCGATCAGCGCATCGATGGCTAGATGCGCCCACTGCCGTCAAGTATAGTGAAGAGCCTCAACAATTTCCGTCGGTGGTGGCCTAGGATATACACGGAATCATAACTGCGAGTTTAATTAGCGGAAAATAGCTGATCTGATGGTTATAGCATTGTAACGGTTCGTAGTACGCGGCCAGGACCACGAGGTTGACGTGGCTTTCGACCTTGTTGCATGATTTGGCTCAAGAAAAGCCATGCGTAACATTCAATGCCTGGTATAGCTTGCACAACGACCAGCCTGTTTATATGTTCTATAGAGTGCGCTGCTTCGTAGTGCGTGTTCTGGTATAGGTGTTGTTCGATGGAACAAAAAAGTGCATGCTGAGACGCTCAGGACATGAGAATACCTTCTATAGGTATCATGGTCTTATTTACGAAGATATAGGATCACACGTTTTACTGTCCAAGCTTACTCATCATGGACTCTGCAATCATCTTTTAGTGACATAATTGGAATGGTAGCAATGCTAAAGAAAGCAGCATGTCCGGGAGGAACACTGTCGCCCGAGGCATGATCAACCAATGCGTGGCGCTAGTGCTGCAGTCTAACAAGGCTGAAGTGTTTAACCGCCCATTACAGATCTAGGTTGACTGCAGATGACCTCTGGGAGCGAAGCGAAGAAAGATATCCAAGCTCTGCGTTCTGAGGTGCTGAGTCGGATGACCCAAGCAGTGAATTACCCTTATTGTCGAAGTGGGTGAGTCTCGCTCACAGCTGGCGGGTTGCAGTATTGTTGCTCTGCAGTGATAAGACGCTCCTCCACGAACAAATGGTCATGCCAAACAAGGAGACCTGAACAATGCTCGGGTGATCGTATGACCCGGTGAATTCGTCCTGAACTTCTCGGCGACGCCATTTCGAACTTAGAGCTGACGCGTACTGTGCGTACCTTCACATATCATACCAGCAGATCCCAAGTTCACCGCGACGGCCACAATCAAGTTCAACTTTTGCGTTACAGGCCGCGCAGTCGGAGTGTATCGCAAACGTACGTTTATGTATTATGGGTAGGCTGAGCACATTTTTGAACGGTTCAATGCATATCATGGATGTTCGCTAGTGAGTGTTCAGCTATAGACGTTTGATGTTCATCTGGAACGGCTGTTAGCCAGCGAATAGGCCTCAGTCCACGCATCTTTATACGTATACGTAGAAAACCGCCTCAGCCAATGAGTACGATTCTATCCACAGAAAGTTCAACTTCGTTTACGTACGCAACCGGCTTTCGATCACCACTTATGCCAGTCATACGCCCAAGACGGCGGTTCTCGTTCGGATAATCCGTTCGGAAATCCCGATCCCGAGGCCCCCTTCTCATCAATCGTCGACACAGCGAAACGCTCGCTTCGGAAGGCGTGGATCCCGTCTGCACCCAGTTCTCTCCCGCGACCCGGAAGAACCTCCGCGATCGTCGGGAACGCGCTGTGAAGGAGCCTGTCCATGTTAACGAATCGCTGCGTCACATGATGTACAAGAACCGGAGACACCCCTTACGGCCTGAGCATGGTGGTAGGTGTAGCCCTGAAATTTGGGACATTTACCATTTCTCCGTGAGGGTTACGCCACAAGACGCGCATGCGCCACAGGAAACCAAACCTGAGGAAACAAGGCAAGTTTCACCGCCCGCTATTTCCGCCGTAATTGTCCCGCTGCGCGGATTATGGGCGTGATGTTTCCTATTTGTTTCGACAGCCTCGTCTCCGAGTCTTCTTGTTTTGTACGGTAGCCTTTGTCGCAAGGCCTACAATGTGGGAGTGGGAAAGACTGCATGGTGATGATTGGGCAGTGCATATGTTTTCTAACACCCTCCTTCTCACCCTGCGCAATCTTTCCGCGTCTGCAATATGTTGATGGCATGATCCTTGTTGAGACGTTCGACGGAAATGCTTTTTTTTGACGGAAATATCGAAGTGGGAGAGGATCAAACAAGTCCCGCCTCATCGCCTGAGGCTCTGCTCTCGCGATGAGTGATCGCATCGTCCAACACTGCGAAACAGTTGACTGTAAATTAAGGGCACTGGTATTGTTGGGTGCTCGCTTGGCAGCGGCAGCGAGGTAGATGCGGGATGGCGATGAAGAAAGTTATAGCGGTCGGGTATGCGCGACTCAGCAACGCTGTAAGAATCATATTGGCTGCAACACTGATCATATTGGACAGGGAAGGAGATAGGCGCCGGTAATTTAAAGTACAAACCATCGGCTCGTGTCAAATCAGCTAGTGCAGCTTGGAAGCTTGGTGGTGGGTTACAAATTATATTGGAGATTCAGGATTGTAGAACAATCGCCTTATTGGGCGCTGATGCCATGATCAAGTACCAGGAATAACCAACCGAGAGTCGTCAATTTCATAATGTCCAAAACGCCGTTGTGATCGCGCTCGCTCGTAACCGCGTCTACCAGCCGCCTTGCTGGTTGTGATGTTTCTTGTCCTTGTGCTTGTCTTCGAGTTTTGAACCTAGAACAGCTCCCGCGAGGGCGCCGATTATTCCGTGACCACCCATCTTGTTACCACCGAAGTATCCGGCAGCACCGCCGCCTAGAGCGCCCATGAGACCTCGGTCGCCCTCAGCCTGTGCGTTGGGATCGGTAGGTCCGTACTGCCCCTGCTGTCCATGCTGGCCGTACTGGCCCTGGGGGTACTGATCTTGCGGGTAACCGCCCTGCTGGGGAAACTGTTGCGCAGGTGCTTGGCCCGGGTATGATTGCTGGCCGTAAGCCCTGAAGTAAGTTAATTACTTGTTTCGCAGCTCGAGCGTGATAGCGAATGAGGAGACTTACCCTTGTTGGTTATATTGCTGGTTATGATCGTAGCCCTGCTGACCGTTTTGAAAGCCGCCATGTGCGGGAGGTCCGTAGCCTCCGTATTGCTGTTGTTGGTGCTGCTGTTCCTGGCCATACTGTTGCTGTGGCGGGTACTGCTGGCCGTAGCCCTGGTCATAGCCACCCTGCTGTGGCGGCGGGTAGCCTTGCTGGCTTGGGGCGGGCGATCCGTACGAAGGCGCACCACCATACTGGCTATTCTGGGGGTACTGCTGGCCGTACTGCTGCTGGCCGTACTGATCATAGGGGTTCGACATTGTGGAGATGACGTGTGGGTTGAGGATGAAGGGCGATGCGGATGTTTGTGGGCTGAACGGGAGGGGTATTGAGGGGTACAGGCAATGACGGAAGTCGCAGAAGACGGTGCGAAAGGTGGAATAAGATGTCCAGCGGGACGCAATCGATGCTTGGGCAATCTTTATACACTAGACTACGGCATCTCGGATCCGGCCTGCTGACTGAAGAGAATTGCCTCTGTTGAGTAACGAGGCGAAGCAACAACGAACATTCGAGCTGACCTCGTGGCGCTCAGCCTCCTCGGTGAAGAGGTACCAACACGAACGGACTGCTCCTCAATCGTACGCAGTTTGCCCCGCAAACAGCCTGCGAGCCCATCGTAGGCGCAACGACTCCTGGCACCGCGGCGAGGCTCTTTCGCGTCGTCCTGCGGCATGCAACAGCGAACCTGAGCCAGCCCGACCGGACCGGTGGCGCAGCCGACTGTGGCTTGGCTGCCGTCATGCGTGGCGCCTCGCGAGGTGCACGTCACCTTCCTCGCAGCAGAAGAAGAGGAACTCGTACCACTGGGACGGCACACACAACGAGATGATGACTTGAGACGCTTCACTGGCATCGTCACGCCTCGACGACCGTGGTGTCCCCGCGGCGCCATTCCGCCTAGCGAGTCCAGCTCGAAGCGGGTGTTGAAACACGGCCACGCTGCCCTGAGACAGGTCCAAGACAAGCTTTCAGGGGTTGCTCCAACCTTCTGATGCGCTTGCTCCATGCTCAAGCAGACTCCCGGGCCACAATTGCCCGAAAGGGCCAATTACTCGCAGTTAAGGTTCCTAAAGTTGCCTCTCGAGGGCAAATGCCTGCTGCTGAGGCCGCTAATCTCGCTGCTTCGCGCTGCGAGGGTGCCCACACGCACCTGGACTTCTCAAACCGACACGGGACCAGAAGCCACAGATTGGCTAGCGTCCTTCATGCGCGCTCTCATATCCCCTCACTGTCCTGTCGCAGTACCATGTAGTCTCGAGCGTTCGCCCAGCCTTTGCTGCTCGCTGCTGACTTGCCTCCGTCTGTCCTTCGTTCCGCAGCCGGGCTGCTGTTGCTAATACTCCACACTTTCGTTCACCTTCGCTTCTCTTCTCACCCTCTGGCAGCGGTCCTAGCAGGCTTAGGACTACCCTTACCATTGATTCGAGACCATCTTGTCGCGGGCGAAATTCAGATGTTGTTTGTTGGAACTCGTTGAGCGGCAGGATTGAGAGGGCCATCGGCCCACGCCCCGACCATTCAACATGCCGGCTCCAAGGCTTCAGAGGAGACTGGATCAAGTGAAATATGTCGTGGTGGAGAGGTCCGAGGACGACCAGGCACAAGAGGCGGAAAGTTCGCGCGTGACGGCGACAGCTACACCAACTACCTTCATCAGCCGTCCGCAGGGTTACGCTCAACCCCAACCCACCGCTCTACGAATCCGGGATGACGACGACGACGACGATAAGATACCGCCAGTGGTACGAGACCGTCTAAACCAGTCCAACCGCATTATTCAGCTAACTGGAATAGTTTACCTTTACCGTGATGGGTGGTGCGCAATCAACGGGAGGAGCCCTCGCTGCCAACGACCCAACTGCGACAGTGGTGGTTGCAATCCCGCCGCCTCCCCCACAAGACGGTGCTCATGGGAAAGACGGCGGCGGAGGGCACAAGGGCGGTATCTCGCAGACAACCGAGCACCTGCTCATCGCAGCTGGATCCATTGGTATGAAAGCAGCACATTACAAAGTAATCCATGTCTTCGACTAACACGGACAGGTGCCACGATTATCATCGTCATGATCGTGCTGGCGATCTACACGATGCGCAAACGGGGTCTCACGCTCGCTCAAGCCATCAGACAAGGAAAACATCAAGTCACCCGTCGCGGCCCACCGCCACCGCCCAAATTCCGGGGCGATTGGGATGCGAAGCAATCATTCAGCAACGAATACGGTGCCCTTCGAAACAACACAGTTACCCCCCCGCAAGCGGCATTAGCTCGTTCCGGTTCCTTCACATCCCAGAGGCCTCCCATGGCTCTTGGTCGTAGTGACAGGTGCGTGCTATGAGATGTAAATAAACGCCGTTCATTCGGTCGACTGACTCGAAGCAGCTTCAACCTACAGAATGCAAGGAAAGCTTCTGTTGATGGGCAAGGATCAACGTTCCTTTTGGGATCCCCGCCTCCGCCTCGCCGCAACAACTCACACCGTAGTGGCCCTAGCATAACTCCATCCTCTGCTGTCCTCGGTCAAGACTCACGACGAAGCGTCTCTACCCATAACACTCGCTCGGTCGGTGACGACGCCTCCACTCTCATATACAACGACGTTTCTCAGGAACGTGAAATGTCTCCTTTACCACCCCCACCAACCTTCAAACAGTTCCTTAACAACAGACCATCTATCTCTGGCAAGGCAGGCTTTGGTGGCATGATGAGCAGATTCAGCTGGACAAACTCTAACGCACCACAAACACCCAAAATCACGACCCAGCAAGAGCCCTACCACGGCGGCCGTGAAAGCTATATGACATCCCGTTCCTCCGTTCCCCGCTTCCGTACCGTCGACTCCTGGGTTAACCAGCAAACAAACCGCATCGAAGCACAGAAGCTGAAAGATCAATTTCGCTTAACCTCCAGCTCTACCGTCTATTCGCAAGACGACGAAAACGACCACGTCCCCGAAGTTCCCGCTATGCCGAAGAACGTCGAACGGCTCCGCGAGAGCTCCGCACCAATGAGTGCTTCCCTGCCTCTCCGCGCACCCGCCACCCCTCCTCTTCCCATCTCCAAAGGCCTTCCAGGCAAAAACATTAAGCACGAGCGCCACGATACCCGCACCACCGTCGACACGGCACCGATTTTCAAACAGCATCCCGGCACCGAGGTTCGCTTCAGTACGCGCAGCGCAGTTCCCTCCGAAATACTCGACCGCGGCCGCCCTAACAACGTCCTGTCGTAAGCACAGCATAGCGCACCACATGCTATTTCATTCTTGTTCTGCTTCTGAATCGAGTACCCCATTTATCGTATCGCGTTAGCATTTGCATTTGAGTGGCAGGCCAGGAAAATGGTAGGGATGGAGGGATGTACGCAGGTCTCAAGCAATAAGATGAGGCTATTGATTTTAATTATATGTGAGCGTCTTGAGGACGACGCACTGTTGCATGTGTGTATATTATGGCTGGGCTCGTATGGGAAGGGAGCATTATTCAATATAATATTAACATTCAACATTCACCACCCTGGGGCTATCGCTATGGGGCTTTTGCTGTGTGATGTTGTTTCACGTACTCTTCTCTAGATTCGGTTCCGAGCGATCACTTACCTAGATGGAGCACTGTGTCGCGCGTACCCAACCCTGCTTTCGCACGGAGACTGACTTCTGCACGGAAAACCAACGACGCGCATCTAGATTCGCAAGTCCAACTTGCCTGACTAACATTGAAGGCCGGGCCCCATAGAATCCGATGCCTTGGGACCTGGGGTCTCAGATCTGAAAGCAGTTTCATGTGTGGCGCGGCAGCGGTAGGGTTGATGGAGTGCGGCACGCCTGATCAGGTGAGGTGGGCGCTTCCGAGGTATCGGTCGCTGCACATGTTTGTCTTGTTCAGCAGATGTCTTTGTTTGGCTGCTGCTCTCATCGAATGGACGAACCGAGAAGGGGTCGATGTCTGGGATGTGAGCTCGTTTTCGACATGATTATGCGTTCCTGGTCAGCACGTGCGTGACTCGCTCGAAAGTTGCGTTGTGCTGGGAAGTCAAGTCATGGTGATAGGATAAGTATGAGTAATATACACCACATTACTGCGTCACTGCACTCAACACACACCATCCGGTACATCGAAGCTATCTGTCCTCGCACTCGAACTGTACTTCGCGCCCTCACCCAATCCCCTCTTTGCGAAACCGGTCCAGATCTCGCAAGCATTCGCGCCACCGGTCAAAGCCAGATCCGCATCTAGGATGGCATCTCGTGCAGTCACGAAGTTCGGGTTGCAGGGTTGCAGCGCCATGCCGTCCAATACCAACTTCAGCAAGAGGTACTTTCCGTCTGTTGGCACACCATTGCTGTCGAACTCGGGCGAGGGCCCATCGTTCTTGCCGTACTTCTCGATCAGGTTCCAGAGCACTTCGTAGAGCATCGTCGCCCAGATGGTACCGATGTAGTGCACCTTGGTCAGCGCATCCGCGTCGCTGTAAATGTGCGGGTTGGTTGTCTGGTTCGTCGAGTAGACGTATGGTCGAAGACCGGCGGAGGTGCCGTAAACCCAAGCGCCCATGGGGTAGTCAGTTGCGCGCGTGTCGTTGGGTTTTAGACGGATGGCAGTGGCGTAGAAGTCACCCCAGCCTTCACCCATACCGCCGCTTTCAAGGACGCTGAGGCAGCCGGAGTTCTTGGGACCGCCCGTCAGACGGTTGCTGAGGCCGTGCGTGTACTCGTGGATGACGACGCCGGCTTCGAACGCACCGTCTCTCCATGGCTCGGTCCGGTTCCACATGTACATTCGCATTCTTGCGCGCTGGCCGTCAACTGGAGTCTGGAAGTTGGCGTTGTTCAACCCTGCATCGTCTCAGTAATAGGTGTGATATGCATGGGAGGAGTACAGACCTGCGCCATCTTGAGCATTCAGGTAGACGAAATCGTTGCCTACACCACCCTGACCATTGTTGTTGGTCTCAAAATTACCGGCGGCTTCGGTGAAGCCGAGCTGGTAGAGCAGGTCGTGGTAGGTATTCGCAGTGTAGAAGAGCTGGGTGATGGATGCGTTGATGTAGCTCTTCCACTCGCTCTCCTCTGGGGTGTACGGGTACTCAAAGTCAAGATCTGCCTCGTGCGGTCGTGGGAGGTTCAGGTAATCTGTGCGATCATCCCAGTTACTCTGAGCAACACCATTGTTGCCCCAAGTGGTGTCGTAGGATGTCGAGCCGTCATTGTGCCACCCGAATTCGCTAGCAACCTTGTTAAAAGGGTCTGTAATGGTGACACGTTCTCCTTCCGTAGGGTCATTGAGGCCCCAAGGGCTGGGGAATATTAGTTTTGTCCTCGCCAATCTGGCGCGTGATAACTTACTAGACTTCATATGTTGCATCGGCACCGTAGTCTACGACATGGTGGATCCTCTCGCCATCCTCGGCATCGACGTATGTGAGAAGCCAGTTAACATCGACATCGGTCTCGACCCTCCAGCTGAGTGCGAGGCCGTCACCTGTTTGCACGTAGACCAGGCGAGCTTCCGGATCCGAAACGGTACCCGTGGTGTCCTTCATGGTGTAGACATTGGATTCGGTCTCCTCAGCCTTGGCCTTGTCGGCAGAAGCAGGAAGCTGAAGTGTGCGCACGGCGGTCTTCAGGGCCTCAGTAGGCTCGACAGTATCTCGCCTCCTCAACGCCGATGGAATTTTGCCTTGGTAAAACGAGTTCCCGAACGAGAACACTTTGCCGTCACGGTCAACGTTGACATTGAAGTCCGCATTGTCGATGTCCAAGTCATTGACGGTCTGCTTGAAGTTGAAGTGCGCAATCCCGTTATTGCCCACATAATGATCATCGACGAGACGGAAAGTTGCACCTGGGATCTAATACAATGTAAGCCTAAGTCTTCGGAGACTATATATCCCGGAGTGCCTTACAGTTGCCTTTATCAACTCGGTGGCGGTGTCCACAGGGTCAGCTCGCTTGTTGAAGGATGTAATTGATGGGTCGGACTGAGCACTGGTGGCATTCGCGTACACTGTCTCAAGGACCTGGCGGAATGCATTGAGATCCACAGCTCGTCTGCTCAGTGTCCGTGGAGCGTGAGCGGGATGCCCATAGGCATGCTGAGTTGCCAACGAAGCCAATGATGCGAGAAGGAAGGACCGCATACTTATTACTTCCAGTCGTTGTGTTGCCTGATCCAGCTGACACAGTGTACAACACGGATTAGAGCACACGCCAATCAAACAAGCGATTGAACAAGCCACACGATGTTCAACATTGTGCTCATCTTCTCCTTCTTATACTGTAACGATCTTCAACGAAATCCACCAGAGTATCACCATCTCTGTACACCTGACTTGCCAATAGTCGCAAAGCCACTGCTGGTAGTAGTACCCTTCGATACCTAACCCTAGTCTCGGGAGGTATATGCAGGTCAGTGTCTTCCCGGCTGCCTTTTGCAGATAAGGCCCCATTGCGATATCTGTTGTAATCCTCTGTAACAGAGTAGCCAAGAATGGGGCCCTGAGTTCCTGCAGGCTGGGCACTATAGTACACTGTAGTCGTCTTAATGATGCGAGTTCGACCTTCCTGATTGGGTGAATGTGTGGATGTAGTGATAGCAGGGGTGCTTAGGCATACCGTACTTGGCAGTGTACCGGCATACGGAGCTTCTGCGATTCACTTTGTCACGCACGATTTCGGTATAGTTGTAGGGCGCCTGGGATACGGCGTCGGTGATCTTTTCTAGTGTAGATCGGTTCCTCGAAACTTCCAAATGGCAACATAACGGCCAGTGTCATATTCGAAGCTGTGCACTTTAAGATTGCTCGGTTGGATTTCCGCGGCAGCATTTCTAGCTCGGCAAAATTAGTGCCTGCCGTTTTGGGTTGTGCCGTTTGGTATCTTGGTCCGCGCCAAGGTGATCGATCACGGAGAGAAAATGGCAAGCTCTTCCCGAGGAATAAAAAAAGAGCTCGTGTGGGTTGTGCTATCTTATGCTGGTGTGAGATGAAGGAAGGTTGCTATGAATGTGGAAGAAGAGTGCACGCACGCTAAGACACGACTAGGTAGCGCGGCAATTTCTAAATAACTCAACCCTTAACATCCGCAGCTCAATCGATCTGGCGTGCTATTGCCCTACTCGAGACGGGGCTCCCTCCATCCTGCTGAGTAACCTTAACGCGTCTTTCGGAGGGACCGCTTGTGGGGATCAACGCAAGAAACAATGGTACCTAGTACACGCGAAAACACATATCTACGGACCTCGGCATGATGCGATACGATTGGGGAAATCAGAAGAAGCGGTGACAAAGTTCGACATGCCCATCGAGAGATGTTTCCGATTGTTATGGTATATGGCATGTCGCAAATTGTGTTAACGTAAAACTTCTGCCATTGTGGTCCTCCCCGTCCGACCTTACGTAGTAGTATAGCTGCAATGCGCAGCACAGATCTGTAATATCGCCCCAATCTTCCTTGTGACCCTGCCTCTGCTTAGCATGCCTAGGTAAGCAATTCCGGTAGCTGTGTCACACTTCCGAATCTCAAATGATAGGGATGTCAAGCGCTTCTCTCCTAGATTTCGAATCGGGATCGAGGTATGGCACCTCCCCAATGCTGGACGCCCTTACACCAGTCCTGTTGCCATTAACGAGATGTGTATCAGGCTGTGTATCATCAGCTAACGGTCTACACCCTTGTATCAATATAACATACCGTGGCAGCATGCCAAACGCAACTATTGTTCCAAATCGCCGCCGCATTCTTCGTCCACTTCATCCTCGCAATACAGTCGTGATTCCGCGTGATCAACCTCATCACATACTCTCTGATCATCTGGTCCTCGTAGCTATAAACGTCGTTGATCTTCGTGACATGCAATCCGACACCCGCAAATATAGCCTTCCAACCTGTAATCCGGTTCGTCCGCACCACCGGATGGCTGGGAGCAAACTCATCACCAACGTTCAGCGGGCTCCCCCTGGGACTCATGACTTCATATCCACCAGCATCTGCAGCAGTTTTGAAGACGGGTTGCGCGCAAGTTGCTGTTAGCGTTTCCAGGTAGCTGCGGAAGGCAGGTGACATGCGGTCGTAAACTTCGTAGCCGGAACACCAGAGCGTGTCGCCGCCATGAGGAGGCGTTTCTTCCATTTTGAGGAACGAGAAGTCGGAGGGTGCATTTTCGAAGGTGCTGTCGCTGTGCCATTCGCGAGAGAGATCTCGGGGTTCCGTGGGGGCGCGTCGGGCCATTGTTTTGTAGATTTTCTTTTGGGCTTCGGAGTTGATGACATATATGTTCTCATCAGTCGTTCCATCCGACAAGGTCAAATTCCCTGTATCGCGATAGATCGGATGCACATGTAGCCCATTCTCCTCAGGCCTTCCACTCAGCTTTCCAAGTAAATCGCAAAATTTCTTCTGGTCGGCCATGTCAAGGTCATTCTGGTCCCGGAAGAAAACGACGCCTCGTTCAGAAATGATAACTGCTAAATCGCGGATCTGCTCTTCGGCGTTTGGAGCATTTAGTATATCGGTGACTTTCACATCGGGATACTCGCGGCCAATGATAGGAGTGATTTCGAAATAACGTAGATGATCGAGGGAACCGGAGTACCTCAGTGGGGTCGGGCAAGAAGGGCAAGACGTAGGGATGCTGGAGTAAGCGGTGCCATTTGAAGTATCGTTACTGTCCTCGGTTGCTGAAGGCATACTGTCTGCGAGAAGAACATCTTAGTTCGGTCTCAGTCATAGGGCGCGAATGGTGTTTGTATATGATGAAGCCGCTTATAGACAACCGAACAAGTTCTAAGAGATTGCGGGGGATCGACGAAGCCAATCGTGTGAATTCTTGTACGTCAGCTTGCGCGACACACCTCAGAAGAAAGCACATTGAATTGCCGATGGCAACCAGGAAGCGGCCTAGTGACCACGATTTAGTTAAGGTTGTTGCTGATGGAAAGAGCTGCCCCACTCCTGCCCCACATTCTTCTCTCCACACTCCGGGACCTAGATCTTGAAAAAGCTTCGATTCTATGAAGCTCATGGCAGTTAACAATACTTCGTAGATCTAGAATAGGAGATCAGAACACATAGGGATAAAAAGGTCCGTGCTAATTGACTTCCTGCTTAAGTTACCGATTGGATTCGAATGGCCTGGGAACACAGATTGCCCAAACATCCTACAGTGACCTGACTACCAACCAGGAGCCACGGAAGCTTTGAAATGTCTGACGGCCATTCCGTTGTACGCGTTGAACTCAGCTTTTTCCGTCGTACCATGCAACGCTTTATATTTGTGTATACTCCATATCATCCCGCTATGTTCACGCATTTGCCCGTGAGATGCCCGAGATCCTTTCATCTACCAACTGTCCCTCAAACCACGCGCCATGCAGGAACCCATAATAATTCGCAGAAGTGTGCTCTCCCCCAAAGACCAGGCGTTCCACATTAGCGCGCAGGTCCAGGTGATCCTCAAGCGTCGTGCCAATGGGCCAAACAGAGTAGCTATTGTACGATTATGGTTCACTGCTCCTGCTGGGGAGAAGAAGCCCGTAGGTTTTAGGACATTATGGAGGGGAAACATTTGACGGAGCGCTTTTACTTAGTCACTTCGTCATCTTGCTGTTCGATGCGTTAACCTTCGCGGCCTACGACAGTAACGAAGATGGTATTCGATCCTGGCAGGAATACTAGGTACACCACACAAGCTCTACCACACTAGGTGGTATCCTCACGTGGTAGACGAGGAGTTCATATGGAAGTGAACATCGTCATACCAAAAGCTTTCGTTACTATGGTAGAAAATCTTCGTATAGGTGCCTATTTGGAAGAGAAGAATGGCGATGGGTGTATCTTTCCACTCTGAAAGCCAAGGTGAAAAGAGGACGGCATCGTGCTGTACAACGCCTAGCGAGCTAGTGAAATCGCATAGTCGGCCTCAATACAGTTACTATCGTTCAAGTCTAATTCGAAGCCCGAGTTCGAACGTTGCATGTCAGTGACAATGGAATTCAACAGCAAGCGAGGATGCTGCATGTTGTCAGCACAGGTATCAAGCGAGTGGCCACGGTGGGCAAGAGGAATGAAGGACGGAGCAGAAGGAAATGACTCCCGAAAGAGCGAAAGTACAAACTGCCTCAAGATCCGAAAAGGCTACATCAATAAAAGAACGAGCTGATGGCGAGCGGCATGCGTCTGAGTGTCGTTCTTCCTTTCTATGCCTGGGTGAGCAGGGCCTTGTACATGCCGTGCCCCCGCCAATTGATGCATGTTCTATGCGATTCATTTTAAGTGAGAGCATTCGATTGCGAGACAAAGAGAGAACGTGAATCTATGTCGCATGTACTAAGGAACATGTTCAGGTGCAGGGGTGACGCGAGCAGCACGTGCGCGCGTATCACCAGGGACCCGTGGACCCACTGGAAACGCGTGTTGAGCTGTGCCACGACGTCAGCAAACATCCCGCAGCTGTTCAACCCCTCTTCCTTGTGCTCATGACTGTAGAGCGCGTCGCGTCGACGATGAAGTGGGCTCGCTAATTGGCGATTTTGGTGCTGGTGTAGAAAATAGTGCGGGGTTTGGACTGCATGTGATTTCGTCAAAATCTGCGTGCCACCCGTTAATTGCTCATTCATCATTACAACTCAATTGTGCGACAAAGAACCTTGCAGCTTCTCAGCATATTCGCTTTGGCTACAGCCACGAAAATCCTCCAGTCTACAAAGCGCGTCTGCGATACAGCAAGTACGACAATGTCTAACAAGCAGCTGAGTAGCAGAAAACCCGATCAAGGTATTGGCGGAGCAATTGCATGAGACCGGTGTTCACCAACCAGAGTAACTGGCCGGTGATCTGAGAAATACGGTCTGAACTTGATCAGGTCAAAGCCTGCGAAAGGACATCATGCTTTGCGGCCCTCGCAAAGACGCTGCTGATGAGTACAGGGCCTCATGGATCCCGATCGGCGCCCCTCCGCTGCCCACGATGAGAAGACCTCACGCATGGTCCTGGCGCCAAATGAAGGCCTCCCGACGAATTGTTCGGATACAAACCGCCAGAGGTTTACCGGAAGATGGCAGGCAAAATGGAAGAGCTTCGAAGGACTCATGGCCGAGTACAGCGTGGAGTCGAGAGGCATACAACGTGTAGAACCTGACGAGCGCCACAACCTACGCCAGCTCGGCTATTCTCAGATCGCCATGCTGTGGATCTCAATCAATCTGGCCGCGAACAACATCACGCTGGGTATGCTAGGCCCGGCTGTGTTCGAGCTGGGATTCATGGATTCATGTCTCTGCGCTGTTTTTGGTATGCTGGTTGGATGCCTACCGGTGGCTTACATCGCTACGTTTGGTCCTAGGAGCGGAAACCGAACTATGATATTCTCTAGGTATATCATGGGCTGGTGGCCATCGAAGATCGTGGTGGTTCTCAACCTTATTGTGTTTCTCGGATACTCTCTGATCGACTGCGTGGTCGCTGGTCAGATCTTGTCTGGAGTGTCGGATAACAACATGTCGGTCGTGGTTGGCATTATCGTTGTCGCTCTCATCACATGGGTCATTACCACCTTCGGATATCAAGTTTTCCACTACTACGAAAGATACGCCTGGCTTTCCCAGCTTATCATCCTCAGCATGCTTGCTGGAGTCGCGGGACCGAACTTCAACATAGCTTCCGCGTCGCTCGTTTCCGGTGATACTTTAGCCGCCAACCGCCTCTCGTTCTTTGGCCTCACACTTGCTGCGGCCATTACCTACAGCGGAGGAGCTGCAGATCTGTTCGTCTATTATCCTGAGCACACCGCTGGGTGGAAAATATTCACTGTGACAATGCTTGGGCTCACATCCAGCTTCACCTTTGCCTTCATCCTCGGTATTGGTCTAGCCAGCGGCATGTCGACGATGCCCTCCTGGGAAGCCTCTTACAGCATCTCGCAAGGCGCCCTCATCGTCGAAGGCTTCAAGCCCCTTGGAAGCTTTGGTAGCTTTTGCAGCGTTCTTGTAGCCTTAGGTCTGGTGCAGAACTTGATCGTTCCGACTTATGCTTCCGGCATCGACGCTCAGGTTCTCGGACGCTGGGCTAGTTTGGTACCACGAGTGGTCTGGAACACCGTAGGTGTCATCATCTACACAGTGTGTGCCCTTGCAGGACGCAGTCATTTGGCTGAGATCTTCACCAACTTCCTCGCGCTAATGGGTTACTGGGTGTCTATCTGGATAGCTATCATTCTGGAAGAGCATTTAATCTTCAGGCGAACCACAGGGTTCAATTGGCAGATCTGGAACGTCAGGAAGAAGCTCCCGGTCGGCATTGCCGCTATAATAGCGTTCATTGTGGGCTGGGTTGGAGCCATCCTATGCATGGCGCAGGTGTGGTATATTGGTCCGATTGCAAAGCACCTGGGCGATTACGGTGCTGATGTAAGTATGATCTTCTGGGTTAGTTATTGTGTTTTTCTAATAGTTATAGATGGGCAACTATGTCGGGTTTGCTTGGGCCGCGGTCATCTACCCACCGATCCGCTTCTGGGAGCTCAAGAGATTCGGAAGATAGGCTGTTGAAGATAGATTGCAGGTAGGGAGCGACTTGCCTACGCTGCCAAGGGGGACGGGTGATACTTCGCGCGTACGCAACGATCTGTTGCAGTTCTGCTCCGCCGTAGTACCTAGGTAATGCCTAGAACACGTGCGCGCCCCTCCCCCTAGGGCGGGTTAAGCTACGACAGAGAGTACTCGAAGTTCTTTCAGCGTGGCAGTTATGTCATCATGGCAGTAGAAGAGGCGGGTTTGGTTTTCCATGCAATACACCACTCTTGTGAAAGCATCTCGTTCCGTTCTTTATGCACGTTTCCTGTGTCTCACCAATTCACACTTCACTAAAGAGGCTACCGGAAACTTCTTGTTCTTTTTACATGTCATTGACGTCGGGGCAATCTCCCCAACAAGACTTGTCCAGACTTGTACGCCAACCCTTTGGCCTCAATCTACCATAGGTAGCCTTTGCGAGCAGTCCACGGGTCGAGAAACGAAACGTGATCACCACGCTGGAGCTTTACGGCCTGGCAGACGTTTGAGGCTCAAGTACACTCTGCGGCCATCTAACAATTACATACTAGGCTTGCGGACACCATGTTCACTCAAAATGCTTCATTGAGCCCATCTTGTATGCTTGCCTGTCCGGCTTCACCTGCTCTTGCTAGAACTAGTCGCTCCTTCCTCGACAACAACAATCCCACCTTGGCATCGTCGCCTTCACTCAGGACCCTCGCACTTCTATTCCGAGTTGCGTCGTTCACCCAAACGTCTTCGCTTGCCGTCCCGCACTTTCAGCCATGCCTACATGTAGGTTTTGCTTCCTTCCCACAACAAATATGACCACCTAAACAACATAGCTGCCGAAGACGACCTGATCGACCTCTCAAGCGTCCCCCTCTCAACAAGCATGACGGCTACCCGTTCCGCAAGCTCGCCATATGGGCCTGCCGGCAAGATAGCGGAGAACAACAAGCCGCGGCAAATTTCGAACGATAGCTTCGCGAGCCTGACTGGCCTCATGAAGTCGAAGAAGACCTGGGCTGTCACGCCGAAGCCTCTTATTCCTAGTGAGTAGTCTATGATCCGCTTGCACTCTTACTTACTTTGCAATAACATAACATCTACGACCCGCGAAGATGACTGACTTGGTGCAGTTGCTCATGGCCGAACTAATCCGGCTTCCCCAGCCGAGATCACGTCCAACACTCCCACCCCCACCTCTACTCACCCTGCTCTTGGCACGGCGAGCGAGGTTGCTGTTGTGTCTGGTCGAGGCCTTGGTCCAATATCCGATGGCAGAATCTCCCTCGACACTCGCCTGTCACCAGCGTCGCCTACTGCGGAGGTCCGGGACTATGACGAGACTGACATGAGAAAGATGGAGGACATGATTGCTCAAATGCGCAACTTGGACACCGAGGCCCCGTCTGAGTGGGAGGTTGTTCCGGCTCAGCCCACAAGTCGGCAGCCGGTTGAGCCCCTCTCCCAGGCATTTACTGAAGTCGGTTCAGCGGATCCTGCTTTGACGAACAGCCAATTCAGCCAGTCCCTGTCTAGTGCGTCTGCCTTTGGGTTTCGTACAACGAATGAGCAGCTCGTCTCCCGCTCGAAGGATAGTGACTCTGCCTTTCACCCTGCGATTCACCAGTCCATCGTTCGCTGCACCCCGCAGGTCTGGGACACTATGATCCAACAGATGACAGTCCTCAAGAAGGAGAAGATGGAAGCTCTTGCCAAGCTTGCATCCTTGGAGCGCGACTATGATCTGCGCCGTCAGGCCAAGGGCGACAACTCGAGCGAGCTCGATGAGCTACGATATCGACTTCAGCTCAATAAGGATCACAAAGCCGTCATGAGTCGAGACATCCGCCAAAAGGACGTTGAGTTGCTCAACAAGGACCTTAAGCTTGACACTCTGAAGAAGCAAGTTGTGGACATGGCGGCCATGCAAGAACAGATCGAGAGGCTCAACGCTGAGGCTTGCTATCTTCGTGCCGAGGCTGCAAAAGTTGCCGAGAACAAAGCTGCGGATGTCGGGCAAGTAACTGAGATTATTCAATTCAAGGATCAAGAGATCGCGCAGTTGAAGGAGGCGATCGCTAGTACTAAGGCGAAAGTGTCCGATCACCAAACTCGGGCGGAGAATCTGATCGATACCCAAACCGCGAGAGAGAAGAAATTGTAAGTTTGAATAAGAATCATCAAGACCTCGTAATCTTGTTAATAAGTTGTAGGAGGCGACTTGATCAGCAACTCCGCGCGGCTCAGGACACCGAGGAGAAACTACTCGACGATCTTGAGCTGCTCAAGACGGCAAGTGCTCTGTAACGTACGACCCGCAGGGCGATTACTGACATTTGTCAGGAGATCCGTCCTCTCAAGATGCAGGCCAAGGACCTCGAAACTCAGCTTCGCGAGAAGTCGTCAAGCTGCGATCGCATGCGCAACGACCTCAAGCATACCGAGAAGAGGCTCGAAGTCGCCTCCAATGCCCTCCACAAGATTGAGCACCACAAACAGCTCAAGGGCGCGGCCCACCTCATTGTACCGAGCGACCAGACCAAGCTGCCGAGGCTTGTGCTTTCTTGTATGGAGTGCTACGCCAAGAACATCACCTGTGATGCGAACAGTCGCTGTCACAACTGTGAGTCATTCAATAGAACTACATCGTAGATCATCCACTGATATGTTCTGCGCTAAACTAGGTGCCATCAACGGTGAGAAATGTCGTCGCTGGAGGTGTTCTCAGGTGCACATCCTCCGCGGTGGCTGCCAGGACTATCCGTGCCATCTTACCCACGATGCCAATGGATGGCTTATGCTGAAGCAAGAGCAACCGCAGTGGTAATCGGTGAGTCCTACATTTGCTTATGCAGCGAGCGAATTTTGCTGGGTGCTTTTACTACCGTGGCTTCTTCCTTGGCGGTTGGGCGTTAGGCTTTGGCAAATGGAGTCGAAGGGAATGTTCAAGGGGTGGTGGCAAATGTTTGGCGAGCGGTGTGAGGAATGCTTTGGCAAATCTTTGGCTTTCGGAGGCCGTTATAGAAGCATTCAGCCTAGTAGTCGCTAGGAACTCCAACGATATGTCCTCACTGCAGCTCATGTCTGCTGACTGGGCGGCAGATGGGACGTCTTCACCTAGCACCATGAACGGTAATGCACTCGTCCTCCGTGTGCGACCGACCGACCGAGTGTGTATCGTGCGAATGCGTACCATGCATCTTTATGTAACTTTAGTAGCATCGGTGGTAGCTACATAAGGTATTGCGATTCTAGTCTTTGCTATCGAAGTGGTCTCAACCCCCTTTTATTCCATAATGGCGAAAGCCTCCAATAACCTTGTTACCGCAGCTATCGTAGCGTCTACCTTTCTGTCTTAATTAAGCCCTCTTCCAGGACGAAACACACGTTCCCAAAGGCATACTCGGATCTAAATAGATCGTTGTCGGTCCTTCAGGGTCCAAGACTCATCTTCGGTCCACTACCAGGCCCAGATAATGCCTTTCTCACATCTGCACACAGCTCTATCGTTGCCTGTCATATTTACCCTCTCCATTGTTATCCTTCGGCGCATCAACCATCTCAAAGGAGCGGTCGAACCATAGAGTTAGGAGGCATCACTCTAATCATATCACGAGTTCTGCCTTGAACTGCACATGTGAGTTGACCCTGGAACGTGGTATCCACAGTGCATAAGCTCAGATCCTGACTAACCTGATTAGGACGCGTTAGTGTGAGACCAAGACAGACGCGGACATGATGTCAACGCCGATTCTAATGATCGCTTCATAACGCGAACAACTACCTGACGTAGAACGAAGTCAATCGAGGTCGCAATATAGTGCGAGGATATGTCGCCATGGCGCGTCCAAACTCATCAGAAGCCACCCCCTTACTCGGAAACGGCACCATGCGTCTACGGAGATTCCTCAGCGACACCCGCCCGCGGAAGCATTTGCCCTTCAGCGAGCGACTACATCATTTTACCTGGTCATGGTTCGAGTGTACGATGTCGACAGGCGCGATTGCCACGGTGCTTGGCCAGCAACCCTTCAGCTTTGATGGCCTAAAAATAATCGGCAAAGTCTTCTTCATCCTGGATCTGGTCCTATTTCTCACCTTCTGTGGGTGTATAACATACCGCTTCATCCGTACACAACGCGGATCGCTGTCTGCGAGCTTGCATCATCCGCATGAAAGCTTCTTTTTCGGGACCTTTTGGGTCAGCATCGCGTTGATCTTGTACTGCATCCAACAATATGGGGTTCCTTCGTCAGGACCGTGGCTCGTCAAGGCGCTCGAGATCCTCTTCTGGACCTATGCGGGGTGCGCTATACTAGTCGCGGTCTTCCAATATCATGTCATTTTCGATACAGAGCAGCTGCCTGTCGTGGATGCGCTCCCGGCCTGGATTCTGCCTGTCTACCCTTTCCTTGTACTGGGCCCGCTCTCGGCTGTGCTTGAGTATAGCCAACCGCCGGAGAGCGCACTCCCCATCATGATTGGCGGTATCTGTTTCGAAGGCCTGGGTTGGGGTGTCGCGTTGATCATGTACACGATCTACGTAACGCGCCTCATCGGCAGCGAGTTGCCTGAGCCGAGTAAGAGGCCAGCTATGTATGTTGCTGTCGGACCGGCAGCATACACCGCAAACACTTTGGTCGCACTAGGCATGCAAGCCCCCAAAGTTATACCGGCAAACTTCCTAGGCATTGGTTCCTTCCCCGTTGGCGACGTCTGGAAAGCCATCGGCGTACCCGCAGGCATCTTCCTCTGGCTTCTTGCCTTCTGGTTCTGCGCGCTGTCCACTGTATCCATCATCTCCTCGTGGAAGGAGATGCACTTTACGTTGAACTGGTGGGCCTTTATATTCCCGAACGTTGGATTGACCATTGCGCTCATTCAAATCGCGAACGCATTGGAAAGTGATGGAATGAAGGCGGTTTGCTCGGCAATGACGGTCATCTTGGTCATTTTGTGGCTCTTCGTGGCGGTGATGAATATGCGGGCGGTTTGGAGAGGTGATGTACTTTGGCCTGGCATGGACGAGGATATGGAAGACATTGAGGGACATGGGCACGATGAAGAAGATCGAATAGAGTAGTGAATAGACGATGTTCGTAGCTTATTGTACGCGTGCGCACGAGCGGTAATAAATGATGAGGTCTACGTTCAATATCGTTGTAACCTGTACCTTACGTGTACACAGCGAGCATCTGCTGTACCGATGTCAATGACTTTCCAGACTCCCCGGGAATGGGCTCTTGTGTGGAGCTCACGTGCACCCGCTGTCCAGGATGCAGGAACGGCAGCCTCGGGATCTCCTTCTAGCGCGCATATCTGTCCTCGCAAGCATGAACGCGCTGCTCGCAATGAATTGTGAAACACGCGCGTCGAGCATCGGCAGGCTAGCCCTTTGCGAAACCTTGGCCTCGGTTCAGCTGGTCAGCTCACACGATGAAACGTGGACAAGTGGTGAGCTGCTGCGCCTCAAGCTCAAGCGGGCGGATGGATGCAGCTCTTCAACAGCTGCCCTTCCCCAGCAGACTAGTCAGCATAACGAAGCCACATGTGGGAAGCTCAGGATCGTGCTTTGTGCATGCACTCGGGGATATGCTTGTGCATGCGTACGGGTCTGGTGTGTTGTATGAACAAAACCAGCCATCGCGCCGTGGCAGAAACGGCCGGGGGGCAGTCTCGATGCGCAAAACGCAACTGCTCGCAACGACGGCATCGGGAACCCTCTGCCATTTGCCATGACGTTGGGTGCGATAATAATCTGTTGATGCTATCGCCAGGGTTCGCGCCTTGTTAAGCCTGTTGACGAGCAGTCCCTCTCCGCAGCGCCGCCATCCGCCCCATCGCGCTCAGAAACTGCATCTCCCCATCGCCTCGGACGCAGGAGGTCACCGAGTCGCTGTACTGACGCTGCACTAACGGCGCCTTGCCTCTCGCTAGTTCGTGCAACTGTCAAGCGTCAACCTGCCTGTTGCTGCACCCCGCCCAGACGTCCGCCTTGTTACTGCCTGGCTTGTCCTCGCCCGGACCTGCGTCGCCCTTCCGCTCGCTCCAAGTCTTTCCGCTTCGTACGCTCGCTTTCCCCCTGTTGACGATCCAGGACGCCATGTGCTTTGTGGAATAGAGTAGCCACAGCACCGCGCCTGCCAGCACACCCCCGACGCACTCCGCCGCCCGTTTCATCCACGCCCGGCAAGCCTCGACCGCCTAAAGCGCTGCTGTTTCCCACGTCGAGCCTGTCTGTCCTTAGGCGCCTGTTACTCCCCTACCTCGCTCGACGCTGCCTGTTCACCTGGCACCCGTTTCCTCGCCCTGTTTCCACGCACGCGACCGCAAGCCCCACCGGAGCAAACGTGTGGGCCTCGCTATCGACGCTGTATCCTGACCTGGAGCTCCAATCACACCGCAGTCCGTATTCTGGACAGTGAACATGAAGAGAGGGACCCGAGGGCGATGATGGCAACGTGCACTGCGCCCAATGGCGCCCGCGCAATACGGGACTGCAGGCAACGCGACCTCCCTTCTATACAACCCACACAACCTCCCCCACGACCGCGACGGAAACGAAGGCCGGGTTCGCTGTCAAAGTTCAGCTTTACCGTCGTACTCCTCGTAATGCTGGCAGCACTCCCGGTGGCCAGCGCCGTCTTCATAAATTTCGACAACTGTCTGGATTCCAATTACCGGCGCCAAACAGATCCAGTACGTCTGCAGTTCACGCCCTACCATGTCTGGGCCAAATTCAACAACACCGATTCCACACACAGCTTGAATGTTACCATCTATGGAAATGTGTCCGGACAACTCACAAGCGGCGACTATCCTCCACCCTCGTCTCCCAGATGGAAGGATCCCAAGGATTCTTTCGGCAAGATTCCCAATGCGTTGCAGGTGGGCAAAGAAAGCAACCCTGGCGGAGTAGCTACGACCCTGTTTCCAACTTTTGATGCGCTCACCTATTCGTCATGGAACCCCGGCGCGCTACAATTCTGCAACTATACCGTAAATAAAGAGTGCCCGCTTGCGCCCGTCTTTCCATCGACTGTGCCCGAAGGGACAAATCTCAGCGACCCCACCGTACTGCCAGCATTCGGCATCCAAAGGGATTTCTATAGCAGTTACTCCTTCACGACATGGGAAGCCACGTTTCGTATTGTTGCCGGTGACGAGCTCGCTACTACTATTGGATGCATTTCAGCTACAATAACTCCAGATTTAGGACCCAATTTGAGCGGAGCTCTACGTTACAGTCCCGCCGCCATTCTTATCCTTGTAGGCGTTACTACCGTTTTCGCCGGAATGTACAGCCCATGGGGGTCCACCAATATATTCCGTTGGACCAGCAACTATGGCAGAGACGAGGATCTACTGCGGCTGGTCACGCCTGGGTTCGGAGACTGTCTTCAGTACATCCAGTTCATTGTATTGGCTGGCAGCTTGAACCTGCAGTATCCAGGCTATTTCCAACCTGTGATCAGCCGGGCAAGCTGGTCAACGCTCATGTTCAATCAGAGCTTCGTTAGCGGTCTCAACGGAACGCAGAGTCTGGATGATGGCATTTACTTTGTGAACGGTACTTATGGATTGTCGCGCCTGAGCAAATTCGTCGGCATATCAGAGGACCAAGATGTATGGGCTGGCATGGCTATCTGGCTGCTTGTGCTGATCGGCATCGTCGTATTGCTGGTGCAGCTGGGCTTCTTCTTGCGCTGGGTCTTCCGCCTCTTCACCAATGCGCAGGATACCGATCTCCGTGGTAAGAATTGGCCTTTCACAGCTGGCAACATTGTGCGCATCGTGCTCAACTGGTTCATGCTTCCCATCATCACACTATCGTTATTCCAAATGGTGGTCGCCCCGGATTCAGCTGCATCAGTTGTGGCTTGTGCTGTAATCCTTCTTATTGGAGTCACTGGAGCAGCAGTGTGGATATTCTGGATGATCTTCACGACTCGACCGCGTGCTCACCTCTTTGACGATCTGCCTACTGTTCTTACGTATGGCCCGTTGTACAACACCTATTCCGACGATGCGGCCCCGTTCGCATTCATCCCGGTTTTACTGACCGTGATCCGCGGCATCGCCATCGGAGCTATCCAACCATCCGGCATCGCACAGATCATCATTCTGGCCATCTGCGAGGTTATTCTCATTATGACATTGCACGCTTTCCGGCCTTTCCAGTCGAATACGTCCATGAACGCATACCACACTTTCTTCGCTGCAGTCCGGCTCGCTTGCATTCTACTCATGATAGCGTTCGTTCCTTCTCTAGGAGTGTCCGAAGCACCGAAGGGATGGATTGGGTATGCTATCCTTCTGCTCCATGCGATCGTCTTGGTCTTTGGATTCTTCCTCAACTCTCTCCAAACCATCATCGAAGTTGCTGCTAGGCTCACGGGCGCAGGAGCGGACCAGCGTGGAGGTCTTACAAAGGTTTTCGGCAAACGCGATCTTGCTAAGCGTAATCATCGACATCAGCGCAGTAGCTTGAACTCCAACGCGGCAATGCTTGCCCACGATGGAAACAAGGGCTCCATTCAGCTTAGTGGAGGGCGAGCTCGTAGCCTTTCTGGAAGCTCTGCTGTTCTTCTAAACGGGCCTTATGGTGGTAATCGTGAAAGCGTCGGTTTCGATGGCTTCAGCCAAGGGGAGTACAGCCATGGAGGAACAAGTCCTGGAACGCCGGGTACTAATGCAACTCCTTTTACCTTCCTGGCAGGATCCACGTCGAGCTCTCGACGGCCGACTATGGGCACAATGTTGGAGAACCCTGACCCCTACTATCGACCGCCCAGGGCGCGGAAGCAGACCATGGATTCGATGACGGCGGCGAATGTGCCGAATAGACGATCTCACAGTGCCGACATGACGAACACGCCATACGCAGACAGTCCAGACGTAGAAAGCGGGGATTTGGGCGAGGGACCGTCATCGTGGTCACCTGGAAAGCGATCGATAACTCCAGCCTTCCTACGCATGCAGCGCGATGACTCTGATCCCAGTATCGAGCGCCGGAACAACACCGACTATTCTGTTCGAGAGTCGGACTTCTACTATGGTCTCCGCGGGCCTGCTCTATCATCCCAGCCCACGCGCAAGCTGAAGACTGGACCGGCTGATCCAATGGGTCCTGTTGCATCGGCCTCAGGCTGGTTCAAGAGTCTAGGATTCTTTGCTGGTAAGAAAAAGGAGAAGGGCAAGGGCTTTGAAGTCGTCCGCAGCACGCGTATGCCGCCGCAAATGATCGCTGAAGAGGAGGAAGAATCTCCGCATATGCCCCAAGAGCCCTACCACGACAGTCCGACTAGATCTCCGAGTGATAAGAAGAATTCGACGCAGCAGGGCAGTCCTGGTGTGGCTACGGCAGCTGGTGCTATTAGACGTTCAAGCGTCAGCGAATCAGATAAGAGTAGTGATGAGGAATACGACGACATGCCACACACCAGAGTACCTGACCTAGCTCCTACCCTCGGTCCAATCGATGCAGGTGGTGGAATCGAGCTTCCCAGTAGGATTGGATCTCGCGCATCGCACGCATCCCGGAATCAGCCGCCGAGCCGCGCTCCCACGATACCACGCAAGAGCTCTCGGCGGACTCCTTCTACAGACGCAGCCATCCTAGATAGTAGCAACCGACTATCATCGGTCATGGCATCTCCGCCGGGCACGCCTGGACGATTGTCTGCGCACAACCCTGGCAATCATAATCAGCGTCTTCGCCCAGCACGAGACACTCTGCCCATTCGATTACCCTTCGGATCCACAGATCCCTCACCTTCCCCAGATCCAAGTCCGAACCATTCAGCAGCTTCAAGTCTGTATCCGACGCATGACGGCGATTACAATGCGTTGGACGCTGCAGACTCCCTGGCACCGCCTCCGAACATTCAGACCGGGGAGCGGCCTTTGAGTACCGGTTACGTTCATCAGCACGTGGCACGCGACAGCATTCAGAACGACAACCATGTTCCCGGCAGCCATCTAGAGACGTCGGCGGAGATCATTGATCGAAGCAGAAGCGTCAGTACGCAAGGCAGCCTGGGCAACCAGCGCAGATAATGCAGCTATTATTACTCTAACCTAATTTGTTCTGAATTCATCTGTACAGCTTTTCAGATGGTTGAGGAAGCGACGGTGTTTATACAGCACCACACTGTCCCTAGTGTAATCCGAAGCCATACCGGCTTTGTGTCACGAATTTCCTTACTGTACTACTCATCGTCATCAAAAAGGGGTTTTCGGTGTTTTTAGCGGTCTTGGGGCGGGAATCGTCGGGCTCCACCATAGCGCACATGCATGGGAATCTTTGGGTGTATAATCTACGGCTAGCAGAGCAAGTACCACATATAGGTGTCTACATAATACAGCAGTTTGATCGCCAATTCATCAAGACCATGGCTGTGAGTTGCGTATGGTAAATGATGGAGGTACTGGGGTCGGATGTTTGTTGTTCCAGTCGCGTGATGAGGGGAACCGTGCCCAATGCATGCATCTCAATGCTCCCGGCGATAAGGCAACTCGAGGCCTGAGGTTCTTCCCCATGCCCTCCAAGCTGCATTCATCACGCACGCTTGGAGCGGACCAGCCTTGACACTACTCATTTCCTTGACTTGTATCTCGCTACCCACTGAAGTACTGCGGTGCAGTCGGTGCCCTCTTTCCACGCGCTTCGCCCCTCACTGTCGACTGCGGACCCACACTGTCACACAGCGGTCTGGATTCACCAGTCGTCCTGAACGTGAGCTCCTGAGCAGCAGAGTAGCGTTCCCTAGTCCTTGTACATCTCCTCCTGCCTCACAGAAGGCTGCAACTCTTTTCAAGCCCGCATTATTAAGCGCGGTGGCGGCATGTTACGATGACCTCCCCAACGCCGCACTTCCTCCAACGCCGTTCCTTGAGCTCCTCGTCTTCGTCCTCCGACGTCTCCGACCGCGGCCCTCCGCGCGACACACATGCCAGCGTCGTTCTAGGGCATCGCCAGCCTCATGTAATGGACGCCAGGGTCGCCTTCTCGCACAGCTCGCCGAACCTAGGCCACCAGCTCGATGGCGCGAACAACAGCTCCGCTGCGCCCCGAAACGCTGCCAGCATGCATCCACCGCGTACGCATTCCCACGGCGCCGTTGCGTCGCATTTTCTTGCCCAATCGAATGAAGCATACGGAGGACAGACGTGGATGGACTTTCTCCGCGACACTGGAGCCGACTCAAGCGCCAGAACTCAACAGCCACATGCTCCACCACAACCAAACCTTCACGCACCGCTGCCACCGCTACCCATGGATTCTCTCCAGAACCGTCCTTCGCCGCACACGTTCTCCGCACGCCCGCCGGCTCACACTGAGGGACGCTCCTCGCGCAGTTCAACGGAGCGGAAGAGGAGGCTAACAACAGCAGACTCGCCGTTCCGGAGACCGTCGAGTATAAGAATGCATTCCGAAGATCAGTCCGGATCTAGCCACAATCCCGTCATGTTGGGCTCCTCGCCTGCTGCTGCTGCGTCCTCCCATCGGCCGTCACTACAGTATCATCCAAGCCCAAGCAGGAGAGACAGCGAGTTTGTGTTGCCGCGGTGGCAGCCGGACTCGGAGGTGACGCATTGCTTCGTTTGCGGGAGCCATTTTACCTTCTTCTATAGAAAGCACCATTGCAGGTAGGTGCTGTTTTTTGGTCGTCTTTACACCTCATTCACATGGTTGTTCCCAACACCTTTGAAACCAAGATCACCGGCTTATAATGCTGACATATCTGCAGAAAATGTGGAAGAGTTGTTTGCTCCGCTTGCTCGCCGCATCGAATAACAATCCCACGCCAGTACATCGTTCATCCGCCCCACGACAGTCCCAATATCATTGATCTGACTAGCGAGGAGGATGACCACCCAATGTCCCGCTACGGCCCGTTTGGTAACCCAGCGCTAGGTGGCGGCGAGGAAGTCCGCGTATGCAATCCCTGTGTACCTGATCCGAACTATAGCCCCCCACCGCAGCATGGCCAATCTTCTCCCTTTCCTCCATTCTCGCCAATAGCACATTCACCGCATCTTCCACCCTCGAATGCATTTCCACGCGGCTCCCGATCCTTACATAGGTCCACCCAAAGTGTCAACGACAGCGCGCGCACAATCAGCCATGGTGAAGCTCCGCGTTCACGCGACCTATTCACAGATCGGAGGACCAGCTATCAGGGAGCAACTCACGTAGCCGACCTGTGGCCGCCAACTCAAGCACCTCCCCACGGATATGACCAGCCACCCTCCTACGATCATCGTGCCAGGCCACATTCACGTTCGTTACTTGTTTCCAATCCTCAATTTGATCCTAGCAATTTTCCTGGCCACAGCATGCCCAGCTCAAGACGTAGCTTTTTCGCACACGGCCCGCCAGCGCCAGGCCCTGCTCCGCAAGCGCAGCCCACTCCTCGCCGACAAATTGCGGAAGAAGACGAGTGTCCCGTCTGCGGCAATGAACTCCCCACAAAAGGCTCAGACGGTGATGAGACCGCACGCACCCAGCACGTTGAGGAATGCATAGCTCTCCACTCTGGATCTCCGCCGCCACCAGCGACTACTCCCGCAGATCTATCATCAACCAGTCTGCCGAGCCAACGGACTCGTGGCATGAGCAGTGCTGCAGGTAACGGCGAGGGTTCGAGCAACCGGATGAGTATGATGGCGCGCGGAATGGTGCCGTACGTGGCGACGGAGAAAGATTGTGTCGATGAGGAGGGCAACGAGGCCGAGTGCGTGATCTGCTTTGAGGAGTTTGAGGCGGGTGATAGGATGGCCAGGTTGGTTTGCTGGTGCAAGTTCCATGAAGCGAGTTTTCCCCCTTCACACTCTTTCAGGGATATACACTAACAAGGATGCAGTCCTGCATAAGAGAATGGTGGGACAAGAAGGGCAGAGGAGCGTGTCCGACCCACCAGCTGCAGTACTGAGCCCTTTCTCTGGCCGGACACCGTTGGCGCTGCTATCTGTACCTGCGTCGGCATTCTTGGAGCGTTGGAAAGCAAAGACGAACTTGATCACGATTTATCCTTTTCTACAACTGGCGTTATGGATATACCCACTTACACTTTTCATTGAACGTTTCTCCGCTGCATAGGCACAGCTATCAACCCTCACTCATACTCATATAAAACGGCGCGATAGGATGGTGAACACTCGTTGTGTAAGCGTAGGAATCGGCCTGGGCGTTCAGTGTAGCGTTTGATAATGCGATATGATAACGTTCTCATGATGTGTTTTGCTTTGCGTGCAAACTAAGTTTATTCCATGTTATTACCACAGATGAGTTTAAAATCTACGGAAAGTCTTGCTCAGTGCTGTATCATCTCCAGGTACGATACATGTATGTTATCTATTTCCGCTATTCACTTATGTACAATTTAATGCACGACCCAGAGTCTATGTGACGTCTCATGGCTTCGCATCCGTAGAGACTAATGCAGCTTGTTAGGTGACTTCTACTTTCTCGGCACCTACAAGGCGACCGCCCTCTCCCTAGGTGGATGGCAACACCTTCCTGATCGCTTCTCTCCCAGTCAGTCTGTTCATCCACCCACTGACCTCCGTGAATCGTTCCAATTCATACGGTTTGAGCTCGTCGTTCAAGATCTTAGGGACGGCCAATTGGTAGGGAATGAATGCGATATCGGCATATGTCACACGGTCTCCAGCTAGCCATGGCTCGCTTCCGTATCGCGCCCTCTGATTCTTCAGGTGTCCCTCCAACACCGAAGTCACGCGTTTCATTTCTGCCATATATCTATGCAACGCTGACGGCAAATGCTCAGTATGGTATTTCTTGAACCATACCGCCTGTCCATAGTATGGTCCTTGGCCAGAAACTTGGAAATATAACCATTGCTTGGTATGGTATGCGCCATGTGTACCGAGAGCGTAGCTCAACTGGCGATCGTGATCGTAATTCTCCACGAGGTACTCGATGATGGCACCGGACTCCCAGAGGGTCAGATTGGTATTAGGGTCATAGATGGCAGGTAAGCGGCCATTTGGATTTACGGCGAGGTACTCAGGGTCCTTGGCCTTGTCGAGGCCGATGTGAATGATCTCGTGAGGAAGGTTGAGTTCGGCAGCGACCATGGCGACTTTTAGAGGGTTCGGACCATCTGTGCTCCAGATTTTGATCGGTCTGATAGACGACATTGTAGGCAGGTGAGGATGGTCAAGGGGGTCAAAGGTTTGGTTACGCGTATCAATTTTCCACGTTGACGAGAAACTGAACGAAAGTACGTTCTACATAATCTTGATTTACTTAGTATATATAACACATTTCTGGTGCCTGCCGCGTTTTTGCAGCGGTCTCCCTGTATCCCAGCGGTGAAGTTGTCCAAGATGCCCGAGAAAGTAAGAGGTCGGCGTGTCGGTATCGGAACACCGACATTCACAGCGCTAGTGATCGTCCTACAGGAAGGTAGGCGGAGCAAGCTAAAACAATTCCCTCTCGTGCTTAGCACTCTTACCTGCCCAGGTGAGCATGGATCAATGTCAGTTTTCATGCTTTGATAATCTCATGTCTGAAGACTCGGGTCGGAGATTATCTCGAGGCGAGTTCCGACAGGATCGTGGCCACTGAACCGGTCCAGAGGCACCGACGAGTCCGAAATCATCGTTTGAGAGAAATACATAGCAAGAAACGAAGACGAGGCTGCCCTATAAAGCTAACATGATCGCTACTGATTTGTTCCGCACTACGAAAGTACAACGCAGACAATCGCACCATAACAATCTCCCCTCGCTTTTCCACAAAGATATCCAAGATGATTTCTACCTCCAACTTCGCCATTTTTGCTCTCCTTGGGAATGCCTTTGCCCTTCCGAGTCCCAGAACTACGAAGCTACCGATTGAAGCTGGTTGTGGAGAGCTCAATGTGTTCTACACGTGAGTTTACAGCCAGACACCTCCGATCAGATTTTCCAGACTAATTAAAGTCAAACAGGGGGTTTACCGCCTATCATCCCTACGTAGCTGCCCAGAACTTCTCGCTCGACGAGGTTGACAAGGGCTTGCGACACGGTGCTGCCGACCTCGTCAAGGCTGGTTTCAATGTCCACGGTGACCACCCAATACCACATCTTCGCCCAGACCAGCTCGTCTAATTCCTTTCTATAGTTATGTTTCAAGGCCCCGAGGAGCCGCTATCTAACCTTGCCGATCGACTGAAAGGGAAGCACTGGGATTTCACTTCCATCGGGTTCGGCGTCCGAGGCTTCGCGAATGGAACAGCTACGACTCGATTCGAAGGTCATTCAACCTCACATCTTGGGTGACTACTATGACTAACTGCTCGAAGACATCTCATACCTGTTCGGTGAGTTGGCACCTACGGCGCCAAGTGTATACAATTGGGGCCCTACGTCGTTTGCCGAAGCCGTCACTAGGCGTGTGAAACTCACCGAGGATTGCACCGATAAACCTGGAAAGCTGCTTGTAAGTGGTATCCTATGACGCGGATCATGCATTTTTTAAGGCGGTATCACACAGGGATACGAAGAGCTCTGCGATCCAAGCATCTGCGAGAAGACTACCAACATCTTGGATGGAGATTTGGATAAGCTCACGTTCGACGAGAACTAGGCTTTATGGAACATGTAAGCATGTAATGGGACAACCATGAGTGCAACATGTCTAGGAAATGGCTGGGCTCAATAAGGCGCTCGTTCTGATGACTGAGCGACATGGAGCGTATCGTGAGAGTTCGTTTACGGCTTTTCGCCTGTCAGGTCGGAATAGTGGTGGCTTTCGTTGCACTGGTTTTGTGATTCTTATCTTTCTGGCTTCGTAGCCTCTCTATATTCATCAACATAAGATTAGGTCTACCTTTTTTACCACTAAGTATTGCATTCCCTTATGTGTGTGACCTGGACGCGTGCGCGCAGTCATTTTACAACGCGAGTTGATCAAGTCCTCCACATCCGTACCAGAGCCTACAACTCACTGATCAACATGATTATCCGGAGATCTCGAGTTTGAGCGTCTCCAGCCACCACTCGCTCTACACTTTCGTGTAATTTCCAGCAAACCAACCTCATCACAGCCCTATATCCTCCCACGTCCTCCTCCCCACTACTCCATTTTCTCTCTCATATCGTGTTACAACAGGAGTGCCTTTTTCTCGAGGCAACAGATAGCGGCGAGAAACGAACCCCCCCCGTCGCTCCTTCTCCATGTCTTAGAATCTTCCATCTTCGTAGGAGCGCATGACGGGCGTAGGAGACTTGGCATAGATGACAGTGCGGTGAGCGCCGTATACGTTTAATGGTGGGTTGGAGAGAACAAAGAAGGGAGAAGGGAGGCGGCGACTGTGGGTATGGAGCAATTCGATAGAGCATCGCTTGCGCCAATTTCCGGGGGGAGTACACAGCTGACGAAGGATGAGATTGGTTGTGAGGAGCAATAAAGGGGAGGATAGGAGGGTAGCGGAGGACAGAAGGGCAAGTGAATGTAGGTGAGTTGGTTAATAGCATTTGAAAACGTATGGCTGCCTGTGTTGCTCCTTTCTCGCCTTCTGGTGGCCGTAACTGTGTTGATGAGGCCTTAGCTTATACTATATAATGCTTGAGGTGTTATACATTAATGTGCTAAGTTTTCATATGTTTACTACAGGGCGAGTCTGAACATGCACGCTACCATCTGTTAGAACAGTGTCGTGAATGCCCTTATTCGCAGCTGGTATGTCTTCGCGCTGTCACAATTCTCCCCTAATCACGACTACGTAGATGTAGATAATACGAAAGTGCTAATAACTGCTATGCGACTCTATTAGGGCACGGACGATGCTAAACTAGCATGCGCACGATGAGCGTAAAAATTTACTGAGCGATGGGTCGAATGAGTCTATAGTCTATTCAGTGTACCTTCACACCGCGACAAAGGGACCGCGTTAAGCATGAAAGATGGATCATGAGCTGACTTGCGAGTCTCCGCGCGTTTGATGTGATGGACTGGAGAGAAGGCACGGTGCGAGTTGACGTGCTACTAGAGAGTCCACGGGTATGAGACACATCAAGATACGACTAGAGGAGTGCTATAGCAGTCTCACTTCAAGAAAGTGAAGAAGGGAGCGGTCTAGGGCAGGTCCTACTATCCAAAGTAGGACTAACACAGACTGTGACTGTTGTTATCATAGAGTACTCACCTCTACTCTACAACTCACACGTCATTCGTCGGCGACACCTCCGACGTCCCTCTCGCGACACCGTAGACCTAGCCTCACTACTACACCCACTCGAGCAGGTCCATGTAGTCTACCCACATATAAGCAAATCGCACTTGCGCATTCGCCTACGCGGCACGGGGAAGCATATCCGCGCTGCGCGCCTGGACCCACCAATATCCATCGAGGCGCACCCCTGCATCATCGACTCCACGATCTGAACGCCAGGGTCCCCAAGATCTCGCCTACAGGTCTAGGTCCACGCCCTAAAACGGCAGCACCACCATCTTTTTTTTTCGCGAGCGCAACCAAGGATAATTGGCCACGCACAAAGTGTACGATAATGGCAGTGGGTCCGGTAGAGCTGAGATTGTGGTGCAAAGCTGCAACTAGGGTGGCGGGCGTCTAAGTAGCGGTGTGGGGCGTGCAAAAGTCGAGGATGGAGAGAAGGCGAAAGAGGCGAGACACCATACGATGCAATGCGATCTCAATGGGGTTATGCGGCTAGTGACTAGCTACGGCGGGCCGCGTTGTAAGGCATCTGTTCGGATGAAATGTATGGTTTGCTTTGGGTAGTTCAATGTCGTGTGAACCCATGGAGGGCAGTCCGACGAACGTCGGTACGAGTTTTGATGTTCATGGCTGCCTCGTGCCGTGACGATCTGTGGGGAAGATGGACCAAATCAGGCCCCTTGCAATTTGAGTTGTTGACTCAGAATACGACCAGAGCTCTGTAGTGAGGCGATCCCGATGTTGGTCAGGTCGAGCGGTAAGTGCCGTGGAGATCTTTTGTCAACCTGTTGACACGAGAGGTGTGATAAAAGCGGCCTACGATAGCGTCTTGACCCGTTTCGAGTTATTCAACATGTCGATGCATCCTGATCGGTGCTTGAAAGCCGGGTAGCCCACCATGTTTGAGGTTGTCGACGCAAGAATCGTACGATGAGGACGCACATGGTAGCAGATTACCGGTCCAGTGACATGCACGCCATAGGTCTCGCTCGGATGAATCTTACCGATCTAGATGCTGGAGATGCATCGTTGGATGAGGGCCGATCTTGGAGCACGACAAGACCAATGCGTGGCAACGCCACGCCGGTGGCGTAGATTGGCTGGTAAGGCGGACAGGTCGATTCGACTTATCGTTTTATCAAACGTACTGCTTTGGTAAGGCCCGTGCTTGTCGCGGTTCGAGATGCAATCAACGAGGGGACTTGTTGCCGAAAGGTGCAATGCGAAGCGAACAGAAGTGATGGAGTATGAGCATACGAGGTACTGTTCCGGTTGTGCGTGAGCTAGACTGTCTGTGGAGCAGCAACTTCGCCGTTCAGCCTCGCCTTGGAAACCTGTTTTCCGTGGCACGATTAGTGAACACAGCTCGAAGTCCAACAGTGGTGTGGAGGATCTTCATGCTGCGACGACGGACTGGACCGTGTATGATGATGATCAGGCAAGAAAGGCGGAGTCATCGTATGATTGCTGGGGCTGCTACACGCTCCGGTGTCCCAGAGCAGCAGAGGTTCCGGTGGAATGGGGCTGAAGCTGTCACAGCCGGCGTGGGTGCGAGGCGCAAAGGGCCCGACTGCTGTCATCTGCGGCGCAGGCTCGCGTATCTGTTGGCATGGCGGCGAGATGCCAGCCCAGCTGCAGGCCTTGTCCATGGTGGCAAAGCCAACGTAGTTGCATGACGTTGGCCACGGCCTCACCTGGCTGGCGTCGACGGGTTGGGGCACGACGGCAGAGATGAGCATGATGACCACATGGGTGCGGCGCGAAGGGTCTGCGACGGTGCTACAGCGGACTCGGTCGCTAAGAGACCAACTTCCTTTTTGGGTCCAGGTCGTCGTGTGGTGGTGCCGCCGAACGCCTGTCACCTCCCGGTCGTTCGGGAGCGCTCGATCGGTGCCCACGAACGGGCCGTCCCCTGTGTTGGGACGCGAGAGGGTGCGGGTGAAGGCCTGTGCTGCATCTGCTCGCCCGTCTCAGCCTCCTCTGCTCACGCTTGCCAGCGGCGAGGCTGCAGCTCGAGAAGCGAGAGGGCAACCACAGGCTCGGCGTGACCAGCGGGGCGGGATGCGTCTCAGCAGCAGATGCTTCGGGCGTCGCAGGCTGACGTAACCCAAGGGCGCCGCTGTTGTCGGCACATGCGTCCGTCTGATGGCCGCGTGCGTGCGTGCGTGGGAATGCATCTCAGGGAACATGGAACATGGAGTGGGTGGTGCACGATGTGGGTGACAGGATTGCTTTTTCCGTCGGATGCTCCTCGCTGACTAACCTCGCATGCAGAAGGTGCTACAGGGCGCGCAGGGCCAGAGCACAGTACCATCCGACTATTGACAAGACGGCCGTTGCGGCGTGCATCTAGTGCCGCCTTGAAACCATGCGTATCCTCCAAAATGCGCCCTTGTCCGCGAGTAATCCTCCCTATCCAAGCAGTAACGAAAAGAACAACCTGGAGCGACTTTCCATGTACACCAAGGCGAGACCGGAGACGGCTTCCTTGAGAACCCGAGTGCGAACAATGTACAAGGCCTGACACAACATCCGGCGAAAAACAAAACATACATACAGAGAAGCGTTGGGACGGAAAGGGCTGAAGTGCCCATCGCAGCCGTTTACTGAGGCTGCTGCTGCTGCCTGGGTCCGTGGTCTTTGGTCCATGTCCACCCGTCCATCGTCACAAAGTGTTCAGCCTGACTTCCCCCAGGTGCTGGCACAGGCTCGTTGCTTGTCGACGACAAGTGGAAGGGAAATGTGTGCTGCCACGTAGTCATCGGAGCACTCTCCTGCGTGTAAGCAGGGATGGCCTGGCCTCGGTGCACATGTTGCGAAAACGTCAACCTGGGCTCTGAAGCACTCGAAGACGGTGCCGCGGGTCGGGCCGCCCATGATGGATGTACGGTTGGGTTGTTGAAGGCTACGAAGTGCGCTGGAGCCGATGCCGTCACGTACTCCGGCAACGCCTGCAACGGGGGTCGCGGCGAAGCGAAATGCGACATGGTTCGATGCAACCTGCCGGCATCCAACTCTTCGTTCCAGTTGCCCTCCGTCCTGCCTGTCTGGCTGTGGCATCCTCGCCCGACGCTCGCTGCATTCACATCCTGGCTTTCTTCACCGTGCTTAGTGGCTCGCAACTCCGATGCCATGGATGGCGGAGGATCCTGGTGCAGCGACGGGTACGAGTGGTGTCTCAAATGAGGCGGCGCATCTTCGTGAAGACCCGTCGGCCTGTCTCTCACACTGTGTTGGTGGTCGTGCTGTTCTTGCAGCATTGTCGCAGACGTCGGAGGCGAGGTCGGAGCTGTCAGACCCTGTGGCTGAACATCTTGTGAGCGCGCTGTCGAAAACGTCGCGAATCGGTCTCGTGCCGATCCTGGGGACCCTGATTCATCTTGCCTCTGTTCCGAGGATCGAGTATCTCGAACTTCCTCACGCCATCTGAACTTTGCCTTCTCCAATTGCACCTCCTCAACTTGCTTTTGATCTGCTTCTTCCTTGACCTGCATCGGCACCGAAATTCCGCCTTCTGGAAACCCCCGTGACATGCTCCATGTCAACGGCGCAAAAGCCTCCGGAACGAAAGACTGGAGGCCAGGGTCTTCGAGCAAAAGCATGCCAGTGTTGCCCATCACCGTGTCATGCATGACGCCGGAGCCCTGTCGAGCCTCACTTCCCACTCCATCTTGCATCTCAACATCACAGCCCGAAACCCCGCCTCTTGACAACATGGGCGGATGCAATCTGACGTGCGTGTCGGGTGCGCGACTCATTCGTCCAAGTTCGGCCAAACCCCAGCTCACCCTCTCTACAGCCATGCTGGCAAGCTCGTGCACCCCATTCTTTTCTAGTTGTTGGAATACGACATATGCTTTCTCCACTTTTTCGATACGGTTGAGGTCTCCCGTTTCCATTGCGTCGAGTAGTAGTATCATGCATGAATTGAACGCCTGTTGTCCCATAGTCCAGGTGATCTGGGCAGCCGGAACGCGGAGGTGAAAAAAAAGAAACGCTGTCAGCAGATCTTGCGAGGACGACAAGACCAAGGCTCGACCCCTCAGTAAGGGTTTTGGAGCACCCGGAGCCGAAGGATATGTGTTGACGGGCTGGAGAGATGCCGGTGCAGCTCGCAATGTTGATACATTGTGTGGAGGGAAGAATTGTGCCGTTTGCTTTTCGATGCGCTGGCGATTGAGCAAGATTAGGTACGTGTGGGTTTTGCAGTAAAATACTGTGTGCGTAAGCAATTGATGCGAATAATGGGCCAAGTTAGGGCATGACACACCAGCTGCCATGGTCCCAAGTGGCCATTCCGGTACCTCCTTGTTCTTGTCCAGCCACCGTTCGTCAAATTGGAGCATTTCCGGCATAGTGTCCAGCAGATTCCTGAGTTGGTCTGTGAACTCGTCAATCTTGCTGTTATTGAGGCGATCGCTACTCAATATTTGCCTCGCCAGAAGGGTGAAGTGGTTGGCAAACTCTCCAAATCGTAGCATCTGCGGGTTCGTGGTGAGCTCATGCGGCGGTGGACAGTCACCAATACCACTGATGCCGAGTGGTCGACCTAAAGTCATCGAGTACTCCTGATCCATATGCAGCATCCACCACCATATTGTTTGCCGAATCGAGCATTCTCTTTGTGTGGGCGGTGCCGGATCAAGATATTTTGGATGTCGATGCAGGCCGATTGAATGTGCGAGGCGGATGGTAGTTCCAAATAATGTCCATGCATCGAGGAAGCGGCCACTGTTGGTCAGGAAGGGACCAATCATTATGAGTGCCTGTATACTGAGTAGGGAAGGTTTATGCATGAAGGACGCCATGCGTAGCGCTTGCATGGCAGCCGCGACTGAGCCTTCTGTTAGAGCCTTGGAAACAAGAGTTTGCTTGAGCACTGACTGTAGACGTTCCCTCTTTGTAGTTCTGCTTTCATGGTGTCTGCCTTCCATTGACCTCCGCACCTATCCCAGGCCGAATATTGTGAGCCCAAGGCCAAAGCTGCAAAAAGAAGCGCTAGCATGTCGGGACACATCTGCGCGTTCTTCCTAGGATCCGAAAGAAAACGTTCGACTTCGTCTCGTGTAATCTCCATGGGTACATGAGGGAATGCGCAAAGATGGACTCGCTTCTCAAAAAAGTTCAAATACTCCAGAAGCTCCTCAGTGGTGGGAAGACAGCTCAATAGCTCCGGAATGCCCTCTTCGGGCGTGGCTTTGAAAATCGTCGCGAATGGATGCGGAGGTGGAGATTTTGAAGTATACATGTCAGGACCACGAGGCATAAGGTGCGCAAGAGATTGTGACGATCCAGGAGCCAAATGAATACTTGCGAACTGCTCCGCTTGTCAGGTGGGGTTCTCCGTGGATACGTTTGCACCTACATCTGTCACGACATTGGCAAGTCCCGGGCTACCGAAATATATGCTGTCAGACCATTCGGATCCTTGGAAACGTTTCTGTTTGGCCGCGCGACGTCTCTGTGACAAACCTGTTGGGCGCTCACCAAATTGCGAATCCGGAGAACCTTCATGGTCGGATTCATGCGCCTCGAGGGGGATCTTGGAGGCGCGTAAGCGTTCCTTGAGGCGGAGGTTCTCAGCACGCAGCTTTCGAATCTCGTATGACTGTTGAATGGGCGCATAGTCGCCTCCATCTGCCACAAAGTGGCATTCTTTCGGTGCTCCTCGAGCGCAGCATGCTGAGCATGGCTTAGTTCGATCGCACTGAGTGGCTTTAGCAAACTCACTGATCAGAGCTAACAGTCCTACATACCTTGACCTTTCTCTCCCGGCATTTTGTGCACGAAAGCAGCTGACGAGGCTGTTGGGTCTGGTGTCTCCTCTTGAGGGCTGGCACATGTGCTGATTCACTCATTTCGAGTGAGGCCTATATGTAGTGGCGATATCAACATCCAGGAAAGCGACTTCGAAAAGGGTATTAAGTGATGCGGACTTGGTCTTCCGGAGAAGTACGACCGTGATAGGCGTGAGAGCTATATAACCCCTTGACCGAACGTAGGCCGGTCTAGGCGAACAGTTCCAACGGACGGTATGGACCCCACACAAAGCTCCTTACCCTATAGAGATGCCGACGCAAGACTTACATGAAAGATAGGCCAAGATGAGAAATTCATCCTCTGAAGCCTCATTATGCGGCCAGAACACTTTCGATTGGAGCGAAAAGAAATCGCGCCGAAACGTAAAGGTAGATGGCTCACCGAAGTTTCGTATTACCCTGTTAGTCTTGGTGCATCGAAGCCGCGGGCTTATTTGTTCACAGGCACCATTTTCGAGTCGCACAAGCTTATCGCCAAGTGATGGAGCCGCAGGGAAGGTGGCATGGGTACCCGCGGACCAGGTCTGGTACAATACGTGACGCATGATACAGATCTCACGCTTACCACTCGAGTGGGCCGGTCCTTTGGAGACCCTTCCCCGTGCATGCTGCATCTACCGACCTGTCGGATCCACTGCCTCGTTTTTGCGGTTGCTGTAGCCTTGCTTTTTCTTCGCTTAGGAAAGCCTCACGCCAGTAGCCGGATGCGCGAGTGGAGGGCGCTGTTGAGACGGATGCGCCTTCGGCTGGCTCGTTCTTTGTTGGTGTAATTGTGGCATTTGGCTAATGCTGGAGGCTTTGCCAATCCATTTGGCAATTGGCAACGCACATTTACTCGGCTACCCTTCTCTTCTTCCATAGGACCTCCACAGGCACGAATACACCTCTAGCATCCACACTCAATATTTGCAATAGCAAATTCAAGATTGCGGATACAAGTCGAGAGTTCCGCGCATCGCCCGTGCAGTTTGTAGTTCCGTTGCACCAAACGCCTCATACCGCATGCGTGGTTAACGACTACCCTTGAACGCTCTCATCGCCGAAGCCGGATCTCTGTCAGATTATGGTTCGCAGACCAGCAGAGCACCAGCGACGCCATGCGATCAAGGTCACACAATGCACGCGCCGAGGAAACCCTCAAAACGATGGCAACTTTCCCATGTACGACATCTGGACCTTCTGTCGCCAATCTCACGGTTTGCTGAATTAGTATTATCTTATCTACTGATTGTCTAAACCTGGTTTTTCAAGCGCTCGACCTCACATTTCTTCGTCTCGGTGGATTAGTCTGACAGCATCTACGTGTATGTGACTCTTGAATGGATCGATGTAATTGATCTTCGCTTCCCAACGGTCGCCAACCTGATACTCTCCGACTGGACTGTTTGAAAGGATAACGTTCATACCATACCCTTCGAAGAACCCTTTTGACCCAGTGATTGGATCTGGTCGTTTAACTCTCACTATGAAAGTTTCTGGTAAGGGTGCCTCCTGGTAGTAGAAGGCTCGTATGAATGCTTGTACAGCCCAGAATTCACTAGAGTGCGTTTTCGCCCTCCTGATAATTCTTTCCCGGGGAGAAAGAGTGATAATAGATTCCTGCATTTGGCGATGGGAAAAGGGTAAGATGGGTCGTGGTGAGCCTGCCAATGCTCTTGCATCGAGCTTCTGGCCAGTGCGTGCCTCGAACCGTAACGCAGCTTCGATCTGCCAGTGGGCGATCATGTCGCTGAATCGCCGCAGCGGGCTGGTGACCTTGATGTGGGCTTTAGCGCCAAGAACGTGGTGAGGGATCGGTGAGGAATGTGCTATGGAACGACCCAAAGCGCCAAGGTACAGTTGTGCAACACGCATGCTTAAGGAGCCGTTCTTCTCCAGATGTGGGAAAAGAACCTGTTCGCGAAATTGTGCCAAAGGAAGAGGCGCGCTTGGAGACTCCACTGTGCCCCTGAACATGACGGGAATGTTACGCTCAGCACACCAGGACCCTGCCGTGCGGCACGCGAGAAGCATCATCTCTTCGACGATGTTGCTGGAAGTAATGGTGCCAACAAAGTATCCGGTGTCCTTGGGAATTTCACCGCGAAGCTCGATAATTGGATCGCCAATCACTCGCCGTGATTTTCCAATTGAAGGTGGCATCCAAGTTAAGCCTCCTACATTGGGTTTCTCATAGACAGCAACTTCTGCTTTGTCTGGCCTGCCAAGTCGGACACCGCCAGCAGCTTGGCGCCCCTTCCATAGAGCTTGACCTGCTGCATACAGATCACGAAGGTTTTGTAGTTGCTCAGCAGCTAATCGGGGCGAGGGACGGCTCCTCTTGTCAACATGAGGGTCACCGCCGACTACTAGACGTTTAGCTTCTCCTGGTAAATGTTCATCTAGATAAGTCGCGAGTTCTTCGGGAGTGATGCTAACGACCTTTCTTATGATGCCGTGCTGAATCTTGGTCTCGAGCGTATATCCAGAGTCATCGATTCGCGCGCTGAACGTGATGACAGGCCGGTTGTTGGCAAGACTGAAATAATTCTGCGAGGCCCAGGAAGGTAACATGGCGAACGATCTCTCTGGAGTGTAAACACTTTCCGTCATATGAGCAGCGAGGCCTGACAAAACGTGAGACTTATTGAAGAAGGCCGTTGGATTGGCAACATGCACATGTATCCAATATTCCGACGGACTTCCGTGTACTCTTTCGATGGATACACCGTCATCGATTTCTTTGGCATCAGCGGAGTCAATGCAGTACACCGTAAGTGGACCCCAATCACGACGCATGTCGGCCATGGCGTCCTGGAAATCTGGTCTTCTCCTCGTCAATTCAGCTTTCGTATTGAGAAGCTCGAGGTTTCGGGACAGGCGAACGGTCGGCAACATCAGATTCTCGTTGTAGATGGCACGATTCTCAAACGGCGTGGTGACTCCAATCTCTTGCAAGAGGATATGCCCCGCAGATTTCCCCATAACCGGAAATGGCTTGTTTTGCGAATCTATGTCGTTGTAGCAACCAGTGGCGTGGAGAATGGAAGCGCAGGCCGAGTGCAGATTTGGCATACTAGCGAACTGGTCCATGAGTACCCATGCTTGCAAAAAGCTGACAATTTGTTGATCGGTCTTGGTGAAGTCTTCGCCCAAGATGGTCGTCTTTATACCGGGCAAGTTTTGCGCCGATGATACTTCGGATTGATCCGGTCCTACAAAGCCATGGTTTAATTGGCGACCTTTTCGACTCTCTGCGATGAGACGCTGTGCTTTTTTTACGAACTCTCGGATGTACTCAGCACCGGCGCTGCGGTTCAGCTGCTTATTGTTTTCGTTATTGGCGAGCGCAGCTTGATCTTCTCGGTAGTCTCGGACCCATTCATGTACAGTCTCCACCATTTCCACATCAACCTTAGGTCTGATGGCGAAGATATTGGTCAAGCGTTGGCTGTGTACATCCGAGCGAAATCGGAACTCATTGTGCTTGAGGGCTTTACGTACGGCTAGCAGGGCAGACGGTGATGGCGACCATGTTGGGTCATCTTTCCCTAGCAGCGTCTTCGCGATTTGCGGTAATGTCATCATACGAGTGCGGGTGGCGTCGGCAAGGGTCGAGTAGGCGGTGTCAAGCACTGGCGCATTTGTTCGGTAGATGCGCTCTGATTCTTCTGTGAGTTGAGAGAGCAGATCCTGAACAGGGGCGCCTAACTTCCGCGGCACTTGAATGCCATGATCTGGTAGCACGCCCTCAGTCTTCGTAGGCAGATATGGAATCAAAGGCTGCAAAGCGGCGGGATTGATTGCCCCAGGCACTGCAAAGGAGATGTGGCCCTGCTTAGAGTGGACCCATCGTCCGTTGACCGAGTAGAATTGGCTGGTGAGGTCCAATTGCTGCACAAATACAGCCAGAACTGGTTCACGTCCGGGCATGGACAGCTCGACGACATCTCCTGGCTTCAGGAAAAGTCCGATGGTGACAAGCTCGTCGTCCTCATCCTCATGATCCCGCATCTGTCCATTTCCTTCTAGGTCTTCATCGGCCTTGCTTCCATAGCTGAGCTTGGCCAAGTTGTTTTGAATGTCGCCGTGGGCCGGATGGTTTTCGAAGGCACTCAGTGCCAGCTCATCTGGTCCGCCGAATTGCTCATTCCATTGTTCGAGTCGTTGCCGTGTAGCGAGCTTATGACGGGATGGGTGTAATAATGTTGGGTCTATCGAAGGTTGAACGGGCGAGTTTAGGGCGATTTGAGAGATCTATGACGGTCAGCTTGACTCTAGCGATCATTGAGGTTCGCAACAAACAGGTTGAGTGGCGTGAAGAGCGCGTCGCGGAAGGCGTGAGGCGACTTTCGGGGCAAGTCCATCTTTGCGCAGGACCCTCTGCGTGAAGGTTCGTCGTTGGTTAGCAAATCGCCATTGGCACTGCCAGCAGATACTCGGCGTCTGTGATAATGATTTGAACCCTATCATGTTGTGATTCTGTGAAGTGCATTTGGTTCTTCCCCCATGTCAAAAAGTTGGGGAGGCGCGACCTGTCGGATGGTCCAAGCTTACCTAGTGTCGCCGCATTGCTTCCGCGAACTCACATGCTCTGCTTCTACTCCTCCACTCTCCCACACACAAAAGGTACGTTTTATTATTTACTTTGGTACTTTCTGTCAATTTCGTGATGATTTTAAAAATTATAGCATGTATTATCCGACCAGCGCTTTGCGTTGGAGGGCGGAGCAAACTTTTTTCTGACCCAAATTTCACTCCTTCTACGCACATCGCAACACACTGTGCTACGCTGACAGACCAAAGTATCCATAGACGACCATCATGGCACCATCGAAAGCGCCTACGGGCCACTTCTCGATATTGTACTTCGCCGCCGCGTCGACGTTCACAAACAAGGCCAGCGAGCATCTGCCTGCGCCCGCGGAAGCTCGCAACCTCTTTTCTAAGCTCGAGGAGTTGTATCCCGGCATTAAAGACAAGGTGCTAAGTAGCTGTGCGGTGACAGTCAACATGGCATACATCGACATTGATGGTGATGATGCTCCTGACCTTGAATTGGTGATCAAAGATGGCGACGAGGTGGCTATTATTCCGCCTGTAAGCTCGGGATGAGCAGGCAAGTGGCAGAGATTACATTGCCACCAATGCCGAACGGGAGATGAGTGCACACGCGCTCACAGAGCATCGATATTTGCGCGGAGCGCTCCGAATGCGAAAGCTCTCAGTGTCTTCTCGGAGCTTGTTCGCTGGTTTGTTTCAGTGAAGGATCAGAATCTAGGCTGTCAGGCCACACTCAGCTAAATGAGGAATTAATCGGTCACTCGTACCACGACACTATACTGCGAAACGGCCGCGCCACACGGGGTCGCACTTTCCAGCGCGGTCCAATTCGGACAGTATGCTACGTAGAGAGATGTCTTTACTAATGGACGTGAGTGCAATGATTCTGTGTAATGATTCTTTGAGTGGAATGGATTTCAATGTTGACGCTTGACTTTGTCCGTTATGCTACGTATGACACATGGTGGGTTGACTCAACGCGTAAGAGCGCGTTCTGTCCTTCTACTTTAACTCGGGTGACAACCATCAGGAGGAACACAGAGCGGGGATGATTCTACGAGCATTTTTTCACATGGGATAAGGCCCTACAAGTTTTACCTTTTGTACTGCTGTGTCGACTTGTTCTTCGGCTTGGCGCCTCGCCTAGTACGTCAGTGAGGAAGGAACTCCACCGCTCCACTGCAAACGCAATCCCGGCGGCACCGGTCTGTTCACTCCCCGACGCCGACGAACTCGCCAACCACGCAGCTATGGCGGAGAACATTGATCCGCGACTGCAGCAATTCAGCTCTCTGCCCCCGCGTTCTCTGGCGCAGCAGTCGTACACGACCGGTCCGGCGCAGCCACTGCAAAACAGCGCGACTCCATACTACCTCCCCACACCAAACAATGCGCCGACGCGGCCGAGCAACATCGACCCGGCTTTCGAGCAGACATCACCGACTGGTCCAGAAGAATCGCACGACGAGGACGACCACGATGACGGCGATCTCGATGGGTATATTGCGCCTCAGCAGACTCGCAAACATCATCTTGCTGACAGCGTCATAGAGCCCATGGCACGCCCGGTTCCGGCAAGTCTCCGCACGACCTGAAGAGGCCGCGCGCCTGCGATTCATGCCGGGGACTCAAAGTGAGCAGTACAAAGTCTCAATTGTGAACACCTAAGTTTACCCATTCCTCCAGGTTCGATGCGACCAAGAGCGGCCTGAACAGCCATGCAAGCGCTGCGCGAAGGCCAACCGTGCATGGTAAGGATACACTGTCAGGTCCCAATTCCAGAGATGCACCATGTTTGTCCTAAGCCAGCCTGGGATATTTTATCGCATCATCGTCTTGGGACGCTTGCCACTGCGCCGTGCTGATTTATTGTCGCCAGCATTACGACCCCACCGACCCGAAAGCGCCAGAAGAAGGCCGACAGTCGAGTTGCCGAGCTAGAGCGCAAGATCGATGCATTGACCGCCACCCTGCATGCGCAAAAGGGTGCTCCAGAGCCCAGAAACTACCCGGGCATGCCACAGTATGAGGGTGGTCCCACACCATACCCACAACCAGAGGGAGGTTTCAGAGCCGGCAGTATAGTGCACGACTGGTCGAATGCACCTTCGGCACAGGAGCGTTACCCAGACATACCGCCCGGGTACGGTCCTGCCCAGAGCATGCAACGTGGGCCGGATAACAAGCGGAGGAAGCTGGTCGACGGGAGCAGTCATACTGCCGTAAGTCGAAATGTGTCGCTTTATCACCATCCCTAACGCGACCAGACAATACCCGAAGATATGGACGCGGTTCACCGTGATCTGATTGAGCATATCGACATGAAGCGCACCGGAAGGAAGGGCATCCACACCGATCACTCAAATATAAATACGTTGATCGATAGTCTCATGACTCCAGAAACCGCGGAGCGCATCTTCCAGAGATACGTGAACGAGATATGTCCGCATTTTCCTGCAGTGCCCTTTCCGGCGGGTACCACTGCACGAGAGCTGAGGGAGAAGAAGCCGTTGCTTTTTCTGTCAATTTTGGCCGGCTCATCACACGGAGCTGCGGAACAGCTGGTTTCCCAGGACGTACAGCGTGATCTCACTAAAATCCTCAAGGACCAATTTGCCGATATCATCTGGCGAAATGGCGAAAAGTCTCTGGAAGTGGTCCAAGCGCTGCAAGTCGGCGTGCTATGGTACCGACCGCCACTGCATTACGAGCAGCATAACTTCTATATGATGGTCAACTGTGCCGCAGTCATGGCACTTGATCTTGGTCTCGGGAGAAGGAACACACCAACTGTCATGAAATTAGCCGTGGGCCCTTTCCGTCGATGTCACCCGAACACCAGTAGCATCGAGTCACGCAGGACGTTCCTTGTCTGCTACTACCTCTGCATGAGCATCACCATGGTACTCCGGAGACCAATTCTGTTGCGATGGACCAAATATATGGAGGAAAGCGTGAAACTTCTCGAGACTTCTCCCGAGGCGCTTCCTTCGGATAAGATTCTCTGCCAGCACGTGAAGATGGCGCATATCGGCGAGAACATATCTGTGCAATTTTGCATGGATGACCCTTCTGTGGAGGTGGCTATATCAGAGCCCAAGGTCATTTACGCTTTGAAAATATTCGAGAATGAACTCCAACAACTTAGGGACGATAACGCGTCTCTATTCAAGGATGTTGATCGTAAGCCGCACATACCTTTCGCCACGAAGGTCTGCTAACCTTTAGCAGCCGCTCTGCGACTTGCTGAGCATGTTACGAATCTGTATATGCACGAGATTGCGTTACATCACAATCAAAGCCCTGCTGATTTTCAGCCACCTTTTCCACAGGAAACATTTGCCTCTGGTGTGTCTTCCAAGGAAGCTGTAGGCCCTGCTCATATCGGCGCGCTTGGCGAATGTCTCACGGCCACGCACGGCATTCTCGATACTATTCTCAGCGTGCCTCTCGACACCCTACTTACATTACCTGTTATTTTTTGTAAGTTGCCGAACCGCTGATGTAGGTTCTCAACTGATGATCATTACGTAGGCGTGCGAGCAATCTACGCGATCGTATGCTTGATGAAAATGTGGGTATCTGTTACGAGCTCGGGCGAAGTTGGGAACTTTATCAACAAGGATCTTCTGCAAATCGAAGCCTACACCGAGCGCTTGGTCACAATGTTCAACGCCATAGTATCTCGCGATGCACAGTCCCCACATGGCAAGTTTTATTTCGTGGCGAAGCGATTACAGGAGCGTTTCGCCCATATTAAGGAGGGGGCATCGAAGACCGAGCATTCGTCGGATGGGAACGAGGACTCGCGCTCCTCGACTACCAAATCGACGTCCAAGCCACGTTCGCGCCAATCGTCCCAAAACCAGACACCCCTTCACCTACTCTCCGAGGTCGCAATGGGAAGCAGCAACACCGCCCCTTCCCAACCCGTGTCCCAAGCCCCCTCCCAGCCGCAACAACAGCAGCAAGCGCAGGCTCAGATGCAGCAGACACAGGCGCCGCCACAAGCATTGCAAAGCTGGTATCCAGGTATGCCAAATCAGCAGCTTGCGCCGGATATTATGGGCATGCCGCAGGGCAATTTCGATCCGAACTTCGACTTCACTCAGTTCGATTTGAGCACGGGCTCGGACGCTGATCTGAGTGCACTGTTCATTCCTGACAGCATGATGTGGAACTTCCCACTGGGTAGTATGCAAGGGTACGGTAGCTTCTAGATTAGACGACGCTACAAGTTGATGCCATGGGATGGTGTACGGCTTCATGAGTCTACGATTTAGGTTCTTGCACGGTGTCTTTGTAGTAGCGAAAAGCATTCGCAGTTCTACCTGCTGTAGCTTAGTCAAGATAGATGAAGTGGGCCTTGATGCCTTTAACCCATGCATGTAATCTTTGCGGTGCTCAACAGTCCAATTAGATGTGCTGCGTTTGCGGAGACACAAGCATCTTGACTGACTACAATTGTGTGGATGTGGTAATAGGCTTTACAATATCATATCGCAATTTCCAAGAATTCGTTGTAAAGTGAGTCACCCTAGGATACAAAATCTACATACTGCCTGGTGACCTTGTTTGTTGACAAGCTAATAGCCGGACCTTCATGTCGACACAAGAACCACATCGCCTACATCATCGGGCCCTTGATGATCCTATGCTGACCTAGCATGCTCTAAAGTAGTCATCGTTGACCAGCGTTCAATATGTGCCCAATCGTACAATCAACAACTCTCCCCGTGATGCGTCATGCACCCTAGCCCGGAGCTAAACGGCGCACGGCGGCCGCGAGGCTGCACCCTTACTACGACCGGTGCTACCATAACCACAGGGCGCCTGAAGCCACGCAACGGCATCGGAAGGCACGAAACAATCGATTTCGAGTGGAATGATATACGAGGTGGTGTGGGGTCGAAGCAGGACGGTGGGAGCGGCCGCCGGAGTAGAAGGGGTCGAGCGGATGCGTAAAGGCTGGCTCTCGTCCGGTCCGGTGGGAAGCTGTGCATGAGGGTGCCATAGGAAAGGTACGTGAGGGACATGTATAAAAGGGCTGGGTTTGGATGTCAAATCGTCACTTCTAACTCAACTCAACACTCTCAACTGCCTGATCCTTTGTAAAAGTACTCGCTCGTGCTGGACGCTCTGTGAAAGAGAAGCTCGGCAAAAACAAGATTCATTGAGCTTCGTATTTCAGACGACCACCACATATATTCAGCAAACAATGGCTTCTTCACAACCCCTCGCCGGAAAAGTGGCACTTATTACCGGCGCCTCGCAAGGTATCGGCGCAGCAACCGCGCTGCAACTCGCAGAGCTCGGCGCCAAAATCGTCGTTAATTATTCCTCGAACTCCAAACCCGCTGAAGAATTAGTACAAAAGATCGGATCCGATAAAGCAATCGCCATTAAAGCAAATGCCGGCGACCTCGAAGACATTGAGCGACTGGTCGAGGAGACGCTCAAATGGGGCGGTGGCAGGATCGACATCCTCATTCCAAACGCGGCGGCAGGAGCACTGGCGAATGGACTGGACAATACTTCAGAGGCGGACTTCGACAGCGTCGTGGGATTGAATGTTAAAGGGCCGTTTTTCTTGGTACAGGTGAGATTCCGAGGACAAGACTGCTGTAACTATTAGGCATGCCTGACACGTGAATAGAAAGCAGCACCCCACATGCCCTCCGGCGCGCACATCCTCCTGGTCTCCACCTCCCTCACCGGCCTCTCTAACATCACGCCCAACTACCTGCTCTACGTGACCACCAAAGGCGCTATCGAGCAGATGACGCGCGTGCTTGCGAAAGATCTCGGCCGCAAGGGTATCTTGGTGAATGCGATTGCGCCAGGGCCAACCGCCACGGCGTTGTTTTTGAAGGGGAAGAGCGAAGATTTGGTCAAGACTATAGCGGGGTGGACCCCGTTTAATCGATTGGGGACGCCGGAGGATGTTGCGAGGGCAGTGGGGTGGTTAGTGGGTGGAAACACATGGGTGCACGGCCAGACCATAAAATGCAATGGGGGCTTGGCCTGAAAGAGCTGAAATGCATGATTTCACGCATAGTATTAAGTGATCTACAAACGCTTGCTGCCTCTCTCCACTCACGATTTGCACATTCACATGCTTCAATCATCGCAGCAGAAGGAGGCTTTGGAAAGACATACGAACGGCGGCTCCTAATCCATTCAGATGAAGGCTTTATATACTTGTGTCCTACCGTTTCCTCCTACTGAAGCACTGTGGCTCCTTTCAGTATCGTTTTGCAACTCCAGGTTCAATGGCTCTAACATTGGGAGTTATTAGAGGCTTGTGTCGTACAAATGTCTGACCAGCGCGTCTCACCGATTTGCAACGAAAGGTATTTACTGTCACCTTACTCCTATCACATCCCTTTTACCGTTTCTCTATTTTGAGATGGTCTAACAAGCACTTTCAAGTCAATCGTCCAAAAGGTCTACAAAAACTCAACTTACCCACCTTAGGTGGTCCTTGTTGTCACCAATCCCAAAATGTCCTTGTTCGAGAGGAAAAAGGAGCAAAAAGTGGCAAAAGAAGAGGTCGTGCCCGGAATCGAACCGGGGTTGCCGGAATGTCCTGAGATGATCAGAATCCGGAGTGATAACCGCTACACTACACAACCTTTGAAGGTTGGGGCACAATCCAATGAATTGATGCTAATCTGGAAATTTTCACAGTATATATAGCATTTGAAGAATTGGGCAGCGAGCCGTTACGTTGATCGAGGTGTACCACATTAAGATGCATGGTGCGACATGTTTGTGACAAATTTTCCTTGTGAAAGGTTGAGTCAAATTTTTACCCCGCCACATGCACGCTAAGTGGGGGTTCCGCGACAATACGGCAACACAACAAAGAAGTATCAGGCAACATTGAGGTCTTCGATATCAAAAGAGTCTTGAAATCCAGCAAATTGTTCTATGCATTGCATGGACTTCCGTGTCGGAACTCTGGTTTGGTAAGCTGATCGAGAGTTCGCGAACTCACTGAACAGTTTTCTGTACGTGGGTGAACAACAAAAGTCTTTACGCCCTTCCAGGTTGGGACGTAGCTGGACAGTCATTCAAGCCCGCAATCATTTGCGTATTCAGGGTCAGCCTCTTTGGAATCTGACGCGTATGTTCGTAACACACCTGCATGCAGAAGATATGTGACAAAGGGCCCGCGTGCGATCTCGTGTTGATCAGGCTCTGACAATGAGACAATCGCACAGTAACAGTCGTTGCCCTCGCAATATCTGAGCCTTACGGTCAGAGCAATGTTGAGTATGAGATGGAATCAAGGCGGACCTTCGCCGGGCATTTGTTTGGTCGCAGTAAAAACATCATCATAAGAACGAACCCGAAATCGTTCGGCCCCATACTTCGGACTCGCATACTAATACGTGCAGCGGCGCAAACATAGCTCAGAATTGTGGTCCAAATCTCCGGGACATGTTTCCAATCTCATGATAGTGGGTACAGGCGTAAACGAAGGAAGATAGCGGAGATTATCAGATCTGCACTTAACGCCGTATCTGCATGTAAACACCCATTTCTGTGAGACGAATTACTTTTGCCCCTCGTGTTCGCAACATTCCGGCCTTGCTGTGTAAGGCGGACAGTCCCGCTTGCTGCACAGATGAGGCGTGTTTCATCATACATTGGTAGATCATAATAACATCAGAGCGATCTCCGAATGCGCGGTGCTGCATGATCAACTCAAGCAGGTATGACCTGCAGCAGTGTGGACATCTGGAGATTGAGCAGACTAACTTTTTGCAATGTCAGATATGGACAGTTGCTTCGCTACAGATCATGATATTGTTTGCACGATCGGTTGGCAGAATGGCCCTGTTCGTGATAACACACGGCAAGAGAGCTTTCGCGCGAGTTCCGTCTACAACAGGTGAACCAGCTGCCAGGGAAGCGTAAGGCGGGTGGCGTTACTTCGGTCATGCATCATCCTCGGCGAACGTATATAGCGCGGATTTAGGCCCACATTCAGCTTTCAACAGCGCGGTGAAATCCGCGGACGGCAGGTTCTCCTGAGGATCCAGGCGAACCTCCGTTGTCAGGCTTCAAGAAGATGGATGTTGCTGGATCGGAACCAAAGCCCTCGAGTGAGACATATGATCGAGGCGAATATCTGCCCGAGTCGCAATACTTTCCTTGTCCCTCACACGCATGCGTTTGCGAGAACCCTGCCGAGGTATGTGAAGCGGCAGTAAACATGGGCTTGGGCCACTACGACCGCTGTAGACGCTATTGATTCCAATCCTGCCAGCAATAACAGATGTAGCAACGTGTGTACAGGTCAGACTGACTTGAGCTTTACCGAGGCTGACTTGAATTTTGGTTAGCGTCCCACTAATCCTAATTAGTTAAACATGTTTAAAACATTTTTAAATCTTATTTAAATCTTATTTAAATTATGTTTTAAACATGTTTAAAAAGATAACTTTAAATAAATAAAGTATATAAAAAATATTAAAAATATTCTAAATAACCCTAATCTTATACTAACTCTAACCTTATACTAACCCTAATTCTAAGTTTTCTTTCTTTATTTTTTAAAATATATTTAAATCTTATTTAAATCTTATTTAAATCTTATTTAAATTATGTTTTAAACATAATTTTAACATATTTCTTAATATAGTTAAATATATAGGTGAGCTAACCTAATGTTACAAACTAGATAATGGTGGGGAAGTTTAGGCGCTTATAAAGGTAGAAGATATAATAACTAGAATTATAATAAGATAAGGATACGCTAAGTTACTTAGATAGTAGTTATGTAACTTACTTAGCTACTTAGGGTTCCTAAATAACTAAGTAGCTAAGAGTTATTATGTAACCTACTTAGTTATTTAGGGCTCCTAAGTAACTAAGTAAGATCCCTATATAGGAATATAAGAATAAACCTTTATACTTATATTTAACCTAAGTTTTAATCTATTATTTAGATTTACTTAGGCCTCCCTTATTAACTTATTATACTTTATAAGATACTTCTATATTAATAAGAACCCCTTCTTCCTCCCCTTAGTAAGTCTTACCTAAGAACTAACCTTAACCTATTTAGGACTAGCTACCCTCTCTAGATTTAATATCTTAAATACCCTTAATATAACTATAAGGACTTCTACTTCTTCTATAGCTTTAGATAATAATACTATTACTCTAATAGGTAACTCTAAGAGTAAAGTATATAAACCTAATTTATACTATAGTAATAGAAAGTATACTAATATCTAGCTTCTTTAGTTAGACCTCTATTTCTTTAAACTTAATAAATAACCTAAAGATAAATAAAAGATTATTTTTATAGCTACTTATATATAAGGTAATACTAGAGAATAGATTTAACCTTACGTAACTAAGTATCTAGAAATAGACTATAATAATAAAGATAAGGAATACGTAGATAACTATATAGACGTAGTTAATATTATTAAAGACTATACTAACTTTAAGAAATATCTTAAATAGATATTTAGAATTACTAATAAGGTACCTATTATAGCACGAAATATTTAAACTATAATATAATAACGATTAGTAGCTAAGTATATAGTAGAGTTCTATAAAAATGCTATATAACTTAACTAGGATAATAAGTTACTAATAATAATATATAAATAAGGTCTTAAGAAACCTCTATAAGAAGAACTTCTACGTAGTAGAGGAATTATTAGAACCCTTAATAAATTATATAATAAATTAATTAGGATTAATAGAGAATAGTTTACACTATAATAGGAATTTTAATATAACCTAAGGAATATTAGTTTTAGATAACTAGTACCTATAGTCTATAGAGTGCTACTAAAAGGACCTTAACGCTAATTATAAGACTCCTATAGATACTAGCTAATAGAAGATATCTAGTTTAACTACTTAGGTAAAGGAAAAGAAAAAGAACTAGGCTTTTATAAGCCTAATATATGTATCTTAGATAGAACCTAATACTAGGGGACTAAGACTTATATATATTTTATATATAGTAAACTAGGCTATATTACTAGGAACTATAGATCTAAGAATAAGGTTATTAGGTAGTTAAATATACTTACTATCCTAATAAAGGAAATTAAGGATAAAGAATAGACTATTATAAACACTATTAATAACCTTATACTTAACGACAAATCTAGATTAGAGTTATTAACTAATTCACGACTTTATAAGGATATAGAAGAAGAATAATCTAAAATAGTAGATAAGAAAGTTAAGTAGATACTAATACCTTATCTATAGTTTAAAGGTAAAGAAGTAATCTTTACTAATAGAGTAAATATATAGGAATACTTAGATAAACTACTAATCTAACTATAAAATAGAGATATATTATTATTACCTATAATAATTTTACTATTATTCTCTATACTACTAGAAGCTTATAATAAACGCTAACTAGAAATTATTATAAAGGAGGACAGATAATAGGTAGATTATAAATATATATAATAAGACCCTAGTAAACACTTCTATAATAAGAACCTAGACTATTTATAAAAGTACTACCTAGACCACTAAAACCTATAGCACTTAAATATCTAATAGATTAAATATAGATATAACTAGTGCCTAACCCACTATAGAGCTAAGGAGCTATATAGAGGTAATTAACTACTAAATAAATAATAATACTATTAGGAATAGTATAATTACCTAATTAATAAATGCGATAAATATCTATAGGATAAGTAAGAAAGGCTATACTTCCTAAGTATAAATAATATATAAAATATAGTAACTAGTACGCTCTATAATAGGATATACACTTAAGACGGATAGTAAACTTACTTAAATACTAATTATAGTAGATACTAGGATAATAAACGTATCTATAGATTTAGTAAGAACCCTAACTAACTAAGAATAATTATTAATATTTATATAGAAATAAATATAGTATAGAAAGGTAAAGCTTCTAAAAAGAAACTATAGTAGAAGAATAACTATAGTAGAAGAAGAGAAGGGTAGAAATAAAAAGAATAATAATAAGGGAATATAGACTATTTAGCTCCT